CGTATTACACATACTAAATTCAAAACGTAAGTCTAACCATCGTTTAATTGTAATTTAAACATATGAACTTGAGATTTATATCCAGTACATCCAACTCACAGACACTGTGTACAAATCGGCTTAATTAATTGATTAAAAAAGTACGAGGTGAAATATGCCTATATGGGCCACGATACAAGCAAAATGACTATACGTTATTGTCTCACTGATAGATGCAAATATGTTTTTAAATAGATATCTGACATATTTGATGTTGATATGAAGGCGAGTAAAAATTTAGTGGGTAGTTTTACTGTCAACGGAATATCTTTGGTTGTAATGTAAACTACAGATTTCAGATTATTGAATACAGTTTTGCTGTGAAAAACAAATATTCCTCTTTTATTGATTCAATGAACGATCTCAATATTTCTATAGCAAAAGATTTGTCAATATCTTTATGCAAGTTCAGAAGGCTTCAAAAACAGTGCATGATTGTAATATGATATGTTTCAAAAAGTATTTTTGAACAAAATGGGTTCATTCATTTACATTAATACAATTAACATGAAGCATCAATTATGCATAAAATTTTTATATCTTCAAATCGAGCACATGCATGATCATGGAAACATTATTATATAATTATTAAATTTGTCACAGCATCAAACCAAAAAGTGATTGGTGCTGCGACATCCAAAATCAATAGTATGAGATTGCCAAGTTTTGCATCATCATAATTTGATTTAACAAACACATTTAGGTCCATATACTTGTAATGAAAACGACAAGCTGTCTTTTATGAATGAATGCATTATAAAAATTGTTTAAGAAGAAAAATGAGATAACCGCGAGAGGGAATATTTCAAGTATATTTTGTATATTGGATTTTTTATATCTTCAGTCGCCAAACAAAGAAACATTGTGTCAATCAATAATTGCTGCTGTGTGTTTGCAAACTTAGTGAAAATACCGCAAATTCAAAGAAAGTTTTGCCTGTCGATTTTGCAATGGTGAAAAGATTTTGTTTTCCCCGTTTGCGCAATATTTTCTATTGATATTTTTGGTACATGTGTGGGCCGACGGCGAATTTTACCGCTCCAAGCTTGTATGACTATAGCGTCTCCCTGTACTACGTCCAGCGGATGGTGGGAACGAAGTTATTACAACACAAGTTACAATTCCTCTTTAGTAACGGGCGATGTTAATTGGGGATACCCGAGAACATGATTAGGGCGGGAACACAAGAAGTCTTTACCGTAAATATTGGATACAATATGAGTGAAAATAATAATAAATCGTCGTGTGAGGAAAGCAACACAATGGGCACTGGGTGTGTTTTTGCGAGTCACCCTTTGTGTCGCCCTTTAGTTTGTTTAATATAAATCCCGCCTACCACAGATCGATTTACCCAAAAAGCGTGTTCGACTACTAAGATACATGTTGTATTGGGTTTCACTAAAAGTTACCGACAGATTTTCCGAACCTCATGATTTCAATGAATGTAAAGATGGTTATTGTTTTTACTATTATCACACAAAATGTTTTGCCTTGTGTTTCAACGGTTTTTTAGCTATGCGGAAAGTAAAATTTAGATTTGCATTGTGTTTACTGGCCTACTAAACTCAAACTAATCAAGTGTCTAACGTATTGTTATAAAGTTATTTTCCCAGCTTAGAGAGTCGATAAATTTTGGCTTCTACATATGTAGCACGATATAAAAACATGCTAATGAAGTTTGCATAGTTTGTATATATATATATATGCGTGCCTTCGTTTTAAAATTGATATGCTCGTAACTTTGGATATAATTTTGTGTAATATTTTGAACAACTTTTTCACAGGGCTGGCTATCACTCTCAGATAAACAAGTTAATATAAGACACAAAACAATCCCTCCCATCACCAAGACGACTAATTCCTTGAAGATTTTTTCAATCTTAACATAATCTTATATAACGAGCAATTTGATCTGGATATCAAAAATATACCGATAATCCACACTATGACCTCATTATCAAATCAAGGCTTATTTTTCTAAATCTATCGCATTATCGCTAATCCAAATTGGCATAATTGCACACAAAATTGGAACGTCGAAAAGTTTTGCCGCTCAAATATCTTCAGGTCTTTTTATAAAGATGAAAACGATAAACATTCGCTAACCAAATAGATATCAAAATGATTTTGAAGCATTCAACGGTTACTTATATCCAGTATAATATTTTTAACAAAGCTTGGCGCAGAGGTACGTTGAAGCGATTTTTGTAAATAAAGCACTGTTGTAGTTGAAAGAAAAGCGTTTTCGATGAATTTAGGGCATCAGCCTTTCGCTAAGCAAATGACCAAATATATATATACAGCATGTTGCCCAAAGCAAAGTCCCCATTATTCATAATCACCAGCACGGTCAATTGCCTTCAAACAATATCTGGTATGAGAATATTGCTCACATAGAAATTAGTTTCTGTGTTGAAAGACATTGGTTGACGTTCTTGTATCATGCCTTAAAATTTGTGTACTGGGAATTAAAATAGTACTGCCTGAAAATTACTAATACTAGCGAATATTTACCGCGATTCCGTTTATTCAAAAATTCCAAAAATGAGATGTTGTGACGCTTGAAAGGGTATTCTCGAAAAAAAGAAAAGTTTTATTCTACACGCTGGTGATGTTATATCGCTGAGAATAGTTGTTTGTAATTTGTTTTTGCCGCTATCTGTTCATCTGACAAAATCGTTAAACTATACTGACCGTTGGTACTGAACCAACTTTAGGTCACAAATTTGTATTCGATGGACACGTTCACTGACTGTGTATAGAGGACTTAATACGGTTATACAATAGTTAAACAGCTATTTAACAATATATCACAGTACTGTGTTATTGAGGTGATAATACTACCTCTGGTCTGTCTAAACAAAAACTACAAGGTTGTGTTTTGTATGAAAATTAAACAAAACTAAAAAAAAATAAAAAATAATTTTCAGCAATCTATGTGTAATAATGACTAAATTAATGTATTATTCATAAAACATTTAAAACACAGTATAGCCACACAATAGTGTATTTTTGTCATACGTGTTACAGAAAATTATATTGCATATCGGTTATGTAATCAGTACATTTACATAAACTGATACAATAAGAATCATACCCATCTCACATGTATTTGTCACAAATACCTCAAATTACCCTATTCCGATATAATACCAACACTTTGAGCATGAATTTTCTAAAAATTAACACTTATTAGTGCTCAATACAGAGAAAACTAATTAGAATTGATCAATCGCTTATCTTATAGAATATTGCATGGACCACGAACAAAAATAATTAACTAACTGTAAAAAACCCAAACAGAAAATGTTCAAAAAGTTTATATTATCGTAAACCCATTCGACGAATAGACGTACCCTGTTTCAAGGTATAACAATATCCGCGGGTTTAATTGAACGAGGAAAAGTTTTATTCTGAATTGTTCTGTACCCAATTGGAAATGTTGGAAATTATTAATTTTAGTAAACCCACAGTCATCAAAGTTGTGTGTTCGGGCTTCTGATCAAAACAGTAGTCTTCTATGTGTGATTCTCATTTCATATTTTGGAATACAGCAATCCGAATGTTCGTGTTATTTGAAACGAATATACTATATTTCCCAATTCAAGCATTCTTTATTATTTATCACCATTAAATTGCAAAAAAAAAAAAACGAGGGATGTTCCTAGATTTTTTGCAAAATTTAGCAAGAAAATTTGAAGGTCGGTGTTACAAGTCTTTTGACGAAACTTGGTATATGATTATTTAACTTTCTGTTAATGTCTCGTGTTTTTTAATGTCTAAAAATTGTTGAAAGTACGGACTTGTTTTTAATCTTCATTCAGCGCCATGGCGTGAACCTTTTATCGACATGAACACACGTGGTGTATGAATAAGTAATTGACTAAAAGGAAAACCGCGTCATTGATGATCTTATGGACAAAACGTTGACAAATTATATATTATTATAATACATTAATCTGGTCGCCTATTAAATAAACAGCAGTTATACTCAAAAAGTTTCTGATTATTGTTTGAACATATCAATGGTGTTCATGAGCAATGAATCGAATAATTTACGGAAGTTATCGTAGGTCTAAGTCATTTTCAAAAGCAATCTCGTGTTTTTTGGAAGAAATTTTAGTTATATATGAGAACAGATGATTACTATGAACAGGGAGGAAATACATATTCTGCTATGTCATAACTAGCAATTGTAATATAAAGGTTGGGCTTTTAGGCGAAGGTTCGAGCTCTGGTTCGGACTAAGACTTCAATTGATCAAACCAATATTTTGTTTTTGCATAGAAGACAGTCGCATCTTGCAAAAGTGATTATATCATTCAATTAACCTCACGGCTTAAATTATGTAGTTCACTCTACCGTAAACAATTTCCAATGAACAATCTCTGAATTTTGAAGAAGATGGTCTTTGATTTCGCACGCACGAATCTAATAACGGGCCTGTATGTCACAATATCATAGAATATTGACAAGAGACGAGGTGATGATGAGATTGCATTCAATATTTGTAAAGCCATGAAAATAACTTGTTTTCAAATATTAATACAATATAATAAAGTAATTTGTGTCGAAAACATAATACCAACACTCAATCAAGTAAGATCTCTATCGGCACCCAGTGGCAACCATTTGTTATTTCACTGTTCGTCTTTTTCATATAACACTCACTGACATTGGTACTAAAAGGCTCGTGCAGTCCTTGTGAGCAGTGGCGTGATTGCATAATTAGAGTTAAATCGAGTTTGTATTATTTGACATTATACTGTATTTCATTAAGACGTATCTCGAAACTATTCGGATTCGATCTTTTATATTTTCTGGAGTCGAAGTTTTAGACATATATACTCTTGTACATTTATTTTTAGGAGTTTCTGAGAGTTAAAAAATGATTAATTATGACATCACAATTATATTAAATATTGTCTGTTTCGGATAAAAATAAAAATAGATTGGTCGGTTTCCGACTAAATTGGAATGTCAAAATATGGCAGATATAAGTGTATCAACAAAGAACGATGAATTGACTTGCGCCGTTTGTTTGAAGTTATTCGATTCACCAATAATCTTACCTTGTTCACATAGTATTTGTAAGAGGTTTGTATACAACAATATATATTATCTATATTTATTCATTCCACTCATAGAAAAATGATTAGAATAACCGAAAACGGTATAAATATACACCTAGTAAATAGTCTATACAAAATTCGTATTAAGATAGCAGATAAATAAAATATTTGGAATTTTTTCCCTTTCAGTCACATAAGTGATCTTCAACTGAAAAATAATCGATGCGTTGTAAAATGTCCAATATGTCGTCAGGTATCAGTAACGGCATGTGTAGTGGAAAACAGGGATCTAAAGAAAGCTTGCGAAATACTCAAGGTGAAATTTAGCTCAGCATACACTACGATACACATACGATCTACTTCATCTATATGTACAAGATTGCATGTTGATTAATATGAGCTCATGTTTGTACTTGTCTGCTGTTTTCATATAGCGCTTTAATTTTATATTTGGGGCCGTTTTCTAGTCATTTCAGAAAACTGTATTGTTCTAACCTACAAACATGCAATTTCGAACAATTCGACAATAGCGTTTATTAAATAAGTGCATGAAAGTTTTTGGAATTATTCTAGGATCAGACAAAGTTCCCATTATTGCAAATTCAGAAATATCGTCCCCAACTGCCGGCACCTGGAGAAGTGCAACTCTGCCCCCTTCCACAAAAGTACAACTTCCCTTATAATTCAACTTTGCTTTAGAAAAGTAAAGTTCCAGATGATTCCAACAAAACTAGATCTGAAGATATTTGCCCCAACCACACAAAACAAGAGATGAGACTATCGATGTGGTGCATAGAGTGTGATAAAGGTGTCTGTGGATTATGTGTTATTGGTACACAAGGTCATGCAAATCATAAAATTATACCCTTCAATGAGGTTAGTTTCATCATTTTCTAGAGATGCTTAAACTTTTTTTCATTTCTATTTTTTTTTAACTCAAAATACATAACTGTCGCATGCGATTTGATGTTATGTTATTTTAGGTGGGACATCATGTTAAAAGTAGCCTGCAGTTCACAGCATCAGAAGTTCAGCTTGTTCAGACACTAAAATGTATAACATCAGATATTGGAGTATGTGATTTTCAAATTGTTCAGTTAAATGCATCTGAAAAAGAAGCGGCTGAATATTTCCGAAATGAATTTGATAACTGGATGCAGCAAATGCAAAAAGACTTCGGCTCAGCTATAGAACGAGTGGGTATATGTTTGAAACTGCAACTGCAAAAAACGACAAAATATAATAAACTAAAATAATCTACAAACGGCAAAGAAGAAAATCGTGTGTAAAATCGATTTTAGTTAACATTATCGGACTTTTTCTATTATTTCCTGACCCTGATCGATAAGGCCCAAACCAATGTTTTCACTCCGTTGTTAAAAATATGGTATTAGCTGCGAAAAATCATTGACGTATTATTGCCATTAATATCGGCAATGATAGACGCTTTCATTTTGGCTTGAATATGTTACTCAAAGGAAATTTAAAAATGCAAAACGATCTTGATTGCCTTCGAATCTTCTCTGTAGCAAGTTCGAACGAAACTGTAACACAATCATAAATATCACCCTCGAAGAACCCGTATGCATTCAAGCGGGACATGAATTACTAATGCTGTATATTAGTTTTATCCATCATAATTTGTATTTATGTTAATATAACTTTAACATTTCGCACGTTTCAGATTTCACAAATCTATAAAGGCAAAATCAACTCTGTAAGAGTAGACAAAGATCGTTTGCAGTGCATCAAGTCTTACGGTGAAGATCTGAAAGAAAAAGTAGAAAAATTACTTTCTACAGACTCTTCTGACAATATTCACAAATTTGCACACGTCTCTACATCAGATTTTGCTGAAAAATTAAAAGGATTCTCGTCGTCAGCAAAGCAAGCTCGTTCAACTGGCATTTCAAAAATATTATATGACATGAAACCCAAACAAGTAACGGTTGCGCAAAGGACCTTCAAGGAGAGACTTGCTGCAATTTCAAAAGCAAATACAAAAATGTTTCTATCTGATTTGAAAAGAATTTCGGTTATGACTCAGGAAGCAACATCAGAATTGCAAAGTGAGATTGAAAAAGATTTAGAAAGTCTAACTCTGATTGAGACCGGCGACTTTACAAAACGAAAATCTGGCAACTCTATTGCATCATCGTCAGCACCTCCAACAGAAGAGTTTAAAAAATTGCTTACCTCTGATTTCAAAACCACAATCGATGCGTCTGAAGGAAGCAGGTAGCTGTAAATTTAATTGCTTATGGATAACTGGATGATCATTTATATTTGATAATAAATGTAAGCACAATAGAGAGCATGATACAATGACAATGTGTTTTCAGCAACAAAGGAGACTATCCGAAAGCTGAAGAAAATGGGTCGGAACAAAATAAGATAACGGTACTGAACTAATACATTAATATACTATTGTATAACTGTTTGGTAGGCTATAGTCACAGAGCAGGAACTGTCTCTTGCTCAGGTTCATTGTCAAATTGCGAAGACTAAAACAAAAGTAGTCAGAAGAATTAGGATGGGTAAGTATGAAACAACTGAGAGACTGCACTCCATGATTTCGGATATGATAATAAAACAGAGCAAATCAAAACCAGCAACTTCACAACAACAGAATGAAAGACCTTCACTGAAAATAAAACACAGAGGAATGGTGATACCGTCTGGGAACGTAAGTATGTATTATATATCAAATTGAATTTGTAGTTTTGTGGATAACTCTTTGGACAATGAGGGATGAAAGTTTTCCATATCCTCCGTATAAAAGGAAAAACACTTTGACATACACACCAAAAAATTATTGTTTGTATAGGATTAGCTATTGATCATCCAATCGAATGGAAATGTACGTGTATCACATATTGACTTGCAGCGCTATCTCGAGGCGATGCTGTTCTCGCATTGGAGGGTTTGCGTTGTGGTCATTTTGTATCCTCAAATTTTATTCATACAGCTTTTCAATGTAGCCACTGACAAGTAGACCAAATAGTCATTCGGTCAGGCTATCCTGTTCATTCTGGGCAAAGGCATGAATATATAAAAATATTTCGTGATTTGCTCTGCTTTTATTCTGTTGGACCTTTCCTGAATGGCTAAAAGAAAATGATTTGATTCATTGAAATCCCAGCATCATTACATGTTTGTCACGCAATATCGAGTAGTAAACAGCAGTAGTAGCAGTAAACACTATTTATAACCATATCTACAATAGTGATAACTTGAATATCAGTAAATGGAGAAAAGGCAGCAACGTTAATAGTAGTGTCACACTTATCTTTAGTGGGCAATTTGTGCGTATGGACTTGAAAACAATTCCATAATAAATGTCGGTTTGAAAAAGCTCCTCAATGCCTCAAAGACAAAAAAGATTTTCAATATTGCGAAGTGGAAGCGGAGGGAAAGCCAGACAAACATTGATGAAAGCGAGGAGGAAAGCGACTGATTAAAATACATTAAACCACTGTTCTCGTTGTTTGTTTGTTCAATAAAATGGAAGTTTATTGCCTCTATGACTTCTACCCACGATACTGTAGTCAAATCAATTGAAGTGAGATCAGCAGTATCTGATTTGGTGACTGAACAGCGACAGAAGTCGTGAGCAGAAATACTCGTTAGCTTGAACGTCGAATTGGTTGCTAAATGGTAGGCAGGGGGATTTCTCTTCAAATGTATTGACGTCGTTATTGTGTTTTTCGACCGACCGTTTATATCCGACTTGTAACGGAATAACTAAATTTAATTTGATCTACAACAAACAATCGCACATATTCCGTGATTTATAAGACTTTTGAACTTCTTCAAAATTAAATCCATCAAAGCATGTTCGGAAAAAATCTAAAAGATTTATTACCTTTACTTTAATGTCATAATATTTTATTTGATAGTCGAAATCCTAATCTATGATGAACCGGTCGAAATTAATATCTCCGTGTCAACAAAATTCCGTGTTCCGAATGTTATATGACATTGTGCCCGTGAATTATAAAAACCAGCAAAAAATGGGATGAAATATCGGCATTTTATAAAGAACAATTAGAATAAAAATTGCTTTGTGGCGACTTGTTCAATTTGCAATTACTAAAAACTTGAAATTGATTAGTTAATTTTTAATTTATTGTTGTCGAGTTATAGAGACCAAAAATAGTTTAAAACGACGCAAGAATACAAATAAATAGTGGTTTCTGGCACATCACTGACTGCTGGGGACGTTGTAATTTCGATATTACAACTAATAACAGACCGCTTTCATTTGTACTCTCCAACTGGACAGCAGTAATAAAGTTAATAAATTCACACTCAAAGTAAATCTGGGTCATTTTATTTCAAATAAAAATTGCATACGTTTTGATTTATTGGTTCAATTATATTTTTACTGAGATATTTTGTCGAATTCTAAAAAAAGTGTAGCTTAATGAAAAAGATATGTACACAAATTTTTATTATTTTATATGCGTTTTGCAACCAATTGTTCAAATAAAAATATGATGTGAGCACGAATTCGAATAGTTCACGAAAGGTATATTCGACGTTAATATGAAAACAATCAATATACAGTTACTTCACGCGGAGTATTAGCAGGGATGGGCACTGATGGCTAAGGAATTGTTATTATTACATCAACTATTATGGCATACTAAGAAGTAAACAGCAAAGCATATAGTTTATCTTTAAAATTCAAATTCTGCATAATTATAAACATCTTTGATATCTACATAATAATAACATATAGTTTGAATAAACCAATGAAAAAAAGAAGCATACAAATCTATAACATGGAAAATAACGACATAAACCTGTTGCCCAGTAACGATATTGGTCTGAATTCTCGTTTACAAATAATATTCCAAACACTTCTCTTTTCTGCATAAATAATAAAAATAAATTAGAACAGAACAGAACAAGGCATTCTCGATCACTAGCAAAGCATGTTTGGAGATTTATCCTGACAAACTGTTATCGGATATGCAGACAGTGAAAAACTAAATTCTTAAAACATATTGATTCATTCATTTGTGTTAAGTACAAAATGCACAAATTAAATAGTAATAATTGCACTTGATAATTGAAGCCACTTCTATATTTTGATGTTGCGTTGATTGCTGTGATTCTGTGTTATATTTTGACTTCTATATGTTGATATTGTTTTATCTACTAGCTTTCCAGAAGGTCCATAAAAAACAAAATACCGAATGAATGTATTGCCTACATTTATTTAACTGCCATTCTTTGTACAAGCCAAGGTTCCATGCTTGCAAGGTTCTCTTTCAGGTCTGCCACAGCAGAAATTCCACGGCCATGCATATCGTAGATCTTACATGACTCTGGTATCGTAGAAGAAACTAAACTGGCGACCATACATTGTTCAACGTAATACTGTCGCAAATCCTTACCAAGTATTGTTTCAAAAAACCTTCTCAACCCCAAAACGTGAGTGACAGGAGCATCAAAAACAGTTGTGAAATCTTCCACAATGTGGTGGATGCGATCCGGAACTGGAACGATCCATTTTTTCGGTCTGTTCAGTACCATTCCATCCGAGGGCAACTTACTATAATAATAAACAATTGGATGCAAAAAATTGGAGGTGTGTGCTTCTTTTGCAGACCCAACTGCTCGATCTTCCCTGAATACGTCCTTTGCTGGACCGGAAGAATTTTTACCATATTCCATTGATATAACCAATAGTTTTCCGGGAACTGGATGGCCAGAAACTTTCGGAATTCGACTGACCAATGCACATGGGTATGACTGTAAAGAAAAGTGAAAATCAATTAACAAATATAAAATTGGTTCTTGAACTACCAGATCCTGTCATTTTCTGAAAAGACTAATAGTTTGTAGCTGAAATAAATGAATTAAACGAATTTACCTCTAAATAAATTGCTTTAGTATCGTCATCGCCAAATATGACAATATCACAAAACACTCCGAACATTTGATAAATATCAGAAGCCTCGTTTACTCTTTTTATCAAATGTGGGATAACTTCGATCGCGGACTGAAAATGAACAGCAGGCCAAGTGACATCGTGATATCTGTTTTCCAAAATGTTATGCAGAGCTCTTGCACTGTATCTGAATCCATGAATAAATCCCCCCGCAGAACGACGGTGATCCAGAGAATGTGTGTTTGTTCCTAAATTTAAACGAAATGCATGAAAACGCAATATGAAAGGTTTAAAAGAAGATTGCTTGGTCAATGAGGCAGTCTCAATCAGTTCCATATATACTATACACAAGATAAAAAAGATAAAGTACATCTTCGATTCGAAATATTCGTTTTTTCATAATATTGTACTTTGGTTTCAAGCGAGCAATATGGGCAAAAAATCAATCTCTGAGAAGTATCATAGATGACGGGTAAAAAAACAAAAATCACTTCCTAATTACTCAATTAAAAAACAATTACCTGCAAAAAAGACACCAGGCATTTCCGACGCTTCATACTGGTAAGTAATTCTTGGATACTTTCTCAGTCTATGACTACCGGCTCGTTTAACTTTTACAGTGCTGTTGAATAATGCATCATCAAATTGAAATCCGAGGCATGATATGACCATATCATAACCTTCTCTGAGTGCGTCGTTGTCGATATCTATAAAGCAAATAATTTGTCTGCGTCACGGTAATTTTCTAGAAAATTGGAAGTATTGTGACCAAGATAATGTTTAATTTACTACACGCGGCAAAAATGAATTTTACCTCCGAACTGATCTCCAAGTTTTTCCGCGTCCAAATAGAATCGGTCATCCAATTTGCTTCTCTCAATAGGTAAATCGCTGATGTCGCCTTAAAAGAAATATTGGAACAACTTAATGCTATATTACCACTGAAACGATGCTAATAACTATTTGAGAAATCAATTTTGAAATACAAATGCTTGATATTTTGATAAAGACCTTCAATTAATCCATCCAGTGATTTCAGCTGATAGGTATCCAAAATTCCGTTATTTACAGCTCGAAGATCACCAACGTAATGTGTTGACCAAGCAAGACGAAGTCGTTGTCTGCCTAACATATGGATATAGTTGGTTCGTCCCATGATGTACTGAGCTGTTTCAAATCCTGAATTTCCTCGACCAAGAATCAAAACAGATTTCCCTTCAAATTTTTCAAGATCAAGTGAAAGATCCGAATAATCCACGGTTACATTTTTCAGCTCTAAACAAAAAATAAATGAACAAATAAGTTTAATTCACTGTAAGCCAGTGAAAATAACCATGTCATAATGAACGAATCTATGATGTTTAGTTAGTTTGCTCCATGAAAGCGACTGCGATTCAATAATCAGAGTTAGGATAATAGTGTATACCAGGGATGTGCCATTCAGTGTGGCCCTCGCCCTAATATATATTTGTACCCATCAAGGGGTGTCTCCAAAATGTCGCGTCCCACTTGTCCCATGTGACCCACTTGTCCCACGTGTCCCAATTGTACCACGTGTCCCACTTATCCGGGACACGTGGTACAAGTGGGACACGACATTTTGGAGACACCGCCCATCAAACATTAAATCCTAATCGAACAGTTTATGTTAAAAAATGCGCACACATGGGTACAAATCCATAATTTTTTGTTGTTGTTGACGCTGCGTTAAATCTTTCGCCCGGTTCCTTTTTTACCGCAAGACTTAGCGATAGCCTTTTCATTGTAATTCATTTTTTAATTCGTGGTGTACGTGGAAAAACTTAATTTTTGTTAGTGGCCCAGCTAGATGTCTGGAGTTGAATATATAGCCCGCCGACAAAAAATGTTGCACACCCCTGGTGTATACCATTACTGAAGCTTTGTATATGCTGTAGTGTTATAAGTATTTCTTAGTTATTTATTATTACTATATTAGGCATACTTATTTATGTAAACTACTTGTCATGTACCGAAACGGAAGTGCGACTTGTGCACAACACTGGCTAAGGTTTGAAAAAATAAAGTACTTTTCGTGCATAGTAAGAGAGGAAGAAAGAGTTGGGAACCACTGGTGTAAGTAAGCATAAATTCAAGTTTCATCTATACAAAACGCAAAGGAGAAATGGGAGAAGGGTATAAATCTATCACACATTATTTAAAATTGGAACAGAGTTATTAAAGCAATTAAAGTTATTGTTGTCCAAATCTCATGCAGCAGTGTATTCGTACGTTTCAATTTAAATTATTCCGTTCACATAAGTTACCATGGATTCGCCAATTTTCTTAATATAAAGTCTGGATTAATTATTGTTCAAAGTTCAGTACAGGATGTTACGGCCAAACTAAAGATTTATAATACATGGATAAAGTCGGGTATGAGTGGGTTTTTAATATTTTGGAAATCATATGAGATTAACCTGATACCGAGTAACGCTCACAAAAAGTACCTTTCATTTGCACAAAATGAGATATTTATGAAGCAAAAGTTGAATATGTGGAGATGCAATATACAGAAAAACTACTTACGATCATTATTTACTGTGACTGGTTTCGATATCCCAGTAGCCACAATGACTCGTTTGCATGTATACTCAGTCTCATGCTGATCATTCACATGAAATAAATCATCCGCTGGATCTTTCTTGCCCAAGTTGCCAATTGTTGTATTGAACTTGACGTTCAGTTTCAGTTTTTGAACAAAATCATTCATATATTGGACGAATGCATCAGCGTCTGGGAATATGTCCTGAAAAAGCAGGTTTAAAGTGACAAGTTGCAAATTTGACTCAAGCAATTTCAACAATTGATTTTTTTTAAAAAATCCAATATGAAGCAGGATTTCTAGGTAGACATAAATTAGATAGATCAAAGCCGACCTCGATAATAACGTTATATTTACGATGTTTTAACTAGAGGGAGATATGACTCTAAGAATATACAAGAAGAATTGCATCGTATTATTGGTAAATCTTCCAGTGAAATTTTATACATACTTTTGAGTACATTCCCATCCTCAAACTATCATCGTTTGAGATAAGAGAATTCCAGTCGTGGCGTAGATTGAATTCTTTATTTGTTTTTCCTGTATTTCTTTTGTTTATGCTGATTAAAGTGCGATGAATTGGAAGTTTTGTGTAGAAAGTTGCTGCAACTGGTCCTGAAGAAAGAGTGCACGGGTTTTAGTGCCAAATGAGGTTATTATGTACTAATATATCTGATAGTGAAAAATAGTCAAATTCATTCAGGATAATCTACTCATTGATATTTGTACACTGAAAACCTTCTGGTAGCTGATAGATCTCCATAGAGTGGTTCCTAATTGATGTTGCAATCAGTAATTATATCTAATTACATGCGAAGAGATTATGTACCTGAATACCTCTAATGTTAGGCTATTCCTCTTCATTTAAATTAATGGGAGTTGTAAAAGACGATGTATTATATAATATAATTTTGCACAAATCATATCGGAAAGTATATTCTACTTCATTTTGTTTAATTAAGTGGTAAAAAATTTTATTTTACAAAATTTTAAGGGTAGGGATAATTCGCGACTATGAGTGGTGATGATTTAACTCTACAACACTCTCAGAGCAATTTCCAAACCTTTTTCAAATACGATGTAGTCCCTTTTAGCTCGTTGAAGAAAGTATGCCATCTGAAGCCCTCCAGGGCCAGCACCGATCACACAATAATCATGATGTGTTTTGCCATCATCGCACGATACTGTGTATATTGCAAGTGCCAATAGGCACGTACATATGCGCACGAGTGACATCATAGCGATTTAAACAAATTCTGAAAAACTTAACGTAACGTAAGTTTGTTATTTTTTAAAGTACACATAAACGAATATATCCTTGCCTACCTATGCAGAAAGTTATATTTATTTATACAGTATACCTATCTGTTTCCCCTTGTTCAATAATATACCTTCTTGATAAGTTTTGTATCAACTACACTAAAAATTACCAATACTAATTTGTCTCTGTGTTACTGTAACTGAGATAACAATTTATGCAATCGGGAAATATCTCATATTACTTTCAACATCTTCATCAAATACCACTTGTAGCCTATGTAATATATATGAACGCAGCTCGTTCAAAGCAGCTGAAAAAATGATTTCGTTCTATATAGATCAGGGCACTGAGATTATAGTCTATAGTCTTATATAGGTTACTAGCATTGGTGGGATTCAAATTTTTTTAGCTGGTTATATCACGCAAATGTCATATTTTCCAGCCGATTCTGTTAAGAAAGTCATGTTTTTTTCAGTAATGCCAACCGGTTCGCTGATGTCATAAAATTCCGTGAGACGGTTCTATAGAACCGACTGAATCCCACTACTGGCTACTAGCCCATTTCAATGCTTGCTGAGTGTGACGTACAATAATCTCCTCGGCCTTTATGATTTCCTCAACGCGTCTTGCCTGTGTCTTTGAAAGCAATTCCACAATCGACGTCTTTGGTGTTTTTAAAATCGATTCCAAGTCTATCAATTACGTTTGAGACTCACTCGACCCTGAGGGCATGTATTATTTTGATATTGTTGTGATGTCGAATGGTTATGAACCAACGTTCCCCTATTTGTTAACTCATAATTAAGCTATTAATATGGTACAAAAACAAATTGGTCCTTATTGCTCAACGTATATGTATATGGAAATCAAAAATTACTTCTTTGCTGGAATCAATCGAGAAATACTGTACTACCCTGACGTTTAGTCATGATGGATTCGCAAATCAGGTTATATTGGCAATTCAATAAAATCCTAAACGCAGAAAGCATATTGTAAACTTGAACTCTGTCATCCTCAGCGACAAACTCCTGCACGTGTTCATAGGAATAAAACACGATGTTTTGTCCAGAAGGCCGGGAACGTTTACTTACTCTCAGAGCCTTTTTCTAATCACACATGCCTGTTTTACGTATTTGAACGGACAAGCTGGCAAGATTGCTTTCTAAATATACTACCATATGGCAACCTATTTAAGAGGACGTTACACGGTTTCGAATAACAGACGCCGGCAATTCAAACAAGGAGGTTGATGCACAACCCGCACACACAGTCACCTAACTGCAGTTGATGCATGGGAACATGCATCCATCCATCTACATACCGCCATAAGCACGCTGTGGCAAGAAGCAATTTCCGCCCATTGTGTATTCTATATAACTTATTTGACCTCAAGATAACTACGATTGGACAGAAATACCAGGGAATATTAGAAAGAATACTCTAACGCTAAACGATGAATCAATTTTGCTATTGTGATTTTGTAAAAAAAAACAGACTTGTGATGTAGAAATATTTAATTTTGTCACAGTTGTATAAACTTATCTTGTTTTTGCACTCAATATATTAAACAAAGATTTTCTTTCATATATGTCAGAGTGTAATGAAATATTTACATGAAACATATTATATTCTTGGCATATTTACACCCGTGATGTCATATTGTTTATGGAATTGAACTCGGACTGTGTGAAAATTTTAAGGCGCGAGGGACTAAGCTTGTAGGCAGAATATATGGTTGGATAGTGAAACCTATTCAATAACAACCGCTATTCGATAAGACGTTCGAAAATCCGAGGCACCAACAATTAAGTACTTATTCGATAAGAAGGGTGAATGATTATTGTTTAAGATAAGTGATAGTGATCGTTATGATTACTGATCTTTTCGATAAAAATAAAGATCGGGTATTCAACATGTTTTGGTATATCGAAATACACAGTAAAAATATTTTGCCGTCAGCTCACACATGAAATGAATAGAATGTACGTAAGAATATCACGTGGCGTCTTCTTTGTTGGAGGGTTGACATGACGATAGCAGTGGAGGCTACCTTCCGCCCGCTTGTAAAATTACTAATCAAACAATGCAATCAGAGCACTTTTATTCGTTAATATAAATATAATATCAAAAATTAAAATTGTTCGTTTCTGGAACTTGTTTCAAAACGGGGATCCCACATTGTTTATACATGAACATATATTTTTTATTCAATGTTTAAAATAAAATAAAAAAAAACTTATTGTAATCGCAGAACGCGAATAAATGTATTTAAATTATTTGTTACAATATTCTCTAGGCTCGGTGTATCCGAAGATACATATTTCTTTGATTGAACGGTTAATATGCTAACATGTAATAAAGATGCGAACACAATAGGTTATGGTTATCAATATAATATGATTATGTAACAAATAGCTATCTCAATTACGCGTAAATGATGATTTTTAAACTTGCAAAACTATCTTGCTAAAAATAAAGGATGAGTATATTTTAAGATTATTATTTTACTAAAATAAATATTATGCAAGATCTGTTTTTGACAGATGACTACATTGCATTCTTACTAATTTATTGAAACAGTGGTCATATACCAAAGCGGAAATTGACGAATTACTAAACAAAGTACAGCTGTCGAATAATATTGCGATGTACAAGTTTGCGGTATTTTTAGCAAATTGATTCATACAATAACAAATCATATCGTATATCTCAGCACAATATTTTAAATTAGTCATCAAAACATTGAATATAATATCTCGCTTGTAATACGTGAGATCATTCGGCCGAGTTTCCTTTTATAAAGCTATGTTGTTTAGGTACGTGCGTGCGTGATATGCTGCAAAATGAAATTAGCATATATTGTAGTCTGTGTTTTATATTTCGCGTTCTAATCTAGCCTCAGAAGAGAAAAATTTGAATCTACTAGGTACGCTTAACACAAGCACAAATTTACTTTGTTTTGTAGTATACCTTAAGTACTACTTTTCTTGATTTCTCTTTTTGTATAATATTTTTAATTGCAGAAATTGTTAAACTATAAAACAACATAATATGATGATGATCAGTGGCGTATCTAGGGTGTGGCAGCCATGGGCGTCGTTTGGACAAAGGCGCACAAAACGGCGAAAAGTTTTAATCATGAAATGCTTCAATAGAAAAATTTCAAACTGGAAATGACAGAAACTCGTCTTTAACTCAAATAATAACGTACACCTCAACGTGCGTACATTTCAACGTCTCATTTCAATAACAGTCGATAAACGGTCAACCAACCATCGAGGAGGGCGCATTTTTAAACTTTTATTGTACGTAGATACCCCACTGATGGTGATTCTAAAGATTTGCAAAGTTGCACTTTAACAAAGTTGAGTTGAAACCAATGCAGTAAGAGTGCAGTCAATGTTACATAATATGTTGGTGTACTATAGTGTGAATATTACCATTGTTTATAAGAATAAAATGAACCTATGTCTGATCCAATTTAGATGAAAAAATTAAAAGGAAATTTGATTTATTCTTATTTGCAAACAGCACCAGATAAATGTTGACACTGATTAAAATTAATGAACTCTATGCTACCAATGATGTCACCAACTATTGGTAAAATAAGGTTATAAAATTAACAATTTATTAAGAATATATAGTTACTAGCTGTGTTGCGTTGTCAGGGATTTTAGAATAATTAAAACTAAGTCATACTAATGTAGTCTATTCTGAAAATAACTCATTTATTGGATGAATTTCTCGAAAGAATATTGAAGAACAAAATATGAACGACATAGCATCGGTATCAATTCATCATAGAGTCAAACGATTTTTATATTCAGAAAATAAAACATGTGGTCACATCGTATTCTGTACAGAGGAATTTCATGATGAAAATTATAACCCTTCGACTGCTCTTATCAACATTGACCAGTGTTCCGCCTTTCTCACAATTCTCTCCCTCATCGTCGATCTCATTTTGACGCTGGTAATCACCAGTTCCAACGTTTTGATAATATTGGTAATAAGAAGATCAGGAAAGCTCCACAACTGCCAAGGAATATTCAAAACAAGCTTAGCTATGTTCGATTTGCTCGTTGGCATATTTGTCATACCGGGTGCAGCATATAACAAAATTCGTTTTATGCTTATACCATTAGACGGGAGCTTCATGGACGTGCTATTCCGTTCGAATGAAGATGTAATCAATATAATATTTGGTGGTGCATTGGTAATTTCCTTGTCAGGATCGTTAATGAGTTTATTCTTGCTTTCGTTGGATCGATATCTTGCGATATCACGCCCGTTTGCGTACAATGATGTAAGTAGCTTGAAAATGAACATTTCGGAATTTTTGTACGAAAGCCCCCGCCACTAATGCAAAAATATGAGATTTGAGAAAAACACCGCATTTCAAAACAAAAAGTTATTAATTATCCAGTTAGGATTAGGGATGATGTGAAAATTTGAATTTCCAGCGCAATCTACATTCCTAACCCTAACTGGATAATTAATATTCTCTTATTTTGAGCGTTGACGGTTTTTTTATGGCGGGGGCTTTGTACAAAAGATCCCATATTCTTTTATCCAGTCTATCGTATATATGTAATTATTAAATATTTTTAAATCTGCTTTTAATATTTCTACATGTCACGCTGTCCGGAAACATAGGCTATAACCTGGAGATGCACAATTGGTATATACCAGACATGGGCAAAGTAGCCTACGGCCCACGGGCCAAATCCGGCCAGTTAGGTAATGCAACCTGGCCCGCCTGATGCTGCCACAACCAAACTGAAATCAGATTTTGATGTTTTAGCGGAATTTGTTGAGATTGCGGTTAAATTTAGTTTTGGCACAAAGCATATTGTTTCCACCTTTGCTTTGTAACACTGTAAATATTGTTCATAGAATGTAACTTTTTATGTCACACTTACATGGCCCGCCAGTTTAGATGGGCAAAATTTTTGGCCCCTGGTTCAAAAACCTTGGCTACCCCTGGTATAGGAAGTATATGTATGTCCACGACAAGCTGAACTGAATATATTTGACAAATTAAATGATCGAGCGCCTTAATGAATGGTATAGGTGCGGAAAATCACCAAAAGAATTCATCATATATATATATGTATTTTTTAGAACTTAGTTAAATATTCACGGATTATAGTTCTCCAGGGTGAATTTAATATTCTCGTCAATATTTCATTTTCTGTCTTAAAATTCTCAAAAATTTTAAATATATTTTCATCATTATTGTTTGTTTATTGCGCCAGTCATTTCAAAGTGAGGTGTTAGATGAATTTTCCAATTGTCTTGAATCTGACGACGTGATAACCACGTTCATATTTTGGCAGGGGAAAGTGATGACAAAGCGGGTGGCTCATTCTCTTGTTGTCATTGTATTGTGCATTGCCGTTTTTCTTGCCTCTGTGCCGTTGGGAGATCCAGACAATTTCTATTATGTTGTTGACTATATGACCATGGCATTTATAATGGAGATCAGATTCAATGCAGATAAAGGTAAAATACTGTCATTTTTCTTGCAGAACATATCTTTGTTGCTTGCGATTTTATATATTTATATGGAATATATAAGAGTCATGCGGATTTTTTACTGGGTAAACGGTATATATGTATGCGTAACAGGCCTCACTCGCTATTGATACTCATTGACAACTTTGTTGAAAATGAGTATCCATGAAAACAAAATTTCATATTTAAGAAACTGCTACAAACACACACTAATGCGGCACGCAAATTATTAAATATCTCCTAACCTTATCTTCATCTATTTTAGGTAATATCTATCATGGATTGTTTTTCGTATTGATTATCTTTGTTATTCCGTATTTGGCAATTGTTGTCGTCACCATAATCACGTGGGTTGTAATTATCCGAGATCACAGTCGGACAAATGACCCTGGTCATTTACCGCCACCTTCTCCAGGAGAAAATCTAGAGTGGAATAATTTACACGAGTCCAGCGAATGTGGAGATGTTGAATCAACTATCAGTAACGAAGATTCCAATACAAAGAAATTTTCTATCGCAAAAGCGATTCGAAAAAATTATAAAACTAGACGTCTCGATGATTCTATGCATCAAGTAACGAAGACGGTGTTGGCCATCGTGGTCGTATTTTCTTTGTGCGTCTTGCCGTGGATAATCGTTGAAGCAGATAACTTGTCTGGGAGCATCGAAGAGTTTAAAAATATAGAAATGTATGAAAATTTAAAAGTATTTTTCATTTTTCAAGAACATACCGAGATCCCATTGTGCATTGATTGAATCAGGAAATAAGAGCATTTATTAACTCCTGTTGTAATACAATATGGTTGGCTCCATAGCTTAGTTGACTTGGGTTTGGAATCGCTTCACAACTAATTCGACATACGATGTTTAAAATTATTTGTTCTGTACTGTTAGGCGTTAAATCAGTAACCATTTAGATTTATTTATTTTTGGAGTATTATTCAAACAGTCACATATAATTCCCAACGTCTAAATGCGATTTGTTGACAAACTCACTCCGGTTTTACCGTTGTATTATGTCTGACATATTATTTGCAGATTCGGACACGGTCACACTCCGACTCCACACACGTGTTACCCTGCAATTTACATGGTTTGCCTGTATCTGATGTTTTTAAACAGTTTCTGCAACTTTATCATCTATAATTTAAGAAATTTTACCTTTCGTAAAGAGTTTCTCAAGTTATTCGGCTATATAAAGTCTGAAGATGGTTTCCAATCGAATAATTCGATGTCCGCCACAGAAAACGAATCACAGCGCAAGTCACTGGGATCAGATTCTACTGAGATTCAGAGTTCCAGGCGTTCGAGTCTCTCTTCATCAAGATTGGATATGTCAAAAAGGCGAGTCTCGGTAATGACAGCACTTTCCATGTCCCCTACAAGATTAACAACTCTACATGAAATCCCTAGGGTGGAAGAGGTTGAATGCCGCGAATAACAGAAACTATCCAGCTGGTTTAAATGAGTTATGCCACAGAATCGTATTCATGAGTGAATGAAGAAAAAAGTGTTTTTTAACTGTAATTTGGCAAAACTTGAATTTCTACAATTTGACTTAACATTAAAATTTCCTCGAGAGCAACATACCCCATGCGATGCGATTTAGTTGGGAGTTTCTTATCGTCAGTTTTTTTTAGCTCCTATCCACTCAAACCTGAGTAAAACAAAATCGCATCACATCAAAACAACAACGCGGTTCGTGGAGATCCTGCACAAGCAGCGAGGGAAACCGGCCCCACATGTCTAACCAGCAAGCTGTGACAACAAGATGGCCGAACGGCTCTGCTGGCCCAAAATTATTTTGTCGGAGGGATTTATTTAATTCTTCAGTAATTTCTGTAATATACCTAAATAAATATTTTGAATGTTTGCGTCTTTTCACGACAACCAAGTATAAAGAAGATAACTGTTAAACAGACTTTCACCTTCAAGTACTGAATAAGTATTCGAGAATTAAAGTCGATTTGTCCATTCGTTGAGAAGAAAACGTCGATTTTTACGTACCAAAAAAGTTGCCCGACAACAAGACAAACAGTAGCACAATTTATCAAAGCCATCCATATGGAAATTCGTATCCAAAAATATGCTTCAAAGATAAAAAAAAAAATTCAGTAGGGCCCTAATTTGGTCACGCATATCGCTTACTGTAATTTGATTGACTGAACATATTTCGAATACTCATTGACCGTATTCAGCCGGCCGTTCTAGGGCTTTGATGGTACCACCACTACATCCTCTATGGGTCACAATATTATCGCATTTTATATTACAGCAGTTTTGATGATCGCGTTATTTTTGCCAGTTACGGGTTACGTAAACCACCCTACGGCGGCGAGGAGTTCAGCAATCCTTTCGCACATAATTATCCCCAACTCGTCCGGTAAACCCAGTCCATGTCTGGTATGGTATTAGCTAGCCAGTTATTTGTCCACATGTGTACATTATATTTGAAATAAAATAATGGTTTTCAATATATTGTTGGTTCCACCGGTGATTGAAAGGATCTGTGCACCAATAGCTGCTTACCTGTAGATCCTCACTGGAGTACTAAAAAGGCGTAAAGCAGCAAGGTAAAATATTGCTCTTCAAAAAAATCCAACCTTGAAGATTTTCCTACCAATCCTGTCAGCCATATAAAACAAAATAGAAGCCATGATGTCGATTAATAAGAATCATTTTATTGTGAAGGAATTATTTTATCTACATAATCACCTGTTCATATTAATTACTACGAACAATTATGGGAGTCAATGCACAAGTGAACCATCATTAAAACATATACCACCAATGATAGGAACTGCTTAGAAACCATGTTTTTAACTTTTTCTGAACAAGTAAACCGAATAAAATTTACAAGTTTTAAAATGGTGGCAGGTTCGCGTATTATATTATTAGATTTTCAAAAATTGCAAGTATACACTATGGTTACATCATTTTAAACATATAAAATTGGCGAAGACCGATCGGAACAAAAAATCATAAACAGTAACTGGGCAATAATAGTAGCTAAACGAAATTTTTGAAAGAATTTTATTTGATATTAGAACGAATTTTCACACACTACAAAAATTCTACCAAAGCACGTTATGAACTGAAAGGAACTGTTTAATCGAAAGAATGGAACAATGGGAGTCGGGGTATCCATGAATAGGATGTGTCAGTATAAAATCAGTAACTCATCTGATATTTCAACTCGATATCAGATATGCAATTGAATATCAATATTCAACTCAATTTAAATGGTCTTTAGGATAATGAGATGAGATGACATGAAAAACTTTATTTGGAGCAAGGATGTAAATGCACATTGCACTTTGAAATACAATGAAATTGATTTGGTGTAATTATTAAATGGGTAATTGGTTTTGTATATAAAAATGTGTATGTGGCCAAATTGAGGTAGTAACATTTCGCGTCTTTCTTCTATAACAAATGAAAAATGTTAAACACAAAATCAATCTTACATAATGGTATTTTCAGTGCACGATTTTGAAGCTGAAGAAGTAAATGAAGAACTACAAAATGCTTTTACAACACTACACACTATGGCTAAATAATATTAACAGTAGAGCTTCGAGTATATTTCACATTCTATTTGAATTCAGACCAGTTTATCAAATACTACAATATGTTTCCTTCAAAAAATTTAAAAAGAGATGTTTTAATGTTGATAGTGATAATCTTCACAATAAGAAAAATGTATCAACATGATTGTATTTAAACTATATCAATGTTGATATTTTGAGATTGGAACCAGTTTCAAATAAAATTTCTTATAATACCACTATTACCTAATTTAAGCACTTGTGATATTTCAAATTAAAACCAAAAAATATGAAATGTGTAGTTCAGGTCAATGCAATTTGGCATGTAATAAACAAAATAGTATCATCCCTTTTCCCAAGATGATGAAAAAAAAAAAAAAAAAGGCAATGAATACAATTACTACTACATTAAAATAAGGATGAATGTACAAACTTTCAGGACAGACAATATACTTGGCTTCATAGCATAATAATCACAAGATGGGATAATAGTTAAAACAAAGCAAGGCAATTTGACAATGTCTATATATGAATATTATAGTAAACTAGACTGAAATTATGCTTTTCAAAGTAAACTAGACTAAAATTATGTTTTTTTTTGTACACACATTATTAGCTCTCATATCATCAGAATTCTTTTACCCATGATTGAATATTGAAAATCATGCTTCTATTTTAAATGGATGTACTTCACTGGAAAACAACAACTTTGTAAAAGGGTTCTTCCAAGATCAACAAGTTGTAAGCAGGTGATATAGTACAATCAGTAACATGCATACAAGGTTGCCAAGGTTCATAACACTCATTGAAAGATATACTTTCAACTAACATATTATCATGATCAAATCAGGTCTGGAGATAAATCACCCATGAAATATCAACCGATTCCCGATCGATATTATCTTAATCTTGTCCTCAATTTGCCAATCCAGCATCTTTGGCCATTCCATAGAAAATTCCTTTTGCTTTCAGCAGATTAATGGGAGTGTCAAACTCAGCAACCTTTCCTGCATCAAGGACAAGAACTCTGCAAAGCAAAAACAACATTTTAAAATAAGATAGTCAAAGCTGTACAGGAATAGCTTCTGATGTATTAATCAATTAACGAGAATATCGGTTGGAGACCGAAGACTTATCAACTGAAACTGCGGTTTTGATTCATGACCCTATAGTGACACTGCGTGTCCCATCACTAATGAATTAATACCTCGCTAATTATACAACATAATTCATCCAAAATCAATAGGCTTCTGGTCCGAGATATGATGAATACACATGCAAAATTTGGAGCAGATTCAACCTCGCCTTCGTTAGATATCGCGTCCATCTAACAGACAAACAAACAGACAGACAGACAAATACCTATCAACATACTTACCGATCTTAAGATCGATGAGTAACAATATGGTATATTTAATAAGACGTTATTTCAACATTCTAGTTGAGCATTATTGAATTGAAATTAAGCCACAATGCTGCAGTCATGATATATAATGTTTAATGAATTCTTAACTTTTAATCCGATATTATTTGATTAAATCAAATAGGCACGAATCATTTTGAATAATATTTGAAATCTGCACAAGGCATGCAAGAAGCGGGTAATTTCAAACTTTTTAATAATAAATAATTTCAAACTTTTTATGCGGACAAAAATACCGGATGAAAATTCCCTATGCATATAACATAAATAATAAGACACTATTTCATTGCATCGTGTAATAATGTTTTACCTGGTGCTATCCATGATAGTGTTGAGCCTGTGAGCAATAGTAAATGTTGTGCAATCCTCAAATTCAACCCTGATAGTTCCCTGAATTAAATCATCAGTCTCAAGATCAACAGCAGCAGTAGCTTCATCAAGTACAAGAATTTTTGAATGACGCAGTAAGGCACGAGCTAAACAGACAAGCTGACGTTGTCCAACACTGAAAAAAGGTGAATTGTGATTTAGCTAAGCAATTGTAGATTGCTCTGTACCGGGCAACGCAAAAAATAGAAAGTTTGCAAAATTTCAAATTAACGCGACGAGCTTGTTTTTAACAATTGCAGTATTTCCAGGAACATTATCAATTTCGTAGTAATATCATGATTGTGACAACTGACAATTGGAACACAACTTGCTGGAAAGCTGAGTTCTAAAATATCATCATTCAGGGCACACTGGATTTGGCTTAACATAAGTAATTCACAGTAAGAGTGAATCTTAAACGAAGCACAAAAAGCATAAGGCACCACTTTTTCTCATTTAAACTTTATTCTCACATAAGGTTATTAGAGTAAAAAAAATAGCATTCAGATTTGAACTTCATATCAACAGAACTTATACCAACTACTGAAGTTAGCAGTAGGGTTGGATATATGGTCACAAATTGCCATTTGAACGTCTTGCTCCGTAGAAGGCTTTTTAGAATGCCAAGTGCATTAATTCAAAGAAAGAGTAATCATACCTCAAATTTTCTCCACCTTCTGCTATATCATGTTCTAGTTTCTTTGGAAGACCAGAAACAAATGGTTTAAGATGAGAATGTTCGAGAGCATTCCACAATTGATCATCAGTGTATGCATCAAATGGATCAAGATTCATTCTCAATGTACCAGAGAACAATACTGGATCCTGTCATAGAATATTTGAAACACCTCTGTTAATTTGATGTCATACTTCATTCATGTGAAAGATAGCCTAGTGTTAGAGCATCGGTCTTAATGACATTGGCATCATAGGTAAAAGATCTGAGTTCAAACTCCAATGTCCATCACCTCACTCAGGATTTAGTGAAGTGGTTAGGCCAGTGGTTCCCAAATTACACGGCGCACTTACACAAAAAAAGAGATTGCTCAATTTAAATTCAAACTCAATTTTGTGATCGTTAATGTGTACTTTATAGTTTGTAAACATGTAGGTCTATGGAATAAAGGCAAAAGTCAATTCCTCTTCCTCATCTATGCCTGATTTTCCTTCAAAATGCTAAACAAATCACTCATGTTCGCTAAACTCGATTCAGCAGATAAATGAACTGCATCTTGTGAAATTGCAGCAAGTAGTGTATATCAATATTGTTACGTAAGACACTTCAAATAGAAGTATACAGCATAGAGAGGTGCAAATGAATTTATTGATTCATATACACAACATTTAAAATAAGAAACAATGAAACAGTTGTATTATGTAAAACAGTCAATCATATTTTAGTTATGTTTAACACAATTCTGTTAATTTTCGCAGCGCACTTGGCAACTCGCCATCGTTAGGGAAACGCTGGGTTAGGCAATGCAAAACCGAAAAGATTCTGTTTCTTCTAACATAGTAGCACATCGTGTACCAGAGCCTTGTTAGCAGCGGAGACTAGGACATTGTATGAAAAAATAAAATAGTCCTCGTTACATTTGCGACAGAGATAGTTGATAATAATTGACTGTCAGCCCGAAGAACTTCTAGTTATTACAGAAGCTGTTCTTACCTGTGGGATGATGGATAGTTTTGATCTCAAATCAAACAATCCAATCTTGGAAATATTCATATCATCAATGAAGATGGAACCGCCAGCTGGTTCAATGATTCGAAACAAAGCAAGAGTGAGAGATGATTTACCAGCTCCTGTTCTACCAACAATGCCAATCTGAAAACCAAAGTATTATAGGAGACATAAATACTTTCAGTGGCTGCACATCCAGTGCCTTGTTTGGAGTGAGCATGTTATAAATGTCTCACATATAAACACCTTACAAACAAAATCAGTGAAAAAATGAATAAGAAATCGCTTTCTATCTTATCAGAATTTGTAATCCTGGCTTCTGGCGCACACCACATTTAAGGTTTTCTGTTCACTATCCAGTATGTCGATACCAATTCCTACCTTTTCACCTCCCTTAATATTGACTTCAATATCTTTCACAACCAAATCCAATTCCTTTCTATATCTTGTGCTGTAATTTCTGAAACTTATGGTTCCATCTTTTGGCCAGTTGTGTGGAGGACGACAATCATCTATAATATCTGATGCCTGAACAAGTAAGTAAAAACACACATTATCCATGAAAATGACAAAAAATGGATATTAATAAGATCACTTTGGGACCATTGTATCCCTAAAGGAGGAAGATATTCTTACACACAGTATTAACAAAGAAAGCATATACATTATGAATACGTAAATACGTAATCTGCACACAATAAAAAAACTTGAAAGAAAAATAACACACTTTTTAAGTGCAGAGCGGTTGTGATTGGTTTGTCGGACCTATTAATGCTTGAGTCATGATCGTAATTTCCATCACATTCGCACTGCTTCATCACAGTAAAATAAATCTCGTAATCTATGCATAAATTTAAGATCCTAGTTTCAAATGGAGTAGCTCAGTGCATAAGAGTGTCTTTCTTTCCTATACTCGTTCTGAGCAAAAATGTGAAATGATAAAAGGTTTGCTTCAGCAATAATGTATATATTTATATGAAAGCGAATTTGAACTCTACCTCTCCCTCAATTTCAGAATATTCTTTGACACGTTCTACTGCAACAATATTGGTTTCCAACTCACTAGTTTGTCGCACCATCCAATTCAATGTTTGAGTTATCTGAAGAGAATTTCATGAGTATTAGGATTAGTATCAGAAAAGGCATAACTGGAACCTAATTCCTAGTCAGACCAATGCAGTATATCAGTAAGTTATTATTATCTTATAAAGGCAGTTTAAAACAGTGGTTCATAACATCTTCGTTAAATTCCACCCTTTGCCTATTTTAGAACTCTTTAATTCTCCCTCGCTTTGCTCAAAACTTTAATGTATCCGTTGCTGGTGTTATACGCAGGCCATATTCCTGTTTTTGTACAGTCTTAAGAAGTTTACTATGTGTAATAGTGAAAAACTAAAGATTATAAGTAATACTACAGCAAATACAAAGCAAAATTCCTCCCCCAAAACGACAAAATTTTTCCTAGTTGGAAACGTTGTTCTAAGTGTGATGATTCCAATGTTCACAATTTTACAACCAACTGATTGTCCAAACGGGTGAAATATTAAACAGAAATCAAATGTATTCACACAATATATGTTTTTTCCTTCTTTAGTACCAAATTCCACAGATATAAAAACATCACAATATGAAAATAATCCACAACTAAAATCAAAATTGATACAGAGACTAAAATAATCGCGATGAACAGTTGAAGAGGATTTTAAATTTCTCCATCTTCTGCATAAATTCTATTCTATGCATAATGGTTCTTCATTGTAAAACGCTAAGAAAATGCTTGCTCTCGCATGTGTGAAATGATTGCTGATGACTCCTCCAGTGGTTACAAGCTACAGCTTCCTCCGACATCCACCAGCTTCCCCCTCATTCAAAACTAATAGTAACTGGTTGGTTAACTGTTACCAAATCTGGTATGGAATGGTAACCGGATGATAGGCCATGGTTTCCATATGATTAAGCTGCCTTATCATGTTCCTCTCCTAGGGATAAATATGATTATCCTTATCCCAATATAATAAAATGTACAATGTACCTGGAGAGCATAAGAGATGGAGAGACCAACAATACCTCCAGATATTGAACCTTTGGCAGCAACAGCAAATATTGCAGCAAACAACACAATGCAATTTCCTACAAACTCCAATCGTAATGCAAGCCATCTATAAATTATGAAAAATATAACAAAATAGTAAATGGATGGTTTCAAACATTATTGGTAAACCAAAATGATACATGAGTTAGGCCAGTGGTTCCCAGACTTTTCAGCAAAATCTTGTGCTATGCCCTAGCCTGGTTAATATAGTTGCCCTTGACTTGACCATGCTGGCGAGTATTTTTATTTTACCAATCATACATTCAAAGCTCATGGACCTTCAAAGATATCTATCTATGTAGAACCAAGGATGTCCATGGAACCCCAGTTGCCAACCACTGGTATAGACATATTGAACCTACAAATTCTTTAAGCAAAATTTTTTTTAATGTTGAATGAAAAAGCTTGATTTAACACAATTATAATTGACTAGAGTTGTACTTAAGCCGAGTGCAATGAATTTTATGAAGCAGTACAGTTATAATGATAATTCTATACAGAAAAACTGCAAGAAATTTAAATCAATAAAGTAGATTTTTTTTAATAAATGTAAACACAATTTATACATTGATAGTTTGAACCAATGAACAAATTTGATTCTATCAAAATGTCAGTGGGACAGGCTCAAGACAAACCTTAAGCCACCAAAATTTGCTATTAAAATTATATTGAACATCAAGTACCTGTTTGATACAATATTAGGATAATATGCCATCTGATTCAAATCAACTTTGTGTTCATTCTCCAAAATAAAACTCCTCTGCAAGCCATAGGCACGAATGGTACTGGCACCTAAATAAGAAATTGGTGCATCACCTATTGTAATGTTTTTTGCCTTTGAATAGGATTATTGGAGATTGACCAGATCATTTTTTATACAATGCTGATTTCGCATCTTCGCTCTAAACAAAGCGTATATGTGACAATGTACTATTTTTAAACAGATCAGATTTTTTCCAGTTCGGAATTGTCTATCTAATTCATGACACCCTGTGAAAGGTGGAGCAAATGGGATTCGAACCAGAGATGTATTATCTAACAAGCCAATACAGTCTAACGCTTTGACTGCTAGAATTGAGTAAAATAACGAGAGCCTCAGTGGTAACTTACCACTCAGGCTCTTTTGTTATTTCACTCAATTAGACATTTTTGCTACTTGGCAGTCTGCTAAATCGGGAAATACCCTCTTAGCCTCCAAGCAGACTTAATGTTAATCACATGTAATTTGTATTGCGCAATGTTGGTTGTTTGACTATCGATTAGATGGTTTCAACTACCAAAGCCTCGCTCATCAATAATAACAGTGCTCCAACAATCAAGTTGCTAAAACTTGCTTTTATTTAGATTAGTTTCCCTTCTCTAGTGAAATGTGTATTCAATATTATTCGTCTTAAGATTGCATGTTAATTTTTTTTTTACTGGATGGAAAAAATAAACTTGACTATGCCTTAAATGTAATGCCCCACAGTTGGCAGGCGAATACAATAGCTGAATCCACATTGCATTGTATGCAGGATAAAATAGATGATCTGACGTGACATTTCAGAAGAGTTGGCAGGTTCAAGTTAGAATCACAAATCCTAAAATGACTTTGAAAGTGAGGTCTCTGCTAGAGATTTGTATTACCTGTAACTGATTCTCCAAAATGTGAATAAATAGGAGAACGACTGATTGATTCCAATCTTTTCAGTTGACGTGAAGTTGCAACATAAAATCTCTGTCAAATATATATTCCCATTACATTTAACAGTCTAACCATATCTAATCAAGCATGATTTATTAATAATTTGAATCAATGTGTATCAATGGCACATGCTTAATTAGATGATAACTACCGGTATATGAACATTTATTGTAAAATAAGAAACAAAACAAAAAACAGCAGCAAATTGTTTTTTAGCAAAACGGGGTTAATTTAATGAACTAAAAAAATGCAAACCAAACACTGATTTAAAATAATTTTTAATTAATGTAATTACTCAGCAAAAAAAATTTGTTCATTTTTTTAAAATATTCAAATGAGCACGAATTTAGTAATATTGTCTCAAAATACAAAATGATTAAACACAAAAAATGCTATTTGCTTATTTATTTATGCTATTGATTCATCTAACATTACATATCAAACTGGTTTATGTGATATTTTAAGTACCGGTTATTAATTTTGTGATATTTCAGAAGATATTTATTTGAAAACATTCCATTTAATAAAAATCCAGGAATTGGTCAAACGATCAAAAAAATAGGTTGTTTACTCAAGTGCTGTTGAAAAACGAAAGCAGACAAGTGCTTTTTTGACATTCATGTTTTCTTGAAATTGGTGTATTGATTTATCAACTAATTTTCTGTTATACTTATGACTAACTGCGTTGATACTATACTTTGTCTATAGCAATACAAACAATACCAAAAAAATAATCTAAATCTTCATTGGCTAACCAGCCAATAACTGCATAGCATTTTGATTGCGAAACAAACTACATCTCAACTCTTGATAATGAAAGTAAGATAATAACCTATCAGAGCTTCTAGCATTCCAGAGCTCTATAAACTAAATATACAGCATGTCACTAAAATATAATGTTTCCAGCATACAAATCCAGTTTCAATTCACAAGTTGAAAGTTCCGGTAGATTGGGAAAATATAAATTTTTTATCAAGCTATGGTTCAATGTCAAGAAATGACAAATATACTGAATAGAAAAAGTGGTTTCAGAATTGAGAATTATGCAAAACTCTATGGGCAATCCTGAATAAGACATCATATTGAAAACCTAAACATGCTGTATTCGAATACCAGTCTATAATCATATCAAACTAGAGATCATTTCATTCCTGTCTACACAATTGCAAAGATCTGATCTGACAGATTTAACTAATCCATACATAGATTTTTGTGAGAGCATTCATATAAGCAAAAAATTAAACCGGAACATAACTAGAGCAAAAAATATGCAAGCATGCAAACGATTGAATGAATATGCATGAAACATGCAACATATCCATTCAACAAATGAATCTTATATGAAAGCAAGTAATAGCATGCACAAAATTAAGAAAATTCAACTTAAAGCAATTTAAATTTAGGTCTTAACACATCATCTATCCTAATTCAAATCTTGTAAAAAATGAAAAATTTCAAATTCTAAACACTGATATATTGAAAAGGAATTGAAGAATTCTCTGCATAACATTTGACAGTTGCAAAATTTATAAAATTTCTATGCGTAAAGATATCAGTAATAGTAAACTATTCATTCTAGATGACATTTGAACAATGCAGACAAATTTACTACAAAAAAGCACCAAGCAAAGATGTTAACAATGTTAGTATAGGCAGCAGTAAAAATGAAGCACCATTGGATAACAAGATTCTCACATGATGTAACTAACCTGAATGAAATAATAAAACACTGTTAGAGGAGCGAATGCGATTAAGAAGAGAGGTGTCGCATAGCTGATGACACACAGTGTGCTTAACACGTAAAATAGGCATTGTAGCCACCACTGAATTATTCTGAAACGAATTAATAAAAAATATGATCAGATTTTTCAATCACCATCTTACCTGAATAAAATAGTACATGATAATGAGGGGAACGAAAGAGATTATAAACAGTGGGGTTGCAAATGAGATGGCGATAATTGCTCCGAATACTTTAAACATGCATGTCAGCCACATTTGTATGCATCTAAAAATATGATATTTCATCCAATTGCATTAACACCCTTTTAGCTGACAATTTTTGAGGCTTATGGCCGGCCAAAGGGTACTGAAAAAATTTAGTATTTTAAAAATTTCCAAAAATAGCAATCCAAGTGAAACGGAGATTAAACCAATGAGGTTTTTAGAAGAGTCAATGCCATGTAGGAATGAACACAATAATAAGGATAGATGCATGTTCTTTATTATGAGTTGAATTTCGTATTTTCTGTTTGCATATTTAATAGTAAAACACTATTCACCGTATATCATCACATATAAGCCAAGTTTGAAAAAAAAAGTTGCAAGACTAAATAGTGCGCATAACTCTGATCGTACCGATTCTCCTCTGCAACCATTTGCTGCGATAAGTGCGTACGGCGTGTTATGATTTGTAGGGTGGGCTTATATGCGAATTTTTTTAAATTTACCATTTTGGGGCTGTTTTTATGGGGTCGGCTTATATGCAAGAATATAATCCATCTAACTATATTCCTACTACAAAAAAGTGGTATTATGCACTGTTCACAACAATCTGATACCAACAACCAATCACAACCAACCTCGGAAGCGTATTATCCATGGTGTCAACATCTTTTGAAAATCTGTTAATAATACGGCCAATCGGTGTCTGGTCGTAAAACTGCATTGGTGCTCTCAATAAGTTGCACAGCATATCTCTGTGCAAATGACTTGCTGCTTTTAAAGTTCCATATGATTGAACCACCACAGCAAGTCCAACAAAAACACCTTTAAAATTGAAATTTTCATCGATACAAATTCACATAGCGAGTTTCTATGGAAAGATACTCACTAGATCAGATATTTATCTACTGACAAAGGATGATCTGTTTGTTGATATGTTTATAAGAATTTTTGCGAAAGTGATCAGATCTCATTGAGCTGATCTTCACTAACATGAATTTAGCAAATGTATCTGCCAATAAAACCAAACTGGAAAATTAACTATTTGTCTTTCTCAATCCCGATGAAAAGATTTTTAATAATAAATGCAAATTAATTTTTCCGACGGTCAAAAGATGAAGAAAGTAAGTAATATTTTGGAATAATGAAATTTAATCCAAATTCCAAACGAGAGTAAAGAAATATATTAAATAATGAAAATTTCATAGTTTGAAATGAGACACTATTTCCTAATGGCCACAACAATCGAATTCAAAATATTCCTTCGTTTGTGTTCAGTGCAATCAGACCCATTGGTGCAAAAAATGTGGCTCATTGATGATTATATGATCCACAGTTATATGAAATGCCCTAATAGGTCTATAATTGAATTATTTGAGACAAATACACTATCAGGTTATATATCTGTTGGACCACAATCATAGCAATAGTTCTCGACTGTGAGAACTTGAATTACCCAATCCTACTTCCAAATTGAATGTATGGGCATCGTGTCAGATTAATAATAGTTGTCAATGATTGAAATTAAAGTATAAGTTTCAACGTACGGTAATTCACACTCAATTGTAGTATTATCAATAATAAACCTAGAAATTAGAGACGATAATATGAACAAAATTATAGCAAAGTAGTCATCACTGTAATTCAAAAAATTAAGAAACCTTGCTAATTACCAAGATTCAATTATTATATCAATATTCAATAAAACCAGTCAAGATTGCCATGCTGAGCGCGAACAATGCCTCATACATGTTAATAATGATGTCAGAATCACTACTGTTTGATTGACTGAAGAAGAAGAATCATGGAAAGTTATGATCCAGAAATATAAGCATTTAATCATTGCAGAATTTACAAGTATAATACAAGAAGTTCCAATTCCTGGAAAGCCTGGTATCTTTCCGGTTTGGCCAATTTAATACAACTTAGATAAGGTAGTTGGCTTGGCAATTGAACTTTGACCCCAAATCTCGCAACTGTAATGCCAACATAGTGAAACCATAGGCAATTGACAACTAAGCCAAAGTTATGGAAAGTGTTTGAATATAAATTTTAAAAAAACATCAAATTTTGCCCATAAATGATAGCAAAAAAACAACATGAAACAAACACAGACATTAAACACTGTTATTATTATTTTAAAGTATTAAAAGTCACCATCAGCCTTCATATGAATTAGATAAAAATACTGCACAGTAGTGTGAACTAGAAAAATATTATTCCTAAGTATCATGCAACAAAAAATTATGATCATGCAAACACTTGATCAATTGCTATAAACCGGAATTAATTTGTGAGAAAAACACTCTAAATTATAATTGTTGAACAAAAAGATGATAGTATGATAGGATACGATTTTCAGATTTATCGCAAGGAAGAGAAATGTCGATACGACTGCCTAATTATATGGCGTACCATGCCCTCTTGTCCGGCTACCAGTCCATGTTGAGTAAGGGAACAGATAACTGGTTATTTGTTTCATACGCATCAATAATGCATGGTACATTTATTGGTATACATAATCTTCAACTCCCACCTTTTCCTTGGATTTTTTCAATATACATGGAGTATTTACAGTATATTATTCAGAAACTTCGAAATTTAAATGGCTAACAAAAAGTATACTCTTTGGAGCCCATATGCACTGTCTAAATTCTTCCATACAAACTTCAACACTTTGAACTGAAACTTAAATTAAATGCCTGTCTCAAATCCTGATGACTATAAGTTTTTCAGAAATTTGGCATTTTGAATTTTTAGTAAACATATTGCCAATGGATGTGATAATCATATTTGACAACAGAGAACAGGTAAAGTTTACCTAGATTCAAAACGATGTATATATTAGCTACTTTACTGTTATATTGGCTTAATCGTACATGAATTATTCAAAATTTTGGGTTTCCGTTTGCATCAAAAAAATTTAGCTGCTGGTTTTCAATTTGCAAACAAAAAAATAAAAAAAATTAAAAAATTTAACCTGAATGAAATAGTAGAAAACTAGTATGGGTATGATGACAGCAGCAAATATTGGAATGCCGTAGCATATCACCATAAAAGTGGAAATGGTCGAGAAACAAGTCATGAGAAACATCTGCACTGTTCTGGGAATGATTTCATCGCAGAGATAAACGTCCTTGCTGTAAATGATGACCAATTATATATTTTGATTCAGATTCATTAGATTATATTTTTATATTTAAATTTGTTTTCTATGCAAAAATTACTGAAAAATCAAAACAGAACGTCAGCTTCAAATTTTTTTAAAATAACCTCAAACTGCTGGAAGAATATCAAATTCATTACTGGAATGGCATTATTGTTACTTCATATTTTCTCTGATTAATGTAAGTTGTGATGTTACTTAATAATAAAATGAGGTTGGGGTTTTGGCATGTAAGTCTGTATCAACAATCCATTTTTACTTGGAAATAAATATTGCATCAAAAATACAATTCCACTAAGATTTTAGAATTCTGAGATTAAAATTCAATTATATAAAGTGATTCTCATCTACACCTCATCCGTCGGTTAACTCTTTTCCAAATTATTTTAATTAAGCGATGAAATCTAATTGAAATTTAAAGATTTAATGAAAAATTATTGAATTAGGTTAACAATCTCGACAAAAATGCCGAACCTGAAACGATTGATCACTCTTCCGAGTGGAGTGGTGTCAAAAAATGACATAGGAGCTCTGAACACTTGCTCAAGCATGTCCAAATGTAATACTCTTGCAGCGGCTACTGCTCCGTAAGTGAGAGTGAATGACGAAAACATTACCAAGAGAGCTAAGAACACAAACAATTTTTTACAAAAATATAGTAAATAAGATGACATTTAAATAGCAGTGATAAGTCGTGCTGGCCAATGGAATAATATAGAAAGTTGAGACAATGTAAATTCTGTTGAAGATCATATTAAAGGTGATAAAGGGTGTTCATAAAGTCATGTTACGATTTTGTTATAAAGTCAGTTGTCAATAAATCTTGATAACCTGGTTTGTATTACTTTAAATAATGTTTGATTCAAACCATATTTGCACAAAATGTATCCAAGATTTTTTTACCTAAGTAAATATAAGACTTTATGAAAACCCTTTATAACTTAAATATGTTATCCACTAATGAGAAACAGTCCTGCAAATAGAATGGAGTAATACCAACAGATTAATAATACAACGTTGTCTAAGTGTAGAAAATTTGATTTCATTGAAAAAATCCAACCATAATAAAACCAGTGAAGGTTCTGATTAATGACTCAGACAAGTGAAATAGAAAATCAAGCACAGATTACAAAGATATTTAAGTACATATAAAGATCTGTGCAAAATCGTTCGAGATATAGACAGAACAGAAGTGTGACAAATACATATAATAAGCACCCGAACTCCTAGCAGACAGAAGTCACACACAAAAGAAAACTATCAGTTTGTGATGCGATTGAAATAGTCTGAACTTTATCAGTGCTATCAACATGAAACAAGTTCTAAATTATAAATACCATTATTGCAATACACATTACACTTTAAAAAAGATGATTATATAAGTTAGTATAAAATAACTGAAAATAGTAATGTCATGTTAGTTAGTATACCTTGTGAAAGTCCCAGCACACCATAAACAGAGAGACGTAGAGTTGTTTTATGTTGAGTGCCGTTTATCACAGGATCATTACTCCAGTCTTAAAAAGTAGAATGTGAAATATTATATATGTGATAATAATATGAATATCGTATTCATATAAAAATATTAAACCTAGTGAAACTAATTCAAATTTTTATTGAAAGTACTGTGATGAATATTGTTTAAACCGATAATCTGATACCAGCTCAAGGGACACATATTTCTTTGCAATATTCTCAAATAAACCATTTGAAAAAATTTCAATTAGCCAGAAATCCTCAAAAAATGATCAGTAATAGAGGCCTCCTTTCAGAGTAAATAAATTTCAAACCATTTAAAACTAAAATGGAATTGTTTTCTGCTCATGATGCATTTTTTCTGTAGCACCAGTGTGAAGTTCAATCCATTTCCGATGGCTTTTGCTTCTTATAAGCTCACAGGGTGCTAACTACGTCTTTAATAAATATAGGCAATGTCGAGCCATAAAAATTTAGGTCCTTCCATACTATAGGCCAGGGGTAGGCAACCTTTAATACAGAGGGGCCAGATAAAAATAACTGGGTGAAAGCACAAGCCGAATCCAATCGGCACTTGTCTGCGGGCTGCACAATTTTTCCTTGTGGGCCACAGGTTGCGCACCCCTGCTATAGGCAATGCCGAACAAGAATAATTTTGAAACTATAGTTCCTCATCACCTGGCAGTGGCTGCTTATGCGGAACCTTATTCAGGGTGAAACATGCATAAATACATCATATAAAAAACAACAATCCACTTACCAGACAACCAAATACTGGAATAAATTGAAACGGCATTCTGCATAGCATACAGTATGCAAATTAACATGCAAAGTAGAATTCCAATGGACTGAGCATATGATAAATACACAGATAATTTGACCTGAAAGATAATATATTGTACTGAATTAAAAATCTAAGCAGAAAAGATTGAACTTGAATAAGGAGGTTATTGAAAATTATCAATTGCCTTTACAAAGAATAATGTAATCGCAATTTGAATTTTTTGTCGAAATGTTCAAAACACCAAATGACGATTTTCAAATCATGTATGCATTCAAGTTACAATCTGATTTAATATTCATCTATCAATAAAAAAGGAACAAAAATTTGCAAATTGACAGTTTCTGGTTACAGACAAATTCATCTTCTATAACAGGAATAAGAGTCAAATGGACATGTCAGATGCACTATTCCCATACCCACATGGACCGTTAATATGCAGGCGAGATGCCATAGTTGCACCATGTCATCAGCCTTCTCTCACAAACGGGATAAATATGAAAATCCTATTATATATAGTGAAAATGATAATATAACCAACCCTTCCAGTTTCAGCAGTTTCCTTTACAATCAAGTTATCACCAGATGCTAGGTTTTTTTTTTCGGGTAACTTGCATACTCTCTCCTCATCCTTCAATTTCTTTTTCAAAGGTACATACTTGCATGCAGGACCAGCATAAACATTCTTTGAATCTCTACTTCTATCACTGAGTGAAAAGAAAAACAATATAGTGAATGCCTAGAATGCAGCACGGTTGGAGAACTAAATGATCTTGATTTTAAGTATGTTTTCTACAAACATGTCAAAGATGTCTTTAAATAGGGATTTATGAGCAGTTATGAATATAAGATCTCCAATGATTTATACAGATCCTGAACTACTTCTTTTTGAGGCGCCACTATGTTGGTTCGCAGTAGGGATTGGCTAGCACTCAATTTTTTGTTGTTGTCAAGTCACAGATTATATATATGCATGGGGGTTCTGAAATTTCTAATTGCCAATTTAGACTGTAACAGCTAGCAAAGTCGGGTTTAAAAAGAGTTTTCAGCTACGGAAAAGTGCCATGTATGATACAGAGGGATCCTTTTTTACGATTTGAAAATCGGGTTCCAACCCACAATTCCCTCTGGGTACACCACTGTGCGTGATACAGACTTTGTGGTCTTATGACAAGCCATCTTGCTTAGCAATGTGTGCTAAATAGGGTAACTTTATGAAGATTTATTAAATTACATCAGTTTACCTCATTATTCTTTTTCTAGCAGCTATATTGACATCTTCTTCCAAGCTAAGTTCAATATCTCTCTCATCATCATGTATGGAGAAAACATCAGGTGAGATCGATAGAACTGGATTGAAAAAAATTCAAATTATGTAAATTCAAAATAGTGGTGGAGTGATATACAAAACCACGAAAAGGAATGACCCAACCATATATAAGGTTAAATTGAATGAGAAAGAAGTTAAATTGAATGAGAAAATTCATATCAAATATTGAATAAAAATAAAACGTCTGGTTTGGTAACAAAATAAAGAAACATATTGTAAGACAAAGGATTTGATAACAATAAGAATAGGATAATATGTTCGTATATATATCCTGACCAGTCCATGTCAGGTTATGGCAATAGTTAATCAGTGAGCAGAAAAGTAGAAACACATTTTACTCTAGAAATGCCCTAATTCGTCCTAAGCCCCACCACAAAACTCTGACATAAACACTAAACCACAAACGAAAAAAACACTTGTCCTTCACTGAATTTCGCTAGCAAATGAAACTGAGTGAGATGCATTGTACGTAGCCGCAGGGAAACAATAGGGCCAATTAAATGGCTGGAAGTTGCTGAGCCAATGGCAGCTCAGGCGTCCACTTTGGAACAGAGCTGCCCATCCGCTCAAACAGCCAACAGCGCGTCTTTTAAATTTTCAGTTTTTCGGCCTTTCGTATTTAGAAACAACTTTCGTTATTCGAAGCAATTTTCGCCAGAAAGATGTTTCGCAACTTGAAAATTTTGTATTCGGGGTCTTTCGTTAGTGGAGGTTTTACTGTATTCTTTCTTATTCAGCATCAAACAGGTTTCTCCATATATAACAGACTGAACATAATAAAATACCTGTGGGATCCCCCTCATCCATTTCCTCATCATCGGTATTCGCATAATTCCTTAAGAATTCAGCAAATGCACCATCTCTTTCTTGAAGTTCATAATAACTTCCAACCTAATAGTGCAAAAATATAACTTATATAAGTAATTGATTATTTCATATTTATTAAAGAAATAGTGAACAGCTAAACTACAATTATGTGTTATATTCTTGAAACATGTAAGAAGTGATTTTGTTTCATCTTCCATAGAAATTATGCTCAAACTGATATATATACCAGAAGAAGGATTAACATTTGTATTTTGTAGGTAGTGTATTGGTCAGGAGAGGACATAAGAAAAACTTGTTTTGTGTAAGTGATCATTAGAATCGTTTGTTTTTATATGATAAAAGCAACAAAATAGCAGCATCCCAATGTATATAATAATAATAGTCTACGAATGTTAGCGAGCTATAAACTATCGACTTCATGTTATTTAACTACCTTTGTGATTGTGACATCATAGGTACCATACAGACTCGGCAATACAAGCAAAAATCAAAAAAGGATAGGCAGTCGGTCACATGACCGACATATCATGTGTGCATGTTGCACATAGTTAGTGAGTTAATGATACTTAAGTTTAGCAGAATACAAACTAGCGACTATAAACAATTCAATGACTAAATATGAATCAAATAATTAGCTAGATGATTTAAAGTAAACCCCAAGTCCCAACCCATTTCTATATAGTGCGTAACTGTGCCTTCACGTTTGAATTTGAACATGGTAGTCCGAAATATAAAATTGAAGTAAATCATACCTCTGAAATTCTGCCATCCTTCAGAACAATGATGTTATCAACTAGTGGTAAGAATGCAATTCCATGTGTGACCAAAACTCTAGTCTGTCATAGAAGAGAAAGAAAATTTTATTTTGAAGGAGTGAAACACACCAATAACACGACACAAGTAAATTTCTAAAAAAATTACAAACTGCAATTTCAAAATAGTCGTGATATATTTCTATGAGAATTTTTCACTTCTTTTACTCTGAACAAGGCTCTGTACAAGCAACCCCTTAATAGGTAGGGCTGGGCATTTTCGAATACCTTGTGATTTCAGAATCGAATCGAATAATTTTTTTTCGAATCGAATCTCGAATACTTGAAAATATATAATTGTAAGCGACTTTATTATAGTAATTGGTCCTCTCAACAAATGAATTACTGAAGACTAGGCTTGCACGTAATTTACGGATTTACGGGATTATTTCGAGTTACGGAAGCGAAGTTACGAATTACGTAAAGTCGTAATTATTGGTCGAGCGCTTTGGCAATTGAAACGAGCTCTTTTCAGAGCAGTCAATTCCGTCGATTGCAAAAAATTAAAGTTTAATAAGTAGAAGAAGTTAGAGTTCCGGTATTCGCAGCTGTTTTTCTCTCTCTTGTCACGCAGGTGGGGAAGGCATAACGCGTTGCCATTTACTAATCTATTATCAACTTATCTAGCATGGCCAATGTACATATTAACCGTAGATAATGCCGTGATAATTAAGGTCGCGCTTATCAAACAGCAATATGACGACGGAAGAGAAATTGCGTAATGAACCAACGCAACTTAGTCTTTTCGGCATCGGTAAAGCGATTGAGCCGGCAGAGAAACGACGGGATTTCCCGTGTTTATTCTGCGCGAGAACCATTTTCTATTACAGAATCTTGATGTTCTGTTACCGGTTTTATCGTTAAATATCTCTCCAGACTTGGCCTTGCTCAATATGTTTTTCACAATGCCTCGCAATATTTCGGCCAAATATGAATAAATGTCTTTACCAAATGCGGCAACTTATTTTGATTTATCATCGTCTCGAATACCGCCAGCATTCGACCAAACTTCTGTCAATCTTGGCCGATAGGATTGTCGACTTGAGTTAGAAAAATAAATTAATATTTTCGTGAGTGCAAAATAAATGTCACAAAATGCATTGTTTTGCGATATAACTTTGTATTTCCGGAGAAGGCATGTCATATAAGTACGGTATTTAAATTATGCGCAAATAATTAGTATTTGATCTGAATTATCGCAAATAATGTTATAATATTTAGGCCGCGAAATGATTTAATGTAAAATGAGGCATGGTAATCGGAATATCGTCAATAAGTCGGCATCAATAATTATTATAACATGCTAACTAAGTAGTAAAGTCGGATATTGTATAAAAACGGTGAAATAACAAGTCTGATTAATAAATTGGAAACCCGAAATTTTTATTTAATACGAAAGTCTTATTAATACGCTAATACGATTTTAAAAAAGTCAACTATCGTTTCATAAATATCCGTATACCAGTGTCGGTAATGATAAAATTGATCGCATGAAATTGGGTGATAAATGTGATAAAGGAAAATCAAAGCTAACACAAAAGATAAAAATCAGAATAAAATTAATTTGAATTCACTCCTTGATATTTGTCTTTAACACCTGTCGCCGGCGTGTAGTACTGATGGGAATATGAAAACCAAACTTCGATGTCCCATTCGGAATAGAAGTGGATTCAATTGGTTGTTATGATAGGTTTAAATGCGTGAAAAAAATATCGAAATTACGGGGTCATTATGTAATCGATTTGGCCGTAATTACGGAATTGATTTTTGTCAATTACGTGCAAGCCTACTGAAGACATAGAATAAATCACTCAGATAGATTACTGAGCGTTCACACAGAATAACAAACACGTTTTATCAATAACTCACTACAGAAAATAGTCATATGTTAGAACTTCGTTGAAAAAATATGACTCCAATGAAAAAAAAATTGGGGAATTCACCTCGACCATTAGCGGAAAGATAAAAACAAGATGGCGGCGATTCGAAATTTAGCTCTGAACCGATTCGAATAATTTACTATTCGATTCGAATATTCGATTCGAAATGCCCAGCCCTACTAATAGGTAGAAGTCGTTAGTTTTGAAAGACTAAAATCTTTATGATTTAGCATGGCCTACCACCCACTTACTACACCCTGAGTCAAGTCGTGATGAACATAGGGCTTGACCACAATACATTTGCCAACATCTGACATTCTAACCACAAGGCCACTGTGGTTATGGTTAATTTTGAAACATTAACAATCAACTTTATATGTTTATCTCATTAGAGTTATTTTTAAAATTCAACATTTCTCATGTAAAGTAAACAAATAAGGTACAAAGCGGTTTATGGTAAATAACTATACGTAATGTAAAAATAATTCACAATTGATGAAAATTTACCTTCTTCCTGAGGCAACCTCTCGGGCCGATGACATTCTCAAAAATATTTTTGCCGACATGAGCATCAACTGCACTGAGTGGATCGTCAAACAAGTAAATCTGATAAATAAACAAATAAATAACTCATTAAAAATATTATCCACAATAATAGACATGTTTTTCTGAAGCCAGTGTAACACTTCAACACATACAAGTTTCAAATTATTGATTTTATTTGGAAATACGTTGTATCATTTATTCTGATTATAAGCATTTTCAGTTTAAAGAACAACAAAATAAATTACAATACACGATTTGAGTTTTTGAATAATCAATTTGCTCACTAAACTTTATATAAATATTTTATTCAATAAGCCAAAAATAATAAATGTTAAACATAAGAAAATTAAAATTTCATGTTGTCATGAATTGACCCATGTATAATCAAATTGGAGTTGAACATGATGAAAAAAGATTTGGAAGTGTACTATACTAAAAAAGATCAGAAACACACGCAATACCTTCAGCTGAAAAAACAGAGCTTCATGAAGCCTCGGTCAGATTTTATTTTGTGATAATTTATTATTGAATACGAACATTTAGTTAAAATGCAGAATTTAGCGCGTTTATCTGGTCTTATATACATCAAATGGAAATATTCATCTTTATGACTACAGTCAAATCAGAAATACATTATGAATCTTCATCTTAATCTATAATAAACTATATCCTATTTATATTTATTGAAATTGTATTTTTCTATTATCATCATACCTGAGCGTCCTGGTAAACAGCCCTTGCTACTGATACTCTCTGCTTTTGTCCTCCTGATAAATTTATTCCCTTTAAATAGAAAATAGAGAATGGTAATATCACTACATAGGTGAATTTTTTTTAAAGCTATTCAATACCGCTATGAAACATCAAAATTCCACAAGGTATTCATTTAACAGTATAAGGAGTTTGAAAAATCTGAATATACATTTCTTCATTGAAATAGCACAAATAATACACATTTAAAATAATGAACATTGACAGTAAATGGAAGACAAACCCCAGTTTTGAAAATAAAAAATATCAAATTCAAAAAACAGTTATCATAATCGTACAGACACAACACTAGAACAAAAAATATACCTTTTCTCCGATCTCTGTCATGTCTCCTCCTGGTAATACATCAAAATCACTTTTCAATTCGCAATTCTCTATCACATCCTGATAGTCACAAACATTGAGTGGTCGACCGAACAATATATTATCTCGAACAGTTGCATTTTGTATCCAAGCTTGTTGTGCAACATACGCTATGGTGCCCTATATATAAATGGATTATATCAAACATAAAAAACAGTCAGTTTAGTAAACAATTGGGAGGAATTGTTCCAAAACATTACATGAAATTGTATGCATAGCAAAAGTATAAAACCTACAACTAACTGACAAATATATGACCAACTACGAAAAATAAAATACTGACACATGCAAGACTAGAAATTTACCAATACAAAATTAATTGTATTTGTCAGTATTAGTCCAGTATCATCATAAATATTTCTACCGTAATCCTATCGAAACACGGCACAGAATTTTTCTATTTAACTCTGAGAGAAAAAAGAATAAGACAAATTAATCAGTTGGCCAGCCACAGTCGCTTGTCCAGTCACCAGTCCATGCCGGGTATGAGAACAGTGGGATTGATTGGAGCAAAATGGTACAGAATCCTAAACATCTAATATATAATTGTGACATCATAAATAGTGAATACATACACTTGTTTTGACGTAACCAGACGTTTTTTCTGTATCACCAAGTAATGCTGATATTAGTGATGATTTTCCAGACCCAACTTGACCCACAACTGCAACAAGTGATCCTTCTTTGATCTCACAATTTATACTAAAAACATAGGTAGAAATACGATGCATAATTATATTTTAACAAACAAAGTTCATAAAAAGAATCTGAATGCACACAAGAAGCTCCAACATTTTAGAGCCTAAATCTTAGTTCCAATCCTCTCTTGAGTACATACAATCTCACCAAATTTCTTTAATTATTTGTGTTATCGACACATCCTTAGTTTGATTAATGCATTAGCTTTTATGAAATGAAATGTAAGCATATCATCCAATATTTGCCCAAAAAACTTTGCATATAAGCAAAGATATATTGATATGGTATACAGCATAAATTGCAAAGAATTTGCTATACCTCAGAAAGCTATTTATGAATAAAAAAATAATATATATAGAGACAACTTTTTCAGTATGAAATTGTTTCTTAGTTTACCACTTTTTGTAAACAAAATCAAAATTAACTATAAAAAGCAATTGGTTTTGGGTCTCGTCAGCATACAAAATTATTTTTATGCAAGTTTTCGAAGCCAAATTAATGAAGAGACAACACTACTAGAGGAGTTGCCAGTTACCACTGAAACAATCTGACCACATAGGTCACTCCGCGTAGCAAACTTACTCCTCCAATACTGGTTCTTCTCCATGTTCCCAAGTAAATGTTCCATTTTCAATAATGATAGCTGGTCCATCAGAATTTTTCTTATCGACAGCATCCAAATCCAATTCCGCGTTGTTCATGAATTTGTTCAAACGATTCAGACTGACACTTGCCTAGGATTCAAAGGAAATTGCATTTGAGCATAAGGTCAGGCATATTAAGATATTATGATTATCCTTAGTTACAACTACAAACATTTTTATAGAATTTTTTCTACTTGTGCATAAAAACGATCGCGAAAAAGGGTAAAGATTGTTGAGTTAATACAATCAATCACGTCTCCCGATTTACGGAAATTTAGTAAATATACAGACCTGAACAAGTGCTGATATGACCATAGGTAACATAGAGATTGGAAATTTCATGATATTGAATAGAGAAAGAGACACAAATGCTTTCTCAGCAGTCAAGACATTGCTTGGGTCAGATAAAACGTAAACAGCAAATGTTGTAAGTGAAACCTAGAAATAAGATAGATTAATTAGACACAGATGACAAAGGAAAAGGTTGATTATTTTGCTTCAACATAATTTCTTCGAATATCAAGCGCATTAGAGCTAGATGGTTAGCACATTGTGAGAGGCATTAATATTAACAATTCAACAATCAAAAAATATTAAACATTAGCGTTGTAAAAAAGGTCATGAAATAGACATGAGATATTTTTACACATCATATTTATATACCTTTTGCCCTGAACTTGCTTTGAACAGGCAGCCAATTCTAAGTATCGAACTACTATAGTGTATAAGAACCGTTCTTTTTCCGGTTCGGCAGTCTAATTCTCTAACCACTAGGCTGTTAGTAGTGTTATGCAAAATAAATAAAATACTCACCAAGAAAGGAGCACAGACCCAAGTGAATGATGAAGCAGCATTGAGATATGCAGCACTTCGTAACACTTTCAATTCATTGTTTCGAATATCCAGAATTTTTTTCTAAAAAAATGAAGGCATCAAATAAATGAAACCGGAACAGAGCTAAGATGCAACATAATATTCAAGTTCCATACAAAATATCATATTTTATATGCCGAATAAAAACAGTTGTAAATAGATTCAAACACTATATTCATATCATATATATCTAGCAACAAAACACATGAAATTCCAAGAGGAACTAATACACTGCTATTGCCTTGTCGTGAATTGTCGCAACCGCGAGTTATGTTGGATACAATTAAATTAATAGGGCAAGACATTTTAAATGCTCGTATCGGCCATGGATTAAAAAATTTGCTCAACACAAAACTAACTATACCATGAAAGAGTGGGTTGCTCGTTTAATGAGTTGCAAAATCAGGGAGACTGTTTTAAAAAAGGGAGACTGCTGCACCATGATTTCGGATTCTGATTTTGAACCTACTCCCTTTCAAAATCCTGGCTGCATGGGATTAAAAAAATTTGCTCAACAGAAAAATGATTATCCACTGAAAGAGTGGGTTGCTCGTTTAATGAGTTGCAAAATCAAGGAGACTGTTTCAAAAAATGCTGCACCGTGATTTCGGATTCTGATTTTGAACCTCCTCTCTTTCAAAATCCTGGCTACATCCCCATTGGCTTGGGGTTTGAACCCCAAATTTTACCCTGTAATGAGTTTAATGACACCATAGTTGAGTTAACGCTTTACCCACGAGACCACCATGCCCAAATTTTATTCTTGCTGATTTTATCAATACATTCGAATAATGCTATTTACTGGGAGGTTATGAGTTTACCTGGAAAGATGTTTCCCATGCATATAACTTTAACACTTTAATTCCATTCAATATTTCATTCATTAATTTGATTCTTTCATCTTTGTATTTCATTTGTTTCACCTGAAATGATATAAATATACAATAATACATGACCATCTGATTTAAGGGAAAAAAAAATTTTATTCACTCAAATGTCCAAAAAATATTAAAGTATGTGATGGAGAATTACAGGATTATAATTTTAAAAAGTCAAGTTTGTGAAAGGTAACAGTGAAATAGATACAGCTATGTACTCAATCATATTTATTTCTTTCATGATCATGGATTTCAATGTTGCTCAGTTCTAGTTTGGTCCAGGTCCAGGGTCCAGGTCAGAGTTTCCCAACCAGAAGCAATTTTGTTGTTTATAGAAAGAAAATATTACTTTGTATTTGGTGTAGTTTCACTAATATGCAGTTATTTGGTATTATTGTAATATATATCTATGAACACATTATTGTATTTATCAACTGTTCAAAATGCACAAAGGCCAGGTTGCGACTTGTGCGTATCGCGAGCTAATGACCCATTAAAGATGGTTTTCATGAAGAGAGAGAGAGGAAGGAAGAGTTCCAAAATAGGCAAAGAGATGTAATTATAAAAAATAAGGTTAGGATCTATTGATTTATGTAATAAAATGAAGACAGGTCGAGTCGTGTCCTTGACCTCTGATAGTTAATTTATGACATCTCTAAAATAATAATAGCAGGTAATTTCTGTTAATATAGAATATGTTATTTTGTCAATTTATAATATGACTAAACAAAAAATATGAAAATCTTTCGTTAGAAAAATACGTTATAGAAAAACATGACTGGCATTTTCAAAATGAAGTAAAACAATCTAATACAGGAAATAGTCGGAATAATCAATTGAAACAGAAACCTGTAATTTGGTTCAAACGTATTATATATCTACAACTGATCAATCAGTTGGAACATATTCACGATTCACGAATATTTAAATTTGAAGAAATCAATAAATACAAAAGTTTTTTTGATCCTCCATGATTTGTGAAATTTGTGATTTGAGCTGTAAGAATTTGTTATTAAATATTACATATCCCATACTCATGAAATCTATTACACATCATCTCCTTACAAAATTATTAACTCCACAAAAAAGAATTTAATAATTGCTAATTATTTGAGATATACGTCAGGCAGTACAAGTAATGAATTTGTTCATGAATCGTCTCATACATACTTTTCAAATACATAAAGGTATAATAACATTAACATAAATGTTATCTAGCACATATTACCTGCAGAGCACGAGCTTTATTGGCAATGACGGCATTGACTGGTATAAGCAATATCATCACAGCAAGCCCAGCTAACACAGATGGTCCCAAAATGTTCCATAGAAAATAGAGTGCAAATATAATCTGGAAGGGACCTGTTGAACAGAAACTGAACATTTTTAGTGAGAAAAAGCAAGAAATTTCTGAGAAAAAGCATAAATCTAGAAAGCTATATTATATATGGGCTACTTCACCTATGCTCTCAGGCAAAAATGTGTCAATATTCTTAAAATACCGATATATAGAGGTAAAATCTGAATTTCAATATAACAACAAAAGCGTAGTGTTGAAACATGAATACAAAACTCTTTCAAAAAAATCCATCTAATTTTTTATCTTGCTTTGAGAAATTTTAAATCTCAAAAAAGAATTCTTATTATACCAACCTGACCAAACAATATTAAGGTAGGTCATCAAATCCATAAATCTTTGAGCATCAACAGACATAAGATTTACAACTTCACCAACTGTACTTGACTTCCTTGCAGCATTTGACAACAGAAGAGACTGGAATAAAAGAAAGACACTATATAATAAGAACAGTATATTTCCGAGCAAATAATAAAGCTTATTTCACAGCAGGAATAGGATATGGAAAATGTATGGAGATATTATGAACTAAAAATAAGGCAAAGGTGGCAGGCAGGGATAGCTAATACAATGAATTTACATTTTTTCTATATAATATATCAGTCAATGCCAACTTTGAGAAGGCATTGCAGTTATACAATATCATGACAAAATATTTTACAAAGCAGTTTTCCTGTTAGCAAAAACAATGACTTTTCAGATACTTTTCAGTTGCCCAAGGCAAATTGTACAGAAAATTATAATCTAAGGTCAATTTAAATTCACCCAGAAAAAACAAACAGTCAGCAAATTTGATAAGTGTGTATGATCGATTTATACCAATATTCCAAACAATTCAAGCAAGATATTTTAAAAAACTTCAGTCTGACAAGGCAAGACAAGGCTCAAGTTCAACATACTTTTAAGAATATAGTAACAAAATTTGTCGCAATGGATAAAAATATCTAAATTGACCAGTGACTAATATCATTTGGAATTTAAACACTGCGAAGAGTGTTCCAAATAAATGTATAAAGTGAATAAAACCAATAAAATATACGATGTCAACTGGCATAACTAATCAAAACAAGATCAACAAATAGAAAACTGATCATAAAATATCATCAAAAAAAATGTTTTGACTTGGAATATGGCCACATAGAATATTAAAAATTCATTTGAAGTATAATTATTCAACTTTGGTCATCTCAGAATCAGTCAGTCAGTTGTTGGTATCAGTATTATTAACATATCCCCCCCCCCCCCCCCCCCCCTCCATGAAAGCAAATTTAAATAGTAGAAAATTACTGGAAGTTACCTTTCTATATATCGAAGATACAATAGCTGATCTGAGTCTCATCCCAGCAACAAAACAAATGTGGAAATACTGATGAAGAAATAAACTTTGAATGAATGCTGTGATAAAAAAGCCAACAGCAAGAATATATCCCTGCCATAATGGAGCACTTGGATCAATGGTAAAGTTGATCAACATTCTGAAAATAGAATTGAACAAAATGATTGCAGTCTTAGCAATAATGAAAAATTTCATGAAAAATTTAGTTATTACTTCTAAGTTAGGTTCGAATGGAAGTAAATTGGAGTTTAGTATAAACAGACAACCTTTTTTGATGAAATATGGGTTCACTAATTAAATTCCTATGACATTTTCAATAACAAAACATCTTTTATGTATATAGCAAATAGTTTGACTTTTATTACAAAAACATGTTAGAATTTTCGCTAAATTTCGGGCGTCCCGAACTGTTTTCAATAATATAACAATACATGAGAATCACAATTTTGTATATTGCAAACCCTAAGTCAGTATGCTTATATGAAAGCCTTCATAGTAAATGTGTTTCTTCATTCTAGGTGAAATGATAAAATACTCCTGTTTACCTGTGTTCTGAAAAAAGAGCTGATAAGCAATTTTAACAATTTCGATTCAAATTGATACTCTGTGTAATGCAGGCTCTACGAATCGAAGTTCAATTACATAATTATTACGCAATCACTAATTTGTATCAGAACCAGTTGAACAAATTCCAAAATCGCTAAAATTTGCTATTTAAATGTATTATGTAGTACCATTCAAAAATCTCACAGCGGGTTGAAATTTTTAATTCTCACTTACTTGAGTAGTTGTGGATTTACAAAAGTTAAACAGTCCTGAACCAATTTAAAGCAAGATCCCAGCAGAAAAAACGGCCCAAATGTTTTACACATTGTCCAGGTGAGAGATGGTGATTTGGATTTTTCATCTATAAACAAAAACATATAAAGTTGAAGTTATTGAGTGGTGGAGTTTGTAGCCTATTGAATAAAAAAGTACATTTCAATTAGTTCATACAATTAAACTATTATGGACAAAAGGATAATGTTCGTTCCTACCATGAGCAGAGGGAAGAACAGTAGTACCAACATTTGAAATTAAGATAACTAGATTCCTGGAATAGTGCGTAGTTCATAACAGGGATGGATATAAAGTCCCAATCATCATTGGAACGGTTTCAATCATAAAGAGTTATTGGAGTGTTAAATTTACAGCTAACCATGATATAAAAAGGTACTATTGTTAAATACTAATCTCTAACTACTAAAAAAGGCAAGGGCTGAGCTGAGATTTAGAAGGTAATAATAATGATCAAACATTGATTATACATTATCACCAGTTAATAATATTAGACTGCATCAAACAGTAAATACTCAGGAGTGCTTGTGAACCCACCATTAGATGGTTGTCTAACAAGAGCTTCATCTTCCATCTTGTTATGAACAACAACGTCACTCTTCGTTCTTTGTTTCTCCCTGAATTTATGGAAAATTTAATTTCAGAAAAGTAGAAGCTAGAGTTGGAATTTGAGACTATGTTAAGCCTTCCTTATTTTATATTAATGCTGTGAACTCCACGAGGTGGCTAAATCATAAGACAAACCCTTGCCTGTAGCATGGGTACCAGTTAATGTAGGATATCGTTCGAGTTACTATCAATACAGTTTGGTAACAGAAACTAAAATGACCCTAGAAGCCATGGGGAAGATAGGAATTAATTTCATTTCCTGGTTCTAATATATACAAGGTGATAGGTTGTGTGGCAAAGAGTATGTTAATTACGCTACCATGCAATCAGTTAATTAATATTAATAACACGACACTTTGACACATGATCTCATTTGGAAACAAAAATTCCTCAATTTTCTATTGTCAAACAGCAAATCATTTTGTATTATCAGCTAACTAGGCAATACAGCAGAAACAAGGATCAAACCTGAATTTTTGTGAATCTTCCTTCCAATTCTTCAAGAAGGATCTAGCAACATATCCTGCCTCATCTTCTTTCGTCAATTTCCAAAGATCAGTTGTTTCAAGAGGTCGCTTGTAACCAAGCACCACCATACTAAAACGGTAAACTTACTTTCAGGGGGAAGGTGATAAGATTACACAATTGCAAGTTAGCGAAAATATTGCCACAAACTAACTAGGCAATACTTGAGGAATACAAAACCATAGCTTGAATAAGGCCCAAAATGCTCCTATTACAGCTATTCAGAAAACAATCAAAAGCATAATCATACCTTACTGTGCATTATTCAACTATTATGGAGACTGCTACTCAATGCATTTATAAAAACTTTGACCACTCAAATTAGCAAGCATTCAAATGAAAAAATCTATATTTTCACTTTTAAAAAACTAGGAGAAAACAAAGCATACTAGTATAACAATATTCAAAACATACCAAGTGATTCAAGAATTTTGCTTTACACTAACACAAATATATTTTTGTAACGTTACGTCTAAGGCCAGACTTCTTCAGACATAAACAATTAACTGGTTAAAGCAATATATTTATGTTTTATGAGCAGCAAGACTCTTGAATCCATCAGAAGAGTTATCCTCACTCTTGCTACATCATCTTTATATAGCATGCATATGGATCCATCACCAGCATAGAAGCATAGAACAATAAGTAGAAACCCAACTGATAATTAAAACATTGTAATAATTTCATTACAGACCTCGTGAACCACCAAAAAGATATTCTTGACAGGAATGTTGCAGATAGTTCTGGTGATCTCATATGTGCTGATTCTTCCTTTTTCTCTAGAGTAGTTTTTGCTTTGGTAGGAGACACATTGTCCTCATCTGTTAAGTTTACCACTAAAACATCTTCTTTGATAAAAGATGGCGGCAAATCATTGAACCATGACAGTACAAAGTTAGCAATCACAAATGCATAGGATATGAAGAATGTGATGCACCTCAGAAGTTCCCCATCAGACAATGACTGGAATATGAGGAAAAAATGTGATGAATTACATTAAATAGCGGGCGCAGTGGCCTACTAGTTCAATCGTTAGATTGAACAGTGTTGAATTGGCAGGTTGCCACTCCATGTCAACCACCTTATTCACGGTGTAATAAATTGAGTAGATAATGCTGAACTGGAATAATTCCAATCCTTTTAAAATTTGTAACTTCTTACATATCGTTAGATATCAGTGGCTGCTTGTACTGGGTCTGGGCCTCGAATGCAAAGAAGTGAACATGTATAAAAAGAAATTCAAGATGAGGGGAAAAGAAAAAAATAATGAGAATCCAATAAAAGTCCCAAGAAGTTGAAATTCACAACAGGTAAGATTTCCAAAATATCCAATTATGCAGTTTTGGTTGATTTTTCACAATGATCAACCCAAGTAAAAACTGTGTGTCTCACCACATTTTTTTATTCATTCGTTAATGATATTAAGAATACGCATCAATATGTAATACTAGTACTTGAATAGTCAATTACAAATTAGAAGAAATTGATGGAGCTGACAGAAAACTTTATTTATAGCTGGTTTGAAATTGAATTATGCGTTGAAGTTTTAATACAGAATTATTTCAGAATCGCTGACAGAGCATTTCAAATCTTTTTTTGGGCATTGATTGAAGTTAGGGTTAGAACAATACATGTTTGTATGGCAATGCAGCAGACAAAACCAGAGAGTACATGAGACTAAGAGTATAGATATTTCCTGATGTTATTGATTAGGACATAAGGCCCTTGTTTGATAGCAAATCTGAAACAAATAATAATCCAACAATTATTTTATTTCCAACAATCATTTTATTTCGTTTTGTTAATTATATCAAAATATATTAAAATTTCGAGTCTACCTCAGTTTCCATCAAAAGCTGTACTTTGGATTTAAAAGGAAAAACCCACATCAATATTGTGAGAAGCCAGTATACCAAAAGATAACCAGAATTTCTCATGCCTTTCAATCTCTCATAATTGATGAAGAAATATGCAAGTGCCTGAGTAACAAACAAATGTAATATTTTATTATAAAAAAATTATTTACGAATACACATGTGTGTGCCAGAAGTTAATGCAAAATGGGAAAATATATCTATTCTATTCAATCAAATTTTGTGTCTAATATGGCGAAAAATGATATGACTTGAAGTTTATCCATTGTTGGGAAGCAGAGTCGCATCACAAGCCATCAGGGTCTCGAGTCGAGTTCCAACTTGAATCAATCACTGAGTTGATGACGAGTCTTAAGTCATTTAATTTCACTTCAAGCCTTCAATAGATGGTAACTTGAGTACAATTCGAGTCGAGACAATGACCTAGGGCTTCTCAAAACCTAGTTAATCAACATTATATTTATATTCTAGCACCACTTCACAAAAGTAAAATATGGTAAAAAAAAACTTATTTAAAAGAGATTAACATAAAAAGGCTATGGGAAAGTGCATACCATTGATACCCCAATTAACAATGGGGAAACAAGATCTACAGCAGGTACTTCCATGTCCTGACCCCACTCCCACAGACCACGAAACAAATCAATCCACGCAAGTAACCACAGTAGGATGGTCAAAACCTGCAAAAACAAACATCAATAAACAACTTAATATGAAACAAAACTTCATAAAATTCCCTTACAAAGTTAAATTTCATTAAGTCAGTTCCCAAAATATCTTAACTAGGTTTGTTTAATTTTATTCAGTGTTTATATAGGTTTCTTTTATTTCATTCAATACTCTTGTAGGGGTAAACAAACTTCATAGAACACATTCGGAATTTAAAAACTATAAACATATACTTACAGATTTAGCTTTGAACAGTTTCGAAACAGGAATATTGTTGCTCTCAGTTCCATGTAGATAAAGGAAATATGGAATTCCCAATAACCACAAGTAATAGGAAGGTATCAGGTCAAAGATTAATTCAGTAAAACAGTTGCTAAATCGAGGGTCCGTCGAGTTTAAGGTCTCCTCTGAGTCAAAAAAGACCTCTCCACAGAAATCATCGATAGTCATGACTTATTCACAATCAAATAGTGATCACATTCATTAACTGTATATTGTTTTGTGTCCACATTCGGTTATGAGGTGGGGTATCTAGCTGAATACGAGAATTGTAAAAATTATAAGTTATTAGATTGAATGTGGTTGCAAAAAAGAACAACTTTTCATATTAGGCTTGAAAGCAACCCTATTGCTGTATTGCACAGTCTGACTGTTACAGTGAACATCACACCTGAAATGTGATTTCTGATGCAGCGAGGCAAGAAATTCAGAGCAATTAAATTTCAAGGAAAAAATAGTCAGCTCAATCAATCTAAAGGCTGCACATTCTGACAACAATTGGTTAGTTATTGCAGTATTGTGCCATGCTTAATGCTTGTCTCTGTAATAAATCAAATCAATCGTCTCTTGCGACAGCAATCACATGCTCAAAAGTAATTTTTTTTGCTAAAAATTCTTGAATGCTACAGTAAATTTTTTTGTCCATCAGTAAATAGATTTTTTTTTCTGAAGAATTCAATGTCAGATTGCGCTTCATTTTACTTTATTGCGCAGTGCCACTTTGAGCCGATATCTGGATATGGAGGCCCATACTGTTTAGTAAAGAAGAACATTCATGATCAATACCTTCTCATATCATTTCAATAATTTTATTCTCAAACTTCCTCAATTCGGTAATTTTAGTCCAAAATATGCAATATCGTGCACTGAAACCTTTAAGTTACTTCTGTCCTTGCAGATGTATTATTTGTATTGTTTTTCAGGTTGTTTCATAATAAGATGATGGTGAAAATAGGCCCTAGGTGAATAAAAAATTTCAAACCGACCCTATCCCTATGTCCTGATGTCTGTAGGCGTAGGGTATGTACGGTACCGTACTTCATTTCCTTGAGAGAATGCTGACATATGTATGAATACAACAGTGAATGCTGCAATAACTATAAAATTCCGCTCCTGCTCAGCTTTCTGACAAAATAACCTAAAACTAGCCCTCTGAGATGTCCAATCCACAATATCTATCGAACATTAGCCAAAAACTAGAAAAAAGACTAAAGGCAGGAAAGGTCAGGCCGAAACGCGGGATGATTCCTTCGATAATGACTAGGCAAATATTCTTCTAGGAGAGACTGATTATATAAGTTTTCTCCCTAATCTATCACGCAGCAAATATTTTCCATGTTTGGACCAGGCTTGTACTATATATGCGCTTTGGTTTGGACTGAACTTTAACATTTATGGTTTGACCTCGACAACAGCACTATCTTATTTTTGTTTACATGACACGGCATAAAATTCACCTAATGTCATAACCGGGAAAATTCTAGACGTCGGCATATACCATAGAGTAGCGTTCTGACTCACAATGAAGATATACATATAGTCCAGTGATGGGATTCAAATTTTTCGTCAGCCGGTTCCATCATACAAATGTCATATTTTCAGGCGGTTCTGTTACAAAAAGTCATGTAATGCCAACCGCGGTTCGCTGATCTCATAAAATTCCGTGAGACGGTTCCATATAGATCCGGTGCGAACCGGCTGAATCCCACTACTGATATAGTCTATATATTGTCCGAGCTGACAAAATACAACACGATTACTGCACAAGCGAATTTGGAAATATATTCAAACTTAAAAGATACTCGATGACTTCAATAAATGTGAATCACTTGAGTGGTAGATAAGATAGGTAGGATTTAGATATTTATCCCGGTGGAAGGAAAACCGATAAGACGGCTTAATCATATCATATGGTGAACAGCGACCTCTCGCCCGGTCACCACTCCCTGTCGAGCAGGCTGCAAAATTTTTACTGAAGTGAATATACCAATTCTTGTATCGAAAAATATTTGTCTAATATATTCCACACCCGTCATGACATGGACTGATAACCGGTCAAAGGGCCGGTATGCTTTATGATTCAGTCGTGTTAAAATTTCCCAGCAGTGAATATACGCATTCTTATCTCGCCGATCATGTTTAAACTTTCTCTGTTCTATTTTTACTTATCGATTTTAATCGGTAAGTATATGTTGATAGGTATTTGTCTGTCTGTCTATTAGATGCACGTGATATCTCACGAAAGCAAGATTGAATCTGCTCCAGATTTAGCATGTGCATTCATCATATGTCGGACCAGAAGCATATTGATTTTGGATGAATTATGTCGTATAATCAGCAAGTTATTAATTAACTAGTGATGGGACATAAAGTGTCACTATAGAGTAAGAGCGCTTTTTGGGGGGATCCCCTAACTTTCGATCGATAAGTCTTCGATCTCTGACCGATATTCTCGTTTATATGTTTATGTTGAACACCTCAACCCAAGAAAAAAGTGTGTTTCCACAAGCACACTCGACTTCCTTGTTTACCTCGTGACATTGGCCCATCAGCAAGATGCAAAAAGTGACGTTCAAATTTAAAGCATTTTACAAATATTTTATTTCGTGGCTAATCGTAATCGTCGACGCAATAAGTCAAAGCCAACATGAAAGAATATGAATCAGCACCGACAAAAAGAAGGCCTACCTATAACCATCCAGAATGCTTTTTTACTTTACTATTTCATAATATTACACAATTGCTATCATATATTTTGAGACAGTCAATATATCTATAAAGAAATTGTGTAGTTAAAAAAAAAAAATTAAAACCTGAGTAGAGGGATAACTGTGGAATTTAGCTTATCGATGTCGACGGACTAAATAACACTCGTAGGCTACTTGACGACAAACAGTCAGAATTTATACCCGTGCCAAAAGTCCATGTGCCGTTATTAAGGACCCCAATTCCACTGTATGATTTGAAACTGGGCGACTAGTTGCTTTTTGTTATGTGCTGTGTTGATATATTTCTTCATAATTACTATGTAATATTAAAAATGTCAATATAAAAATTTGACAGCGAAAATAACCAAATTAGTTGAGCTAGTTTGGCTGATGAAGGGTCTTACTACTTACTGAATACAGCCCGAAACACCGCAAAGAGCGCAAAACAGCGCAAAATAGCGCGAAACAGCGCAAAACAGAGGAAAATAGCGCGAAACAGAAGGAAACCAGCGCAAAACAGAGGGAAACAGCGCAAAACAGGAGACGCAATCATTACCACCTCCTGCCATGAAAGAACCACGGCGCCTCTCGCCATGGTTTTATGGCGCTATTTCCGGTATATTTACAAGGTTATGTACCGGATTATAGGTCATCATGCAAAATTTTATCTACCTTTTTGGTGCTCCTGGAGTATCTGCAGCAATATGTCGCCCAACCTGAATCCCCAACACACACACACACACACATACTATTGTCAGGTTGTGCGCCATCTTGGTGCACATACTCCTGGAGGTTCCTTTTTACCTAACCCTAACCCTAAAGCCAACCATATCCATATGGAAAATGTTCTAAATTATGGTACCCAAAATGTGTCACCAGCAGGGGCAGACCTGCCATTACAGCATTACTGGCTACATACGTTGGTTTGTGTTTTTAATTTGCGTGGTACTCCAACTTAAAACAAGGTGCCCCGAACTCATTGCAAAATTTTTTTCTGCTCCACACTGTTTCCCTCTGTTTTGCGCTCTTTCGCGCTGTTTTTCCATTATTTTGCGCTGTTTCCCTCTGTTTTGCGCTCTTTGCGGTGTTTCGCGCTGCATTCAGTAAGTAGTAAGACCGGCTGATGAATAGCTGAAAACGGGTCTTAATACTTACTAAATACAGCGCGAAACACTGCAAAGAGCGCAAAACAGCGCGAAACAGAGGAAAACAGCGCGAAACAGAAGGAAACCAGCGCAAAACAGAGGGAAACAGCGCAAAACAGGAGACGCAGTCATTACCACCTCCTGCCACGAAAGAACCGCGGCGCCTCTCGCCATGGTTTTATGACGCTATTTCCGGTATATTTACAAGGTTTTGTACCGATTATAGGTCATCATGCGAAATTTTATCTACCTATTTGGTGCTCCAGAAGTATGTGCAGCAATATGTCGCACAACCTGAATCCGCTACACACACACACACACATACTATTTTCAGGTTGTGCGCCACCTTGGTGCACATACTTCTGGAGGTCCCTTTTTACCTAACCCTAACCCTAAAGCCAACCATATCCATATGGAAAATGTTCTAAATTATGGTACCCAAAATGTGTCACCAGCAAGGGCAGACCTGCCATTACAGCATTACTGGCTACATACGTTGGTTTGTGTTTTTAATTTGCTGCCGTGGTACTCCATCTCAAAACAAGGTGCCCCGAACTCATTGCAAAAAATTTTTCCGCTTCACACTGTTTCCCCACTGTTTTGGGCTTTTTCCCTCTGTTTTGCGCTGTTTCGCGCTATTTTGCGCTCTTTGCGGTGTTTCGCGCTGTATTCAGTAAGTAGTAAGACCGGCTAAAAACACGCGAATCCTATTCTCTCGCGGCGGTGGGGACATGTATGGCTCATAGCTCACGATCTCTCCAGACAAAAAATGAATTAAAAAGTAGTATTCCAACTTAACTTTTAAAACATTCTGAACCATATCAAAAAGGTGAATATATCGGAAATATCGGCCTTAATCTAATCGATACCGATACATGGCCGATGCCGAAAAAATGGCCGATATTGCCGATACCCGATACCGTTACATCGGTGCATCTCTAATCGGTACCGGTACCGTACATCTCTGGTGAGAGGGAGTGTCCACTTTTTTGTGGCTTTTGAGCCAGACCACGGAGAAATTGGGTCCAGGCCACGGAGAAAATCACCCCTGTTGTCTCTGGTGGTACTAGACTATAACGGTACTGACAGACTAATGTGCCTGTCAGAGGCATAGGCAGATAGGCTTGTGTCGGTAGTCTGGTAGTGGCAATTTGGCCTTTGGGCAAGAAATTGGGGTCTAGTATAGTTTAGTACTACGAGTACTTCCGGTGGGCGTAGCATAACGAATTTTGCATATGCTATTCCTAACCCCCACCTGACTATGCCATCCAAAAATTACGTCACCATCACGTCATTGGGATTGCCAAAGTATAATTACGGTCGCCCGAAATGTCATCTGCGCCGCCGATAACGAACTTGCTAAAGCCGGCGATGTCTCTCCTATCCTGATCGTTGTGACGAGAAATTGTTTGCTCGATTTCGGGTGATCGTGTGCGCGTTTTGGACGACCATCCGCATACTTCGGTGGGTCTTATTACGCCACTGTGACGTCAAAATGACGTAATTTTCGGTGACGTAGTCAGGTGGGGGTTGGGATTGACATATGCAAAAATTGTTGAGCCAGGTCAACTTCAACTAGAAGTACATGTGGTACTAAACTATACCAGACCCACAAGGGTCTCGTGTAGTTTCGTACCTAACGTAGTACTTCTAGTGGGCGTAGCATAACAATTTTTTGATATGTCAATCCTATCCCCCATCTGACTACGCCATCCAAAAATTACGTCACTACGACATCACAATCACGTCATAGAGCTTGCCAAATATACGTACGATCGCCCGAAACGCCATTGGCGCCGGCGCTAAAGAACTGACTGACGCTATCCATCTTCCTCGGATGGCAGTTCATATAGTTTGAAGGGCTCTGTTACGTCACTGTGACGTCGTAATAATGTAATTTTTGGATGGTGTAGTCAGGTGGCGGTTAGGATTGATACATGAAAAATTTGTCATGCTACGCCCACTAGAAGTATGTTAGGTATGAAACTACATGAGACCCCCCCTAACGCCACTGTCACGTTAGCGAAATCCTACATAAAAATATACGATGTCATAAAAGTGTGTTCCCACTTTGCGAAGTAGGCCTATTTCTAATCAATAGCCACGGAAACCCTAACCCTAACAAAATTTTAGACCTCATTTGCTTATTGCAATTAAAAATATTTTTTATTCATAAATTTTATAATGAAACACTTTTTATGACATCGTATTTTTGAGCAGCAGGATTTCGCTAGCGTGACAGAGGTCCCCTAACAATAATAACAGCAGTTTAGGACTGCTTCGTTATACTAGGACAGTGTTTCCCAACCCGAGTCCGCGGTCTCAAATGAGTCCGCAGAGCATTTGAATGGCATTACTGCATTAATTTTATCATTGGGTATTTTAGTTAATTAGCATAACTACTGATAATCCTGTGCGGTAAACCATATATTATCTAGAATTCCAATATGTCAGAAGGACAGCAAGAAACTGGTGATTTTAAGAAACCAGCGACACCCCCTGTTTCAGTTGAAAAACAGCAAGAGGCAATGTTGATGACGAAATACAAAGATCTTCCACCTAAGAAAGGAGGATTTCTGCAACAACGCCTCGGTAGTCAAAAGAAATTTTTTGATTCTGGTGACTACAACATGGCAAAAGCAAAAATGGGAGGCAAGAAAATACCAGCACAAGTCGAACCTAAAGAAGTAACAGGGGATCACATGCCAACTCCTGACGAACTGCCTCAAGTACGAAAACCTTCACAGAGCAAGTTAGCAATGCACTGACTTTTACCTGGTGGAACACTGGAAAGACTATTGTGATTCTTTTCAGAATCTCTTACTTTTTATTTATCACTATTTGCAGATTTGCATCACAATTACATGGCAAGCTTGTCCTCAATATGTTACTCTTTGCACGCAGAGGTATTGAGTAATGTGATTGTGTTCGTAACACAGAATTGCAAACTAAGATGTAAATTAGGGATCCTATTATGATGTAACATGCTTGCCTCAGGAAAATATGTTATATACATTGAATTGTATATTTTGAAGTTTATTTCTGCCTTCCATTGTTGCTTTCTCTGTGTGTGCAAGTATGATGTTTTTAGGTAGATGACTGCCTTCTACAAAATCAGGTATACCTTTTGGTATCATATCCTAGAATTTATTTTTGATGGATGATATATTGATGTGCTCATTTAGAAATAGTGTTATAACGGGAATAGTAATAGTTGTTCATCTGAATTTCCATGTTCTGCAATTGCAAAACTTATTGGATTCACTGCTGTGAAGTTCCAACTGATTTGTTTTGTTTTAAGCATTCGAATAATATAAGTTGATATATTTCTAGCGGAATCAATATTATTTGTCTTATATGTATATCACACTGGCGAAATGCCTTTTCGAATTTAGAAATGTGAATGATTTTTAATTTAAAAAAAAAAATTTTTTTTCAAACCTTCTTGTGTGTAATTCGAATTGATGGTAATGATATCTTAAAATAGAAGGAAAACAACATTTATATGTTTGGCTGCCCGTAAAAGCATATCATAGTCATATTGTAAAGAATAAAAAAATAGATATAAGTGCGTGTAGTAGCAGGAAGAAATCAATATATGGCAACAAACTTTTTTCATTTTTATTTGAAATGATTTTGTAGTTCTTTTTGTTCGGTAGTGGTATTGGGACTTTTCACCATGGCTTTCTTTATTTTCCCTATCTGATGATTATAATTGTTTGCAATGTTTGAGGAAAACAATTTCTTTTTGTTCTGGTTCAATAATTTTGTTCATGATTGTATTATTTTTTAATAGAAGTAGGAGAAAATACTTTTTATGATCTGTGTAACCGGTAATATTATGTTCCTCACTCCAATTTACTCAAGCAGTTAAGAATTATTTTTGCATCTGACTCTGTGGAACAAGTTATATACTCTGACAAGAGGAGAATGTTGACAGTCATGTATTTATATTTAGTGTAAACTATAATTGCTAATAACGTCATTCAATGAGTGAGTTTTCTAATTACCGCAAATGGCAATGTTTAATGTATTTGCATCAGGAATCTTTATGGTTATAATTTGCGGTATCCCCTTGAGAATGAATTTCTGACTTTATGAGAAGCTATGATATATGTTGGTGTTGTCTCCATTTTCTTATGTACATTATTTCATTCACTTTATTATTATGTTGAGATGCTTTATATTTGGCTTTTCAAAAACTTTAAAATTTCATTTTAAACAACTATTCTTAAGCGAAAGTAGTATTTAGAAAATTTGTGTATATTTATTAAATTCTGTCATATTATTGACCTGCTGAAAAACTTTTCTGAAATTGAGAAATTTCTAATTATGTTGTGTGGTTCGTGATTCAATATAGATTGAATAGATATAGATACATTGTTTTGAGATCTTATTTGTTCACTGAAACGAAAGCAGAAATACATACTTATGTGTCGAATACTTGTTTGTTTACCCAGTTGTTGTTTTTTTATTATAACATTCTTCTTTTTCATTGTTTTCTTCTTGTTTTCTCTGGTTTATAAATGCAGCTACTTCGGCATTTTTTCCACATAAATATGCTCATACGAGTTTGAGTTCTCTGTAATTCATTTTCTTGTTGAATGTGCTGAATTTTGCCATTGTTCATCAAATCATGATATCGGCAAATTTTTGTGAGAAATTTATTATAAATCCTGATCTTTCTGAAAATGCAAAATTTCAACTGCATAACTTAGATTTGGATTTTCCTAAATATAAAAACATCTTTTCAATTGTCGATTGTTTTTTCAAATTTTGTAAACTTGTAATATTGGTCACTTTATTTTCATTTATAAATAGCCTGTTGTGGCAGAAAATTTTTCCACTTTTTGTATCTTATGCCCTATTTGTCAATTCATTGTGTAAAATGTGAAACTCGGAAAACTTTCCTATTGCTCTGAAGATATTTTTGAAGGCTGTATTGTACAAAATTGAATTAGTATTTACATTCAGTGGTGGCAAATTTGTGCCAGCGGCTGCTTTGATTTGATAGGTCCTGTGTTTTAACTTCACAAACTTCTTTCTGATATAAATGGCTAATTATAAATGACACAGATTTAATTATTTCTGCATTTGAATTGTCCTTTTTTGCAGATTTTTATGCCGTACTTATTTAGTAATATAATTTATTGTTTATATTTAAGCCAAAATGTTCAATTTAAAACTGAATTCTGCATTAGCTCGTAGACTTTCGAAAGGTTCCTCACTTGGATTCAATTGCTTGAATGCCAGGACAAATGCAACGGCCACTCATGATGCCGATTTGACAGTGATAGGATCTGGACCAGGCGGTTATGTCGCTGCTATCAAAGCTGCCCAGCTAGGAATGAAAACTGTTTGCATAGAAAAGAGTCCAACCCTAGGTGGGACATGTTTGAATGTTGGATGTATACCATCGAAAGCTCTTCTAAATAATTCTCATTTATACCATCTTGCACATGGAAAAGATTTTGAATCCAGGGGGATTGAAGTTTCCAACGTTTCTGTTAATCTAGAAAAAATGATGGGACAAAAATCATCTGCTGTAAAGGGTCTCACCGATGGTGTTGCTGGATTATTCAAGTTCAATAAAGTTACGCATGTTCGAGGTCATGGTATGATAAAAAGTCCAACACAGGTGATAGCTACAAATGAAGAAGGAAATAGTGAAGTTATCAATACAAAAAATATATTAATTGCTACTGGCTCTGAAGTTACACCATTCCCCGGTATTGAAGTTGACGAAGAAAGGATTATTTCATCGACTGGTGCTCTCAGCTTGAAAGCGATTCCAAAAAGATTGATTCTTATTGGTGCTGGAGTAATCGGTGTTGAGCTAGGATCTGTCTGGTCAAGATTAGGTTCTGAAGTAACTGCGATAGAATTTCTTGGACATGTTGGTGGAATGGGTATCGACATGGATGTTTCGAAAACGTTTCAACGCACTTTAAAGAAACAAGGAATGAATTTTAAACTCAATACGAAAGTGATATCTGCTGATAAAACAGACTCTTGTATCAAAGTTAATGTTGAGGCTGCAGCTGGAGGTAAACCAGAAACATTAGAATGTGATGTTCTGCTTGTTTGTATCGGTCGTAGACCATATACACAGGGACTGGGATTAGAAAATGTTGGAATAACAACAAACAAACAAGGAATCATCTCTGTTGATGAAAGGTTCCAAACAAGCTGTCCAGGTATATATGCCATCGGTGATTGCATTCCAGGTCCTATGCTTGCCCATAAGGCTGAGGATGAAGGCATTATATGTGTAGAAGGCTTAACTGGTGCACCAGTCCATATTGACTACAATTGTGTGCCTTCTGTTATTTATACTCACCCAGAAGTTGGATGGGTTGGCAAAACTGAAGAAGATTTAAAGGAGGCAAATATTCCTTACAAAGTTGGTAAATTTCCTTTCGCAGCTAATAGCCGAGCAAAGACAAATGCTGACACTGATGGATTTGTAAAAATTCTTAGTCACAAAGAGACAGACAGAATATTGGGAGCTCATATCATTGGTGGAGGTGCTGGCGAAATGATCAATGAAGCCGTTCTTGCGATGGAATATGGAGCTTCATCTGAAGATGTTGCAAGAGTTTGTCATGCTCATCCAACACTGTCGGAAGCTTTTAGAGAAGCGAACTTGGCTGCATATTTTGGCAAACCAATCAATTCATTTTAATGTCTATCTATTTGGAAATATTTTTGGCTTTATATAAATATTTAAATAATGCAATGAGTTCACTCTTACAAACAGGTTGAATATTTAATGATAAATACACAATGTAGGGTATGGGATAGGCAACAATATGGCTATGTAATAAATTGATTCAATTTATTCTTTGAGTCATTTATACTTTGTTTTCACCAGATATGGAATTATTGAGATGACTAATATGAAAACTTTGGTCTTTGTTTATGACAGCATTTCATTATTGCAACTGTGTATTATTCTCTAATGGGTATTGCCACGATGATATGAAATGATCTTCAAGTAATGAACGAACATTACAAAAAAAAGAGTTAGACTGCTGTTCTTCTCGCACACTTGTTTAAATTTCTCATTTGCAATTCTTTGTGCCCTGGACTTGTGCGAAAATATTTCTTTTGTTTTCATTCCACAATGTTATCAATCTTGCATATTGGTTAAATTTTTTCCGGGAATGGTTTTCATGCCCATTCTTGGCAAGATGCGAGATGCTGAATTAGTTTAAATCAAGAATTTCATATCTCTGTATCTGGCCAGGTAATAAAATAAATGCATATTGATGGTCTGTTATAAAAAGTTTCCATTTTCTCCAGTTTTTTTGTCATCTTCAGTCTTTTCATTGCGATTCGAGAGTTATTTTTTCTCTATGTTAAAAATGCATATTATTCATAAATTTAGTGTTTTAACTGTTTTAATTCAATAATTGTGAAGTCACCATGAATGCAAGTGCAACCATACACAATAATGGGAAAAGCAGTTGTGGGATCAGATGAAATATTTTGAAAAAATGTGTGAATATCCTAGTTTTGTATTTCCAACTCACACTCGTGGTTACAGTAAACACAATCAACAAGCATTTACAGATTATGGATGCTGGGAATCTGTGGACATTGATGTTGATGAGGTGGGTTGCGAAATGTTCAGTTTAAAAAACTACTTTTTAGTTTCATTAATTTTAGTTTTTTACTTTTAGTGCCAGTTCTGTGGTGAAGTAGATGTTATTTTAATTTTATAGCATTGAAGACTATGTTGACAGTTGCTGTTCCATTGATAATAATACATAGCTAATTGGCATGCCACGTAATTACTACTGTAATTCAATAGACAAACCATTCAAATGAAACGTAAATCGAAACTAAGCCTCCTGTTTTAAAATGAAAAAATCAATGCAGCAATAGATATAATTTTGTAACAGCATTCTTGGCAAAATTATCTCAAGAAAATCGACTTGCTCGTTGGTAATGAAATTTTTTCAGCACGAAACATGGTATAACATGAAACAAAAAATACTAAACCTTAAGCCTAGCATGGTTTAAATATGTATTATAGACTCACTGGCAGCAACGCTAAACTGAGATCTTGGAAGGGTGATTCCGATGCTATCTAAGGCAGTCACATAATATTATAACATATTTTGGTAATCGCTGTATTGGCAGAATGAATCTCAAGTCATTGTCCGAAAGCATCGGTCACAGCATACATCTGACAGTACTTTGGAAACACCATTGAGCAAGACAATTGATTCCAGAGTTCTAACACCAACACATGATTTTTTCACATTGGGAAAACCTGCCTATTTTCCCAAACTTATTGAAGATGATATTACCTTTGCTAAATTGTTCAAAGAGAGAGTCATATTTGAACAAGGAAGAAAGCGATCTCATAAAGGTAGTAAACAACTTGAAATATATATTTGTGGAGTTCTGAATTTTTTTACTTCCTAAAAAATAATCTTGATATCCATTTCAATATTTGCATAAAATTTCATCATAGCCTCATAAAGATTATTTTTGATCAAACATTCCTTCTGATATAAACCAAAACAACACAAAGAGAGCAAAGGGGTAAACAAAATTCACAGTTGCCGTCAAAATTAGCATGTCTTCAAGATACTGAAATCATTAAGAAATGAGAAATAGTGAGAAAAAAATCAAATTGGGACGATAACTTTTGAGAAATCAGAAATATTGGAAAAGAAATTTAATTTAAATTTTGGATAACTTGGAAAGCGAATAAAAATATGTAAGTGCTGAACACATAAGTGCAGGTTAACAAAAGCATTGATGAACGCTTCAATATATCAAAGTATATTCTCATTGTTTACCTACTGTTTGTTGTTTTCATTATCGTATATGATTTTTTTAGATTACAGAAAAGACAGCTCTCATATACTGACAATACCTGTTGAAAAATACATAAACAATTTAATCGAGGATCATCCAGATATAACTGGTCAATGTTTTGATGAAATTATTCAACCGATCATTAACAGTTTGCCGTCCAGGAAGAAAAAAGTATGTTCGTGTAAATACCTTAACATTATTCTTTCCGAATTATTGGTGTATAAATGTAGCTTATGTATTGCGATTGTCTATATTAGCATATGTACTGGTAAATTTAATTATTTTGTCAACCTAACATTGGTTTCTGATTAATTGTTCTTCTAATTGTTTTCATTATAAGATAACAAAAAGTACCGTAATTGCTTTTCTATTTTATCCTCCATTCTTACATACTGAAATAAATGTATTTATTTAATGTCTTCATTGAGGAAGTATAATGCAGTTAATCTTGTGTAATCCCAATTGATGGTTGAACTTTTTTTTTTTGATTTCAATCACTTATCGTATTTCATTGCCCTTTTTTATCTATTTTTTTTAATATTCAATTTAGTTCATTTTAGGCAAAATTATGTCGTTATTGATGAAATGAATTATTTTTTATATCACAATAGCAGCAAATTTAAAATGATCAGAAATCAATTTTCAAGTTCTACTAATTTTGTTTGAAACATTTTTCATGTATTAAGATTGCGTTAAAGTACTTTAATTTACATATCTATTGGTTTTTCATTAAGATGTTGTTTTGCAATGTAGGATTATGAATATTTCAAAACTAAGCTCCCAGTATTGGTTTGATAAACACTAACTTTGGTTGAAGCTTTTTGTGTCGTATTTTAGAAACGTTTTCGAAGACATATGTATTTGAAACACATCGATCCTTCACTGTGTGATGTTGGGACAAAATTACTTCGAGATATTGTTAGAAAAGAATCTCAAACTGAGATTTTGAAAAGATATTGTGATCGAGATTATTCTGGAGGCTGCTTGTCGTACAGTCATATTGGAAAAAGGTATTTCAATTTATTTTTATTTATTTCTTTCACTTGGCAATATTAAAAAAAAAGTTTTAGGTGATGATAGTAATTATTGGGACTGAGGTTGAATCAGTGTTCTACTACATTGCTTGTATCCATTTGGAGAAGTTACCACAGTTTGAACTCTACCAATAAAATCATTGGTTCTTGGACAAACTTTTTTTATTGCAAACTTGAAATTAGTGAAGACAATCAAGTGATAGGTTTTATTTATCACTGGATGAACCCTCTAATTGAGGATGTAGTGATAGTGATTGAGTGTTTTTTTCTGTTGGAAATAGTTTAATACACATTATATTCTAGATATGAACTGTTTTTCAGAATAAATTAAGAACATCATCTATGAGTATATGTGTACAAAATTGGTAATTTCAATTTCCTTTATATCTAAAAACTGTAAAAATAGTTTGTTTTAAATTCAAATTTTTTAATTGCTTCGAAAAATTTATTGTTCTAGAAATGGGAAACAGTATGGAATTATTGTCTGTCCACAAGGTCAATGTCTTGATGAGCTATGCATTAAAAGTTTAACAATTGATATGAAGAATGGGGTAAAATAGTTTCATCTTTGGTAGAACACTTTTTTTGTCTACTAAGCTGCTGACATAATACAGAAATCTATTGTTGTAGCATATCAGTGCTTTTTTAAATGAATGTTTTATGTGGAAAAATAGAAACGTGCCAAATTTCATATACTATGTTGTTTCTGTGGGTGGTGGCCTACTTACTCTGTCCAGTTTAGCATGTATATTTTGTTAGTACTTGCTCTGTTGTTGAAGATTTTTATATGCGTAACTTTTTTGTATTACCTATCTATAGGCCAATAACATAACCCAGATTGTGTTCCATTTTCTGATGAATTCAAATTTTTTAAAGCTAGAAAATGACGTAGACTCACAAGGCTCATCTGTTTGCAATAATCAAGGACAGAATTTGTTTCCCAAACTACTTCTTGGATCTGAAAACCGGTAAGTGGATAATTAAGTCAGAACCGACTTGACAAATAGGAATAGCATAATCTCTTTCCATTAGTAGTAAGTTTGTTTGCAAGCTGTCGTTGGGTTATCAAATTCGCTGGTTGATTATGCTATATCTTGTTTATTCCAAAGACATCGTTTTTTATACCGTCTATGTAGACTATACAAAGAATCACTATTTTTGAATGACCTAATTCTGCAGCATTGCTTATTTAAATTGTTGCACCCTGGGTAAAGGCAGGAGCATTGTAATTGAAATCGAGGTTTTCCATCTACGATACCAGCATAGTAAAGCACTCCAGCTAAGCCACTATGCCTGCATATTCTTATCCCACTCTTATTGTGTTGTTCTAGTATATTTTTCATACCTGTCGGGAAAAAAGGCTTACAGTTCATTACACAATATCCTATTTCTTGACAAATTTAAATTGAAGGTCATCTAACTTATCATTGAACAAGTGAAATATATAACATTTATTTTTCATGCATTAAATTGATATTAATTCTTTTAAGTATGAAACCCTCATGTCTTCATAAATTTTTAATATTCACAGTCAGTCGTTGAATGGAAGAATTCTTCAGATCGATGTTACTTGTCCTGAAACAGCCGACAATTTTCTTATCTGTGCAAGATCCGATTATCATGTTTTATTAAACAAGTTTGACAGCCATCAGTTGGAATGGAATGATGAAGAAGACAGGTATGGGATTTTTTAAACAAACATTTTTAGTCAGTTGTTGATCAATACTCTATATATTGAACACTATGTATTTTGCACAATATAAATATTCGGATTATGTGAAACTTATATTTAGTGATAAATATATGCAGTCTTGAGTTTATGTGAGAAAATTTCCTGTGTTTCATGCATACCATTTGATTCATCTGCAGTACATTACTGTTTAGAAGTATTTAAGTCTATTTCTTCCGTATGCAATGAACATACATTTGTTTTTCATTTCTCTAATTTTGATGGCATCACTATTGAAAGAATGTGCTACATCACTTTTATTAGAAGACATTACCTGGTGTATGGTTATTACTAGAGGATTTGTTCGAAGAGTCGCACATCCCACAGAATATCCCAGAATGACTCGAAAAAATTGACTGATTGTTTCATGACTGAAACAACCCAAACCGGTTTATCAACCAACTATAGAAACGCTGCAATACTATTTTGATTATATTTTTAAAATTTTGTACACCAAAGTTGGAACATGTTTTTATGCGATATACCATCATTTATTGGACTGTTAAAATATTTTCAGGGCTTCTTTTTCAAATGACACAGTTCCACTTTCTTCACTTGGTTTGCTAAAAACATCAGGATCCAGTCACATATCGAGCATAGCATTAAGTCCATTCATTCCAGGAGAATGTGTTGTAGCCACTGCAGATAGATGTGTGAGAATGTGGACTCCTGATGCCGATAAAAGTCCTAATATGGCCTCACAGGTCAGTTTCGAAAAAAAAAATTCTCATTTTTTTATTTTTTTTTTAAATTCTAAACAAGGCTCCATACTAGCAGTTGCTGATATGTAAGGAGTTACCATTTTTTAAAGGAACTAAACCTGTGATGTTCAAAATGCGGCATACGGGGCAATTACGGCCCACGTAACGATTCAAAAGGCCCCGCCGAATTTGAAGTAAAATAGTTAAACATTTTATGTTTTTACTTATTTGCGTTCTATATACCGCCGAATGTTACTTCATAATCGAGCATGTGTATATTCGTAACAATTCATTTGTACCGGTATCTCAATTATAGGTACCGTTATCGGCCCTTCGCGGGTGCTTTCCCGGCTCGTGAATATTCTCTTGATTTTGGCCCCCAGTCAATAAACTTTGGAAACCACTTATCTAAACCTTTACTGTTCCGCATCGCTTACTCAATTTATAACTCACTGGGTAAGGTGGTCTTCTGCATTTGTACCCAATATTTTATTCTGTGATGCCAACATAGTTAAGCCAAGTGATTTGATCACTAGGTCACTAAAAATTGTGAATTTTTTTAGGGTTCAATTCACAATCTTGAAATACTGTTGAATGGTACAATGGGAGGATTGAGATCTTCAAATACATGGAGACAAGTTTGCTTTGCTGCTCACCCGAGACAAATATATATAACTGATGATGAAAATGTGTGTTTGTTTGATATTAGGACGCAGAACAGTTATAGGTAATCTTTTCAATCAATTTCAATCAATCATCATTTCAACAATAGCAGGGTTGTCATTATGCAGTTGTAATGAATGTATGTATGCATATTTTCTGGATTTATTGAAATAGAAGTAAATAGACTTTACACGTTCATAAACTTGAGTTTTCTCTTCTTCGAATCATCAACTCAATTAGTTTTTCCTGACCCTTGACCTCAAAAAAATCTTTTTATATACTGCAAGATTTTTTATGCTTATTTTGAGAGTATTTTCATACGTGGGGGCATGTAAAATGGTTTGGATCTTTGAAATAATAATTTCTTCCAAACATATTCAACAGATACCATTATAAAAGTACCAACAGCTAAATTGAAAGCTGAGTTGGGTTTTGCGGGTCTTACGATTTTTTGATTCCTGAAATTAAACTAAATCACTTATTAGGACAAGTTGATGAATGAGTTTTTCGATTTACACTTAAATTGTAGAAATATATGTATGAAAACAAACCAATAAGTCTCAAAACTAGAAAACGAGACAATGTTTACAACAGTGCTCGAAAATCTGTCTGAGTAAAAAGGTGTCTGAAATTGCTTAATTCTGTTGAATTTCAATTGTTATGTCACTGCAAGTTTATTTTGATACATAAACATACTTCTGGAGGTCCAAAGTGTTCAACTTTGTATTCAATTGCAGAAGTTTATTCAATGTTCACACATCTAAACACGCAAAAGAACATGAAAAGATTTATGCTATCGAGAGCTGCAGGAGGATTGAAAATAACTACGAATGTCTCATCGCAACTAATTATAATTTATACCTGTTTGACCAACGACATTGCGGTCAGCCATTGATGCAGTGGGGAACGAACATGACATTTCCACCTCAATATGTTAAGATTTCTAAAGTTTGTCAATCGAGTATCGTGGATGAAGTATATCCTGATATTGCATGGTAAGATAAAAGGTATTTTTGAGGATTATTTGTGATTCTTAGTATTCTGGCTTTTTAGGGATCATTACTTCTATTGAATCATACTTGATTTTTGATTCGGCGTTTTTATTAGGTTTTGCTCCAAGTGAAACATTGGGAAATCAGCCACCTACTCTTTAAGACCTATCGGGTTTGAAAGTTTTCTATGCTCAATCAAATACTACACCTTCGATGAACTGAAGGAGTTGAACTTAGCAAAATATTTTTAGACTTCAAGTGTATCCTTGACATATATCACATCAAACATGGTAGGCCTGATGCAGTGAAAGATCATTCCTCTGAATTTCTTCATTTTAAATAAGTGCCTATTTGATAGTTGTTGCATAATAACCAGTTTTGTATTTCCCTGATATATGTCGAATTGTGTCCAATTTTTTTTATTGTTGTACTGTCTACACAATTTTCTGGTGCTAAAATAACACAATTTTATTTTGAAATTTTTTGATTCCTAGTTTATTATTGTTCTTCCCTATTTCCAATTTCAGCGTTGAAGCTTAACTTATCTTATTTCTCTTGAACATCAGGTCACAATCTACATCTGCTATTTTGGTTGGGAACCAAAATGCACATGAAGTATATTGCTATCAAATGTGTAAATCAAGAAAAACAACATCAAAAGCCGCTAAAATATATCCACCACAAGCTATTGGCCCGCCAAGAATACTTGGAAGTTTCAAAAATATAAAAAATTATCTAGACCGCAATTTGTATGAGCATGGAGCATATTTGAAAAACAGAGCTTCGAAAATGACTGTTGGCTTAGATGCTGTATCCTTGGTAGGTTATTTTATCAATTTCGTTGAAACAATTTAAATTAGGGTACAGAATTTAAATTAACTTATTTATTAATATGTAATAGCGAAAAACTAAAATTCTTTAGTGCATTATCTATTTACAGTAACTAATGAGTCGGTAATGACCCAAAATTTATGGTCAGTTGTATTGATACAGAATTAAATAGCTAGCTCTTGTATTTTTCGTATATCAATGTAATATTTCCATGGTGATTGCTTCTGCTGATATTATTTGTAAACAATCTTCTTGCCTGTTCAACATGTTCGATCTGAATAAGCCTTGTATAAGTATATGAATTTGTATTTGTTTATACACGAGACCAGCATTTTATTGGCTTGGCACATCCTACTGAATCAAAGAAAATAAGGTGATCGGTTCAGGACTTACCCTGAAATCTCAAGTTCAGCTAAACACTCGTTCAGCTAACTACTAGATGCTTTGGTATCATGTTTATCTGGATATTACTCTTATTGACTGTTCGGTACTCGTGTAGTGTGTGTACCTCCGATTTTTCTTATTTTATTTCTAATACGAATTCGGGGACTGTCTGTGTTAGCCAAGTGTTTATCCCCCCTGCCCATAAGTTTCAGTCCCTTTATACAACTTGATGTAGAATAGGCGAACAAAATTATCATAGTTACCTCCATATTAGTACGCACACTTCTTGAGCGCCGACTGTTCTAATCAATTTGGCCCTTTATTATATAATTCTTATCAATTTCCTCCAGTTTCGATCTGTGGTATGTATTTCAGGAAGGACCTGGGAATGGTATAATTGTCTTTCAAATGAATGCAGTTGGTGATATTGGATATCAAACTCTTGCCATGAAAAATCATCAAGATGTTTATGATTTGTCTAACGTTATCACTGGAAAAACTTCAGCAACTTTTACAAGCTTTGAAGAAGAACACAACAAAGAGCTTTTATGCAATATGAAGAAGTGTGTTTTTGTATATTAATCTCTTTCATTTCATGTTCTAATAACACCTTTGTAGGTTGTACTAAAAAGGGTGGTTATGGAAATAGTTAAAAAGGTTTGAATCATTCTACCTCAATCACTGAGGTGGTTGATACGGGAATCAGCAATTATTTTGTTAGTGAAAAAAATTCCATATGTTAGTTTGTAGTGGTTTTGTAAAATAGAATTGCAAAAGAAAAATTGAAAATACCAACAAATTTAGCATGGAAATATTCTGACTATAAGATTTGAATAGAAATAACAACCTTCCAAATCTGAATTCTCCATTTTAGAGGACTCAAAATTAAAAATGATTGGCTATTTGTTGTGAAGAAAACCGATATATTCAAAACTCCAACAATTAAAGTTGAGTACTTGGGAAATTGCTCATTCATCAGAATTTTAATTGACATTTCAAGTAATTCTGATTTTCAGGAAAAATTACGATGATTGGATACATGAAGTAACATGCACTGGCACTGATCAACATAGAAAAAATACAGTAATGAAAAAACACTTTCTACCTCACAAGGAAGCAAGAATAGAGAAAAGATTTTTTTCCAATGTTTTGTTCAAATCATCATTCATAGTCGATACTGATTCTTTATCTATGTGTCCTTTATGCACCACACATGTATCTTCCGTAAATTCATCAACTGGTGAGTGAACAATACTGGATTTTATCAGCTTTAGTGTTCACACCTCATTATCAATATTGTATCGGTATTCTCTGTATATTGACGCTGCTGCAGTGCTATTTGCAACTTGTTTAACATCTTTGCTTGGAAATTTTGCCACCCGGACTTTTGTTCGGATTCCTTTACAACAAGATTGATATTGTGTCTTATTGTACCTAGAATTATTTTGAAACTCAATTATTTTTGTAATGATTGTACCATATAGCTTGTGTACCACCACGGACTACAAGGTGAATTGTAAATAAATTGCTTAGTTTTGTCCAAACATAGGGATCACCGGGCTATAAGACGCAACGGGTACTAGTTTTGAGTGTAGGCAATAAAATATAAAGCACTACCTGAACCATACATTAGAGGCACCGGCTTACAATGTGCACCATCGATTTTTGAAGGATTCAAAGTGCGCCTCATGGTTCGCAAAGTATTGTAATGTTGTTCCTATTTGATGTATTACTGAGTGTCATCTTATTGTCAAACTTCAATGGCAGCTTGACAACTAAAGCGAATTTAGTTTATTACCGCAATGATTAATCCATCTTGTCAATTTCCTTCTTACCTGTGATAAACTAGTTCTTATCTGAACCAAACTTATTAACCAAAAAAATGTTATTGTTCATTTAGAACCAGATGATTCAAGCACAAGTACATTCTGTCTTTCATGTTGCACGAGTATAAAAGGGAGCAATGCAATACTAGAATTACTCAGGAATCCTGAACATACTGTGCTTACTCGTTCATTAGTTGGGAAGATTGAAATAGAGGATAATGATATATCGAGTGAATCAGATTCTGAGACTGTTAATATTAGGAACTTGAATTTGCTCAATATTCAACATACTGGTGATGATATTGATAATGAAGTGGGAAGAATATTAAAAGCAACATGGAAAGGAACTTATCAGGTATGGAACTGGAAAATAATGAAAACTCAAAGATTTTTTATACCAATGTAGGACTCATACTATCATTATATGTATAAAGCAGATTTCAAAATTATGTTACTCTATTCCACAGTAATAATATTGTGTGGGTGTTATTTTTCAGGCACTCTTTGAATAATTCTAAAGTATCTTTATGATTCTGATTTGTGACTCGATTTTTCCTTAGATGCCAATAAATGGTGTTCATAAAGTCCTGTATTAAATTAGGTAAACGAACTTTGATGTGGGCAACGGGCATATGAAGGTGTTTTAGTTGAAATAAAAAAAAACACAAACACTGATTAAATAGAATAAAACCTGGTTAAGGTATATCATGAACTGAAATCATCATAAAATTGAAAAAAATTAACTGGACTTTATGAGTATAACAGGACCTGAACATATACACAATATATACTTGTGTGTTCATCTATTTTTCTATAGTATTAAGTGTGCTTCAGTGTCTATATGAGGCTCATGCGACCACCCATACATAAAGGTGGTAGAGAACCTCTTGAGTTGTTTATTAAACATAATACTACTATTTATCTTTCTGGCTTGCACCATGTGTACAATGATGGGTATATGTTCGGGGGTGATGCTGATATATTAAGACTATAAGTTAAATATTTGGGAATCTTATCTTCAAGTATCAACATTACCAGTTTCAATAATCATTCAGTGATAGGTCAACAAATAAACCTATGAAATATTCTGTTCAAATTGTATTTCTATGCATAGGATTATTGGGAATCTTTGAAGCAATTAGAAATGCAAAGACAGCAGGAAGAGCAAAACGAACAGGATCGTCAAACATTTGATCTCAGTCAAAGGTCAATCACAGAAGATCAGGAAGAAAACAACACAACAGTGGAAAATGTATCAAATAATGCAAATGCAGGATTTTTGAGCATTTTATCAAAAAAAACAAAACCAACAGAACCAAGGGTATCACCAAAACGTAAAAAACGCAAGAAAGACATTTCTAGTGACGATCACAGTTTTTTATCAACTTTTATGTCAAGCCCTGTACATGTTTCCCATAGAAGTCTTACTGCAACAGTTAATTCAGACTTGATCAGTTTTCAAAATCAACCTTCCATGGGGACAACATTACCTTTGCCTGATATATCAGTGCTGACAAACCCAACATTTCAAACTGGGTCAAGTGGAGGTGTGCTAACATCTGCTAATGATAGTGCAGCAGGTAAAAGTTTAGAAAATTCTCCGTTTTCATTTTTTTCTCCTCGAAGAGGAAATTTGACTCCACAGCATTATAACGTTTATTCACCTTCAAAACATAAAGGCAATGAATCACAATTGCGATCACCTAGAGTTAGAACGAAAGATGGTTCGCCCACAAAACATACTAGAAAGAAAGCGCCAATATCACAAGCTATTGGTTTTTAAAGGATTTTTAACAATTTTGTACTTTTCGCAAATATTCCTTTTCAATAAATTTCACCAAGTTTCGATTTTTGCTTTGATTGCTATTTATTGGGGAGTTTTGGAAGACTTATTGCCAATGCTCACTTTCAGTAGATTGTGAATGCTGTCATGTGATTCCAAATCTTCAAAACGGTTGGATGGGCAGGTATGTCAAAAATATTGAGCTGTAATTCGTGGATTGAGGGCTGAAATTTGTTTGATGTAGTAGCGGGAACTAGGAGGCTGATGAGACAACTCAATCAATCGTAAGGTACACCACAGCATCTGGCACCTTTGACTCTGAAGGTGGATTTGGCTCAGCAGAAATGTGCATTGTTCTAAAATCTAAGCTCTGTGAATACGCTCGCCGTCGCACCTTATGACCCTATTTAGCAGGTTCGAATTCCTTGGGGGTTAATTCTGTGTGAGAGGATTGCTGTGACTTCCCGCCATGACAAGGGGGTTCACGTAACTGCTTCACCATCAAGTCCATGCACCTGAAAAGAAATAACCGTCCAACTAATCCTATACCCAAAATTGTTACCTCAGCGAGAACCTGTGGTTTGCCCAGATTAGGCCCTCCTTGGGATAAATATGAAAATTGTATGTAGAATACAAAGCTTTGCCTGTGCATGCTTTTAGCTTTTGTGCATGCTTTTAGCTAACTAGTAGCACTACTAGAATAGTAACAACCGCTTGCCTACTGTTGTAGGGTAGTAATAATTTAAAAGGCTCACTGTGATGTTGGGCTAGATTTCAATGGAATTGCTATATGCGAACCATGACGTGCAATCGCAGGATTGGTTGGCCAGATTAATTTGCTAGTGCTGTGGTGAATAAACAAGATCCATTACTGACACTTTCAACTGATCCTGCACCCATCACTGGAAGCTATTTCCAATTCTATAGTATTCTGTTGAATGGATTCCCTGTGGCTCATGGTCCTCATGTCCACCAAATACCACATATTGAATTGATTGCACCTTCTTCAATGATAAATTTCTATTCTCGTGTAACATAAAATATAATACCTTACTACAGTGGTAGAAACATAAGATTAAAAGTAGAAAAGGCACCAACAGTAAAATACAGCGAGTGTAATATAAATATTATAAAATTGCAATGTCAATAATATACAGTGATTATTATTTGGTAGAAAACTCATATAATACTCAAAATGGGCAAAGTACATAAAGAGGTTCAGTTCAAGACTGCAAGTTTTTAATAGTATTTAGCTGTAGATATATGCATATTGGCACAAACTTTGAAGCAGAGCTGTGGTAATTATAGGTGGCTTGCATTTGTCAAAGTTTTTATTTTTAAACTTCGTTCGCCTTTAATATAAATGTCGGAGTAACAATTTCACCCTGTAGTCCAGTCAAAACACCGAGAGTCCAGTCGTTTTTCAAATGGCTCTAGAGTTCAAAGCCCAGTGTCTATTTTGACCGAACTGCAGCCATACTTTAAATGTTGTATCAAAACCAGTTAATTTAGTGATTGTGTTAGTGATATTATGAGTAGGGCTGGGCATTTCGAATCGAATCAAATAGTAAATTATTCGAATCGGTTCAAAGCTAAATTTTGAATCGCCGCTATCTTGTTTTTTTTATTTCCGCCAATGGTGGAGGTGAATTCCCTAATTTTTTTTTCATTAAAGTCATATTTTTTCAACGCAATTCTAACATGCGACTATTTTATGTAGTGAGTTATTGATAAAACGTGTTTGTTGTTGGGTGTGAACGCTCAGTAATCTATCTCGATGATGTATTCTGTTTTCAGTAACTCATTTGTTAAGAGGACCAATTACTATACACAAAGTCGCTTACAATTATATATTTCCGAGTATTCGAGATTCTATTCGAAAAAATTATTTGATTCGATTCTGAAATCACAAGGTATTCGAAATAGCCCAGCCCTAATTATGAGATGATACATGTATTGATGTATATGTAACTTACTCAGTTCAAAATGCCCGAATGTACCTGCCGCTGCCAGCAATGTGCCAGAATTCTATTGTGTCAACAAAATTAAATTCTAGTAAAAATCAGATAAAACATGAGGTTTGGGAAGAAATGAAATAAATTTACAATTATATTTGATTACAAAACACTGCAAGGTAGAAAAAAGTAATGCAAGTCATAAAATAAAATCATTTTTTGCAACATCCCATATTTCACAGAAAACATACATTTTTACCTCTACTGCAAACTCTTTTTACTTTAAGTAGCCTCTCAATGTGGATGCCTTAAGCTTTTATTTTGTTTATAATATTGTGTATTCTCATTTACATTTTCTGAAGAATCTGTAGAATGAGTTCGCACATGTTTCATCACTCGAGTTCTCATTACTTTAGGACTTCTCGTTGGTGTTTTGTCTCCTTTTTCGATTGTCAAACTTGTAAATTTTTGTTCGGCATAACCGATATTGTTCATACTGGATTGCGACAAAACTTCGAGTGGAATATTTTCTTGTGATCCCATCTCTTCATCTGTGCTAATACTCGTGTTTTGTGAAATCACTAACCTACGAAGACTCTTCTTCCTGTCTCCTTTAGTTGCTTTTCTATGCACTGTAAAATGTAACAAAACTTTTATCAGGTGTAGATACAGTACAAATTGAAAAAAAATATTTCAAACTGGCGGAACATGGCACCAACCCAAATTATTAAAATTGATTAAAGCTGAGGTTTTTAAACTTTTCACACTTGCAAGACGTTGAAAATACAATTTCAATTTATTTTGCACTAAATTTAGACTAAGATATGTTTTGTAATATATGCATCTTTATTCAATGCAATCAATATGTGAGCTTTTTTTTGCCAACATACATGATAACAATTAACAACATGACTGAATTTATGGTGCTCCTGAAGTATGCACACCAAGATGTCGCATAACTTGAACCCTAACCTGGTACACAATCTGAGTTCAGGTTGTGCACCATCTTGGTGCGCATACTTCATAAGGTCCGAATTTATGATGTGGCCAGCCATGCTTTTATTTTCAATGTTAACAGATTTAATTATTTAAGTCAATTAATATCGGAGTAAAAGATTGACTGTTTAGAAAACAGATTTATATTTCGCTACACAATAAAATATTCTGGCACTGCACAGTTCGAGAACAATTGCACTTATGTAGTGATATATTCAAAAAAATTTCTTCTCATTTCTTAGCAGATGATACCAGATACTTACTACCTTATCTTTTATTTATTAAATTTGAAACTACATACCTGCTTCATTTTCATCTTCAGGCATATTCATTTTGGTTTCCCTAAAAGCAAAAATTATATTGTGTAATATGCTTTTAACATTTTTGTATAACTTACTGGACTTAAAAATGATGTACTCTACCTTATTTTATTGTTATTTGTGTTCAGAGGTAGTTTTATTTTAACCTGTGGACTTGTTGGTACTGAATGGGATTTAACTTCTTCCAGACAAACTCCATCATCACTGAAAAACAGTATTTTCGAAAGAGGTTTATTTTTATGTAGATCCAACTGCAAACAAAGTTAATAGTATTGCTATATCACGATAAAAAGTGATCTGAGTTTCACTTACCAGTACATAGAATACTGATATTTCAAAATCCCAATTATTAGAATTGATTGAGTTGCTTTCCCATAGCAGCCACAGCCATCACACCCGTAATATATCTACTATGTATGATTATGTTTAGAAATGATAGAATTGTTTAAATAAATATGAAAAATTTACTTGAGCCAACACGGAAAAATTGCCTGCAGGAAAGATAAATAAGGTTCCTGGAACAATATATCTCCCACAATAACTATCCATTGCTACATATCGATATTTCACCTTTCTATTTCCTCTTGTATATCGTAGCTACTGCTTGACTGTGAAATAATTCTTGAATTATGAACAGATGATGACACTTGTTTTAAATCTCCATCACTTGCAGATCTGTGTATGATAAGATTATGAAACATAGAAGTTACTAATATAATAAAACTTTTTCGTATGTGATCTACATTAAATTTTGAATGGCAAACAATATTATAAGCAGAGTTCAGGAGAAAATTTCAATTCAGAAAACAAGCACCAGTAACCTGATCAATGGATTATTGTACAAGGTTACTTAATTGAATTTTATGAAACGAAATCTCAATTTGTAGTGAATTAATGATTATAATTATTTATTTTAACAATGCAAAGTTTGGCATAATTTTGTTATTTAACAATTTAATTAGAAATGTTCAGAATCAAAGTAAAATACAGAAAGAATTCAAGCATGCAAAACATAGATCATTATCTCACCTGTCTACTATTTCTTCCATTTCAAATGTTTCGTTAAAATTCCCTTGAACTTGTGAATCACTGTAAACAGATGGGCATCGTGTTTTACCACTTTCGATCACGATTTCTGATAAAACTTGTTCTATCCTTTCTGTATTTCTGGTAATCCCAGGAACATAACATAACTGCAACTCATAAGTTTCCTAGAAAGATTGTAAAAAGGTTAGCTGTAAGCATGATGTCATAACCGTCAAAAAGTAAAGAAGATCGCAATCATTCCCAAAAATACAAAAATTAACAAATTTTTGATAAAAAAAAAACGATTAAAAAACTTTCAAATTTTTGCATATGAAGTGGAGGATACTGATGAAAATGGAATACCTACTATAAATGAAAATGCAGTTTAATTTTAGCACTAATTAATATAAATTAACATATCACAAGAAAGATGCAGGGAGTATACTTATCAATGCTGAGACAAATAAAAATACTTCAATGAAGTTCGTGGCCATATTTCATGAAAGTTTATGCATTTTGATAATAATATAAAATGAGGGGATTAGCAATGGTTTTCAAAATAAACAATATACCTTCATGAGCTTTTTAACCGCTTGTTTTAGAGGTAATTCCACAGTTGCAAGTGGAATACTATTGCTTGTATTTTTCAATAAATTTTTTCTCTGTCGGGTGCATACAGATACCTAAGAAAAAGATTATAAAGTATATCTACAGGCAAACTCAATATATAAAATTAACCAAAAACAGCACTTTTTGTGTTGTCACTGTTCTCAGACCAAGTATTCCCAAAGTATAGCCCTATGGTTTGTTGAACAAAGATACATCTACACGAATAAAAACTTTCAACAATTAGTGCTTTTTATGTATGGAAGTTACGTGTCAGCAATTCGGTGGGTTGCATGAAAAAAACGCAGATAAAAGTGGATCACAGGCCCAAAGAGGTTGCGAAACACTGATTCAGATATTAAAGACATTGCTTTAGTTTAGAAGACAAAAGTTGCACATATGTATTTGTTTTGACTATTTTACTATGATAAATCAAACAAAATGCTAGTACTTTGTTTTGAGCAAACCATACTAATCAAAATACACAATACAATTATTCAATACTCAAGTTAAGAGTGTCAAATTTTTACCTGAATTGAATAATTTTTTACAACTTCTTTGGTCACCTTCAAAAATTCCACGCCAAGAGATGATTTAAATTGAATATGAGCTGTTCTGTTGTTCCAGAAGGTTTTTATCGAACTGAAAATTACAAAGCAATTATTCGACATAGACTAGATATGGAGTCCAGATTAATCACAACTTTGATACAGAGAAAACAAAATTTGAATAAGTGATAAATAAAAAACACTTTATGAGGTCCTACTACATTTGTAATGAAATTGTAACGCAATACAACAGTGATTTGATTAGATATGTGAGAGACAAAAGCATCCAAATACTCAACGATCTGTGTTTTTGTTTTATTGGCAATATAATATCATACCCATCATTTTCTTCAATAGGTTCATTTTGATCTCCTCCGGGATGTAATTTGAATGATTCAGATTTTGTTTTCATTCGTTGTACTTGACTATCTACGATTTGTATTTCATTGTGATTGTGTATTATTCCCCCAACATGCAACATCAAACTGACATCCTGAAAATGAAGAAAAACTGTAATAGATAATAATAATACTACAGAATCAATTCATTCTTTCACATCGGAACCTGGAAAATGGAGCTATCCCTAACTGACTAGTAAACATATCGTCATAGTGCCGCACCTGCGTCTTGTGTATTGTGCTAGAGTTTTACTTGAATATTTTGGTCCTATTATAACATAGCAGTCATATATGTCACACAACTGTGTTTTGCGCCAACAAGATTATGAGCATCACCCCATCATATAATGTTTATTCAACATGCGGTCACTGATAAATTTTGAGACAAATAAAATACATACACAAACAGATATACATACAAGTTACAACAGATACATCGTTTTACATTTAAAAATTTAAATAATCATAATATGGTACTAATTATGATATTACGCGTTACACCATACTCATTTTAATACTTAAAAGAATATTTTTAATATTTCTTCACTATTGTGAGTGATAAAATTCTAAAAGGCCATGGGAAGAGAAATAATTTGACGTTGTTCAAACAGAAATCAAAGTCAAGTATCTATGTTTACTCAAGTTTTATTGTGTAAAGTAAACCCCATTACCGTAACCGCATCATCTTGTGTAACGCCTCAAAGACCACATTGTACCATAAAAACTTTTCTATAGCTGTATTTTTCTATAGCTTATGATTCATTGTGTTGACGGAGACTTACGTTTCCAACAACGAAAATTATTTTCGATCAAAAAAGCATGTTTTATTGATAGATCAAGCTTGGAAAGTACTACATCCTATCACACGCTCACAATTAACATACCTACTTCAACATAGTATACATAAACACACCCTACTAAAGTTCGCCTAAACTATCGGAAATTCTGAAATATTCAGCATATTCCAGAAAGTACAATTGTTGGAGACTTGTCAACAAGACACATTATGCCTGTGTTATGACGACTACAAATAGTAAAATTGTTTGCTTAGTGGTATCACCTACGTAAGATTACCCAAATCAATATCCTGATGCTCAAAGCATATTTGCTGAACCCATAAAGTTGTCTGTAATTTGCAAACATACAATAATTTATAGTAAGAACAGGAAAGACAAAAACGTTTACTGAGTATTATGAAATTGAATCATACTGTATTACCCCAATGAACATGAAATGAACAATAATATTCGAATATTTATTCATTAGTCAATTGTTTTGGGCTTTCAGGCAAATGATTGCAAATCATAACAAAAATAATCACTATATACAAACCTTATGTCCTCTATGTAGAGGCAACAAGCATGTGAGAACAATTTCTACAATTCGAACTTTCAAATGTGATGTTTTACTATTATATTGAAAAGCCATTGTAATGTATCCTGCACCTAAATATTAAAAATAATGATTTGACCACGCAAAAAATACACCAAATTAACTGGTATAAGATTTAAAACAATTTATTCAAAAAATATGAGGGCTAGCTCAGATATATGGACACAAAAGGTCAAATGTCTGATAAGCTTTATTAAAAGGCCATATTTCATATGAATATAAAAACATGAATTATAAAACCAACAAAATTCGAGGAGGAATATTGGGACCATATCAGATCGAACTAGAAAAAATATGAAAATAGAAACTTCCATTTTGAAAATTTGAAATCAATCAGTCTAATACTTACAGAGAAAAGAGTGTACCATTAGAACAACCACAATAATTTAGGAAAAATGATCCACTTTGTGTCCAATAATAATATCTCTCTGATAGATACCAGCAGTAAATGTGTTATTTTATTAGATATCTCATTTATTTTTGTTCCATATAAACTTATTATACCATAGATTATGTACAGGCATAGGGGAAAGTGGAGAGGTATGGGCCACCAAACTCTGGTAAGCTATACCGTGTTAGTCCTTTGCACTAAATAATCACTCTTTCACTCACTGCATGTTTGACAAAACAGCTAACCATTCCGAACATTGTTTTGAGATTTTCAGAATTAGTTTTGGAGGAAAGTGAATTTTTCCACAAAAATGTCATTACGCAAAAAAATTATGGGCCAAGGGGTGTCAAGTATGGGCCACCATCAAAAAACTAGAACCCAGTGCTTATTGTAAAATATAATTTTATTCTATCCCCACCCCCATGAATTAACACGATTTCTACAATCAATAAAGCTGTTTCTTTTGAAACGTGTCTAATATGCAACTAAATTATCATCAATCATAGAATAGCCAGTATGTAGCCTACAACAATTAGTCAATTACAACTCACAATCGTCATTTCCAGATATTATCGAAGAACCAATTGATGTCAAACTACCAAAAGATGAATATGATTTGCAAGGTGAAGATAATGATGGTGTCCCTGATGAGAGAGATCTTACATCTCCTGCAAAAAGGTGAAAAAGTTAAGGATCCGGCTTTCATCAAAATAGAACAAAAATCCTCTATCAAACAAACAAAAAATGGAGATTTATCATAAGTTATGCTATTATTATGGTTATGATATTCATGTTTAGAAGACGGATATAATATTCATGACAATTATATTCTATGCAATATACGCATAGATAGAGTAATAGCTTTTTTAATATCACTGTAGATATTTTATCATATTTATCCAATATACCAATTTTTACCAAATTCTCCACTGTAAAATTGAGCCATTCGTAACGTATAATGGTGAATTAACTTTTTCGCTGGATATATATATAATATTCTATATAAGATGAAAAGATATAGCCTACATATTTTGGAGATGAGTCTTCTGCAGCATGAAATGAAGAATTTTTTTTTAATTGAGCTCTTTGACCAACTTGAAAATCACAATCATATTTATAGTGTAACAACAATACCTTTAAATTCAACCGATTTGGAATTGACACTTGAGACACTAACAGAGTCAGTCAGTGATGCTTTACTTCCAATTCCCGATTCATAACTATCATCTGATAGAGTCGATTTACAAGTATATTTTGAAAAACTAGATGGAGGTGGTTGAGAATGTTTTTTGTTCTGGTGATTATTGAATTGTTGTTGTTCGGTGGATTTGGTTTGATCTTCAAAGTGAACTGAGGTTGTAACATCTATGAAAAAAAAAATAGTGCTCATATGTGCTCAAAGGTGAAATGAATATTTAGCCACCGAAGTTTATATCAATGTTAAAAGAATTGTATGAATGTTATATAAAGGTGTGCCCATGAACTATAAAATCCAGAATATTTTAGGGCGTAATGAAAATTTGAGAAAGGCAATAGCATTCCAACGACTTTTTTCATCTTAAAGTTTGAAATTTTGAAGTCGATTAGTATATTAATTGCAGCAGAGCGTTTTCACAACATTAACAATAATTTTGCAAACGATCCATAAGTTCACTTTGTGTCCAAAACCATGAACTGTTTTGCTCTCCATCATTGCAAATGGTGAATTGGTGATGCTGCCTAATTTGACCTAATTTTGCCATCACAAAAAGTAAATACGAATTAAAAAGCAATGACCAGAGCAGAATTCAAGTACACCAGAAGGAATAACAGAATATAACGAACCTATTCCATATTTGGCAAATACTTCTTTACACCCTTTATGTCGAGTTATATCAGGAGCTGTCTGACCTTTGTCATTCTTGATTTTAGCATCTCCACCTGAAAGTATTACAATTTCATAAAAATCTAATACACATGATGTGTATAAATATCTTTACAATTTCGAAGATTTATCATACGATTCATATGGACACCCTGTATATCAAGACGACTGCCAGCTGAATACACATTTAAATATTTCAATGCATAGATAGTTATACCAGTGATTCGGCACTTTTAAGTAAGTATTATGTTTCAATGACAAGGTGCATACAGTACGAATGTTATCGCTCGGTGCTTGTAATACCTCGGTACTTGGAATTAAACTTAAGTTCTATTCATACCATTTGACAAGAGTAATTCGAGACATTTTGAGTGACCTTCTGATGCTGCATAGTGTAATGCAGTAGATCCATTCAACAAATCTTTACAATTAGGATCCCCACCATACCGCAATAAAACCTAAATAAGATAATCAGCTTTTGAATAAATCAGTGTCATAAAAATGAAATCTTGACAAAACTAATTAGAGATTTGAATTGTTAACAAAGCATGTACCAAATTGATTGACTCACTACACTTTAATGAGACATCATATAATATAGGAGGTAAATGTTCACCTTTAAAATGTCAAAATCTCCATTATGAGCTGCTTCATGTTGGGAACTCCATTCAAATAATCCAATATTATTGGGATTGAGGCCTAGAAAACAATACATACATTATCAGACTATAAACGACATAGTAATATAAACAGATACCTAGATCTATTTCCCACTCCCTGACTCTGGAATATTAGATAAAAATTTTGTTTTTATCAGTTTTTTCATTGTTTATTACGGTATATGATTATGGAGTCGAAATAAACTTATACTTCAGTACTTAGGTCTCTCTGGGTCCCAGATATGCATACTATCCTAGTTCTGGCATGTTCACTTTACCTGTAGTACCGTACTTTATTCCTCATTCAACATATTCTAATACTACAGTATTAATGTTAACTTATATTAATGTTACCTTGTTGAAGAGCACAAATGGTAGACTCCAAATCCCCAACTCTTACTGCTAAATGTAATTCATCGTCCACTAATTCATCCATTCCTATTTCGGTAGTGATTCCTGAATTATGATATGTATAGGCTGAAATATATTCATGTTACATCACGTCCACCATCATTCATTCATTTGATTGCATTAAAATCCATGCAAGTGTGGCAATTACCAATCTGCCGATGTCGTGAATTAGGCTACGGTATGTGACTGGCTCAACTTATACTATCATATCTGCAAACAACATACTGCCGTATTAGATTGTATAAAATGTAACTCGCCGCACTACAGAAATAGACTACCAACTTATTGCAGTACTGTATCAACTGTATAAGCTGACAGCTAACAGGCTGGACAAAACTTCAAAAGTGTAAACAGAATTAACCCATTTCGCACAAACGAGTTAGAACATCGTACAGTATTTGGGGTTGCTAGTGTTGAGTGCTTTAAGATGCAGTAATTTCACGGGTAAAAAAACAAATTGTCTCATCCAAAATTGATTACCTATCATAATATTTCGCATTTTATTGTGCTGTTAACCTAGTTCATTCCTTGTTAGGAGAATCTCATTAAAAATAATGATTATGTGCGACGGGTTTTGTCCGACTGCTTGCGGTGTTTGTGTTGTTCACGTAATCGCTCTTTAGCTTCGGATTAGGTCCATCGTTCTCCAAGTTGGAAATGAAATGTCGTGTTAACATATCAAAGTAAATCAGAACATCCTATTGTGCGGCATTGCTCGGTGGCTCTGTGGTGCGGCGCATCGTGCTAGGCGTTAGGAATATGCTTGTCATCGCACCTTTGATTACCCTGCTTCGGTTCTCAGGTTCGAATCCCGCGGGGATAATTATGTGGATGGTTTACGACTACGTAATCGCTGGTCGTCGGTTAAGAGTTCTTACATCATAAAGTCCATCAATCTAAAACAAATAACTGGCTTACTGATCCCATATCTTACATGGACTGGTAACCGGACGAGGTGGTTTGGGGCTTGGGCATATGATTAAGCCGTCTCATCGACTCCAAAATAAAAATAGAATTGTTCTTTTCTAACCGGTTTGTCTCCGAATAAAACAAAAACGCAATGATACAACATTGTATATACAATCAGGATTAAGTATCGCTGATTAAAATTACATGACATCGAGAAACATGGGGTTGGACAAAACGTTGCATGATAGCACAGGTAGGGGTCACCAAACTACGGCCCGCGGGCCAAATCTGGCTCCTGGCGTCCTTTCATATGGCCCGCAATAACACGATAGAATGACTAAATTTTTTTTCCAATGGATGGTTCCCCGAACATCGACTTCTTTGTTTGTTTCGTAACATTGGCCAATTAGCAAGATGCAAAAGTGGCGTAACAATAGACCTTTTAGCATTCGCCCAGACATTTTTGTCACTCAGACAGATTTTCAGTCGTGTCTCGTGATTGTAATTTCGCGATTTTGAATGCTATTCGTGTTTTTGTTTGTGTTTCGGAAATTTAAGTATGAATCAAATAAGTCAATCATCATTTTTTATTTAGCCCTAGGAGTTGTAGTTTAATCGTAAATATATATTTTAATTGCAGTAATCAAAAATTAGTCTAGAAAATAGCTGTGATAAAATAGGCTAAAATTTTCTACCGGCAACGTTTTCTGCGAAAACTGTTGCTGTGTACGTTTCTCGTGCTAAAATAAATTTTTTCGCTAATAGTACTGTAATCTCTCACGTAGGCCTACTGCTCAATAGTATATATTGAAAAAATTTTGAAAGCTAAACTCCAATTTCACAAGTCACATTAACCCTTTTGTACTGCTTACATGCAGATATTCATGACAGCAATTGTTTTGCTAACAGTTAACCTCAGGATAGTTGTCTAAAATCTTATATACAGTATTTGGGTTGCTATGATGTTCTTGGTATATATTCTGCGATATGAAATATGATATTCAAAACTTGTATACTTTATATTGTTGACTAAATTGAGTGGATTTCCCAACGTTTTTGAATTTATTGTATTGCATTGACAAAAATATTTGTCCGGCCCGTTTTCAACAAAGTTTGAGTCATACCTGGCCCTCGGTCAATAAAGTTTGGTGACCCCTGGCGCAGGGTTTGATCGTAATAGCAGAGCCATTATATAACGGCTTTGGTAGTAGTATATAGAGGACTTGCACGGGTCACGTGACTTTGTTACCGGACGGCAATAAAACAAAAACGTCCACTTGGCTCCTGTCAGTTGCAAGTCGGATTATACGTTTCCATTTTGTTTGGCTGAACGTATAGTATAGACAACGAAATGGATCTTCAGTTATATTCCACTGATTTCAAAAGATCCGGAACGTCGCGCAATGTAGATATCATCTATTGCCTACCGTATTGCTGTATTGGCAGAACTGCTTGGTGTCAAGTCCAGTAGCCATCTCACTTGTGTTTCACTGTTTGCGGACAGCACTTCGTTGATGGTGAGTGGTGATAGTGTGCCATTATCAATTTTTTTAAATATTCACAAGCTCCCTCATTTCAATGGCAAGCAGATGACAAACTACTGTTATTAGTAGGCCTAGGCGTGGGCCTACTTGCAGTTGCAGACTTGACTTGTGTGAGACAGTAAGGAATTAATAATCAATTGCTACAAGGTATTGTTCTCTAATTAGCAGGTAATCTATTACTAAGTGTGAAAGATAAATCCGGCTATCCTGGAAGAAAACAGCGACGATGATGAGAGCTCTCTGGAATTTTTTTAAATATTCACAAGCTCCCTCATTTCAATGGCAAGCAGATGACAAACTACTGTTATTAGTAGGCCTAGGCGTGGGCCTACTTGCAGTTGCAGACTTGACTTGTGTGAGACAGTAAGGAATTAATAATCAATTGCTACAAGGTATTGTTCCCTAATTAGCAGGTAATCTATTACTAAGTGTGAAAGATAAATCCCCCCCCCCCCCCCCCCCCCCCCAGATAAATCCAATTCTAAAGGTGCTTGTACAACTGACCCATAATGTCTTTTTATTGTCATTGGTAAAAAAGATATGCTACCCGGAATCAAATTCATTTACGACTAGTGGCTGTGGTGGGATATGGACATAAATTTCACACTCCTTGATCGTTAGATTTTATGAAAACTCTATCTGTATCCATTATCTTACAGATATGGGTGCGACCATGGAATAGATGGATGGCAAAGTATAAGTTGCGACAAGACCACAGTGACACAAGACCTCAGCTTGCGTGACTTGATAATACATCCTCAGTATCCATTTATTGATGCTTATCGTAATGACAAAGTAACTTGTGATTACTGTGAATTGGTGGAGATAAAGTGTCCATTGTGCTTTAACGAAAGCAACTTCAAGTCGACCCTATCAAGAAAAAAAAAATTGTTTCGGTGGGTCTGGTAGTGAAGGTTGTAGTCTAACGCTGGACACCGATACTACAACCAGATACGGTTGCCAATGAAACTTTCCGAGGCGTAATATTGCGACTTTGTGATCTGAAAGAAAATTCTGATGGGTAGCCGGCTAGCCGCAACCTTTTGTTTAAAGAATATTAAACTTTTATTTGAGAGGGGTGTAGCCCAAGCTAATTTGCAAATGGTATTCACGGTACCAAATGTATCACACACTTTACAGTAATTATAAATTATATTTGAAAAATAAAGCACATTGAAATTGTATTTTTAAAAACAATTGTTTTTTTCTGCACATACTAAGTTGATATTGAGATTGACCATTTCAATGCTTTGCAAAGATTTGTGAATGCGCACAGTACACCAATTTGTCCAATGTTTTGATTCCATAGGCAGGAGGTTGTAGATTGGTGCTGCTCAGGATGGGATATTTTGCCTCTAAATGCATATTACGTGTTTCAGATTCGTCTGTAGGCTCCAACAGCCTTATTTTATGGGTACACAAGAGAATTTTCAGTGTGGCATGCATGGGTCAGTTGGAGTCACTAACCTTAAGATATCTATAAGCAAGGATAAGATAACCTGGAAGTAACATTCCATAATTTAGAGTAAAAAATGTATCTGCCTCCACAGCCCTTTCAAAAGGAAGATATGATGCCTCGGGGGTAATTTCTATCAAATATTTTACAGTATTATGGTTCTAGTGAAAAGGGGTGTAGGCGGCTTTTTTGAAGTGTGGTAGGTCTAGTCGAAAGACACATTAAATGTTTATGCTCACAACTGCAAATTAATATTGCAACGCATAGAACTTAACAGAATTTGTTGAAATGGTCCTGCCTTTTGCCTTTTTTCAAAATCCCCCCTTTTCTAACTATTCTCTTCCTCTCTGGGGATGGCAAAAATTCAAATATCGATGGGACATATAAGCAGCTGACAATGGGTTATCTTCCCTTTTTCCTGAAAATAAATTAAACACTAATCATCATTTGACAGTGCCAAGTTTGTGTATCAGATGAGTAATAAATTACCTGCTAACTAACAAAACAATCAGACAACACTTTCTGACCATTAATGAAGATTTCTTTTAATTTAAAACGCAACTATGCCTACCAATGTGGGTAGTTTTTAGGATAGAATTTATCTGTGGTTGGGGACAGATTGCGAGGTGCAACATCGTACGATTACCATTCTATGTCGGGATTAGTTAGCCAGTTATTTGTTTTAGAAGCATGGACTTGATGGTGGGGGATGTCGTAATCGACCAGCGGTCGTGTGAACCACTCTCAGTGGAAGGAAAGCTGCAATCTCCTCGCACATAACTATCCCCGCATGGGATTGGAACCTGTGAAACTCCCAGGAGGATCAGAGATGCGGTGGCGAGCGTATTCTTAGATGGAGAATTCAATTGAATTCTGGTTATTTTTTGCATTATCACTGGCGTTAAACTTTAGTTATCTATTCAACTTTTCACACTTACTAATAGATTACCTGCTAACTAGGGAAACAATACCTTTATGGCAATTATTGATTAATACCTTACACGAGTCAAGTCTGCAAGTAGGCCTACGCCTAGGCCTACCAATAACAGTAGTTTGTCATCTGCTTTCCATTGAAATGAGGGAGCTTATGAATATTCAAAAAAATTGATAACTATGACTTACCATCAACGAAGTGCTGTCCGCAAACAGTGAAACACAAGTGAGATGGCTTCTGAACTTGACACCAAGCAGTCCTGCCAATAGATGATATCCACATTGCGCGACGTTCCGGATCTCTTGAAAACAGTGGAATATACCTGAAGATCCATTTCGTTGTCTATCTATACTATACGTACAGCCAGCGGAAAAATACGAAATAACCATTTTCAACAGCCAAACAAAATGGAAACGTATAATCCGACTTGCAACTGACAGGAGCCGAATGGACGTTTTTGTTCTATTGCCGTCCAGTAACAAAGTCACGTGACCCGTGCAAGTCCTCTATACCATAGGTTCTCAAAGTGCTCCGTACGGAGCCCCAGGGCTCCGCGAGAGAAACTTAGGGGCTCCGTGAGCTATTCGATTACTTTTTAAAATAATGACTAGTTTTGTAACTGTTCAAAGAAACAATAACAGCTTTGATAAAATTAGCCTCGAAATATGGCAAAGAGGCGGAATCGAAAAATGACATTATTTATAAGCTGGAGCGCAGCCAGGATTCTCAAGAGGTGGGGATTTGAATCGGAAATTTCCGCGCAACATTCTTTGCGATTATAAAAAACGGATAACGAGATTTCTGTTGCGTAAAATATTCAATGTATGGCCGATGCGAGCATTTAAAGTGTCTCGTCGTAATAATTCAATTGTACTCATAGTTACTCAAGTTTCATTCGAGATTACTATTAGGATTACTAAAATGAAGGAATACTATTCTAAAATACCATAAAATACGTGATAAACTGCCACCTATGAATAAATTGGAGTCGTATTTTTGCGATCTTGGAATTTGTCAAACTTGATTTGTTCTTTTGCACTCGAGATTATTATTAAGCAAGATATCGCCGTTAAAAAAATCACAAGATCTGGGCAAAATACGACTTCCGAAAATGTCAAAAGGGAAAAGATTCGACCCCTAGTTTATTAATATGTTTGTCAAGTGTCAAATTTACAGCTTTAGTAAGAGTATAAATAATTTATCTTTGGAATTTTGATTTATTTATGACTTGCATTAACCCCATTAAAAAAAGGTTTAGCCTTTAAATTAAGTTAAGTACTTTTAACTTACTCAGGAATATTTATCGGAAAGCTACAATTTTAACATTTCTTTTGGGGCTCCGCGAATAATGGTCAACCTTTTCAGGGGCTCCGCAACACCAAAAGTTTGAGAACCCCTGCTCTATACCATAGGTTCTCAAAGTGCTCCGTACGGAGCCCCAGGGCTCCGTGAGAGAAACCCAGGGGCTCCGCGAGCTATTCGATTACTTTTCAAAATACCGAATTGGCTAATTTTACTATTAGGATTACTAAAATAAAAGAATACTATTCTGGAATAACATAAAATACGCGATAAACCAAGCAAGCAAGATATCGCCGTTTAAAAAATCAAGAGGTCGGGGCCAAATACGAAAGATTGAAATTTATTTCATTGCATGCGGCTCCGTCGGTATAGTTTCAGAATGGAAAAATAGGTACATCGCGCGCACAATTGATTGTGTTCCGGTTTTGCAGTTACTACGACGAATAACCAAAGAAAACCCATCATACCACCAAATTTTGTGATTTACAAATGTCTATGAAAGCGTTTTTTAACTGACGTGAGTCTGCTGAAACAAAACTTAAAGTGTTATCTTTCATTTTAGATTTAATATTTTAGAATGCCGCTTTTCAATCAAGAAATTTGAGTTGCGGATTTACCTCTTTATTATTTGTTATTTTTATCATTTCGTCTCCGATGACTATAATATGGTAACATGTTTTTCGCATTAAACTCATAATTCCCCACGAGAACAAAAAAGCAACACTCGTCGTCATTGTGGAACAATACATGTATATGTCGAGGGAAATTTTTGATTTAGGGAGAATAAACAACGCCATGCTGAAGAAAACAATCGGCGATCGCAATAAAATGCAATCGAGTACGTTATTAGCGGCCTTTTAGGTCTTTTTTAAAAATGTCTAAAGGGAAAAGATCCGACCCCTAATTTATTAATATGTTTGTCAAGTGTCAAATTTACAGCTTTAGTATAATTATATAATTTATCTTTGACATTTAGATTCATTTATGACTCGTATTAACCCTATTAAAAGAGGTTTAGCATTTAAAATAAGTAAGGTACTTGTAATTCACTCAGGAATATTATTCGGAAAGTAACAATTTTAACATTTATTTTGGGGCTCCGTGAATAATAGTCAACTTTTTCAAGGACTCCGCAAAACAAAAAGTTTGACAACCCCTGCTCTATACCGTATTTACGGTTTGATAGGTTATTTAAAGATATGCCTCTAGTGGCCGATTTTCAAGAACTCCGGCTCGACGACTTCATGCGTTGTATTGTATTTTTCCGGTGTTTCACACCAAATCAGTGAGTACGATGTCTTCCAGTGACGGCGAGGATATTCCTCATGAATTGGAAGAATGTTTTGAAAGTTTCAGCGATTCCCTTGATAAAGTGGAAAGTGCTATCAAGCCTTTGTTGGACACGCCGCGTAATAAGGTTTGTATAAATGCTAAATACTATAAGATACCTGTAATTCAGTAATACATTATCTGTAATAGGATGGTCAGATCCCAAGAGTTTAAATGTCCAATCTCATAATATTAGATAGTTCGAGAGTTAACTTTTAAATGACGCAAATACTTTTTCAGCATCTCCATACTGTATTACAGGGTCAAGTTAATTGTATGCTGGTATGTGTCGATTTTGCATGTTGACTCATTTTCGGTTTTGTTTTACAGGAGGCCCATGCAAAACTAGAAGTTCTTGGTAAAGTGGGCTGCTTCCACTCTAATATCAGAATGTTACATAACGATCTTGTTACTCATTAAACTGACTCAATTTCTGAATTGAGTGACCATATTTCTGAATTGAGTGACCATTGTTTTTGGATTATGGATACCGGTATGTTTTGGGTCTTCATTGTCATAGTACTGTACCACATCATCACAAACATTCATAGCACCTTTTAATGATGGCCAAGATCAGTGTCGCACAATATAGTTTATTTTATTTCACTTTATTTTTAGATACTTCAAGACCTTACACCCTTGGATGTTGCAAAACTAGAACTTGTTTCAGCATACTCCATTAATTCAATGTTTTGGACTTATCTGATAACTCAGGGAGTCAATCCCAGAACACATCCAATTAAAGGAGAATTGGATAGGATAAAGATATACATGGGTAAAGTGAAAGAAATAGAAGACCGAGCAAAAGCTCCAAAGCTAGAAAAAGAAACTGCAAAACGTTTTATAAGAAATGCGATGTTTGATCTCGATGATAAAAATAAAGAAAAACAGGAAAAGTCAGACAGTAAAGGTGCTGCAAAAAGACACTCAAAGCATCATGATCACAAATCCAAAAAGAGGGCGAAAAAGAAGTGAAATGGAAAGGCATGATACCATTCCAAAAAATGGTCTTAAGTGATGAAATCCATCCAAGCATCGGTGAAGGTGGATAGCAACTGGTTGAAAAGAGCAATGGAAAATTAAGGTTGGCTAGTAAAAATGCTATTCTCCGTTTTTAATTATAAAGAACTTTTTTGAATAAAATAAAAGAAAAAAATGCCAGTAAATGTGTCTATAGTCTGGATCACAACCATTGACAGCACTCTGAAAGACCAGCATCAAAATGCCATGTATATTGTTGGCGTACAAATATTCTTATCAGGTAGAGAAACACACTGTCATTGTTAACTTGCAATAGTCAGAACCACAAAGCCTATGAATATGAAGCTGTTTCAATAAAGCCTTAGTTACGCTTCATGCCAGCATCAAAAATTTCTCAGCATGTACTGCGTAACCATTCTATTCACAAAACGCAACATTTGAAAACAATACATTTTAGACTCTATAAAATATCAGTAACACTGTGTCATGTGTCGTTTATATATACTGTATAGTGGCTCTGTGAATGATCTGAAGCAAGTCTTCATTAACTCATGACCATCAAAGTATGCTTACTTAAAATTCATATCTATTTTGTGCCACGTCAGCAATGAAAACCGTTTCCTCGATCGTAACAGACCCCCCTTTTTCCAAGCTATACACATTCTTCCTCATTCGACTTACAGCATATGCCGCATGTTGCCAAATTTCACACTTTGCAGTAGCGATCTGCCTTCATCTTAGATCTTCTGTCAAGTAGTGCTTCATGAAGTTTTCCTGAAGATTTAGCTTGGTCCAATTTAGAACTATCATCTTCATTAATTCTGAGCCTTCTATCTTGAAAGCTCTGAAACTTTTTAACATAATTAACTTCACAGTCCTTCAAGCTGTCAACCTTTTCTTCTACTGGTGTATCGTCCACTTTATCTATCCGTTCTGCATTTGAACGAATTTGCAAAATCTCTTCCTTACCAGCTGTCCTACTGGAAGCAACAATATCACCTTCCTCGTCATACGACATGAAACAATTATTTCCTGATGATAGAAGTGCAACTTTTCCTTCTTGATAGATGGGTTCCCATTGTTCCTTGGGTCCAATGGCATCACTTATTCCAACTACTTTACCATTCTTTTCAACTCCAAGATATTTATCAAAACCAGTTTTAAAAGCAACTTTTGTGTCAGACAAAGGAATGCCTGTTAGCTGCTCTGTGGGTGATGGCCCTTCTCCATCAGCATGAGGAGGGCCCAATGTGAACATACCATTGTCCATTGCTGAAACATATGCTCCTTTTCCGAATTCTATCGAAACATTCCCTTTGACTTTTTCTACAGTTTTTATTTGCCACCATCCACTGTGTAGTTCAACATCACGTCTTTCTTGTTCTCTTTTTTCAATCTCCCCTGGATCCTCTTTCTTCTTCTTGTGTTTTTTGTTCTTCTTTTCTTTGTGTTTTTTTCCCTTTTCACCTTTTAAAAGCAATTTTCCCGTTCTCACATGTTGATATTCACTCATCTTACTTTATGTCTAGCCTAAAGAAAAACAGAGATATTGATTGACACCAAAAGTTCATTGAATATAGTACACAGCTCAAAAGATGGAACATTGAATCATTTAGAAATGCTTGCTATAAGATTAAGACCCGAGAGTTGCATGAGTTTCTCTGATAATAACCCAGAATACAATTACATTCAATTCTAAAAAACCAACCATCATTGATTACAAATAAGTGTGGGTATTTTTTTCTCAAGAAAAAAGCAATAACAGATAATCATGTGGATATGGAAAAATAGCAAAACCAGCTCCCAGAGCAAAATAATGTATTGAATTCTGTTGGATATGATCATTTTTAAATAATACATTCCTAACATGCTTTTTTAAGCATGTTTGAGAATTAGAAAGGGTGGCGTCAGTCGCAGTATATTGTTTGTAAATACGCCATTAAATCAAACTACCACCAAAAAAGCTCATAATAAATCTCAAAACTGATATAATTAATAAAGGTGACAGAGCGTTCACTTTAACTGCTTTGAGCTAAATTTATAATATTTCACATCAAATAATATTTTTAATGTCCAAAATGAAAGAATAATACACATTTTATAAAGTACTCAGGGGGTAATGGCAATGTTTGAACATGTACGCTTTATGTACAATACAAAAGCACAGTATCTTTGTTATGCTTTGTTAATCATGATAAACCTATGAAAACTGCCCATCAGACAATTACCCAACACTTTTTGACAGGAGTGGAAATCAAGCCCAACACATTTTCCTTTTTTGATAATAGTTTTACCAAGCTAGCAACTTCTTGTTGCCAAGTTTCCCTTTCTTTTTTCGCTTTTGTTTCATTTTTTTTATAGCACGCCCATGCATCCATTTAGGATATTGTCCATTTTCATCAAGCATCGATTTTTTATCTCTTTTATTTTCAACTTCCATTTGATCTTCATTTTTTGATTCGCCAACTTTCAAATTTCCCTTTATTTCTGAACCTTTTTGAATTTGACAAACATCTTCAGTCATAATTACATCTTTGCAATCTTTACTCGATGCCAAAATTTTCTTTAGCTTCTCGAGCTCTCTTGGTGCATTCTTCTCCCTTTTCTTAGCTCTCATTTTTCTCTTCCATTTGCTTCTTAAACTCTTGGCCATTATTGTATATTGATGTAATAATTACTTTGTAACAATGGAATAGTCAAAGAGTTAGTTTTGACACCAATGTATCAGTAGTCAGTACTATGCTTTAATCAAGCCCAGTAAAGAGAATTTTCTGCACCAGAAAACTGATATATATTTTCAAAAAATTATTAATTTTCTGGCCTACTGGCAGACTGGCCTAAGTCACAGGATTTATTCATTAATTAACAAAATACATTCTTTTATCATCGCAATCAGTCTTCAGGTTTTAGGGTAGTGGGCTATAGTTACAATAACTGGATAATGTCAATTTTTCTTTTGAAGCAGCTTAGGTCAGTAAAATATTCAGATATATGGGTATAAAAAACATAAACGTTACCTATATTTGCTTGAACAGTTAGATGACTGAATGAGCTAACGGCTAACGCCAAACAAAAATGTTGTGCTTAAATACCGGTAACGCCTAACTGCCATACAAAAATATGATGCTCAAAAAACACTGTGGTAACTGCCTAAATCTGTAAACATCAAACAAAAACTTTGTGTGAAAATCCATACCTATATTTTCTTAAGAAAGGCTGTCTGGTCGGAATTAAATTAACATACGGTGCCGGTACGGTACAACAGTAATCAATTTTCAACCAAGAAGCATTCTATGGACGGCGGATAACAATAGTATCACAATTTTTTATTACCTAGAATGATTAACTACAGTATAACATCAGTTGCCCTTGAGAACCTGCCGCATACGGTACCGGTACCGCTGAATGTCCAGAATATCTAGCATAGCACATGCCGACGGCTCGCGAGAAGCATAGGGCTACAATAGATATTTCCCGACCCTTGACCCTCAAAATCCTATCCCATTCCTCCCTTGTTCATGTTAAGGTGTCAATAATGAACCTGTGGATCGATTTTATGAGTAGAAGTTTTAAATAGCTGTTCACATTTTACCCCTCATGCGCATGTTTCTTACTCTGTTCTTATTGTGGGGTCTCACGTGTTTTAAGGTAGAAAACACCGATTCGTAGACGCATGTTGACCCAAATATAGGATAGGATTTACATATTTATCCCGGGGGAGAGGAAAGCCGATAAGACGACTTATCCATATGGCGAACCACGGCATCTCGTCCGGTTACCATTCCAAGTCGGGTATGGGATTAGTTATATTGTTTGTTTTCGGAAGCATGGACTTGGTGGTGGAGGAAGCCGTAACCGACCAGCGGTTACGTGAACCACCCAACGACGGCGAGGAGTCCAGCAATCCTCTCGCACATAACCATCCCTGCATGGGATTCGAACCTGCGAACCCATGCAGAGTAATTAGAGGTGCGGTGGCGAGCGTATTCCTAACGCTTAGCCCGTTGAGCCACACCGCCGCGCCCAATATCCTATATAAGACAATATCCTAAGCGCATCTCGTTTGATATTGGGGTATTTTTCCATCGGTATGCTTTTCCATAACTCAATGGTCCCTTCCATTAAAACGCATTTCAGTTTGTCTCCTCACAAAGACCGATCATCTTCAACTCAGTTGCAGGCTTGCAGACTCATCTGAGACTAGTAGGAATTTCAAACAATCCGTCTCAGAATGAAATAAGTCGTCGACGACGTAATCTGTGACGTTTTATCTCCACTGCAATCGTAAATATATAGCTTCAATTACCTCACTTAATTGGTAAACTGCGCGTTTACCGCCGAACTTCGTTTTAGATACGATGACGCACAACCTGAATCCTGACCTGGTACACATACTATGGTCAGGTTGTGCGCCAGCTTGTTACACATACTTCGGGAGCACCCTGAAATTTGTAATTGCTAAGTTTGACTGTAACAGGTGGTCGGGCCGGAAGCCGCAAAACGCGAGTTTCTAATAGAACTGATGTTATAAAAATAGCATGTGTAATACAGAAACTCAGCAATTACAAAAATCGCTTTATTCGGTCACAATCATGGTGCTTTTACTTGACGGCATCCGGAGACGGAGCCATACAGTTTTAACTTCAACTTCAGCTAGTTGCATAGCCATAACATTAGTCATATCAGTGACATTAGCGATGTGTAGGCTCTGTTGATATTGTCCCCTATGACTCCGCGTGCCGAGGCTGCGTTTCCTTTCAGTTGTCCGCTTTCAAGTCTCTAGTAGGTAAAAAGACCCCACAGTTCAGTGCGAATATGTGTAAATCACAAAAGCGAAAACATAGCAAGCGCGTCATGGGGTCTCATGGCCCGGACTTAAGTGTCGCTATAGATGTAACAATATGTCAAAAGATATTTCTGGGTATTTTTATGGCGAAACAACACCAAATTCAATTTTTGTTTACCCTCCCGCAAATGCGACGCGTGCCACATGTGGCTCGCGGGCCTAGGTTTGGACCACCCCGACCTAGTCTATCACAACTTTTTCTGGGATAATTTTTGATTACTAAAACTAAGTTAATGCACTTCGAAAGACGATACAATCCTTAAATTAATAGATTGATACATAAATTTGGATAATATATATAGATAAATCAAATAGCAAGCAAAAACAAGCCGATATTTTCAACCATGTCCGAGCTTTTCTACGCTTATAAATTGTGTAGCAGATACACAAATATATACCAATACTTACATCGCCTTATTGTTGATTGGTCATTATTACGAAGTTGAGAAAATGCTCGAGGGAAATATCCATATTTTTTTCCTTATGTGGAAATGAATTTGCCCAAATGTAGTTTTGCAAAAAAATTATTTTACGACAATAGACTTTAACAAAAACATTTCGAAAACGCTTATTCGCGAGACCAATAAATTCCCGCAACTGTACTGCCGCATTTATTGTGTCTGTTTGTATATATCCTTGTTTTTCAACCTTATTGTTAACTTATTATTTAACTATTTTTATCATACTCTAATTTACTGAATTCAATAGAATAAAATAACGGAAATCCCACATACTGCAATACGGCATATATATAAATATAGTATAATATTTGCACAATATTACAATTAGCCTACCTATTCAACAAAACATAAAATTGAAAATGCAATCCCGTTTAGATTAGTAATTCAGGTATATAATGAAAAATGGTGGAAATTCCCACATACTGCAATATTTTATATAGTATGATATTTGCACAGTATTCCGTGAGTTATGATTGATTACTGCTTCAACAAAGCCTAATATAGGAATCGCAATTCCATTAAGATTGTAAATTCAGCTATTCAATGATTTTGAGACAATTACATAAGAGACAGCTTCACTCATAACATTCATCAAAATTATCTTCCTCCGTCCATGAAAATTTATCTATCTCTAAGGCTAAGCCAAGCAAAAATGCAAAATCCTTAACCATCACAATATCACCTCTGTGCCAGTCATCATTTTCTGGCCCGCAGCTAACCTAAATAAATCTATATGGTTTCAACAGCGAAGAACAGCAGTGTTTCTTAACCGGTTGGTTCACCCCAAGATGAATGACAATTTTGAAAGTGAGGTGTGAACAAATGAAGAGGTGTAAATTTAAATTTCAGTGCTTAAATATTTGTGTTGTCGCTACAAAGCTATTACTTTTATTTGTTTCTGAATTTCGTATGAGATTTGATATTTCATCCAAGATTTTATTCAACGTTTTTATCCCCACAAACATGACTGGCCTACTTCAAGGCTGTCCTAGGTTCTAATTTTACAAAGTCGTGCTACGTGCAAGCTGGAAGGTTTTTGCTAATGGTAAGGTAGTCAGTGTAGTTAAGTATCACAAATAATTCTAGTGGGCGTGACGTAAATTTTTTTGCATATGTCATTCCTGACACCTACGCCACTCAAATATTACGTAACCGTATGTGTAACGTATTTGAAAAAGTTGGTAATTTATTTATACATGTTAACTTCCTTCAACCTCTCTATCCGTGAACAAAATTCCACACAATAGGTCTATGACTTAAAATCTTTTTTTCTGAGTAAAATAGCAAGTTTGACACGAAAAAAATATTTAAATTGAAATTCATTGTCTCAAATCTGTCATTATCAAGCCGTCATCTGTATTGTCGGGTAGAAGAGCCAACCTGAAAAAACGTGAAATCAATGAATACACTGGTGTACATTGTGAAGTTACAATACATAATAATCAATTTAATATATATATATATTAAATGACTAGATGATACGAAAGGTACTACATGTATTAAATAAAAAGTCGCAAACAAACATTTTCTTTATATTCTTGTACGGAATTTGAGTGATTATTCAAATGTTACATAATATTTAATTTCAAAATACCACGAAATCAGAAAGAGTCTGTCTGGATTAAAAGATTGGAATAATAATTTGTGTCAAAAACTCCAGTCACGTTTTCAACCCTTTTGGAAGGGGGGCAATATCATTATAATTACAATTACCCAAATTCTTCGACTTTTTTCACCACCAATATCCCAAAACTTTTTCATCGTGATCTTTCAATTAATGAATTGCTTCTTCAGATTGGTCACCTATTACAATCACAACAATTGTTAGAAAGCTCAACATTCGCATTCGTTTTTATCTAGTGATTTAGATTTATTCAGAAATTAGAAATCGCATCAACATAACATTTAAAATTTGCTGTATGCAAAGTAATGCAATCTGATTATTCGACTAATAAAACTTGGAGAACACTTATGTTAGATAATATCGTCAACGTGTACAAATTTTAAAGTTGTTAGACTGCTAATCAAATTTTGTAGTTTTATTTAAAATGAGAAATATATAAAATTGTCTTTATCAAGCATTTCATTGTAGTGATTACAATTACCTAATCCTTTAATAGCTTTCACTATAGGAACAATCCATTGCAAAGGAATTTTTTCCTGATCTTTGTCATCATATGAATGAGATGCTCCTTCAGTTTGGTCACCTGTTACAATTACAACAATTGTTACGAAACTTGAAATTCAAAATAATTATTATCTGGTGTTTTGAATTATTTCAGTAATTGCAAATCGTATCAAAATATTAACTAAAATTTGCTGAATACATAAGTAATACAATCTGAATATTCAACGAATAATTCGGGAAGAATTAGGGAATGAGACAATCTCGAATATTTTCGACCGTCAGTAAGTAATTGATAATGTTGTTGTTGTCTGTTCAATCCAATTTTGTCGTCGATATTTGAAATAAAATTGTTCTCACGAAGCATTTCTTTGAATACTAATAACAATTACCTAATCCTTTGATAGCTTTCACTATGGGAACAATGCAAAGGGAATTTTTCCTGATCTTTGTCATCGAATGAATGAGATGCTTCTTCAGATTGGTCACCTGTTACAATTACAACAATTGTTATAAAGCTTGAAATTCAAATGATTTGTATCTGGTGTGTTGATTATTTTCTGAAAATGCCACGCCTATTAAAATAATATATAAAATTCGGTGAATTCATAAGTAAACAATCTAATTACACAACCGATAAATCTGGAAGAATTAAGCAATTTAGGGAATCAGGCAATTTCGAATATTTTTGTCGGTCAGTATAAGTTTTGGATAATGTTGTTATTGACTGTACAATCAAACTTTGTCGTTGATATTTATGATAAAAAAATATAATTTTCTTTCTGATCCATTTCATTGAATACTAATTAAAATTACCTAATTCTTTGATAGCTTTCACTATAGGAACAATCCATTGCAAAGGAAATTTTTCATGATCTCTGTCATTAAATGAATGAGATGCTTCTTCAGATTGGTCACCTGTTACGATTACTACAATTGTTACAAAACTTGAAATTCAAAATAATTATCTGGTGTTTTGAATTTTTTCAGTAATTGCAAATCGTATCAAAGTATTAAATAAAATTTGCTGAATACATAAGTAATACAATCTGAATATTCAACGAATAAATCGGGAAGAATTAGGGAATGAGACAATCTCGAATATTTTCGTCGGTCAGTATAAGTTTTTGATAATGTTTTTATTGTCTGTTCAATCGAATTTTGTCGTCGATATTTATTATAAAAAAACTAAATTGGTCTCATGATGCATTTTATCGAATACTAACAACAATTACCTAATCCGTTGATAGCTTTCACTATAGGAACAATCCATTGCAAAGGGAATTTTTCAAGATCTTTGTCATCAAATGTATGAGATGCTTCTTCAGATTGGTTATCTGTTACAATCACAACAATTGTTAGGAAGCTTGCATAATGCAATCAGATTGCTCAACCAATAAAACTTGAGGAATTATACAATGTAGATTATTTTGAACAGTTTCGTCGATTTCAGTCACCCGCTGTTATTTAATTTAGAATTCACTAATTTTATTGATTATTTAACATGCGTAACTCCCCAACTGATTGTTTAAATATGCATGTAACTGCTTTCTTGGTATAGTTTAACTATGTATGTCTGAGGAAGTCTGACCTTGGTCAGACGAAACGTTACAGAAATATATATTCGTGTTAGTGTGCAGCAAGGCTCTTGAATCACTTAGGATAGTTATCTTTACTTTTGCTACAGCATCCTTGCATTATATGCATACGGATTCACCGGCACAAAAACATAGAAGAAGGATAAGTAGTCAGTCTCGCACAAACCTAATCGTCGGAATAATCTATATATATATATGAAAAGAAGGCCTTGACAATATAATTTGAGACAGGGAAACAGTTACATATTGGAACTGAAAGTTTTGATAAAGCAAATTATATCAAGCTATTGGCAAGTGATATATATGCCATGTATCATGCTTTTGTACCATGTATCAATTGAGTGGAAATAAGTTCCAAATAACATACCGAAATCAGACGAAACTGTATCAAATATTTAAAAATATTGAATTGCGTTAGTTAGGTGTATCATAGTTCTAATAGGGCGCAACAAAGAAACTAATTCTGAAAATGTTTTGAGAAAGCAAGTCCAAAACGGCGTGCAAAATTAATGGTATCAGACAAATAATTCACATGGTCAGCTAATCTTGAACATTTTACAACATTGTGGAAAGAAACTTAAACTAAATTTAGGAGCATTTGGCAAGATTGATTACATTGTACTTGAAATTTAGAAGTTTATTCGATATAATTTAATAACTTTTCACAGAAAGAAATTGTAAAGTCATCAACTTACGATTCTCAAGAGACTTTGCACTGTAAAAAATGGAATAGAGATTATATTTGTTATAAAAATCCCACTAAAAGACATCGCTAAGATAAGATATTGTGGTTTATTTTATTTCAAAATTGTATGAGTAGGAATGTTTATGAAGTGATGGCATTCAACGATGCAACGAAGAAATCAATGATAACTAACCTGATCAATCCAAAACCGCATACCATCATGGCCAGGATAAATATTGCAATCTTTGCCGACATTTTTCTTCTCTTCGGTTGGAAATTCACTTGTTTTGTAGACTGAATTCGACGGTATGGTCAGTCCACTAGAGTCGGGTTTTATACATTTCACTTTTCCTGTTTGTAAGCAGATGTTTCATTTGTACAGATGTTTATATTATTGCATCTGGACTAATAAATACTAATTGCATTTTCCGGTTACCAAGAATTGAATCCAGCTGTAGCAATTTTGTTTTTATATTATGATGATCATATCACCTTATGTAACACGGAATAAAACATTTCTTTTAATCTGAATTGTTTTCAAACTATGACACTCATTAATATTTGTTAGACACACACAAAAATAATATTGCATCTGGATTGCATATTTAAATTACCTTAATGTAATTGGTATAAATAACAAGATAATTTGCCCATTCATCGAAATATAGTGACAACAAATTAATGAAAATCATTTCATAAAACAAACGTACGCGAGTTATTCAGTTTGGCATAACGCATCTAATTTAATTCAATTTGAAAGCGTAATAGATTGTGGAAATTTATATTAGAAGCCAACAAGCCGTTTCATTTAATACAAAAGATTTGATGAGTAGCTTATTCATATTTTTGCGCAAATTTTATTAATGTAATGATATACAATGATGCATTTATTGTGTTACCTAACTGAATAATTTAATAGATCTACTATTCTGTTTTAAGCAGCTTATTTATGATTTTTCTGTGACCAAACAACTCAATAATTTTAGTTAGATTTCTGGTTTTCTGTCGAAGCTTATCTCTTGCAGATAAATACCCATTTAAAAAAAGGTGATCCTGCAATTTTCTTGGAAATTGCGAAACACCATATTTGGGTTTCCAATGTGAGTCACGGATATTATGTTAGTATAAATAAAAGGGGCATAATAATTTCCGCTTTGATACATATGGTATTGTCTTCCACGAATTAATGAGTCTAGTCGTACTTACCCTTTATTACATATTAATTAATTTATCATTAATCAAAAAATTATTTTAATTTTATGTAAGTTCAACAGAAAACTAAGTAAAATCATTGAGTTGTTTGATCACAGAAAAATTATAATTAAGTTGTTTCAAACACTTGCAACACTTTCTCGTGTTAAACAGGTGACATATTTCGAATTATTCAATTCGATAACACGATACATGCATTGCTGTAGATAATTACTTTGATAAATATTGCACTCCTTCAATCTTTTGTATTAAATGAAACTGCTTGTTGGTTTCATAGAAAAGTCTAAAGAAAATTTTCAACAAGCTATCACGCTTTCAAATTGAATTAGATTAGATGCGTTATGTCAAATTGAATAACTTGTGTACCTTTATTTCATGAAATGACTTGAAACTAATTTGTTGTCTCTATATTTCGATGAATGGGCAAATTCATCTCTGGTATTTATTTCAATTATACATTATGATAATTTAAATATTCAATCCAGATGCAATAACAGATTCTTACAAATATTGATGAGTATGGAAATGAATTAAGTTGAAAAAAGACTTTTATTCCGTTTACATAAGGTAATATGATCATGATAATATAACAAACAATATTGCTACAGCTGGATTCAATTCATTGTAACTAGTAAAATGTAATGAGTTTTTATTTATCCGGGTGATATAATACGAACATCTGTAAAATGAAACATCTTCTTACAAACAGGAGAAGTGAAATGTATAAAACGTGACTGTCGTGGACTGACCATAGCGTCGAATTCAGTCTACAAAACAATTCAACTTCCAACCGAAGAGAAGGAAAATGTCGGCGCAAATTGTAATATTTATCCTGGCCATGATGGTTTGCAGTATTGGATTGATCAGCTTAGTTGATATTGATTTCTTCATAGCATCATTGAATGCCATCACTTTTTAAGCATTCCTACTTATTTCAATTTTAAAATTTTAAAAATAAAATAAACCACAATATCTTATCTAATATATTCTTTATTCTATTTTACACAGCGCAAGGTCTCTTGAGAATCATAAGTTGATGACTTTAAAATTTCTTTCTGTAAAAAGTTATTAAATATTGTAGAATAAGGTTCTAAATTTCAAGTACAATGTATTTCAATCTTGCAAAATGTTTGAAAATTCAGTCAATTTTTTATTTTCACAATTATGTAAAATGTTCAAGTTTGATTGATCATGTGACTTATTTGTCTGATGCTATTAATTTTCCACGGCGTTTTAGATTTGCTTTCTCTTTCTTGTTGTCCCCACTTAGAAATATGATACACCTAACTAACGCAATTCTGAATTTCATAAATATTTAATTATTTCGTGTGATTTCGGTCGGTATGTTATTTGGAACTTATTTCCACTCAGTTGATACATAGTACAAAACGCATAACACTTGCCAATAGTTTGATATATAATTTTTTATTAAAACTTTCAGTTGTCATATGTAATTAATTGCCCTGTCTCAATTTATATTGTCAATGCCACCCTGTCATATGTATATAGATTATGTTTTTGTTTTGAGTGAGTTTGGTCTACCATGCTATGACTAATATATATGTTGTAATATATACAATTAACGCGCAAAATATAGGAATATTTGTTTTCCACAATTTTCAATAATAATAACAGACGACCAGTCTAAAAAGGCAGTGCGTTCATCCGACAACAAAGACCATGTAAAATTTGGTTGGCGTTTATTGTTTGGAGACCAATCTGAAGAAGCATCTCATTCATTTGATGACAAATATCAAGAAAATTTTTCCTTGCAATGGATTGTTCCTATAGTGAAAGCTATTAAAGGATTAGGTAATTGTAATTAGCACTCAATGAAACGCATCAGGAAGACAATTTTATTTTTTTATTTAAAATATCAACTACAAAATTTGGTTGGACAGTCAATAACAACATTTTCAAAAATTTATATTGACAGACGAAAACACTCGAAATTGTCTCATTTCCTAAATTGTCTAATTCTTTCTGATTTATTTGTTGAATAATCAGATTGTATTACTTATGAATTCATCAAATTTTATATTTTATTTTGATGCGCTTTGCAATTCCTGAAAAAATTCAAAACACTCGACAATAATTATTTTGAATTTCAAGTTTAATAACAATTGCTGTAATTGTAACAGGTGATCAATCTGAGGAAGCATTTCAATCATTCGATGACGAAGATCATGAAAAATTTTCTTTGCAATGGATTGTTCCTATAGTGAAAGCTATTAACGGATTAGGTAATTGGGGGCTCCCGAAGTATGCGAACCAAGATGGCGGACATCGGAATGTAATATGTGTACTAGGTTAGGGTTAGGCCATAATTTTAGGTATAAATACTACGGAATGCTCTTGGCTAGTCTTCGAACTGATAATAGGACTAAAATAAGGAAAATTGGAAAAAAAATTATCGCCTAACCCTAACCTGTTATCCATGTTACGTTCCGATGTCCGCCATCTTGGTTCGCATACTTCGGGAGCACCGGTAATTGTAACCACTATTCAATGAAATGCTTGATAAAAACAATTTTACATATCCTTTTTTTTTTTTAAACTACAAAATTTGATTAGACAGTCAACAACATTATTGAAAATTTTACAGTTTGACGAAAATATTCAAAATAATTGAAAGTGTCTCATTCCTCATGTTTTATTGGTCGAATGATCAGATTGCATTACTTTTACATAGAGCATATTTTAAATGTTATGTTGATGTAATTTCTAATTTCTGAATTAAATCTAAAACGCTAGATCAAAACAAATGCGAATTTCAAGCTTCGTAACAATTGTTGTAATTTTAACAGGTGACCAACCTGAAGAAGCATCTCATTCATTCGATGACAAAGATCACGAAAAATTTCCTTTGCAATGGATTGTTCCTATAGTGAAAGCAATTAAAGGATTAAGTAATTGTAACCACTATTCAATGAAATGCTTGATAAAAACAATTTTACATATCCTTTTTTTTTTTAAAAAACTACAAAATTTGATTAGACAGTCAACAACATTATTGAAAATTTTACAGTTTGACGAAAATATTCAAAATAATTGAAAGTGTCTCATTCTTCATGTTTTATTGGTCGAATGATCAGATTGCATTACTTTTACATAGAGCATATTTTAAATGTTATGTTGATGTAATTTCTAATTTCTGAATTGAATCTAAAACGCTGGATCAAAACAAATGCGAATTTCAAGCTTCGTAACTATTGTTGTAATCGTAACAGGTAACCAACCTGAAGAGGCATTTCATTCATTCGATGACGAAGATCATGAAAAATTTCCTTTGCAATGGATTGTTCCTATAGTGAGAGCAATTAAAGGATTAGGTAATTGTTTTTATTATTCAACTGAATGTATCATGAATACAATTTTTTTTTGTTATCTCAAATATCAACGGAAAAATTTGACTGGACAGTCAATAACAACATTATCGAAAACTTATACTGGCCGACAAAAAATATCTAAATATTCCAAATTGTCCAATTCTTCCAGTTTTTTTGGTCAAATAATCTGTCGGCATTACTCATGCATCTATTAATTTGTTATTACTTATCGATCTCATCGATCTTGATCTGTAAGTATGTTGATAGGTATTTGTTTGTCTGTTAGACACTCGCGTATATCTCACGAAAGCGAGGTTGAATCTGCTCCGAATTTTGCATGTGCATTTGTCATATCTCGGACCAAAAGCCTATCGATTTTGGATGAATTATGTCGTAGAATTAGCGAGTTATAATTAATTAGTGATGGGACACGCGGTGTCGCTATTGATTCAGAGCGAAGGATACACGCCGCTAGATCGATAAGTCGGCTGTCTCTAATCGCTATCTTGTTTGTTATTTTGATGCGCTTTGCAATTTCTGAATAAACTCAAAACACCGGATAGGTATTATTTTGAATTTCAAGCTTTGTAACAATTGTTGTGATTGTAACAGGTGGCCAATCTGAGGAAGCATCTCATTCATTCGGGAGATCATGGAAATTTTTCGAACTATTGGTCGTGAAAAAAGTCGAAGAATTCAGGTAATTGTAATTATGATGACATTTAACGGCACTGTACCGCATTTAAAAGAGTTGTAAACGTGTTTAGAATCTTCTGGCTCACATTATTATTCCAATCTCTGAATCCAGGTCAACTCTAACTAAGTTCATGGTGCCGTAAAACTCAAATATAAAAGTTAAATAATCACTTGTTGTCGATACAAGAAAATAGAGAGAATAAATGTCTGCGACTTTTAATATTTTTGCATGTTTCAATATTATTACATGTAGTATTTTTCATGTTATTTTATTCAACATATATACAAAATAATTTATCACGCATTGTTATCTTGATACTTTATTTTGTAGGCTACTACAATGTATTTATTAATTTTTCGTTTCCAGGTTAGCTCTTCTAACTGACAATGAAGGTGACGGTTCGACAACAAAAGGATTCAGACAACCGATTTTGATTTGAATATTCTCTCTTGTCAAACCTAGCCTTATTACTCAAATTCAAATATTTTGAAGCATAGAACTTTTGGTCTAATTTCGTTCACGAATGACGAGAAAGGAGTTTAGAAGAAGCAGTAAAATTACCGCATTATAATTACATTACGCATAAAATTGTATATGAGGTTTTGTACCGTGTTTCCCCGAAAATAAGACAGTTTCAATTTTCTTTTGAAAAATAACACTATGTCGTATTTTCGAGGGAAGTCTTTTATTATCATTTATCAAAAACAAAATTACAAAGTACAGAATTAGAGATTTTCAAATATAAAAACCGATATCCATTTACTTAAATGACACGGTTTCCTCTTTCACACTTTTTAGATTAATTATTTAAAACATGTGGGAGAGATTTCTTGTTATCGACTAGGCAAAAAATATTTCGCGCCATTGACTAGGTCTTTTATTTAAATCATTCTTAAAATTCAGTCTGGGTTTTATTTTCGGAGAAACACGGAACTGATTAGAACACACTAGTGCGATCTGGGAATCTAAAATTTTGACCCCCTAATTGGAGAGAGAAATTTTGGTAATAATCAAATCAAAGGAGTCCCGCATTGTAACAGATGAATACTATTCTCTCCTTTTCTTTTCCAATGGACATTTCCCCGACCTTTGACCCTCGGAAAATTCTCCCTATACTTTACCATTGCAAAATTGTCAGGGCTATTTTAAGAGTGCTTTTGCGAGTTGGCGCCTGTAAAATGGGGTATGTGTTTCAAACCATCATTATGTTTCATCGCACACAACAATCTGTTTTTTAAAAGTACCGGTAAAGAATTTCAGGCTAGTCTATCACAGCTATTTCTACACTAACTTTTATTACTGCAATTAAATTAAAACTCCTAGAAAGACAGAGTGATCATTGAATTATCTGATTTTTATTCAAGTTCCCAAAACACAACTGAAAACTAACAAATAGAGTTCAAAAACGCGAAAACAAGGTAATGTTTACAATCACGCTTGAAAATCTGTCTGAGTGAGAAAAGTGTCTGAGCGGATGCAAAAAGGGGGCATTGTTACGTCACTTTTTGCATCTTGCTGATTGGCCAATGTCACGAAGTAAACAAGGAAGTCGGTGCTCGGGGAAAGGTTCATTACGTTAGGACCAGACGGCGGCGCCATAGTTACCACATATCTCCCTTATGCTGTATATCTGTCTTCAATTGGTGTGGATTTAAATTAAAGTTTAAATTTCTGTAAAACTCAGAATTCAATTTTTCGTTCTTCCAAATTGCTGCGCACTACCGATCAATATTTCAATGACTGTTCCTTAAACCAGCAAATACCTAGCAGAATTTTGTGTTGAAGTTTTGAGGTGTATAACACCTCAATGGAAACATCCACGCTGTTGATAATGCGCTTTCGTTGTTGATAATGCGCCATTCCTAATGCGACCTCAATTTTTGCAGAGCGCTGTTCCTTATCTAGGAGACTTTTAGACTATCCACAATCGCAAGTGCAGTTTTATGCACCTTGTGGTGTCTGAAGCTGCCGCAAAGCTATGGCGGGATTTCCAAACTATAGCCGCTATGGTCAAACCATCGAACCCATTGAGGTGTATATGACCTCAATGGTCAAACCATGGCGGCTGACTTTTTAGTTGCCACAAACAAATGACATGAGGCGGGGTACCACGGCAGCCTATTGAAAACATTGAGGTGATTGAAAACCATGGCGGGTAAAATTGCGCTGCCACGAACCAAGGCATGTAGGCTGTAATGGCAGGACTGCCTCCGCTGGTGACACACTTTGGGTAAGTTAGAACAATTACCTTATGAATACAGCTTTGATGGATTTCGGGTAGGTTTCAGGTTTAAGTAGATATAATTTCGCATGATAAACTGAAATCTGGTACATCTCTTTGTGAATATATCGGTAATAGCTCGGCTCGGCAGTGTGGCGCATCGTGCTAAGCGTTAGGAATACGGTCGCCACCGCATCTCTGATTACTCAGCGTGGGTTCGCAGATTTGAATCTAATGCGGGGATAATCACGTGCGAGAAGATTGCTGGACTCTTTGCCACTGTAGGGTAGTTCACGTAACCGCTGGTCGGTTACCTATTTCTTCACTATCAAGTTCATGCTTCCGAAAACAAATAACTGGCTAACTAATTCCATACCCGACCTGGTCTGGTAACCGGAGGAGAGGCCGTGGGTCGCCATATACGTTTGAGAACGAGTGCTCAGTACATGCAGAGACAATGCATAATGTTGGTATGTAAAATCTATGACTGAGCCATCTCATCGGTTTCTCTTTCCCCAGGGATAAATATGTAAATCCTAGCGCCACATACATACCAAATGACAAGAGACGCCGCGGTTCGTTCGTGGTAGGAGCCGCCATGGAGTGGTAAAAACTGCGCCTCAACAATTTAGCATTGTTCTATTCAGCTACGGTCTGACGGTATTGTTTTAGTTTTTACTGGTTCTAGTTTTTACGGGTTAAGTTAATAAAATTTGATAGTTTCAATGGTTTCACTGTCATACCGGTATTAGTAAGTTGGTACACGATACGGTACCGTTTCTACACAGACTGAAGACTTAATTTGTATATCTTTGACTTATTTCAGTATTTGTTGATTTATTTAATTATTTATTGATGAACCATGTTTGGAGTACTTTGAAAAGAAAAATCAGTAGTTTGGCTGAAATAACATCTTTAGTCAAAAACAAATGCGAATTATACGAACGTTTCAAACATCAGAACATGCCTGATTTTATGTTATTCGCACTAATAATTCTGTAATTGCTTTATTTCTGTATTTTCAGTAATTAATTATTATTCATCATCCTTTCACACATTGCCGTCTTAATGAAATTGAGTTGATCCCAGCACTTTTTTATCATACGAATGGCAATATCATGTGACGATTTATCAAAATCGGGCACTTTGTAAAAACCTATTTCTCAATGCAGCAATGTTTCAGATTTCTTTAGAAAGAAAATACGATAAAGACACATTTTGTACTGTTGTATGACTGAAATAACATCTTTTCCTCTTTTTGGTCGGAAACAAAAAAATTTGTACTTAGCACATAGCACTGTCACATAGCACAAGTTATAGCCTACATACAGACATACATATATTACTTATTATTGCACCTTTCAATATAAAAATGTTCATTTTAGAACAACTCAAACCTCAATAAATGCGCAACTCAAATCAGAATAAATGAAATGTGTGTGAAATGGTGCCTGATGAATTAGTGGGTGCCTGGTTTTTAAGAAAGCTTATAAATACTGAAATATGGCCAAGTCTAAAAGATAGGTCCTATTCTCCTCGCAAGTGGCCACAGACAGACAGAGGTTGGAAAAGAATATCTTAATTATAAGGGCATATTAATTATGTAGTTCACCTGGTCTACTTGATGACTTGTTTAGGGTGTACTGGTGTACTACCAACTGAACCTGTCACGAGAGGGATAGTGTCGCGATATTAATTGCGTAATAATCTGTTTGCTATATTTTTACTTCCATATTCCTGTATTCATCCTTCTGTCCTTGATTTTTTTCCACTGTATTTCTATATTGATTTTCAACAATTTCAATTTGCTAACAAACAGAAGAAATACTGAAATAACTGTCGTATGGTGTTTACTAATTGGTCAGAAACCCAGACAAACAATGTTCATTGAACTACTGTTGAACTTAATTATTTTAATTTTGTGTTGTTGTTGAAACAACTCTTTTTTTCTGTAGTTATGTTTTGTACGAATCAAATTTTACCACTGGCTGACTGGGGTATGAATTATCAGAATTATGTCATCCCATTCTGCTATTTATAATTTTCTTTCTTGGCTAGTTTGATGTCAACTCGTATTTGACTTACTGTAGTTTACTAGACTTAGCAGTTAACCCCTAATTTGGTCTGTATTTTTAATCATCAAATATGTTTCTACAGACCAAATACTTATTTTTGTGTTATAACACCTGGAATACAAAAACGAGCATTATAGCGGCAAACTGGGGGAATAACAATATTTGAACATGTCAGATTTCTTCGATGACGAAGCAGAAGAATCATCTGATGAGGAGTTTGTTGTTACGAAAAAGAAGAAACCAGTTCTGAGTGACGACGATGCTCCTTCTGAAGATGATGCCGAAGATGAAGAAGGTAGTTTTTGTCATAATATCTTGGAAATATCCATATTGTATAACGAGATGCAAGCTTTTCAACACGAATATACTGATATTTGGCTTTCTTTTCTATTGAAATTGTGTGTTCTATTACTTAATGGTTATGGGATTCCTTAGGAATTGCCTGACGTCTGCAATATTTTAAATCATGACAGAATTTAAACAGATTATGCACTGGTTTTTAAGTAAATTTATAAAACCAAAATCTGTTCTTTCAAAACATCGGTACCCTTGGATAATTTATAGATTCACTTATGAACCCTCAAATCAGTTGTTTTGTCTTGCTTGCATGCTGTGATTGGGCAAAAAAAGGTAATAAGTCATGTAAACTGCCAAAGTAGACTTGGTAGTTACTCCAGTTGAAGCTTCTACTGGGGTGAAAACCTGACTTCCTAAGGAATTTGTTCAATGTAATATTCATACTCCATTGTCATGAAGTTATTTTTCCTAGGTCTACAAATGAAAACAATTTTGTTGAACCTCAAATCTCAATCAATTATTTTCGCATTTCTTGCATTTTATTTTGAATTTTAAACTATACTAGAATCTGAGTAATAACTTGGAAAAAGTCACAATGAAATTGATTGTATGATTTATAAATGTTGTTGAAAATGTTATATCATAGGAATTTAATTAACTTGAAACATGGCCAGCAAAAGAATTCAATGATTCAAAGATTTTGAATGAAACTGAAATCTATAATATTTTCCTGACTACCTAATTAATTTTTTTCATCACCATTGACAAATTGCATAAAGCAACTCAATGGTACTTGTTATATAACTTGCTATTTTATATTTGAGCAACCAAACCTAATATATATAATAACTCTAAATTAGTCTCCACTAATTCAGGTGCAAAGTAGATGGCCTTCTGTAGTCATAATTTGCATACTAAATCTTGGTTTAACCCCTCTTTCATGAAGAAATAACAAGCCCAAGCCTATTATTAACCTTATATTCTTGTTTGCAGAAGTGGATAAAAAATTAGCTGCAGAAGCTGATGATCAAGGAAATATTCGTGACCTGATCGATGACGATATAGATGATGATGGTAATATTTACATTTTTATACTGTAGGATCATTAAAAATACAGTAATACTTCTATAGTCGAACATAATTCGTTCTTACGCGTCAAATATCCAAGATATTATCAAAACATGTACCTAAATAACAATAGTTATTTTAATGTGTACATAACTAAGATTAAACATAATGGAGATAAAAATATAAAAAATGTATCAGTTACTGAACGTTTGAGCAATTTTATGGGATTCGTTATTTGTGTGCGATAACATGATAACTGTAAGGTACAGTTTTTTTGTCATTTAATTCTGTATGTCTATATAACCGCAGAAGTATTATAAAAGGCTAATGCAGAATGATTAAACAAAAATTTTGGTTCATAAAACTGTTACAATATGATGCATCAACATTGTGATTGAGTTGTGTTGTTGATAATAGTAGTGTTTATTACAGTATGATCAACATAGCAGCAAACAGTAATTTATTTTCATTTTTTAGAGATGTCAATATTAATAAACATTGTATTCAACCCATGTAAATTACAGTAAAATTATTTACCATATAATTATAATCCGTGATTCAGTAATCATACAGAAGTAACTATTTCTGTTCGTGGTAGATTGTATTTATTATATATTTATTGAATGAATGTTGATATTAATGAAAAAAGTGAATTTGCAGATCAATTTTGTTTGATGCTAATCATTTTTAACAGAAGATGAAAGTGATGCCAGTGATTCAGATGTATCGAGTGAAGATGAAGAACCAGGAGGAAAACACAGAGATGTTACTGATGAAGAGGAAAAAGAGGAAGAGATCAGAAGTAAAAAGAAAATAGTTTTAAGATTGATTGGTTTTATTTTGATTATGCGCTATCCCAGCGGTAACAATAAAGTAGCCAGTAACAATTAAACATTTACAGTAAATACAATATCTAAAATATTCAATCATATATTAGTTATGTTTAACGCAATTCTGTTGATTTTTGGGGCACACTTAGCAAATCATTATCCAATGATGCCATTTTGGATAATTTGATTGGGATATTTTTAAAAAAAATGTGTATGTTGCATAATGTAACATCGTTTAGTTTGACTGTTGATGGATTATATTATTCTTATTTCTGCTTTTATGGAAACTACAGGGTGTTCTAAATCACTTTATGGACCATTCCAATTCAACATTTTATTAAACTTATCATTAAATTAAATTCTCTTGCAACATATATAATATATATAAATATATTATTTTTTGTTCATTAATTGATTGATTAGATTCCATGGCTAAATATCATTCTGAATACATTCTGAAAAAATATATTCTTATATAAAATATTGACTATTCCGAATAATTTCTTATCCAGTTTTTCAGAAATGGTTTATACCTCAAATATTTTTAGTGTTATATTATTTGTAAAGCCATATTGCTCACTAGTAATCGAATTATCATCAGCCACTCATTTCTAGTACTTAGAATCTTCCACCTAAAATTTTTCAGCAAAACGTTCAAAGCGAAAACACGACCATCGGCTTGAAGACGATGATCTTGATCTAATTGAAGAAAATTTGGGAGTAAAAATAAAAAGAAAAAAATTCAGCAGATTGAAAACTGTTTCATCGGATGAAGATGACAGTGACAAAGAAGAAGATACCGGAGCAGGAGGACATCGACAAAACGTCGCTAATGAAATCTTCCAAGGAGAGGAATATGATTATGAACCTGGGCAGGTAAGGAAATTTATTATATGAAACTAGTTTCCTTGAAAAAGACCTGAGCTTAGTTGTCGTGGTTGGATTATTAAGTGTGTCTAAATGAATCTGGTTCTAGTTTTTAGAGACATTTGTGTTTGTGAGCAGACAAGGATGTTTATAGCAAATCGAATCTAATAGAGAGTGTATTAAATTGAATTTTTTTTTTATTTGAAATAAGTGTGATTCTACACGATTGGCAACTGGTGTTCGGACCATTTCCAGGTTATTTAATCTTCTGATAACTGCATAGAACGATTCGAAGCAGTCTATCTTAAATTTGCTCTATTATGTATTTGAGCTTAATGAATATGTGAAATTTTTGTTAAACATGGGTACGTGACCTAGGTTAGAATATATTTTCAAAATTACTTTTCCATAATGTCCTTGAAAAAGTAAACCTAGCAAGACTAGAGTTCAGAAGCATCTATAAAACTATAAAATTTCTTTTAATACAAAATGAACTTTTTCAAATATGTAGAGTGTGGACACATTGCTCTTTATTATCATTAGTAGTTTCCAATTTCAAGAATTTGTGGAAAAACAAGCTATATTCAGAATCTAGACTTGTTTGAAAAAATGATTTTTTTCAGTCTAATCACTGAATTGTGTCCCTTGGTACGGTAATCAATGCTTTGTTTTTATCATGCTTTCTTCATTTAGCATTTACTCAAACCTAATATGGAGTTTTCACTTCTTCATTAGGATCATCGTCAAGAACCTGTTATTGCTCCAGTTGATGAAGAAGGTGAAGAATCAGACGAAAGTGATGTTGATGATTTTATTGTTGATGATAACGGAGAACCTATTAGTAAACCTCATCAACCAGGACAAAAAAGAAAAAAGAAAGGAGATGCGTAAGTATAGTAATAATAGCGACGCTAGAATTAGGTACGTCAAGAATGAATCAAATATTTGAAGCCCTTACTATTAATATCATATTCTGAAAAAATTTGGAATGTCTCCATTTAATATTTTTTTTTCGATTATTCAGACTAATATCTCCTTGTGATAATGAAGTAAACTAATAAAAACAATGTTTATTTTAACTTTTCTGCCATCTAATAATGTATTTCTTTCAAAATGCCATAATTTCTATTTCCTTTATCAATCCTTCATTGTTATGCACGAATATTTTTTCATTATGGATTTGGTAATATTTAGGCCAATCTTTAACTATAAAACAAGATAGCGATCAGAGATCGTCGACTCATCGATCTAGCGGCATGTATCCTTCGCTCTGACTCAATAGCGTGAAAACTTTCTCGATGGAAACTTGCGCATCGCACACACACACTCAGCTCAGCACATGCGTGCTCTTGCCTAAAAAGTCTAGGTCATACACGTTCTCTCGCTTTGCAAAAATCTAGATCTCTTCATCACTAATTAACTAATAACTCGCTAATTATACAGCATAATTCATCCAAAATCAATAGGCTTCAGGTTCGAGATATGATGAATGCACATGCAAAATTTAGAGCAGATTCTACCTCGCTTTCATGAGATATCGCGGGTATCTGTCAGACAGACAAACAGACAAATACCTATCACCATACTTACCGATTAAGATTGATAAGTAATCAGTGTATGACTCAATTTTAATTTATAAAACAATTACTACTGGCATTGTGCTTTGCTCTTCTTTTGATTAGCTGTAATAAAAGCAGAATTAGTGTGACCAACTATTCTCACACTTTCTCTATTTTTTGGATAATTTCAGAGCTCTTCAAAATTTACACGACATATTCGGTGTAGATTTTGACTTCAGCGAATTTGAGAAATATGGTGACGAATACGAGGATGAAGAAATGGAAATGGAAGAAGATTATATCGATGAAGTAAATATAAAACTCATCAATTTGATTGATTTATCATGAAATTTCAGTAATATTTACAATTTGTTACCATTTTCATTTTAATATCATAGATGGATGAAGAAGGAGTAATAGTTGACAGTGAGATGCGTCCAAAGAAGAAAAGCAGAAAGGCAAAGAAAAAGAAATCAATTTTTGACGTATGTGTTACGGTGTTTTGATTTGTATTATGTATTATTTAGATTATCATGAAATTTATTTCCTCTTTATTGAATTATGCCTAAAATCTGACGCAATTTAACATATGAATGAAAACTTGGATCTATATATGATCTGTTTAAAAAAAATTGAGTAAGATTTATTTACAACTTGTTTTTTATTAGGTATATGAGCCTGACACTTTAGAAAGAGGGTATTTCACCGACTTTGATGCTGAAATTAGGAATGCTGATGTCCCAGAAAGATTTCAACTTCGTACAATACCAGTCAGGTTAATATATTGTTTTTATATACCGGTACTTAGATTTAAAATATTCACACCTTACATTGTTGGTGATAGCTTATCAGTTGCATTAAACAGTATTATGCTATTCATAATTTTTCAGAAATGAGGAGTTATTATTATTGTTATTGTTTCTCAGATAAGTTTGGAATTATTAAGAACTATTGATAGCAGTAGTAACAAACTTTTTTTCATTTTATATATTTCCTTTTTGCCTATGATGGTTATCTTTATTCTCCCCTTTCTGTGCAAAAAACTCAGTCTGTTCAATTTTAAATGAATTGTTAACTTGTGAAAAATTGGGCTCGTTCTCCAGCTTTTGCACGGTTTGATTAGTTTATAATGTGTCTGTGAGTATATTTTATGATATTTCTAAATAGCTGAACAATATTAGTAAAACTTCAATAAATACTTACGTATTACCTTCCGAAAACAACAAATTTTTTCATGGAGAATTCTGTGACCCTGCTTGAGAAACACTGGGTTAGAGCGGTAACATGAATAAACTCATTAGCTTAAATTGAATTTATAATTGAATATAAAATAATTCACATTTTAGACCGGCTGATAATGCAGAACTGGAATTAGAGGCTGATTGGATTTACAAGCATTGTTTTGTTGAAACGACTATTTCAAAGCAGGTATTATTGCCAGTTTCAATTGCCATTTTTTTGTGATGAATATGCCACAGACAAAATACATTTGAACTTTGAACAACATGTTCCTTATATTATTTAATGCTTTTTTGATGATTTTAAAAAAGCACCTGATTTGTATTAAAAAGATTTTCAGATTGATCAGAGATTGTCTCTATTTTTATTTATGAAGTGTTATGAAAATATGTTGCTGTACTGAATATTATAGACAGTAATCCTTGTATTTGGATAACATTTCTAGTCACGGATATGATATGCAATGCTAGTTTGTAAGTAGTTGAGTTTAATTCATAAGCTCCAATTCATAAGTCTAAAATTTATTTTCTTCAACAGGAAAACTACGATGACATAGGCGCTTCATCATCACTAAATCGAAAACCACAATCTTCTGTTGCTAAGATTCAGGTAATGACTGCATTATATCTTGATGCTTGAATGCTTCTTGATATGTCATGCAGCCTGTTGTGGAGTGTTTATAAGGCAGCCCATATCCTTCTACTGAGGAGAACATTCACTTGGTGATTGAGAATTTATATCAACCGATTGCCTGAGTACATGTATTTTGTGGAATAGTGAACAGGGGGCCACGATTGCTGAAAGCCTCATGAAGTCGTCACAAGCCATAAAAGATTGAAACCACTGAGATGAATAAATTCTCACTCAAGTTCCTATTTTAACTTCGATACATCATACCCAAGTCTTTTCTTTGTATGTTGTAATTGGAAAGTTATACAGAATGTTTTATTTCTTTCCAAGTCTATTTTCAATGAAAATTAATATTCTTTACTTCCTTCTTGCCAGGATTCTCTTAACTTCATGAGAAATCAACAATTTGAGATGCCGTTTATTGCATTCTACAGAAAAGAATATGTTGAACCTGAATTGAATATATATGATTTGAATAAGATATATCACTGGGATGAGAAGGTAATTTTCATTTTACATAATATTTACATTTATTTCATACCATCTTCCACGCTTTTAAACACCTCAAATTTTATTTTTAATCTTGGTTGTCTGATATCCTTTTTGTGTTAGTTAGCACTTGAACCACATGAATTTTATTTGGTCATTTTCTTCTTTATAATCTTAACATTTGTGTAACTAATCTATGAATATTACTTCTCGAGAAATGCTATGGAATAACAGAAATACCATATATGGAGAATCCCTGGTTTGAACCACTGTTCTGAGATGTCATCTCTCTTTTTTAAAATTTGCGTTTCTGATAGTGATAATAGGAATATTTTCTATTTTCGTTTCTAGTGGACTCAACTTCTCAACAGGAAAGCAAACTTGACAAGACTTTTACAGAAAATGCAAACATATCAATATGAACAGATATCAAGAGATCCTGATAAACCTTTAGGAGATAATATACGTGCTCTCACTGATGCCGATATTGAGAGGTTTGCAAAGTTGTCCTGATTTTCATTTTTTAGAAGGTGTTATTGAGAACATGTTTGCCATCCTCATGCACACTTGCCCCTGATTACCCTTCTCAGGTCCTAGTCCAGGTATAATTATGTGCGAGACAGATGCAAGACTCCTGTAAGATGGTTCATGTAACCGCTGGTTAGTTACGGCATCTTCCACTGCCAGGTCCATGCGTATAATACAAATAATTGCTTAACTTTTTTCCATACTTGGCATGGTCTGCTAACCGTAAGGCTGTGGTTCATAATGTGATTAAGTCGGCTTCTAAACTTTTCTCTCCAGAATAAATATGAAAATCCAGTTCCTAACCATTATGCCGTGAATGACAGCAAATCTCAAACCAATAAATTCTCTTACCGGTATGTCTGAAAACTTTGTTACAGAATACAAAATGTTCAAACCATGGATGAATTGAAAGATGTTTATGCTCATTTTCTACTTCATTATGGTAGAGATATTCCAAAGATGCAGGTCAGTTCAGAAAATAGAAATAAGATGTCACAAACTGTTTTTTGAATCTATGAAAAGAATCGGATAGGTATATAGTTTTTGCTAAAATTGTAAATTTAAATACAGTAATTCTCTTAATACACAACATATTGAAAATGCTAGAAGTCATGTTGTGGACTAAAAAAGCATTAACTTTTGCATAGCTTTATACAGAGATACACCTTGAGGTTATAATTTTTCTGTTCCCTCATATAGCTACATTTTAATTGCGATGTTGTGTTTCCACGGATTCGAGATGTTACATCTGATTCATTTTCTTAGAATGCACTCAGAACACAAAGGCAAAGGGAAAGAAATGAAGATGGCACGTCTGCTGAAACTGATGAAGCTCAAGCAAGTGACCTAAAGCAAGCTTCAAGACGTGATATGTACACTGTTTGTTTAAATGCAGGACTAGGTGAGAAAGGTTACTCTTTTTAGCTTCAATGATGATGAAATATTTTTTTTTTTCAAAATGGTAGAAAATTATTAACTGCAATCTCAATAACATTCATTTTTATACGATGCTTTTTCATACCTTTTGCTTGGAACAAGGCCCTGTACAAGCAGCCATTCAACAAAAAGTAAAGAGCTACCATTTTTCAAAAGGCCGAAATCTTTCAAGTTTGGCATTGCCTACCCAATTTGTTACCTCCTGGTTGAGGTGCTGATCATGGGATTTAAAATATTGCGACTGGTATTGAGCTCATATCCCCTTCTATGCACTATATCTGAAATTTCTGGGCAAAATATCTTCTTGCAGCTAGGCCTGCCGTATTTCACATTCATTCATTTATATTTTGACATTGTTGATTCATAACAGGAAAGCTATGATGTTGATATAACTGTGGTATATCTAAATCATTTCCTATGCATTTTGTAAAAGCATTTCCTGAGCTATTTATTATTAGAGTATATCATTGCGTTGGCATACATTATTATTGACAATATTCAACAATCTACCTGAAAATACACTAAAGAATTGATAATATATTTTTAATTTTTAATTCAATCTATTTTCAAGCACCTGCTAAAATGATATTTTTGAAAGTTTGACACTATTTTTGATATTTGAAAAAAATGCTCAATTGTGTTCTTGTTTCTGATTAACTGATCCTAACTTGTGATATATCTCCCATTCACACATGATTTTTCCATTTTTTAAAATTAAGCTAGCTAATTATTTTCGTTATATAGGTGGTGTTGCAAATAAATTTGGCTTGACACCAGAGCAGTTCGGAGAGAACTTGCGAGATAATTATCAACGACATGAAACTGAACAATATCCTGCTGAACCAAAGGATCTTGCTCAAGACTTTATTACACCACAGTTCGATTCAATGTAGGTTGATCATTTTGAATATTGTTTCACAAATCCTTATTTGGAGTGGGAGATATCAGTACGTTCAAAGTAAAGAAGTTCTCGTACTATGTGCAACAAGATGGCGGACGCAGGAACGTAGTATGTATATCAGGTTAGGGTTAGGCCATAATTTCAGGTATAAATACTATTTGGCTAGTCCCCGAACTCGTAGTAGAACTAAAATAAGGAAAATTGGAATAAAATTATGGCCTAACCCTAACCCGGTACACATACTATGTTCAGGTGTCCGCCATCTTGTTGCACATACTACGGGAGCGCCAGTAGTTCTGCATATAGCAGAGGTTGCTTATACAGAGAACTATTTGGAGTGAAAGGCCTAAAAAATGTATTGAAAACATAAAATAACTTTGGTTTGTGCAATCTAAAGATATCTTATTCTGAATATTTTTAAATCCTTCACAGAGCTGATTTTTAATCTATCTTCAACTAAACTCTAATGTTATCTTATTCGTTTTCTATTTTCCATAGTGAAAAGGTATTGGAAGGTGCCAGATATATGATGGCAATGCAGCTTGCTAGAGAACCACTTGTTCGACAATGTGTTCGTCAAACTTTCCAAGAGCGTGCAAAAATTAATGTAAATCCAACAAAGAAAGGAAAGAAAGAAATTGACGAAGCTCATCCTTTGTTCGGCGTTAGATGGTTGAGAAATAAACCAGTTAGGGATTTGAATGGACCATGCTTCTTGCATCTCGCTAATGTGAGTTTTATTATAGGTTTGATCTATTTTACTTCAAAAATTTGGATGAAAAAGATGGAAAAAACTAAATTTTATAAAATGTCATGTAATTTATAATATGTGATTTCGGGAAGCAATTTTTTGATAACTTGATTCTTTTTAATTCATTCAAAAATGAACTTTATTTGTTACTTGACTTGACTTACCCGTTACCCCAATACAAGAATATAGGGTAATGCCCTGACAAATTTTGCTGTATTTTGCTTCACTGATTGATTAGTATTATTAATCACTTGTTTTTACAGGGTGAACTTGAACGTTTGGTTGAGATTGATATTCGGATCGACATGAAAGATTCTGATATATCAGGAACACATACTTATTTTGAAGAAATTAAACAGTTGTATTACAGAGTAAGTTTCAATTTTTCAACTTACCAGTTTACACTTTGGTTTTAGTACTTTGAAATGAGTGATAGAATTTGATAAATTACGCTGCCATTCACGGCCGGGGTAGTCTGTGTGAAATCACAGTGGCTCCTGCCTTGACCCCATACCCATTGAGGTTTTTGAGGGTGACACCCACAACGCAATATCTGCCCAAATGCAGTTTTGCAGAATCAAGGGTCAAAATTATAATATACCGGTAAGGGTTTCAAATTTCAAAATTGATATTCTCAAACTTTCAAATATATAAATTTGACTCAAAATTTTCAAATTTGAATTTTAGTATTAAAAGTTGAAATTTATACAAAGTTATGAGCTGATAGATTTTATTATCTGTATGAAATATTACTAAACTATGGGTGTTTGGAATTGATTAGATAATTAGGAGCTTGAGCCACTGGAATTTTATGTTAGCTCCGGCCCCAGCTCCACCAAACTATAACAGCTCCGGACTCCGATTCCGGCTCCCAGCCCTGCTGCCATGTACTGTATGTCAGTTTTCTTTACAAAGCAACAGTATATATGACTGGTTGACTGCTTGCCTGAAGATCATTTTTGGGCACTCCTGTAGTATGTGAACCAAGATGACGGACACAGGAACATAGTATGTGTACCAGGTTAGGGTTAGGCCATAATTCCAGGTACGAATACTACGGGAGTCACTTGGCTAGTCCCCGAACTCACAATATAACTAAAATAAGGAAAATCAGAATAAAATTATGGCCTAACCCTAACCTGGTACACATACTACGTTCAGGTGTCCGCCATATTGGTTCACATGCTATGGGAGTGCCTATTCTTTTATTGATAATATTTTTTCATATTGAAACTAATGACTGTTGTGTGGTTTGATTTTAACTAACTGTCTAATATTTCTTCTATTCAAAATCGAAATATAGGATGAATTCAGTCATCTGGTTCAAGAATGGAATTCACAGAGAAGTCAGGTCATTGATTCAATGCTGAATAAAATATTATATCCTGAATTAGTGAAAGAAACAAGAGCAACTTTGTTACGGGAAGCCAGGGAAGGGATAATAAATGTAAGTCATGAAAAGATTTTATTTTCAATAATATAGTCCTTTGTAATAGTAAGTTGTTGCCAAGTTATGGAAACAATTCCTATAATAGAGGTATTTAACATTCATTATTCTCCAACTTTTGATGTTATGGACTATGGTGCCCCTGATAAGGTTGACTAATATTTACGGCTCATAACAATTAATTTATGAAAATAAAAACCAAAAAACACATTGTTACTTGCCGATTAATGTACCTGAGTAAATTAAAATTACTTCATTTAATGACTCTGATGTATTCATCGTTGTCAAATTTTATCAATACATTATTGCTTCTTTGGACAGTTACAAAATAAGCCAAGAGAGTAATTTAATAGGTAAACCAATAGCTTACGGAGACCCTGGGGCTCTGTATGGAACACTTTGAGAACATATGCATTATGGGACTAATTTGAGACTAATTTTCAGTATCTCTGTTCGTTTCTAGTTATTTTGAACCTGTAATATCCTGTATTACCTTTATTATGTCCAATCCCTATCATCTACACATTTAAATAATCAGTGTTGTTTAGTGACATGTTTTTTTAATATTTGGGGTATTTTGGAATGCGTAAGAATGAATAAAAATAATTATCATTATTTGGTATGGCAAAAAAATTGCTGGTCGAACACAATCCTAAATGAATGATGTTCGACTACTGATGTATCACTGAATTCCAAATTATTGCGCTACATATTTTATAACCTATACAACACAAATTGCACTAGATTACTATGTTGCAACTTGCTGGGTATTTTTCTATTTCGTTTTCAACTTGCACATGCATAGTCTATGGGCTCTTTATAATTTTTCTGTGGATTCCCAACTTAGGAACCAATTTCCAACGCATTAAGAACCCAGTACCTAAATCTGATTGCCTATTTTTCAGCATTGTGCTCTAGCTCTGAGAAAATGGTTGTCTGTTGCTCCATATCAACCTGAAGAACGTGAAGATGAGGAAGAAGACGAAGGAAGACAAGGCTGTGTTGTTATGGCTGTCAGTTATAGTGATAACAGGTATTTTAGAACATATTCCACAGAGAACATAACTTTTGTGCAATATGTCCGAGATTACTTTTTGGGGGTCATATAGGTTTGAGCACCAAAAGAACTATTATAATACTTGAAAAGGGCGCTTCCGTAGTATGTGCACCATGGCACACATTCTGAATTCCAACCTGGTACACATACTATGTTCGGTTGTGCGCCAACTTGGACATACTACGGGAGCACCTGAAAAAGTACTGTGTCCATTGGATTGATATATCATTTTACGCTATACATAATTCTTTATTATTAAAAAAGTGAGTATATTTTCCCTTATTGTTTTGTTTAATTGCTTGACTTCAAAGTATTGAAAATCGACCTGCTCATGCAAAACAGAAGATAAAAGTCTGCCTTACGTTGGTGCACTGTAGCTTGTTGTATATCAGGGGTTGCAAGTCATTGGCATGCCCGCACGTATTTCTAGAGAGTTGAAAACCGATTCGGATAATACTTTTTATAATAAAATCAAGCAGTGATACATTTTTCGAAAAGAATATAGATTTATTTCCTCATTGCATTGCATCTCAAAAAGTTTCATTTGAATATTTTCGCCACCATTGAACCCTTTGCACTAAGCAGCATTAACTTTTCTGTGTTTTATTGTCATTTGTCTAATTATAATTAAATTATAGGCTCATTAAACGAGTAATTGGGAATTTGTACTTGTTAGATTATAATATAATTTAGTCAACATGTGTCTCACAATAAATTCTGTTATGTAAAGAATATAATCTTCAAAACAGCCGTTTTGTTACTACTATACAGTGAAGCGTCGCGGGCAGGATCATAGTACTCCATGGGCCGGATGCGGGCCCCTGATGTATATAGAGTAATGTCTGAATTTGTATTTTGCATGTGGAAAAAGTCAAGACGTTAACATTATATAATGGATTCCATAGGTGTTTATATTTTTAAGGCTTCTGTTTTTTTTAAAAACTATGTAAAATTATGTTCAACCTCTCTTCAGAGATTCAGCAACATTTGCCACTGTAATATCTGGTGATGGAGAGGTTACAGATTTCCTTAGACTTCCGTTCATGAGAATGAGACGTAACGCACCTATAGAAGATGATAGAAAGAGGAAAGAAAAAGATTTGGACAATATCAAAAATTTCATCACTAAGAGGAAACCCCATGTAATTGTGATCGGAGCTGAAGACAGGTGAAATTATTGTTGAAGTTTATTTTATTGTTATAATATGTTGGTAATACCTAAAAAACTAAATCCAAATGGAGTTTATCTGGACAATATGTATTGTATTATGTACATTTTAGTTCTCAACTTTTCGAATCGGGATATGTTGATATTGATGGTCATTTACAATGTTGATAATTCATAGTAATCAGGGTATGCTCAAATTCAGCGGGAAAAAAAACACAAGAAGGGTCTTACTTTCATTTTTATTCCTATTAAATACAAGACATTAGGTGTAACTAATATGCATGACTGAAATCTAAGAGAAAGTTTTAGGGGTAAAGTTATTTGTGTGTATAATTGCATAAAACAGAATGAATAGCAATTTACGGCATTGTACTAAGCTCAATTATATATATCATGAAGAATTGCATTCACTCGTAGCAATTATTATCACTGTTTTCATTTCAGGTATGCACTCATGTTGCAAGAAGATATTAAAGAATGTGTTACAGAACTTGAACAAGAAGGAAGCATTCCTGCTATCAGTGTTGAACTGATGGACAATGAACTAGCTGCTGTCTATGCAGCTACAAAAAGATCTGAAGTATGTTGTTTTAGATTAACAATCAAGCATGTTTCTGCTTGTGAATTTTTGTAGGGTATTGCTTAAAAGGACCACAAGCATTTTGTTGAATATTCCAATGATCTGATTTGTGATTCCGAATCTTGTGTGGGCATGATTGCTGAACTGCTTGCCTTCATAGTGATGGTTCACCTAGATGCTGGTTCATTACGGCTGCGTCTGTCATCCTGCATTCGTACAGAATTAATTGGTTAATTATTCCTATACCCAACTCGATATGCTAACTGAATGAGAGACCATGGTTCGTCACATGAATAAGTGAACTTTTAAGTTTTCGAGGATGACTATATAAATCTTATCCTATTTTTATTTATCTTCAATCTGTGATTTCTACAATTTTAGATTTTTAATAAATGAACACAATGAAAATCATCATGTTCTAATTGCTTTTGCAGACTGACTTCCGAGATTATCCTGTTGAATTGCGACAAGCTGTATCATTAGCAAGAAGAATGCAAGATCCTATGCTAGAATTTTCACAACTATGCTCTCAAGATGATGATTTGATGTGTTTGAAATTTCACCCTTTACAGGTTTATAAGTGATTTATATATACTAACAAATCCATCTAAGGTCCTTTTTACTTATTCATACATTAATAGTTTTTCTTGCAATTTAAGTCTTCGTGTTTGTGAATGACCTCATTATAATTTTTGTGACTGTAATAGAGTTATCATAAATATTTAAATTTTTGAGAGAAGTTTTTTGGAGAGTTTTAAAATACTATTCATACTCTGCCCTTTTGGTCATTCGTGCCCTTGTGACTGCAACACAAATATGCCAACACTCGCTGCTAAGCAGGATTGACTGTCTGTTCACCATAATGACTATAGAAGATTCTCTAAACAAATAAAATTTAATGGTTGGGGTTTAAGCACAAAAATTTACTATTGGTATTCAAATCATTTTGAAATTGTCTCTTAGCTAGATATGCATGGCTATAAAGAGAAATGTTAAAATGTTTTAGTAAAGCTATTTTAGGATAAAATATGCATTTATTACAGGACCAAGTTGAAAAGGACCAACTTCTTACAAGTCTTGTAGAAGAATTTGTATTTCGTGCCTGTGAAGTTGGTGTTGATGTAAACCGAGCCATATCTCATCCACATACTGCCAATATTGTACAATTTGTTTGTGGCCTTGGTCCAAGGAAAGCTGCTCACTTAGTCAAGGTAATATTATAGTCTAAAGTAGAGCTAGAGAAATCTCAAGACTTAATATAAATACAATTGCTACAATCTGCTAAAATTCTTATTATAAATTCATACTTATTAAAGCTTTGAATTTATAGTATTGTGAATTGTGATATCTTATTATTAGCTAGTGTTAATTTTTGCCAATGCTGCATTATTGATTCTCTGCATAGTTCCACACTTGAAACTGTATCTGGGCAGCTGCTATAATATGAGGTCAATGTAATTGTATAGTTGTATATCTACAGTCCTTGGGTTAATTACACTGTTCAGTTTAATACCCATCAATACCAAAAACTGCATTATTGTAGACACCTTTAGCACTAGCAGTTTATATCTTTAAACGTTGGCAGCTCAAGTTTCATCCGAACATATTTCATTTCCCATGTTACATGCAGGTCTTGAAACAAAAGAATGGTAGACTGGAGAATCGATCTAATCTTGTAACAGTTTGTCGAATGGGTCCAAAAATATTCATCAATTGTGCTGGATTTATAAAGATCGATACAAGTTCATTAGGAGACAGGTATAGAAATTGTATTTTCGACCTTGCACCCTTTTAGAGATAGAACATGTATTCAGAGTTCTCGATTTTTAAACAGTTTGACTGTCTAGAAGAGACTGCGGAAACATATGACTTTCGGGCTTGGCCCTAATGATGCTGTAATAAATATCTTTCCCCAATTCTATATCCACCATTACTGTCATGTGTGATTGATCCATATATTGCATTTGTTTCTGTCGAGTCCACACTAAGACCTGTTATTCTGTTTGTTAACTTCAGCTATTTTCAAATTGCATGGGATGTTAGTGTCAAATCAAAAACTTCGTTCCAAAAAATGCAGCAATGTTTTCAAGCAACTGGTTTTTTCATTGATGTCATAATTTTGGCACAAATTTATATTAATAGTCATATATGTAGACTGTTACTCAATATTCTACATGATTTTATAAGCGGATTGTTAAATGACCATCAACTAATCATTTTGTCAGCACTGATGTATATATTGAAGTTCTCGATGGTTTACGTGTTCATCCTGAGACATATGAATGGGCCAGGAAGATGGCAGTCGATGCTTTGGAATACGATGAATCAGCGGAAGATGCAAATCCTTCATCTGCTCTCGAGGAAATTCTGGAATCTCCAGAAAGATTAAAAGATCTTGATTTGGATGCTTTCGCTGATGAACTCGAGAGACAGGTAACCGAGTTAGAATCAATTATATTGTGCTCTTACATGATATTGGTCAATGATTTGGCCAATAATTTACGAAGCCTGTGCAATAAGCTGGTACTCCCATAGTATGTGCAGCAAGATGGCGGACACCGGAACGTAGTATGTGTATTAGGTTGGAGTTAAGCCATAATTTCAGGTAAAAAATTCTACGGGAGTCACTAGGCTAGTAATTGGAATAAAATTATGGCCTAACCTGGTACACATACTATGTTCAGGTGTCCGCCATCTTGTTGCACATACTACGAGAGTGCCAATAAGCTATTATGACCAATTTACGGAGGCTGAGTTATCAATGCTGTTTGAATCAGAAATGTTCGAAATGATTCAAATAGAAATTAGATTACTTGCATTCAATATTCAAATTCTTGATTTTGGGATAATTCAGATTTTAGAAAATTAATATTTTGAGCAATTTAGGTCTAACAGTATGATATAAAAGGTCTTCATTTTGAACAAAATGCCTTTTCTAATTAAAAAAAAAAACCATTAAATTCTCTATTTCTGTCAACTTTTTTTCCATTTCCAAATTCAAACTTATGGAATATGTTGCAACGTCTATGAATTTTTGTTGAAAATAACCAACTCAAAATATATTCACCATAATCCATATTTGAAAATTAATTATTAAGTTGTCATTTTTAACAGGGATATGGCAACAAAGGCATCACGTTGTATGATATCAGAAATGAATTAGATTGCAGATATAAAGATTTGAGAACTTCGTATCGAGCTCCGACTGCCGAGGAAAGATTTTCTCTTATCACAAAAGAAACACTGAGTTCATTCCAGGAAGGTAGGATTCCCCAATATTCATATTAGCCTATTTTATGGATGTCACGAAGCTATTCCACCATTGTTTGGGAATTTATGAGGTGCATGATTGCATTAACCATGACTTGATGCATGTACAGATTAAACTTCAATAAATATCGCAGTGCTTGTATTTTAGTAACAGACAGTGGCGGAATTCAGCCGGTTCGCACCGGTTTTATAGAACCGTCTCACGGAATTTTATGAGATCAGCGAACCGGTAAGCATTACTGGTTACTGTCAATGTTCTGTTTGTAACAGAACCGGCTGAAAATTATGACTTTTGTGATGGAACCGGCTGACAAAAAATTTGAATCCCACCACTGGTAACAGACGATAATTTTAACGGTTGTATCATTGCCGCCCAGTAGATTACAAAAAACTTAGAAACCTGTATGTGTAATTATTTGTATTGTATCTCCCTATGTTAGGAATGGCATAACTTTTTTAGTGCATGGATCAAAAATTGTATTTTTAATATGGGAAAGATTTTAATATGGGTCACAGATATTTAGGCAATTTGCATGATATTGACATCAATTGTATGTCCCGCTCTCGCTTCTATACAGACTCCGTACTCCCTTTTTCTCTTTACTATTGCTTGATATTATATATTTACATTCTCATAACTCACCATTGCGCCCATTTTAGTTGTCATGATTTTTATGACAAAGTTCATATAATTCTTGGCGCATTTATCAACATTATTTTTAGTCTGAAGACATTTGAACACATTAATCAAAGAATAAGAACTTGATTGGCAGTAAACGCCAATGTTTTTTAAATTAATTTGTGACTTGGTGGGTCATCAAAAAAACAAGGCAGGTCAGTGTTTTGCCATTCCTGGTCTATGTTTTCGTAAGCACCACGTAATTGGTGATGAATTTTCTTGTATTCAACAATCTTGTTTCTTTTTATTCTGATATTTGAAACCTATTTTTCTTTCAACTTTACACAACTCAATATTGATTTAATATGGTATAATATTAACACAAACAATTAGCACATGAATTTATAAAACAAGAGAACGATGATGCTAAAATATATGGACAAGAAGGCCAAAACGAAGTAGTATGGTTTTGCAATCTGTCACTGACTACTGGAACCACAGTCTTCATGTATAACGTGAACACGGAACGGCCACAAGGTGTGCAGTTTTTGATGATGACGTGGCACACGAAAAACGAATCCCATAGAGCCCACAGAAATTTTTGAGATAACTACAAGCTAAAAATATAATCTTTAACCACTGAAAATTTTAATGCACTTGATCCAGTAATTATCGAGGAGGAAACGATTTTTTCATAACAATAAAAAGAAAGTTTGCAACAGGAACTACATCATATTAACGAAACACTTTGTGTCAAAAAAGTCTTTGCCATAACTTGGGAATGAATATAATATTTGATATTGTGTATTTGGCGCTTCCTTAATTAAATTACAAAGTATGATGATTTAATAAAAAGCTTTTCTACTTAGTTTCGTTGCGGAAAATTACATTCTACTGGAAATGAGTGATGACGCATATTACAGATTTCATTGGACATTGAATAGCATTTACCTACAAACTAGAATGAATTAAACCACTGGACATTGAATAGCATTTACCTACAAACTAGAATGAATTAAACCACTAGGTTAGAACCGAACCGCAGGGAGCATTTAAATAATATTTTGAAAAATCACGATACTGCAAATTATAGAAGGTGCTTAGGTCATTTTTAACAAAAAAATAAAACGATCATTATATTCTTTCCCATGGATCCATTGCATCACTATTGTTCCTTACATGACTAATATAAAATTTTTCTGCATTTCGAGTGTCATCAATCACTAAGTTATCATTTACAATAGTAATCATTTTTTTTGTGGCAACATGCATTATTTCATAACCGTCTCTGATTGTGCGCGAGTCCTGATGGAGTATAAAATTTTTGTAGTCATCTTCAGCAAACCTCTGCATTCTGCTGGCTCTTGGTTTATCCATCAATCGTAGTTTTCCTTGCCTATTTGGAACCCAGTATAATCTGAGAAACAAGAAGAGCAAGCTTATTAAATATATGAACACAAGTTTGCATATGAGTATCGGTAGTTTGGTACGATAAGTCTTGAGCATTTTCACATTGACGGACAGGCATTTTGAAATAAAAGTCTTTTCTTTAATGAAAATAAAACAACAAAATGTTTGATGAAATATTGGGTTCTATAGGACTAGAAGAAATTGTCAACAGAAATAAAGTGTAACAGTCATTATCCATCTTCAAATACTGGAAATACGAAATTGATAGTTCCATTAGTTACTAGGAAATGCAATTTCTTTCAACAACAACTATCATCTCAATAACAATAAGAACATAGCAAACGATCAATATGTCGAGAATCATCACTTTTAAAGTTGTGTATTATATATGGTTTCGAATTGTCATATTGTTTGAGTAACTTAACGAATATCGAAATTTGAACTCTTTACTTCTTGAGACCATATGTAATTTCAATTTTTAACTTTAAATAAATTGATGATTGAAAATGATATTACCCCTAACACAAATAATATAATGATTGAAAAAAGTTAATTTTGTCTGTAGTGTAATACTGTGAATACTGTGAATGTCATTAAAATATACAATTAAAAAATATTTGAAGGAGTAATTTTGGAAGTTTCAAACAATCAAAATCATTTTAATGAAATGAATGGACAAAATTATTGAACATATATTTTACACATTTCGCTCTGTAGTTACACATTTGAAATCCAATTAATTACAAATTGATGTATTTATTCTAATTACCTCGGTTCACTATATCTGCAGTATAACTGGAACTTCCCTCCATCTTGAACTTGTTGACGCCAAGTTGAATCCTCATTATTTTCAGTAACAAGTTTTATCCTTCCTTTGCTACAACTAATATTACCTCTTCCACTTCTGATGATTATGTCCGTATCATTCGTTCCATTTGTAATGTTACTGGTTGCAGGACTTTCTATTTTCCTATGTGCTTTGGTATGCCCTCTTCTACGTATTCTACTGGAGCCCAAACCCATGCTGGACAGTCAGTTAAAGTACTCTTAATCTGTCCTGGGTAATGAACAATAGCAGTAAATTTTATGAGAAGTTGAGTGATTAGATAGAATTGCGTTCAAACTAAAAAGCCAATGTTCCATTGATAAGCTCAAAGAATTTTTTCCTGGCTTCTCTATGCAGCCCTGACTTGTTGTTCACCCGCAACTCAATAGCATTTAGCTCTTGAACCTAATTTTAGATAGATATAATATTTGGTTATCCAGTTGGGTATTTACTTACTGTGTTACAAAAAGCCAATGTCCTGCATTATCAAATATTGATAATTGTCGGAAACTGTGGAATAACATTTTGTCATTTCACTGTCTCTTGTTTTTATACTCTTGTGCTAAACTGATTTCTGGAATCATCCAAAAAAATACTTATAAACATATTCTTGTAGTAGTCTCTGTCCCACATCTTGATTCTTGTAGTATAAACTATTTTGTTACAAAATAAACAATTCCCATCCAATTCTGTATAGCATTTAAAGAATATCAAACAACTTTATTTGTTGAAGAGAATTTGAGGTTTTCCTAACATATATTATAGACGCGCATGGGCATGGCCACATATAACTATAGCAGTAGTATGTGGTATAACGACAATTCATTGTATCAGGTTACTTAAAAACCAATGTAAGCTTTGTGGAATTCAATTATTCTGTTCATTCACAATCTTTCCTCACCTTTCTGTACGCGGTCGATGGTCTTCACTAATATTTTCTTGTCAAATATCAAAGTAAACAAAAAAAGCAAAGTAGTTTGGGCCCTTATCCCGAACAAATGCTTCTAAAAAACGGTTGTTTATAATACCGCTGTCTTCCAAATTGAAAACATATCATTCCAATGGAGAACTTATGGAACCTGTGTTGTAAATATTAGCAGATGAACAAATTTCTTCTATAATGACATTGAAGAAAAATGAATATAATATATTGTTGCAATATAATTGTCTAGCCCTGCTATTAACTGACTGTTGCAGTTCAACGCAGGAAGATACATTTATATACTTTTTGCATTTTTTGATATATTATGCATATTAGTCATCTGCCCACAATTTTGATTTGGTTGTTGTCAACTGGTATGTTGGTTTTATTCCTTGGCATTGCGAATATTTTATCCTCTAACCTCTTTTATTCTTATTGGCTTTCCCAGTATGTACATTGGTAGTGTTTCTCCTAACTTGTGGTATTTGTATTATAAACATTCACTCGATATGAATGTCATTATATGTTAAATAAACTAATCTCAGTGAATGAATGCAATGGTCTTTGCCGTCTTTCAACTATGTAAAGAACTTTTCAACTTTTTCGATGACGAAATTATTCTTCATTTGTTGTTCAATTGATTTATTGATAAAAGCCTTTGCATTTTGGAAAATTTCTTTTGGGATATCATTGTTTTGTTTTTGATGCAAAATATTTCACAACACAAAGCTATGTTTCTCCTATTTTTCAGGGAAACTAGTGACATGCCGCGTGGTAGGAATTGCGTACAGGCGACCAAAAGCAGAGCAACTTGACCAAGCAGAACCACACAAAGATGAAAATACAGGAACATGGAGTTGTTCATTCTGTGGTACTGGTGGTTTTGGAGAACTCAGTGAGGTATGGGATTTTTTGTCATGGTCAAGATTGGACTCAAGCTAACATGAAACGGTTTTGACTATATTAACCATGTTGCAAGGTAAAAATTAGTAATGGCAATCTGGAAAAATACAAGGATTTTGTAATTGGATTAGCAGTGCGCATAATCATTGCTGTTCTATTAACTATACATTTACCCAACTCCGTTATTTCGTACTTTGTATGAGATCATAAACAGAAAATGTTGAGTGGACCTATCTATAAGCGTGGGTAATACTCTTTGATGTGATGATGCATAATGCAGAAATTCAGAAAATTTCATTTGTCTGAAATGACTTTCATGTCAATGAAATACATGTAGATGTAACAATTCACAGTTCAAATTTGTTCTGTCATCGTTTACTTATCATGAAGTTTACACAAAAGGTTGACAAATGTTAGTCATTTGTAGGGTGGTTGATAAGTATGTTTGCTATTTTGTGACCGAATTAGGTATTCAAGGTTTATATCGAAGTTATTATTGAAATGTAGTCTTGTGATGATAATGACAATATGTTTAAGACTGATATTAATATAGTCCATGCATTTATTTATTGCTTTCAAGTTTTTCATTGGAATGTGGATGTATTCAGGGTGGATTTTCTCTTTCAAAATTGAAAAGCAATTTCATGGACGATGAAAAAATTTTCAACCTGAAAAAACTTTCAATCATTTTTGCAATTGGAATTAGTCCCAATTCTCCAACATATTTCTATTTTTTTTTTATTCTAACATGGCAAATTTTGAAAGTTCTGTCATATTAAGTCTGATTGTCATATGTTATAACAGGGGGTTGGAATTTTTTTGCACTATTACAAGTATAATATGTAATTCCATTTTCATGCCATTTACTTTATGTGAATTCACCTTGTCATGCACTAGACATGATCATTTTTAACTAATACATATCCATCCATTTTTTAGGTTTGGTCTCACTTGGACAGTGGAGATTGTCTTGGCAAAGCTGTTGGTGTTAGAACTAGACTTGATAATGGTTTAAGTGGATTCATTTCTACAGATCGTCTGAGTGATTCCAAAGTTACTAACCCAGAAGAAAGAGTAAAGGTGAATATCTTTATTACATCATAATGAAAATTGTGTGTATTGACATTTAAAATGAAAATATTACAGAAAATGCATCTGAAATTTGAATATATCATTTGCTATCAAGTGTTTGGAATTATCACAGTTTGACATTGCCCATCCCCATTTTTATACCTGCCTTAAATATAGAAAGAGTAGGACAATGGTAGTAGAATCTTAGACTAGAACCAAATATCTCTGTCACAAAGATAAACTATGGATATATCAGTCAGTGGTTCTCAAACGGTGGGGCATTTCGTTTCATCTGCATATTTTCAACGTGTTTTTTGAATAAAAAAAGCTTTCAGCTTACTATCTGTTATTTGTTACTTGTTGTTAGCTAGTTATATTTGAAGTGGGATGTTAGACTTGACAAATTCTAACAAGGGAGTGCGGTTTAAAAAGTTTGAGAACCACTGCTATATATAGTTCTTATTGCATTTTGTAATCTTGTATCTCTCTTATCAGGTCTTATTTCCACTTCAGGTTTTGTGCATTGTTTTGCACAATTAGTTTGGCAGTGCGATAGGATAGTTCTTAATTGTGTTATCATGGCAGAGTGCACATCTCGTGTTAAAATTCCGTGCTCCCTTTTCCAACCAAGGGTAATCTGGAAACATACCGACCCTTCCAAATAATAGTAGTTCCTTAAATATCATTAAATATTTGTTGCTACCATGTATAGGGCCCTGTCAGGATCGAAAGGCAGGGACAGGTGTTGTGACAAAAAATTATTGGAATGGTTATTCCAATCTGCTCACAGATGAAATGTTTAGACCAATTATGGAACTGTATATGACGCTACCTTTAGCTTTTCCTTATGAAAAATTCAGATGCCAAATTTCTAGATAGTATTTCTTTTAAACTTTACATTATTCACAGGTTGGGATGACGGTACATTGCAGAATTACAAAGATAGATATTGATAAATTTCAAGTTGATTTGTCATCAAAAAGTTCGGACTTGAGAAATGAGAGCGAACAGTGGGGATCCGTGTTTGATACTTATTATGATCACGAAGCAGAAGAAAAAGACAAACAGAGTTCACAGAATAATGATAAAAACAAGAACAGAACAAGTAGGAATTCATAAATAATTTTCAATCTAAACTTTGTTTTTGAGATAAGTAGAATATGTGTTTTTTGTGTGGGTATGTTCTCCAGAAAAAAGTGAGTAAAATCTGTCATAACACGTGATATTAAATCGGAATATTTAATTTAATATGAAAAAGAGTGATTTTTATCATTTGAAAGCAACATCGTAACAACCTGCCACCCCCGCAAACTATATACACATAAAGTTTTCGGTTTGAAGCAGGACCCTTCGAAACAAATATACATTTCTTCATGCAGCACATTACCCTTATAAGGATGCCTCATCTGTACCTCAAAGTACAAAAGATATTGAGCCGGAAACACCCACTTCATAGTTGTAAATATTTGTATATGATTCTGTATAGAAAGTTCTATGAAATATGTACATAGTTATACAGAAAAATAGACTTTCATTTTCATTCTTCTTTTTTCTTATGGGAAACTGGAATTATTTGACATATTTTCACCTTTACTAATACACAAACAACGATCATTTTTATTTCAGCCTACATCAAGCGTGTAATTGCTCATCCATCATTTCAAAACATTGGTTTCAAAGAAGCTGAAAAAGTTTTGGAATCTATGGATCAAGGGGATGTTATTATAAGGCCAAGTAGCAAAGGTAAATATTATGAAAAGCTTTCGCATGATTGTTGTCTGATGGCATGTGGGTGGTAATATATTATGCTTCGTTGTAGGTCTTTTATCAGGGTTTTTGGTTTTCATGGTTTTACTGTTATTGAGGCCGAAATGAGTCATTTCTATGTGGTGAGTTAGAAAATGAACATATATTCAAAATTTTATTACCAATATATTAAAGATTTTGCTTATTAAGTTTTTGAAAAATCTTTGATGCTGGTTTACATTTGGTAATTACAGTCTTATATTGTATAACAAGTTTGCTGCTTCTGATTACATGTTTGCTTTGATTGTTTCAGGTGCTGATCATTTGACAGCAACTTGGAAAGTTGGTGATCATGTCTGTGCTCATATTGATATTAGAGAAGAAGGAAAAGAAAATTCGTTCAGTCTTGGTAAAACTCTCCTTATTGGAAATGATGTAAGTTGTCTTGAAACATTGGCTTATGTGGTGGCCTAGTTGTTTGTGTTCAACTCGCCTATATTGGCATTGCTTGGCCCTAACTTTAACAGGGTGCAATAAATTTGGTAGAAGAAAAGCACCCCTGATGCTTGTTTAGAGTCTTATTTGTATTATAGATGTGAATATCTAGCGAATATATCATTCTAAATTTCCTTGCAATGCATCTTTAAAAAGATTATTCTAGTCAATAAAACTTATAAATATATCTCAGGATATTACTATGATTCTATAATGCTATTTAAACTCAAATTTGTTGATTGGTGTGAGGACTTTCCTATTCAATTCTGTTCCAGGAATTTGAAGATCTGGATGAAATTATTGCTCGTTTTATTCAACCAATGGCAGCAAACGCTCGTGATATTCTCAATCATAAGTATTACAGAGAATCAAATGGTGGAAAGAAAGATGTTTTGGAAGAATTATTAAAACAAGCTAAGAAAAATGCTCCGTCCAGAATTCCATATTTTATGAGCGAATGCAAGGAATTACCAGGTGAGTTTGATAGTGCAGCATTGGATTTGACGTTATAGTTGTGAGAGCAATTTTTTGGATACTCCCGTAGCCGTAGTATGTGTACCAAATTAGGGTTAGGCCATAATTTTATTCTGATTTTTCTTATTTTTATTCTATTATGAGTTCGGGGACTGTCTGTGTTAGCCAAGTGAATTTACCCAAGTGAAGCAAGCCCATAGACTTCAGTTCCTTTACACCAGGCATGGCCAACACGTCGATCGCCATGTCTCAAATAGTCGATCGCGTCTGATGTTGAGCGACTTTGCTTATAACATACCCCCCAAAATTGCCTTGAACCATTTTCATGCAGCGCCTGTTGTGTATTTCGAAAGAGGATGAATACAGTACTGTGCATATTTGATCCCAGACAAGCTTGATAGAGCATATTATTACGTAACAAATAAAAAGTTTCGCCGCTGCCAAGGCCTAGTAATGAATTTGCCAAATATTGTGTGACTTGACTGAGAAACAATCATACAAATTTACAATAACTTCTGCAGTATACGAAAGTTATTGTTTCTCGCCAAGAGTAGTGTAATAAATTGTATTCGCAATGGTAGCAGTGGCATCAAAATTTCAAATTTTTTTGAATGCCAAAGGACTGAAGAATCAGACTTAGAGAAAATTGTTTTTGTGTATGACCTCATTACCGATCAGTCGATCGTGAGCTATTTTAAAGATTTTAGTCGATCGCTGTTGAAAACAGGGGGGTCACCCCTGCTTTACACAACTTGATGTAAAGAAGGCGAACAAAATTAGTTACCTCCGTATTGGTACACATACTTCTGGAGCGGCATTTTTTGAATATTAATTCACCAGTGACACACACTGAATCCTCACTTTGTTTTTGTCAAGTGAAACATGAGCATAGTAAATAATTTTTTGGTAGAAATAAAATGGGTATTAACATTAAGCTAAGAATGGTATGAGTAATTGACAGCTGGTGCATCATTATTAGCATAAGAAACAGTAAGCCTCTGATTACCCCATATGGGTTCTGCATCCTGTACATACAGGGTGTTAGAAAAAGTTATGCAAAATTAAGGTGAAATATTTTGTCATGGCAACGTTAAAAAAGCAACTTAAAAAGCGTCAGTCGTGAAATGTTCAAATGGCATTTCGCCCTAATTCAATACTGTTAACAGGTGTCAGTCGTTAAATGCTTTAAGTAGCATTTCATCCTAACTTTTGTCAATTTTGCTTCACTTTTTAACACCCTGTATATATATATATATGTATGCGAGAGGAATGCTGGACTACTGCTTGTTTGGTGTAGGGTGATTCACGAAAAAGCTATTCTTTATCATACCACACATTTGACGAGCAATCCAATGAAATGCTGTGGTTTATCATATAATTAGGCTATGTCCTTATCGCCCCTCCTTGGCATAGATATGAAAATTATGTGCTCCAGAAATGTACCAATATGGAGGTAACTAATTTTGTTTGGCTACTTTACATCAAGTTGTGTAAACGAATGAAATACAAACTGTACTTACAAGATCATCAATGAGTATGACTATAGACAGACCCATTTCCCACCATAAATCAATTATCTACTAAAGATGAGTATTCATGGTGCAATACATCATACGTTATTGTAATGTTTTTTTTTCAGGAAAATTTCTCTTATCGTATATGCCAAGGACGAAGCCAAAACACGAGTATGTTACCGTGTTGTCTGATGGATTTCGATATCGTGGTCAAGTGTTCACAACAATAAATCAGTTATTTAAATGGTTCAAAGAACATTTCAGGGACCCAATTCCTCGTAAGATTTTGATTACGGTATCTCTTGTTCTTTGATTTAAATTAAACAAGCATTGATGTGATTGTTAATTAACAATTTGTTGATATGATAAAATTACTTACTTCACTCTTGTTAGTTGTTTATTATCGATATTGTGTTTTTTCAGACCATCTCATGCCATCAAGAACTCCAGCAGGTGCCTCGTCTAATTCTGATTCCTTCAACGTTGCTGCAATACAGAATGCATTGCAGAAAATGCAAACACCGAGAGGACAGGTATGTTGGTTGTATAATACCATATATCAGGGATGGCGAACCTTTTTCTATGAATGGGTCAAAATTATATTTTTATCGCGGAACAGAAGAGAGTGGGTCACAGATATTCGATCAATGTTTGTATCTATATGAAACAAATCGTATAAGTTTCTGTTGGTGTTGGCGTAGTTTTGGGCTTTACTTATGCAACACTTCTATCAGGGACTTGATTCAGGCACTCGATTTTATGAAATTAGAATACGAAAACACGCATATGAATTACCAAAAACGTTTAGGATGATGCGGCAAATTATTTTACGGTTTCAAAGAGTTTGGAAGGAATTTCACTCGGATAGTGTTCTATTTTTCGATCAGCTTTCAACCACATTAAGGCACTTTTACACTGTCCCCTTGTTATTTTAGGTTTCTAGGATTTTATTTTAAGTCTGTAAGTCTGAAAGATTTTGTTCTCTTATTTAACGACATTGTAGGCGAGAAACTAATAAAATACAATGTAGCATCTAGTTCTCGAATAACTAGGCTTACCATACGTCCCGCTTTAGGTGGGACAGTCCCGCTTTTTAGCGTGTTGTCCCGCCGTCCCGACAAGTTAGCCAAAAGTCCCGCTTTGGCGTTCTGTCATCCACCATAATACACGAACATTACCAATTAACATGTTTTCGTTACTGTTGTTGCTGTGCAGCCCAGCGCTAGCCCACTTGCTGGAGGTAAATGCGGCCCGAAAAAGTACCAATTTGAATATGAATTTATGGCCGGTTTTATCAATTTTTATAACTGATATGTTAGGATTTTTTTAAATTTTATTCGTGCCTTGGCGGGTCACTAATAAAACGCGACGGGTCACTTTGTGACCCGCGGGTCAGTGATTCGCCATCCCTGCCATATATGATCAAACAGAATTGCCACAGTAGTTTTATATTATAAGTTCGGTGCCATCTTGAACTTAAAATGAAAAATCTGTAGCTTGCTTAAGAATAATATTTTATATTGAATATTACAGTTGTGACGAAGTTTAATCCAATACCGAAGTCATTGCTAAAAAGGCTGATGCTCTTAGTCAAGATCGTTTTGTAGTTTGTTCAATTTTTCCATTTATTTTTTTCCTTTTCCAGTCTGGACCATTTGCGACCCCACTGCCAAGAGGATTTGGTGTCACGCCTAATGCAGCTGTAATACCCCATACACCCAACTATCCTCCACAACAAACTCCTAACTATGGACAACAGCGCACTCCAAGCAGTTTCACTCCTCGTAATCGAACACCTGTGACCTGGGGTCATCCTCCAGCAGCTGTGCCAAATAGAACACCAAGTGGTGGAGGGTGATTATCTGTTTTGTTATTTTGTTCTAAGTTAGGTAAAGATCTTTGATCTCCAGTGGTTCTTCCCACCAGTAGCACCTTTTCCCCTTTTGCAAAGCTGGTACCTAGATAAAACCAAATGTACTTAATGGTACTCAATTATTAAAAAAAAGGAAATTAGCAAATTACTTCAATATATTCATTTAATGTGATGGCTGACCCTGTTTATTGGCAACTAACTGTTAATGTCTAAGTGAGTACTAGATAATCTTCAACAAATGTCAAGTCTGATTCTTGCTTCAAATTTGATTTTTTATTATTTTTACTTTGGATTGATTTACCCCCGAGATCAAATAAATTTAAATTTTCCCCAGGTTAAGAGATACTGATCTAAGGTATTGTATGTTGTTTAATGTTGTTTAGTCAAGAGTTATCATAATAATTTTTCCAATAATTTGATAGTGTTGTGATTTTCATATCTATTCAGTCAGAGAAAAAGCGGTTAAAATAGCTTTATCATATGAAGTGCTTACGCTTTTTAATATGCCTTCATTTCTTCCATGATTATTCTTCAATTGAATAGAAACCAGTGAACTTCTTACATTGTGATCAAAGGGAAAGCATATTCCTAATGCTTAGCTCATGGAGCCGAAAGCTCCAAAGTCAAAATTTTGTATTTCAATTCTTTGTACTGATCTATTTAGAAACATTGCTGCTACCGATTGGGGAAAAGCTGCAGAAGAATGGGCAAGGAAAAAAGTATCTAAGTCGACTCCTAGAATGACCCCTTCGGGTACACCCAGGGGACCTAGAACACCTGCAGGAAGTTACAAAGGTACACCGAGGACACCAACCCACCACACACCTCGTGGAGGCGGCACACCTGTGTGATTGGTTCCCAGCTTTCTCAATCATGTAATTCGAGTTAATCTGCTGTCAAAATGTTGAAAATACAAATTCCTGTATTTATTATACAGCATTTGCTATATCTCTTCCGAAATTGAGACGAGTGGCATACTGTTCAATTGTATATCATACAAGCTCTCAATTCATACTATGAAATCTTTGTTTGTTTACCAAGTAGGTCGTAGGGTGAACACTTGACAGTTTATTTATTTCCTATGTACAGCATATTTTTGCAACTCTTCTGAAGATGAACAGAGTTGTATGTTTGAGTTGGTGAATTATGTTTTTATACCATATTTTGTGTCAATGTCTCATTTTGTGAGTAATTCCAATTTTAAAAATAACATGATATCTGTTACCAGGGAAATGATGAGTTTGTTTGTATGCTTTTCTGCAGCTTCAAGTTAAATTATTAATTTGTTGTGATATCACGCTGTTCGATTCTCAGGTCCTCGCCTGAAGGACTAGGACTGTCATACAGGGATATTAGAACATATATACATACATGGAGAAGCTGAAATACATGGATGTAAGATTGATCACAGATATAGGCATAGGCGAAGTCTTTAACTTCGCGTTGTGTGAGTTTGGCAAAATGAAGCTGAAGTTTTCTAAAGTGATTTTTGCTATATTTTAAACTAGTAGTAAAGTGGAATATATTGGTTTATCAAAAATCGGGAACCCGAACACGACTTTAAATTACCGTAGGCGTCAAGTGTGTATATATCTGGATCTTGGTTGTATTTTTCATGTCTAGGTACGAGTGGTTTTGAACCACCATATATAGCACACAATTATTTAATACAGTTTTGTGAAAAAATGACAATCGTCAAAAAACAACCCTATCAAAAGTTAGTGTATGTATCAGATAAATCAGCTTCAACTCGTTCGACGCTATGTTGAAGGATATTTCAACTCCAGCTCCGAATTACGAGAGAAGTAAGTTTTTTTTAACAAAATTTCGGTGACAGCTCCTGACTCTAGTACCAATAAAAACGCCCCAAACATTTACTCCAATGACCTGCGTACTAACTACTAACCGCTACTCGGGAACATCGGGATTCTCTCTCTCTCATTCACCGGAATGAGACCTACCCCTATCGTAGTAAAACCATCGAGGAATTTCGTTTCATATTGGATTGTAACTTGTAGCATATTATGTGGCAACCCTATTTTTGTGTGAATGTTATGGATACGGACAGGCCTATATTAAACTAAAACGGTTTCTCGCTCCGCTTAACGTGTTTGAGTTGCTTATACCGATGGCCTTTTGCATGAAATGCCTGACTTATCACGATAATTTTCTTTTTATACATGGTATTTAGAAAATACAAATTGATTGTCAAACATATTTACGCTCGGTTACTTTATGCCATTGTCCTGGACTAGTTATGTTTAGTAATCTCGTGACCTTATTCTAACACAAGCGAAATATTGTTTGATAAAGTAGGTGTGTATTGTAAACACGATGTTCGAAGATATCGCGCTAAGCGATGCTTATGGTTGAATGCAAAAGGTGTTGTCAGCCAGACCTGCATGGCATTGGACTGATAAAATGTTAATGTTTGGTAGAACATCTAACACACATATCGAATAGTTCAGTTTGTTTAAAAAAGTACAAAGCGCTGAAATTAGAAATCGCAGAAGTATTCACAATGATGTGGTTTCATGTTTCAGGCGTGTAGCGAAGTCATTCAGTGAGACTGACCCTCGAAACAGCTGTTAAGGGTGGTAATAGGCAAAAATTTTTCTTAAATGGTGTCAGAATATATAGCTTGATGTTAGATATACGTTATGATTTTAGGATATGTAACGTGGGATAACTTAGTTCCTATATTAGAGTGGGTTCCGTTTCTCATCAATTGGTGAATGAGAATAACCAGTTCATGGTGAACATACAATCGGCGATATATTGGCCACATATCTGTGTGATCGTCCAAACACTAACATAACGCATATTTATCACTCTTCAAGTTTATTCTCAAACCTGAATAAAGTCTGAATCGACATTTATAAACAACAGTTTTAATTCTGTTAGCGTAAAAACACCAAGATGAAGACATTTCTGGGCTTAATTCTTGTGTTTATTGTTTTTTCATTCAATGTCGTGGAAAGTAAGAACGCAATGCCAGCAAAGAGATATAAAGTCAATCTTGACGATGATCCGATGACAAGGTAACATACACATAATAAATATTTTGAAAGACCTAGCACACGATAGCAGAGTAAATATTGACTTCTGAGTCACCGTGTCATGACCTGATCACCATATCATTTCGTGACCTCCAGAATCAAATTTCTCGTCAATAGTCAACAATTCATAACACTATTATCTGGTATTTCAATTACCGACAGTTTATGCTATACTGTAATTATAAATTACTGGTAACCGAATAAATTTCACCAATGCATCGCTAATTCTAAACCGAATTATATTATCAGTATTTTGTGTGATGATTTGCATTTTCGCATAAAACAGGGCGCCGGGCAAGCAGAACCTAATGCTTAGGGTCGTCTTTGACCCCAAAATACCGTAATCAATTTGAATAGGTACAGCCTACGGAATTATTTTAACCGAAACGAGGTTGTGTGAACTCGAACTCGACGTCTTATATCCAACTCCATACCTAGGAGTACAACGCGCTCGCCACGATAGGACGCTTGGACGTAAAAGCACTATGGCATCAACATTTATGTCATATAGGCCAGATTATCTGTTACGTAGGATAACTGAGAGAATGACTGTGAAAACTCTTCTCGGAGAGTTTATTAGACAATTTCAATCTTTTCTTCAGTCTTCTTCTATTTAATATCTGAAATTGGTATAGTACGATGTGGAAAGTGAGTGAACGTTGGTCTGATTCAAACGTATAATTAATATATAATAATTAATAATATACATTATTAACATACATTAATATAATATTGCTTCATTTCAGATGGGTTCCTCTGTTGGAAAACTTTGACAGATCTTTACTTTTGGATGCTATTGATTCCTTGTTAAAGTAAGATTAGTTAGTACTACGCCTTTGCTCTGATTGCTCAGTCTAAATATTACACCCTAAAATTTCCGTGTCTCATGATAACAATTCAGTCCTTCACCCCTTGCCCACGATATTATCAGCAAACTCGGAGTTTGTCTAATAAAGCTTTGCTTGTATTGATTCGCGATCTTCGTGTCTATATATTTGACCACTGCTCTGTTGTTAATAGATCACACGAAGAAGGTTAATCATACAATTTGTCCATAAAAGTGCAAAGTAAATGCTTGTTCATGACAAAATAGCAATGTTTTGTAACGAGTTTTCTTTTTTTCAGGCAATACGTCAAAAACGATGAATTGATCGCTTTAGCCGAAATAATTGCTCATGATCTCGACAAATATATTTCTCAACCATACGCTGATGAAATGCGAGGAATCAGTAAATTTTACAAAGCGGAACTCGGGAAGGTCGTACTTGGAAACCTTGCTTATGATGCCTCGGCTTGGAATACTGTCGGGAAGCAAGTGTTTTATTCGTATATTGTTATTTATCATTAGCATTTAGCTTATTCGAAACGAATTTCGTCTTATTTGGGTAATTTTTCAATTTCAATGTTAAGAGCTTGTACGAGCATTGTGACGATCGACAAGACAGGCGGAATCATACACGGGAGAAATTTAGATTATGGAGCAGGCGATGAGTTAAGAACTATTACCACAGAAGTTGAATTCCATCGAAGTGGAAAAGTACGTTTTTATTTATCATACTTTTGTCTTGATGTGGGATTTGGACTTTGGAACATGAAATTATATCAAATTGAAATAACCTTTCGAAAGAAGTAGCTGTAAAATGGTAAGAATATTGCGAGTTCGACTCGACCAGAATTTATGATGGAACTCAACCATTCCGAACTGGGTAATTTATTTAAACACTTCATAACTTTGACTAATTGAAGTAACTGCGATCATAGTTTAAAGCATGTTTATTATATAAGCAAACCAAAATACATGTATTTGTATTGAAATGATCATAAATATTTCCACTAGAGTTCAATTTCTGGTCAGTTAGAAAATTCAAAAATACGAGTGGTAGCGTAGAATTTTCAGCGGCTCTGACAACCGTTTTTGACTTGCAATAAAATTTATCTAATTTTAACTCTAGAATCAGAAAGTCATAGTATGAAAAACCAGGCCCATATTTGATATAAAATGCAATTTGTTTGTATTATAGACTTTGTTTATCGGAACTACTTACGTCGGATATGTTGGTCTTCTGACTGCAGAAAAGGTAAACGCATTCACCATATCTGGGGACGAACGTGACACGGGGTATTTGTGGGAGAATATACTGTCTGCGTTGACAAAAGGATGGCCAACAATGCTGATGGCCAGAGAGGTAAATTTAATGAAAGAATTATAATGTCATATAAAATTTTGGTCAAGGTAGTAAGTAAGCAATGTTTAAAAAGAACTTTTACAGTTTACGAAATGAATTTAAGGTAGGCCCAAATAAATTTGATAGAAAGTAAGGCCGAATTAATCATCTTCAGCCAACACACATTCCTAATATTTTAGGTTATAACAAATGCTGAAAACTTTGAATCTGCAATCGAAATGTTGCAAAAGGCAAAAACAATCGCACCGATGTATTTCATAGTTGGCGGGGTCAAACCACACGAGGGTGCTATTATTGTACGTGATCGATGGGGAGCAATCAACGTAACGAGAATGGATGACACGTACAAGTAAGAGTTCTTGGCATTTGAGACAGCCTTGCATATTTTGTGGAAATTCGCAATTCGGAAGCTGAACTGAAATAGCCAAAACCGACCTATACCCATGTTAATCCAAAATAAACCACTCAGAAAATTAAACCACATTTGAGTAGAATATAAAAATTCTGTACTGACGGGTTTCAATGTATGAGGATTTTTGTTTATAATTACATGAAGCATATTCGTTCTTTTTGTTGTAACATCAAAGCAGGTAATTTATATTTCTCATTAAACAAATCACCAAGAATTTTTTTTATTACATCAGATGGTTTGTAGTTGAAACAAATTATGATCCTTGGAATCCTCCTCCGTCTTCTGATGACAGGCGAGATCCAGCAATAAAGTTAATGGAAGAAATAGGACAAAATCAAATGAATCCTGAAAATCTTTATAAGGTATCCATTTAGATAAATACATTACGAAATACAGAGATTGCTGTTGGTATAATAACGAGACCTCCACTTAGAGCGATTTTATAGTCATGAAAACTAACAGAATAGATAATCCTTAATTAAACACTATGAAAATCGGATAAAAAAAAACGCTACGTAATACTGGCGTTTTTACATTTGAATGTAAATCGAAGTCCAGACGAGTCTTATAAAATACAATGAAAATCAATTTATTTAATATGCTAAATAAATTATTCTCAAAGCTATTTGGTTCTCTAATATCGTTGGAAATGGTCGGGAATGGTCAATGTGTAATAGTTTTGAAGGAGAAAGTGCAACATTCGTTGATACCGGGCTATAGTACACCGTAATTCATTATGTTGGTAAAAATATAAAAAACATAATTACATCAATATATATTTAATTCGTTTTATTTCATTAGCTTTCACTTTTGCCTTGTGTACCGGTTTAAACGACTGCGAAAGTAGCCAATCCATATTGAATATAATAAGATTGAGATTTCGATAGCTCACACAACGTCTATACCAAACTCAATGTTTTGTGCTGTTTGAACAATTTATTAAATATGTAGATTTTCTCCTAAAAAACAAATCATTTTCAGGTATTATCTACATCTCCCATACTCAATCCCACAACGACATATACTACGGTGATGAGTGCCAAAAACACGTCTTTGTATCACACCATGGTGAGATGGGATCATCCTAATGAAAATTGAGATAAATTTCGATACATTTTGCTTGCAGTATAGAGTGCTTTATATTGATATATTGAATCAGTATTTTTTGTGCAATATGTTATATGTGTTCTTAGTAATTCATCATTTTAGCTTTTTTGTTCTTATTGTTTTATTATGTTAAACTTGGACTTAAAAAAACAATTGGATTTTGCCCGAAATATGCAAGTTTATGAAATATACTTTCATTCATTTTGAATATTAAAAATAGTTCATCTTCACTTTGAAAATAAAAATGAACGAATTTTAAAATAAAATACCCTTTTTATTTTTTCTAAAAGAAAAGGTCACTTCAAGATTTGGGGGTTAGTATATATTATGTAAAATCATTATACTTATACAATGCAATGTATTGCGCGTGCTATATTTGAAGATTTAAAAATAATCACATCATCATACACAATTGTCAATAATCACTAATCGAAGTAAGGATGGAAAGACTTATCTAGCAGAATTTAAGTCAACAAAACTTATATCTGTAGTATATCCGTAAGTTTTAAGTTAATATTTTAACATCGAGAAAGCTTATAATATATTTCTGATTCAAACCCCAATACCAACTAAATAACGCCATACGTCCAACTCGTCTCCACTGAGTGATGTCGCAAGTGAATCATCTGTTGTAATTTAATCTGTTATATATATTAGTAGTTACCAATTTCAACAGTTATTGTAATATTTTCTGGCATTATAAAAAAAAGTTGCCGTTGGAGAGTTGGTAATTGTACAACCAAGGTCAGTTTAACCATCGAGACATAAGAATACTTTTCTAGATGCTTTATTGTATATAGCCTGACATCTTTATATTTCTGTCGAAAATAGCAACGTTATATTCGAGTATGGTATATGTTCGAATCATGCTTGCCACTCACGGAAGAGATTAATTTTCAATTTATGCGGCTTAATGTCAGTCAACCAGCCAGACTTCATCATTGAATAAAAGAGGAAATGCGGTTAATTTGGGAATTAATCACCAATCTATCGACACACTAGTATCACTGTTGGTATTTCACCGATAGAGCTACAGGGTTTACGACTAGAAAAAGGAATAAATAAAATAAACGGTAACATTCAACATGCTTTTACTGGCATATAAATTTCTAATACATATAAATTTTACCTCTTGTTTACACATATCCCAACTTTTAAGATGTTGTAAACCGAATGTTTTTGTGAGAAATTTTTATGCCTCTAATTCTTCTTCATAATCTGTATGTATATATAGTAAACTACTAAAACGGTATTCTGAACAATATTTCAAATCAATATAATATTCTATATGAAGCAATCATATAAACTGATTTTAATGAAACAGTAAGATCACCGTAGCCATATGCTATGAGCATTATGAATAATCCCCATTAGGTCTCTTTGTAGACTTCTTCTGCAGCTTCTTCTATCGACCGCGGCCTCGCAGTTAAATAAAATCAAAATATATCAGGGTAACTCTGATTCGCCATTTCATTGTGCAGATATGTAACTTTCGTGATAGCGGTTCGTACTAAAAAAATAGAAAAGTTATATCCGCTCAATAAAAAGGCAAATCAGAGTTAGTATCCTGATAACATGGCATTGCGTCAAATATAAGGTGCCTGATCAGTATGTGAAATGCATGTATGTTTCACGTGTAGCTTGTGATTCAGTGGCAATATAAAACCGAACTAAACTGAACATCACCGTAACAGAGGATCGTCTTTATGATATTTATATACTCGACTTCGAAATGGTTTTGGTATATAAACCAATAAAAAGTTATGATTTAATAATCTAACTCTAGTTTGAATGTAAATTTCTGTAGATCACATTTTACACCGTTACCAATTAACTTTGTTTTTCGAACATAAGTTACGCACTAGGCTGCAATAAAATTTGGCTTATCTAGTGTTCCAGAAATGTCAGAAGCATGTCAATCCATGCTGTACTATATACTAAATTTTTTTTTTATCTTTGTTACCAATATGAGTTTGCTTGCAATTCCCCGTATACCATAATGCCTCAACTTAGAAATCAGGATGTCATGATTCACAGTATCGAAAGCTTTCTTTAGAGTTGCACTGACATACTCCTTTCTTTCCAATTTATCATAGATATATGATACTGTATCTAAAATGGCATGTGATGTAGAATAATTGCTCTGAAAACCGAATTGATATTTATTTATTACATCATATTTAGTTAAAAAATTTGCGAGTCTTTTATGTAACAAACGCTCAAACATTTTATCAATTGCTGAGAGGATTGATATTGGTCTATAATTTGAAATTAATTTTTTATTTCCAGATTTGAAAAGAGGAATAACCCGGGCGGTTTTGAGAGATGAAGGAAAGATTCCAAGTAACAGCGAGGAATTGAAGAATCTTGAGAGACAAGGGGCAATTATATCCGCAACTAATTTGATGAAGCGCGCTGGGATGTTGTCTGGTCCTACAGCCTTCCTGTCGTTAAGATTTTGTATTTCGATTAAAATTTCATTCGCGGTGGATGAGCTCAAAAAGATGGATTGGCTCACACGATTGCGGAGAAAAGGTTCGAAGTTAGCTGTATCATTGGAAAACTTATCAGCCAGGCTGGACCCAATTGTTGAGAAGTATTTGTTAAATTCTGTTGCGATTAAAAGTTCATCTCTAATTATACAACCGTTTTCAGTATTAATTTCATCAATTTTATGCTTCAATTTCTTTTTTGCATTTGTGATTTGGCCAACTATTTGCCATGTTGACCTGGGATTACCTTTGGTTGTAGCAATAAGATTTTGATAATAGATTTGTTTAGCTTTATCTATGGTTCTTGACAAAATATTTCTATATTGTTTAAAGTAAGAGCTCTGGGAACTGTTACCTTTCAAGAAGTGAGTTTTAAACATTTTATTTTTGTGTCGAATACAAGCGTTTAGCCCTTTGGTTAACCATGGTTTTGATTGTAACCTTTTCTGACGCCGAGAAAGTGGTCGAAGTGGGGCATGGCGATCAATTAGGTGAACAAATGACTTTATAAAGTCGTCAAAAACACTATTAAACTTTTGGATATTTAAATTAATTCCAGCAAATTGATTAGCAAAAATTACCTCTGCATCACTACGAAAGCAATCGATTGAGAATGTTGACATGTCCCTTGACATTCTGCGATTGTATGTGTATGATGGTTTGATGCCTCTCAGACAGCACATGATCGGAAAATGATCTGTGATGTCTGACAGAACTATGTGGGAATCTATTTTTAGGTTTCTGATATTGGTATATACATTTGAATAATTTATTATTCAATAATAGTTATTTGAATAATAGATCTCAATATGTTCAAGTGGGATCATACTGTTCTTCTCCCTTACTGGTGACGCACGGAGTTCCTCAAGGTAGCTGTTTGGGCCCTCCCCTTTTTCTCGTATATATTAACGACATAACTTATTGCTCTTCATTATTTTCCAAATTGTTCGCTGACGATACTAATCTCCTTGACAGCGACAAATCTTGTGCAGTTCTTCAGTTGAGAGTAAATACTGAAATTGCAAAAGTGTCAAGTTGGATGAAAGCCAATAAATTAACACTAAACATTGAAAAATCAAAATCTATGTTAATATCTCCATACCAATGCAAATCGAAAAATGTTTTGGAAATCCAAATTGATAATAAAAAATTGGAAAATGTCCATTCCTTTAAATATCTTGGTATATACATTGATAGTAAAATGAAGTGGGATATTCACTTGTCCAACCTGGCCGTTAAATTATCCAAGTCTGTTGGAATGCTATACAAGCTTAGAAGATACACATCGCTTACCACCTTACGCATGATTTACTATTCTTTATTTCAAAGCCATATCCAGTATGGCATAATTGCTTGGGGTTCAGCTGATAAAACCTTATTACACCGCATTGAAATTATTCAGAACCGAGCAATTCGTGCAATTTCTGCTGCCAGTTATATTTCACGACTTAGTCCTGTTTATCATAGTCTTAAAATTATTAAATTAGCAGATATTTATGAAATTGAGGTATTGAAAATAATGCACCAACATCACTGCAAAAAACTCCCTTCTGCTTTCACCAACTATTTTTTAAAACAGAGCAACGTTCACTCTTATGAAACGCGTTCCTCTGCCGGGTGCTCATATTATGTAAATCGCTTCAGCACCAAACGAACTCAAAACTCGATCAAATTCGTTGGTGTTAAATTGTGGAATAACCTCCCTAATAACATTCGATCCAGTAGTTATAATTCTTACAAACATGCACTGAAAAGCCTATATCTTGATGCCTATAGGCCTAGTTGTCATTGATCTGAAAACATTACCTTCTGTTGTTTTCTATATCCATCCATCTTTTTGAAACTTGCCATTTTCTTCTGTCTGCATATTGTGTCCAATTAAGCCAATGTGTAATATTGAGTTCTATTTATTTTTTTGTCTTTTTGTATGATCGTGTTAATTTATTAAGTTAATGTGTAATATTGAGTGTCCCGTTTCTTATATTTGCTGCTTAATTTCAGCTACAAGGTGTCGCTGACTAGATGACTCTATGAGTCTTTTCGCGACTCCGCGTCAACTGCAACAAGCCGATATCCATTTGACATTTTGTTACATTATATTATTTATTCATTTTTCATATCGCGCATTGTTTTTTGCATGACGAAAATAAATATCTGAATCTGAATCTATGATCTATGTAACCCGCGAGTGCTTTTCGACAGGTTTATTCAATATGTATGTATTTATATGTAACGCAATTATGATAGTATGTGTTTTTTAACAGTATACCGGATGTAATTTAACTACGATTGTATGAACTTTCAGATAAACACGCACTATTACTAATAGAGGCTTGAATTGCAATTATTGTGCAAGATTTCTCTTTTGGGAGATTCTCCAGTTGATCCAAAATATCTAATACATTCATGGATACAACAAAAACAAGAGAAGCATTGTTTATATAATACATACAATATATAATTACAATTTTTAACGGAACATTTCATTTGAAAAGTCTATATGAATACATTTGGGGATCTACCTAACTTCAGATTCATCTCCATGTTCACCACCTCCTCCAATGTGTAATAAATTGGATAGGGTGCTGTCGGTTCGATGCCGAACCTTAATGTGTGGAAAACGAACCATGAGAATCCCCTTTTTTTTACTATATATTTAGGAATATACTCACCAGGCAGGAGTTTGTTGGTCTTGTCCTCAAATGTTGCATTCAATTTTGATGTATCATCTATGTTGGTATACACTATTATTTTTTTTATGATATAACTGTTACCAATTTGTCCTAGTAGTTTTCGTGAATAGAAAATTCAGTGACTACAATGTCATACTACTACAGCGTTGGCCATGAGGCATAACATTTGAAATATTTTGTTAGGAGAGGCATTCGCCTCTGCTATCTTATTACAGTGTTTGGATATTCACATGAGCGTAAAATAAAAAGGCAACAATAAATATAAATAGGCAACAATAAAAATTTGGCTTTTCGTGTGTACCAGAATTGTCAAAATTCAGAAGCATGCCACTTCATACTGAATGATATGATATTAAATAAGTGTTTGAATTCGATTTTCATTATAATACATGTAACCAGGGAGTGCTTTTTAACAAGTTTATACAATATAAATAAAACGCAGGTTTGATAACATGGGTTTTTCAATAGTAGTTATTCACCTGACGGTATTTACCTATATAAGCGCATGGATCTCAAAGTTAAACAAACTATTACCAAGTAGCTCAAATTGCAAGTATTGCATAGATTTGTCTTTCATTTTTTGGTCGAACACACAGGGATGCCCATGGTTTACAACCAAGGTTGACCGAGGTGAAGCCGCCAAAAATTCCCGTTTATACTACTGGGGACTACATAAATTCAATCATTGCAACTCATTTATTTATAATAAAAAAAACAGAGCTAGGATTCATTAAACGAGATAGCGATCGGAGACTCCCGACTTATCGATCTAGCGGCGTGTATCCCTCGCTCTGACTCAATAGCGACTCCTCGTGTCACATCACTGAATAATTATTAACTCGCTGATTATACGACATAACTCATCCAAATTAGGCTTCTGGCCCGAGATATGATGAATGCACATGCTAAATTTGAAACAGATTCAACCTCGCTTTCGTGAGATATCGCGTAACATACAAAAGTGTCTAACAGACAAACAGACAGACAGACAAATACCCATCAACATACTTACCGATAGAGATCGATAATTAATAAAATATTTGTTACGTGCGTAGATAAAAAAAAACATTATCTCACTCTTCGCTGATAACGATAATCAAATATCTTGTGATTGAACACGATTTAAATAATTGCAATTCATAACGAAACATCCCATCTGAAAAGTTCGCGTGAAAACATTGGGAATCGAGTAAACCAATTTGGAGTTGTTAGTTGGAATTTCGAATTCTATTTATAATCTTGTTTACATGTTTACATACACATTCTATTTATAATTTTGTTTACATGTTTACATACACATTACGTGATCGCTCGAAAAGGCTAATACAGAGTGAAATATTGCGTGGGTTCGGCAAGTGGTTACTTTAGTTCCTGTTATTACGGCTTTTCGGTCTAGTTTCGAGGTCGTTTGCCGAAGGGCTAAAACAACCTAATTTACATACTAAATACTCGATATTCACACAGTCTTGCCTGCGAAAGATATTGGATACATTCTGTTATAAATAAAGTAAAATATACATAACTTCGTGGTAAATGAAAATAGTGCTCAAAATTTTCGATTCACGCGGTAAATTGCTTCGAATATGAATTTGGTATCAACATAGATTTATTTAATTTGTGTTTTGATCCTTGATCTTGTTTTAATAAAAAAACTTTTACATATGATGACATAGCTTGTCGAACCAGAATGATTCCAGCGCTGCATTTAAAAAAAATTCTGGCTTAGAGCCTTCTTTAGAGCGAAGGTGGTGAGCGCTTATATTGAAAAGGACGCGTGAAAGACATGGAAAAAAAACTGGACTCGTCAGTAATAAATGATGAAAAGAAAAGGAATTGTCCGAGCTGCGTTATAATTTACGGAAAACTCTAATCAACATTCTTATTAAATTTCATTTTTAACACACACTTCAAATTATTTTTCCTTTATACGCTACATTATGCGTAGGCCTAGTAATCCAATGATAATTGCCTGGTTGCAACGTAAAAGCTGCAAATCACTTCCTCGTCAATTCATTTTCGGTGTAGTTTCGCGAAAAGCGATACAACATTCTCAGTTTTAGTTCCCCGGAAATAATATGCGGAGTTTATCGAATAGCTTGGATTATGATTCGCATAGCTGCCGAATTACCAGAATAACAATATATATCTTGATTTGCATACTAAAATTGTTTGTAAACATAATTGTGGTGCCATGCGAATTTTCAATTAAGTCAGGTACAAATGGTTGTGTACATGTAAATTGGCAATGTTTAAATTGGTGACTGTACATTTAAATCCACGTACATTTGAACCCATGTGTATATCCGCGGGTTCAATCTATATGCGGGTGCTAAATTCCATGGGTTAGGGTTTGTATGGGTTCAAATATCCGTAAAACAAAAAATTTTTCATAGGTGCAATAGTATGCAGGTGCAATTGTCATGGGTTCAAATGTAATGGAACCTTTAAATTTGATATTCGTGACATTATCTTCGTGGATTGTGATATTTCAGTGAAAATTCTCACTCACTCAATATTGTCACCTTTAAATTTCTTGAATGTATCTGTTCTTTATAGTTCACGTTTAGCCAATTAGCAGATCTTTTTGCAATATTGTAGCAAACCAGCTGCTCCAAGAACGCAGCGCTGAGCTTCCAAAAAAGTCGATTATCACGCGAATGCCTTCGTCTACAGGAGCTGTTTCCCAAACTGAGGTTACATTTTGATATTTCAGTGGGTATATATATTAGATGAGTATAAGAATTAATTAATCTTCGCATAACTTCTGATCTGCCTTGAAATATTTTATCACCTGATGTTAATAATCCGAAGACCTTAGTTTAGCAACTCTTAAGAAAGTCAAATTGTCACCTCAGTAGAAGCTTTAACATCAGTGTCTACATTCGCAGTTCACGTGACTTTTTTTGTCCAATCAAGCACGTGCGATCTATATTTTTCTATTTGAAGATGACGACAAACCATCAAAATCCATCTACTTAAGTTTAATATGTGTCAATTGCTAAATGTAACACAAATATAGTTCTTTATTGCAATAACCGTTTGATAAAGGAACTATTAGAACGTGGTGTGGTGGTAGCGCCGTTATCGTACGACTGGGTTTTCCAAAACTATCTAATTTACATACTTAAATTACGAGAAATAAAGTACCAATCCTTAAGCGAAAAACAAACATGCTCGATTCAATCCAAACAAAGAAGCTTGGCTTATTTACAACTGCGTGTTCGCAACAAATTTTTTAGTTGTTCTGGAAAAATATTTTCTTGTCCCCCACGGCGTATTATCCAATATTCTCGTTCCTATTGTAACAATTAAAAGTAGGTTTGAGCTGGTACTCTCTATTCCACTATTACTTCATAATATTTTGATAATATAATTGTTCGCTCGAGTTTCAGTGACGATTTTTAGTACGAGCTTGATTATGTTGAATATGTAGTGTGATCTCATACAATGTATTTAGATTTATGGAACTTGTTTGCCGGTTAAACAGCAAAAGTAGCGTCATCCAAACATATTGCGTGGGTTGACTTCCTTATTTTAGTTCTTCATTTCGTAAATTACTGATAAGCTGACCCATTAAGTGAAGGTATTTACATACTGGGGATTTCACAAAACGGCAGTTTGTATACTTTTAACTATAATACCGAATTTTATAAAAACAAATACAAGTCATTAAAGCAGTTTTTTAGTCATGCATGGTCATATATGATTTGATGATAATTTCCCCAATGTTTGTTTATACACAGAAAACGATGTATATAGCCTGTCTGTTTTGTTTCATTACCCAGCCTTCACGTACTTTATTTTATGACACAATTCATATGCACGATTTATTTTCAGAATTCTAGTCATTTTAATGAAGTCAAATTCAAATATATAAATTTTACTACAATTTAGATAATACTTTAGTACTTATGACAAATTTATGCTGAAGCAAACAAAAAATAGCACGTTTACACCTGACTGAATAAGCAACGTTAAATTAGAATGTTTAATGGCATAAATCTGATTCAAGGTGCCTAAAATAGGAGTCGAATTTGATATTTTGAAAGTAGCAATCGGAATTCCAGACAACTTGAAAGTTCGGGCCTAAATTAACAACTGATTTATCAAGTTTGCCGATGGCAACATTTGCCAAAATATTCATTCATTTGCATTTTTGGACGTGAAGTCGTGGTTCGGAATCGAATTTTTCTATATACGGTAGCTAGAATTTATATCAACAATACAACTTACTTTGAAGCTGTATTAGGGATACTAGCAGCTATAATCAAAACCAAATCACTGGAAAATCTATTACGCTACACCGAGTAAAATCTTCCGATCACCATAAATGATATTTACATTCAGTTTTATTGTTTATATGTAACTGTAAAGTTTAGCTCGGGCTTACGTTGACGCCACAAGGACCACTAAGGTATGTTCGTAAACCCTTTCATCCCATCATATTACTTGATCTATTTTAACAATGGTTAAAGTAGACAATAGAGTGCGGACCGACGTATACAATTCTGTATCAAACTTTAAACAATAGTTTCATGACCAGTAATGCACATACCACTAACAATTTCGAGAACTGTTCATTTGCTATTCGAGAATGATGTTGTTATTCAAGCTTAGTTAAAAAATATACAATGCCATTAACGACATAGCAAAGTGGAAACGACAGAAACGTAACTAGGCGTCAGCATGCTTTGACTGAGAAACAGCAAATACTCATGTAATTTCATATTTATTTGCTAATGTATTTTAGTGTTAGATTCACTAACATATTTTAAACAATTCTAGAATAGCGGTTGTAATTTCAAAAAAGTTGCGAAAGGGATAAAAGGTTAAAAAACACTGATGTGAACAATCCACCTAAACCGACAACTCAATCGATGGATTATAAATACATTCCTATTTGAATATAATTTGAATCGTTGAATTTACAAAACGAAATCAATCATAGTATTTTATTGTGATAACCTTCTCATATAGGAACTATTACAACGTGGTGTGGTGGTCGCGCCGTTATCGTATGATTGGGCTTTCCAAAAGTATCTAATTTACATACTAGATCACGAGAAATTAATTTTAGAAAGGATCACAATTTATCGAGCTCGGTACGCCATATATAACATCTTGATGGGTGATATGGTGGACATTGGATTAGAATTAGAATTTTACTAATTCTAGAATAGCGGTTGTGATGTCCAAAAGTTCGTGCATTCCTATTTGACAAACAACTTGCTGTCCATGCTCATTACCAGTCCGTGGTACCGAGAAATAATTAAACAAATATAAGCAAACGAATTGCAAACGAAAAAAAAAATAATAAACTTTTTCATGATTCATACTCGGAAATTTTTTAAAATATATACATATATTTATTAGGGTATATATACATACTCCTAATAAAACGAACCAATTCACAGTATACTGAATATTCAAATGTGTATATCCCGTCTTTCAAATATTCTTTTGTTTCTTTTTCGAAGCAGCGATCCTGTAGAAATAATATTTATTCCAATTTAGCCTTTTCATTGCATGGAAAATGTTTTATATAAATCATACCAGCTGAAATATCATAATATCATAAATAAAACGTGAAAGTTGCTTTTGAAAGTTCTCAAAATGATGGCAAATTAAGATAGAGTACAGGAGAACTGTGTAAGTGTCAACACCACTGATGTGCTTTTCTTAATTAATGTTTCAGCTAGAACCAAATGCCAGTGAAATACGCAACGTACCAGACTTGAACTGATTGCCGAACGAGAAATCCGATAGATAAATGATTATTCAAATTCATATTCCATTAATCTAGTCCGAATACATAATATTATAGTTATTATTCGAACACTTATATTCAAAAATTGATCGCTTTGAAAGTTTTTCCTGCAATTTACTTACCTAATATTGTATAGCGGGCAGTTTTGAATTCCTTATCGCAGTTTCTTTATCAAATCCAAGCTTCATACTGTAAAATTAATAAAATGTTGCAGTTTGAGTAACAAACTTGATATGTTGCTATAGTAAAACTATTCTCTGAAACGTATGTTTTAAGACTGATTGACTGAGCCCGAAACATGCATTTTTAAAATCAATAACTTTTATAAAAAGAAAATACTAAATGTAGCTGCTATTTCTCGGGTTAGCACGTTTTAACCTAAAAAGTCAGCAATAGTACAAAGATAACAACTGAAGTAATACCCAGTAAAACATGTGATTGACAAAGCGCAAATGTGATGACATTGTGTTAAATTTCCGTCAAAGAATTTTCTATAGTTTAACGTTGCTTAATAATAACAGATACTCACTGCGCATCAATTTGAGCGTGATACATTTTTACTGCCAAATCTCCCTTTTTTTCAAACATCACTTCTTTATGGCGATGATTTTCTTCTAAAACTTTGACTTCTCTCTGATTATTTTGTTCTTTTATTTTTATTTCGTGTTGTCTTTGTTCCCGTCGTTCTTTCTGTTTTCGTTCTTCTTGTTCCCTCTCCCAGTCTGTAAGTAAAAGATTTCATGTATTGGAGTCGTGGAGTGAGTGTGATTTGACTTAACCTAAAATTTAGAAATAAATAAAATAGATTCCCTGCATTGCCATGACGCGTTCTGCAAAATCATACGGAATTCCCACGAGGTTGCAATAGTTTACCCGAAACTATTCTCTCGATTGAGTTTGTAGAAGCTCAGACATGTTACAGGCATTGCGGAATTAATGATTATAAAATGAATGCAGAGTAATATCGCAGCATTTTGCTAGGTAAAGTTAACCAGGCGACATTTGTCAGGATAACTTTACCAGTTTTGGGCTAGCTAGAAGGATGCATATATATATAAGATATTATTCAGCAATTAATTTAATGTTTTTCTCTACAGAATTGTTTTTTTCAAATACAACAAGCAAGGAATAGAATAAGCTTTGTAAATATTAATATATATCATACCATGACTTGAACCTCCTCCCATGGCGACGAGTTTTACCAATTGTATTTTATTCAGAGCACTGTAAAATATATATACACCGATTAAAAGGCTTAACATCAAGGCATAGATAGTGTTTCTACTACAGCACAAGGCAGTACAAAAGGCAATGAGTACAATAGTACAAAAGGCAGGCTGTGAAGTTGCCAGGTTTAGGCTCTAAAAGCCTTTCAACATAATGCGACAAGATATCCACTTCGTCTTATTAGACTATAAACTGTTTCTAACTTTCAGTAATAACCGTAACCATAAAGTGTCTGTTCTCGAGAAACAATAAGTGGCAGAGTTTTACTTAATATTTGTGAAGGAGTACAATATGAGTAGATTTTTTGAGATCGTCAATCGGGTAAATAAAGCGACAGCTATCTAGTTTAAAAGGCAATAATCTTTATTCACATCTGTACCCAGGATACACAATATATTATCAATTGCCTTTTTTGCTTGTATACTCACCCTTTGTCTTCTGATCTAATATCGCGCCACTGTGGCGCTTTTGCCTGACAATATTATCTGTGAGTACGTGAAATAGACGAATTAGATCGAGAATGCGCTATATAGCTAACTTTACTTTAAAATGCCCAGTTCTCAATGGAGATGGCATGGTATCTTAAAACCTTTTATCTGATGTATGTTAGGTAGAAAAAGGTTCCCCAAGTTGCGAAAACAGTTTTTCGGTTTATTAACTTTATTCAAAGCAAACGGAAATGTGCTCAGACCAGCTCTTCTCTTTCTTACCAATCTCTTGACACACCCGGAATTTTTCAAATCCTATTTCTAGTGTGGCAAGTTATTGCGAACATGTTTTTCAGAAACAAAGAATCACTTCATCAAACACTTTTTCTCTATATGTACGGTATTTCTAACATAGTTCCTCTTTTACTCGGCCGTTTTTCGTCTCTTCATATACGACATCGCGACTTCACTCGACGAGTCTTACTTCTTTTCATGGCGATGAGAAGCCTACATAACACTGTACAAAATTTTTTTGCTTCATATGAGATTCGTTCTCGCCTGGCTTCGCAACATTTTCGCGGTGTTCTACTATAAGAGGATTCTCCTTGTGAATATGGCCGACTTTGTGAAAACTGTTGGAAATGTTTACCACAGAGACGGAGGTAATATATATGTTTCATTTATACAGGCAGAAATTTTCTTTTTGTTTTAGTAGCTTTTACTTTTTACGGGAATATTTGAACTAAATGTTTATATAGATCGTTTTCGTCACGTATGTCTGTTCTTTTATTCAACGGTGGTCGCTTTACCAGTTACCGGTACCGATGTGCATTTTATCATAGGCTGAAATGCTGCTAGCACAAGATTTTAGGCACCAAATAAATATCTCATTGAGAAAATAAGACGTCACGTGGATCAGATAAATGTCCCACTGCAGTACGTCATTTGACAATCGTGTTCGTGCTATCATGAGTTACCATCAATTTGAGATAGAATAAAAATGTTGAAATTAAATCGAAAAGAATAAAATACAACATTTGATATACTCAAGGTGTTAGCGATAAAGTTTGGATACCGTTTCATTGGCCATACCTGTAAAACGATCGATACAAATGAACGAATGTTGTTTTGTGTGATGCTACAGCGACACTCAATGCGCAAAGCTGGTGAAGTCCCTTATTCGATACTCGATTTATAAATAATATTTCGTATCCAAAGCGTATGTACGGAATTCAATTCCTTAATGTGAAACATTAAATAAACAGTTACCAAAATATTAAAAACACTTTTTGTGGAAGCACTTATAAATATACGACATGTGAGATATACAAGCATTATTGGACACGAACTGTACAATGTTTTGTTGTCGTTGTGTGGAACCGTTTTTTTTTCGCATCAATTACCTCAAAATAAAAAAAATTGCTTGAAAGGTATCACAATCATATATTTTTTTATTCTTATTTTTTGTGAGTTTTATGGGACCCGGATGCTTCATCCAGAATTTCTCTAATTTAGTCTGATCAAGCACGACAACACTTTTTATTCCTCCATACTTGACCACCTCCGTCACGCTTGACCGCCCATTGTTTCAACAGACTTGCTAATCCAAGCTCTGCTGTACTGATACTGAATACTGATGCGCTATATTCGTGCATAAATATATGTTTGATCATTTCACTCTGGTTTTGTCAACAATACAGGGTTTCTCAAGATAGTTACATAAGTAATAAGAAGTCAAGTGAAAGAAATGTGGCGTTGAAAATATTTCATAATAAAATCTACCTACACACATTAATATCAGTGATTTAATTTAGCGTGATTCTTGTATTAAGATCGAAAGCATGAGCTGGAAATGAAGAAAGAAGAAGATGGATTCCGTCTATCAGTGCAGCGTATTGACAATGAAAATGAACTTAATAAAGTAAAAGCAGGCCATGATCACGAATACAAATGCTTGAAAGAAGGTCACAAACATAGTGAAGAAATGTTTGATAAAAAAGGAGATTTGGCATTGCGGTTTCATAAACAACAAATTCAACTATAGTAAGTAACCATCGACTTCAAATTTTCAGTATTTAAGGATGGAAGAACCCACTAAAAAACTATTACTTTTGTTTTATTTCAATATATTTTTAAACTTTTATCAGGCTATACTTCACTTCAAATTCAACTTGTGTTGCACCACTACGTGACATTTCGAAACACTTGTCAGTTGAATTTTTCAGTTAAAACCTCAGTTAAAAACCTCCTCTCAGTTGAAACCTTGCCGCTACTGATGCTCTACTTTTTACTTAATATATATTAACGTTGCTCTATTTTACTTATAAGTAAACGTCCGATAAAACATTTGTACAATATCTCTTTCCAGTCAAGAATTGGGATGTTCTCCTGAAGCAATAATGAACACCGTTTCACAAAATCTACCAGCAATAAAGTTTGAGTAAGATTCTTGTTCTGTAACTTTATTTTGTATATTTTGTATTCAATTCTCGTGTCAGAATCTAACACGAAAGAAGACCTAATCAAAAGTCCTGGTTCGTTGTTGAATTTACACTTGTCAAGCAAACACCCAATGGGGATGAATCAATCTGATATAGAAAATAGCTAAAATCAGAAAAACATCATTTTTTCGGCTTTGCAAAACTTTTTCTTGTTTCTTTCACCTTGAACAGAATAGAATGCAAAGATATAAATTCAATAAAATTATTTTCATTTCAGCTAAATATGTCAGAAAAAGGATGGCTGAACTGAGAAGAAAACATTGAAAATTATTTTTAAATACTTTTTTTATAAATTTTAATGTAATTTTATTATACTACAGTAGTTGCCAATATGCTTGTAATACTAAATATCTAAATTTGTATACAACATTGGTTATACAATTAAAAACTCCGAAAGCACTCAAAATTCGAGACCTATAATAAACGATTCATTAATCGAGAAACGATCAATGACACACTGCTCAATGAAATTTGACTTTAGGCTTACTTTTTAAAACATTTATTGTTTTAAATTGTATTTTAATTAAATGGGGTTTAATCGGTTTAACATTAATAATGATAAATAAATATTCGCAATATATGGAATGTTATTCAAAAATTGGTAAATATAGAATTTTATTTAATTTTTCTGATGAATGTTGTTAGACGTAATTATGGACAATATAACATCTTTATTACTTATCGATCTTTAGATCGGTTAGTATGTTGATAGGTATTTGTCTGTTTGTTTGTTTGTTTGTTTGTTTGTCTGTTAGATACACGCGATATCTCACGAAAGCGAGGTTGAATCTGCTCCAAACTTGGCATGTGCATTCATCGTAGTTCGGAACAGGAGCCTATTGAATTTCGATGAATTATGTCCTATAATTAGCGAAATATTTTTTAATTAGTGATGGGACACACGGTGTCACTATGGAGTAAGAGCGCTGTTTTGGGGGATCCCCTAACCTTGATCGATATTCTCGTTCAATCGTTAATCGTATTATTTCATTAGTGTTATCATGCATGTCTAGTGTGTACAATGCTCTACAATGTTTCAACCAAATTAATCTGTGAGCTTTAGCTGTATCTAAGGATTCAACTTCCTTCATATTTCTAACTTTACTGCAACATGATTTACCACTATGTTAATATTTCATTTGTGTAATTGTTTTTCTTATGTTCTCCCAAGCTTGCTGGGATGTAGGTAATTCGGGATTTTAGAATTTAGAATTTTAGAATGTACTAATCAAAATTTATTGCAAAACTCATGTTATATTACCCAATTTAAGAAGGATACTGAAATACGTATAGAGTATGAAATATCTTCGTTTTGAACTATGTTATATTAACAGATAAATTGATGAAATTTTACTTCGTAAATTTCAGAAATGTATTTTTCGTATTGTATATTCTTAAGTTTCGGTGAATGTTATAATCTTTATCTTCTTTTAAACATTAGTTACACAGATTTAATAACTACTATATATTAGATGAAAAGCTGAATATTTATAGATGTCATTTTCATCCAATATGGGGAAATACAATTCAAAAATGGGTAAGTAAGACTATCTATTAATTTGTTTTTGTGCTTTTTAGATAAGTGACAAAGATAAGATAATACTGGAGCATGAAGAGATCTATATATTTTGTCCGTTAATATTCAATGTGTAAAATAGTGAATCTGGAATTAACTGATCCCACTAACTAATACTTGTGCTATTTATTTGAAGATCCACCGGAAGGTCGCTATCCACCACATACCAAAGAATATCAAGCACATCCTACGTCTAGCAGTGCAAAATATAAAACAAATGGCAAACACATGAGGCCAAATAATCACAACGGAGGGGAATGGGGATCCGTCGAATCCAATGATTACGAGCATATACAGGGCCATGGTTATTGTCCTGAGGAGAGCAGGTATTATAGCCCGAATTATTCTTAACATAATAAAATTACCATATCTAATCTAAACATTTTGACAATTAGAAAATAAATATAAGAATATTTTGATAATCGACCATTGTCATTGTGTAACATTTTTTAAGACACGAAAAACCATCGCGACCACATTACCAGGAAAAAGAAGAAAATGATCCATTTAAAGACATGCAATTCGATGATGAAGAGCTTCGTAAAGAGGAGCTCAGGCACCAACAAAACTTGAAAGCATTGGACCAAGATTATGAACGCAGAATGAGGGCTCTTGAAACTGTTCGAAAGCGTAAAATGGAGGAAACTCTAGAGTGAGTGAACATGTATATGCAAAGGTTGAATGTTAGGATTACTCAAGATGTGGTTATTGCATGAATTAATAATTATTTTTTGTTTTGTTTCAGTGAGTACAACACGCATCCTAATTTTACAAAAAACAGGTCGGCGTTTGCAGATTCGTACAAGTATGTCCAAGTATATTACACTTTTGGTTTTTAATATACAGTATATATATATATATATATATATATATATATATATATATATACAGGGTGGCCCAAAAGTAGGTAGTGGCCCAAAAGTAGGTATACAGTTATTAAAATTATTATACAGTAAAATAGTTTAATAACTGTATACCTACTTTTGGGCCACCCTGTTTCTATAGCTTGCATAATTGTAACTGAATCAACTTTTAGTTTACACGGATGGCATGGATGTTCGTGATGCAGCAAAAAGCAGGGATATCATCTTAAAAAAGCTCAAACTTTCTCCGAAGTTTTGATGACTACATTTTACAAATTTTACTAAGAAAACTGAAGTACAACCCTTGTATTTTCAACGACTCCTTATATTAGCCCCACAAAAATAATTTGCAACTTTGATTATCTCAGAACCACAAAAACATAGTGACTTTCAGCAGAATTTCGAAGTCACGTTCCTGAAACCATATTAGCTTAACGAATAGACTCATAGAACCTCGATGCCAAAATTTCAAATCACACCAACATAGATGAGCTAATACGACTACATGACTTCACTGCATTACTGCAACTCATCTGAAAATTCAAAATATATTTTAGCTTCAGCGGTTTTAAAAATCGTGGACTGTGTATGATTGTTCAAAACTCAGATCGATATGAAAAAAGTGCAGGTGAAATTTTACTTTCAGTTTTTGTATCATTCTGAGATATTTTCAGCAAACAAATTGAATATATATAGCAAAATTCTGAGATCAGAATAGATCACTAACTTCACAAACAAAACGAAGGTAATAAACATTACCTTTGAAGAATTAATTTGGAATAAATCGATTATTGAACTCTTGTTCCCGAAATGAATTGGTACATGAAATAATTAATCATATGCCATTCCACTGTTAATAGATGTATATGAAATTGATTCACTCGAATTCAGTGATTAGTATTTCTTCCGACCTTTTGTTTTACTACTTTTAATTTAACTTACAGAAATTCTGAAGGGCATTTTTACGCAACTTGGGTATGAAGTGAACATGCAGAAAAATTTGAATGAAATGAAAATGTTGAATTTACTACAGTATGCGAGTTACCAAGATTTCGGAGATTATGGAAGTTTTGTTTCTTTCATTCTGGGAAAAGGTAATCAATTCGAAAACAACGTATTCGAAACAAACCTTATTTAAAAAAAAATTGATTTATTCATTTTAGTTAATCCATGACTTTCCATTGCTTTATAGTTCCCGTTTGTCTGATAATTTTGACAGCTTCTCCCTATGTGCAGGCACAGATAAGTATGTGGAGACAGTCGACAAAAAGCCAGTTGAAATCCGAACAATTGTTGATTTTTTCAAACCTACAGAGGTTCCAAGTCTTGCAGGAAAACCGAAACTCTTTTTCATCCAGGTATAACAGTAAAATGTAAATTCCATATTTATGTCGGTGGTAAAACTTGTTTATACATAAAACCAAACCATCATGAACTTAAAACTGAAAAAAGTGGTGGCTTGGGTGGAAGCTTAATCTTCCAAAGGTTACACGGACCTCCTTTTAGTAATTGAACTATTTTCTTATACAAAAATATCTGCCATTATCTTTAAATCTCGTACAATGGTCTTATATATCGGGCCATTGACCAAGCTGTTCATGAATTCAACTGAGGTTTGATATTTCTATCACTCTCAAGATAATTTTATTCTACAAATTTTATCTTTCTCTAGAATGACATCGACATCTTGAAAGACAAAGGTCTTTGGAAAGAAAGTCAACATGACAAACCAGTTGTAGATTACATGGACGCGTTTGTCGTTCGTTCTACTCACAGAGATTTTATGAAAAATTTCACAACTATCATCAAGCAAGACAGCAGGTCGAATTTTTTATGACTTTTGTATGTGAGTGGTCTTATCACAATTTTTGCAGCATTTTTTGCCAAAAATGGAGATCGCATTTGAACCAAGACTTGGAAGTAGAAATATTACTAATAAAATAATCGCAAATAGATTTTTATAGATTTATCCTCATTATATATATTTCATTTCAACACCGTGGTTTTTCAAAGTTTTTGTTTTTATAATTTAGGATGGATTTATAACGTGAGATGTCTGGTCTCTATTTGTACACCCGCGAGTTTGCATGCGCGTTTGTTGTTGTCATATTATAACGTTGGTGTAACAATATTTGCAAATAAATATGAAAAAACTAGACATTCAGATGTTCAAGATGTTTTATATTCGAAACAAAATTTTGCTACGTAAATGAATATCACTACGTTTTTTCTGACAAAGAAATTTCTCAAACTCAATAAATATATACATTTATTATTTTATCAGAATGCCATTGACCAGAATAATTGATACTGTGTCGAGACACACCATGCCACTGGCGAGCAATAAAGAAAAGTACGAAGTGGTTTCAACTCTTTTGAAGGAGGTAAATTCAATCTATTCATTAGGATTGCTTGCTTTAGGTTTAACTCTTGATGTGGTTGTAGAACTAATCATGTTAAAGATTTTGGGTTGGAGTCAAAAATGAGTCTGGTCTTTTGTCTTATATTACGTCATGCTTTTACGCCGTCAGTACCTAGCTCTTCTTGGATCTAAAGTATAAAAACTTGGTATATACCCAACTGACTAATATTGAAATGTTTGTTTTCAGGTTTACTTCGGTCAGAACGAGTCGTCACTGTAGTTTATTATTAAAGACATCCATACTTACGGAGGCGATTATATAGATCTGTAAACAGTATTTGATTTATTGCGAAGCTTTCTTTGTCACAAACCATTTTGCAATAGGGATGTAGATTATATTTGAATATTACCTCGACTTGTTAACTTTAAACATAACATTGAAAATTATAAAGTCCTATAATTATAAACAAATGAAATCCTGCAAATTGATTGTTTCACGAACAGCAGTCGTCGCATGTTTTTTATCAACTTGTCTCTCTACTTTTGTAGTGTAACTTTTCTCTGACTCAATGTGCTGTTTTGTTTATGTATATTCGCATTTCGGGATTATTGTCTGCTCTTTATTCCGTGATAGTTTAATGTGAAAAGTACTTTCTGGTGATATTAGTTATCCATATTTTATTCATATGAAACAAGTAGTTATTGAGTGTTCATATTTTTTAAATAGCTAACAGCAACTGGCTTTCACTTTTATGAACGCGTTGAATTATAACATGTTCGAAGATTTTTGTAATTAGCCTATATGAGTATATGACAAAAACTATAAAGCGGACTTGTCAATCTTATATACTTGTTTGTAATGTAAATATATCTTGTGGAAGAAATGTGTTCACTAATAAAAGGCCTCTCGCATGTAAAGTTCTACGTTCAGATTGGGATATTAAATTAAAAACCAAAGTGCAGTGTAAATTCACAAAATTGAAGGCTACCAAAATTAGCCAGCCGCTCAACCCAAGGCCAAGCTTAACACGAACAGATCAATGGCCAGTGACAGATTAATGGACATATATTTAGTTTGTTGCTACTTCAAGGATCCAGTTTCATACTTTCTAACCGGTTGAAACCTGTGCAGACAAAAGAGTTAACAACCTAGCATTGCGAAACCTTCAGGACTTTTTCACACTCTCATAATTTCAAGTTGAGAATTTTATGTACCCTTCTTATGCATTGTATGCGATTGGCTTTCGGTGAAAATATTTAAGAATCTATGAATGACGTGTAATAGATTGATGACTTGGGTTCATTCAGTTCACTTATATAATCTCCGATTGTCTTGGAGATATTAGTAGCGCCTAAGCAGGAGAAGTACGTTGATAGACTCAAAATGTCTAGCTTCGTAACCATGTGAGTTCTGTTGCTATTGTTGTTGAGGCAATTTTGGGGGCAGAAAGAATAGCTTTTCTCCGTAACTAATGAACCAATCGCTTTCAAATTTTGCCGTTCAAAGATGAAAGTTCTAGCCAGAATCTAACACTTTTATTTTATTTTCTTCGACTTTTTTTGAGTTCCTTGATATCCGATATTTAGCCTAAAATGTTGCTGTTTTATTTGAGCACTATTTTTGAACAGGTAAACATGACAGTCAGGCTCAGTCGCCCCATCTGGCTAATCGAGAATTCACAGTTTTTTACGTTGGTCGTTCCTTGCTCACCGAAACAAAGCATTGAACAAGGTAGGTGGTTTGGTTTCGAAAATTGAATCTAATATGTCCAGGATTTATTGTTAGAAACTAGGTAGGGTACAATCTTAGAATAAGTTCTGAAGTTTGTATTCACAAAATTTCGCGCAATTCCACCCAATCTCGTCCTAGCGGCAGCGGTATCTGTAGGTATACATACTGTACTTGTACAATACCAAATGGACCTATAATCAGGGCTGTCGTCGATGTGAACCCAAAAACAAGACATCAGAGAAAAGAAATAATAAGATAACAAAGAACTAAATGTAATAAGCAAAATGTATTCGTACCAGTGCGACGAACCGTGTCTAATTCTACTTCGCACTAGGAAAGATTAGCTCCAGGACTTCTTTATTCTTAGAAGCTATCTGTTTCATATCACCGCAGCTCACTTTCACTTGTAGAATAAACTTGACTTTTTGTTTAGAAAGACTGATTCCCTCTATGATTCACTGTGCTGGCATGGATAACACGGCATGGATAACACAATGCTTATTAGCTTGTAGAGAAGCGCAAAAGAGTCGTTAGTGGAAAAGATTCAGCCACTTGTGCTCGATTCTTTTTTTCGGAAAACGTCAATCGGAATTTTCTTACAAAGAATATTGCCATTAACGGATCAATTAGCTAGCAAAGTCCATATTCGTGTTTTTTCTAAAGCACTGATTCTCGACTATCTATAAAGTCGAAATTAACACGTGCTGAAATGCTCGGGGAGAAGACAATTGACCAGAACGTCAGAAAACTAAACCAGTAGGCTACTGCTACACTTATCAATTCTATCAGATCTAAATAATTCTACTAGTCAACTGCAAAGATCTCATTCACTACTGTATTTTGATTCAAGTTACACGATCTGATCTTTGCTTTGCTATTGTTTTGTCATCAAAATCGACCATCAAAATAAGGACAAATCTCAGAAATAAAGGACGTTATGGCAGCCATGCCTATTATATTCAAGACACATTTTGAGCACAAAATGGACCTATGTAACGTTTGTTAAACTATGAATCGCGAAGTTTGAACATTCTTTGACGGTACCGGTGTTTGATTTTTTAAATAAGTTAAACGTCACTATACGAGTCCCTAGGACAAAAAATTAGTCAACCATTCAAATATAATCATCATATTCGGTGTTGCATTTACCAATTATAGCTGTCGCTTTTTCGTAATTCGCAATTGCAACGCGCGATGCGCTCAATAGAAAACCAATTTAAAATTGCGTATCATTTTTGAAAAAGATATATATTAAACTTATAATATTTTTAATTACTCCACGCTAAAGCAATAGCTTGGAAAGCATTTCTCTTAGTGTTGGCCACAACAACACTGCGGTGACAACTAAAAAAGAAAAAAAAAGTAAAGTAATTTAATTGAAATGATTGAAAAGTTAGGACTTTAAAATTTCTTTTGTTCTGAGTGAAGCTGTTAAAAACTATATAAATAACGGCCGGAGGAATATAGCATTCCTTAAAATTACCCAAATGTACTCTATGCTATTCGTTCAAGCGTTAATGAATTAAAATGAAGTTGACTGACTTTACTTGTAAATCGCATAAATAATGTATGGTAGGTTACAGCTTGAGCACAGACGTTTGCGTACGGCGAAATGTCAATTACAGTACAGTGCATTATTGGGTGTTTGAGTTGAAATAATGTATCATTTATTGGGAATTTTATGTAAAATGTATAAATCCCGGTTAGAATTTCAGCGAGTTGCATGGGTAATCTCTTATATATCATGTTGTAAATATATTTCAGAAGCTTTCATTTACAACGCTATGAATTTCTGTAATAGCTGTAAAGCCATCATCTTTGTCCGCGAAAAGATAGAGATCAAAATTTCCACTATAACTATATAAATATTTTGATGTAACAATTAGATGATCCTATAACCTAAGCTCATGACTTCAAAGTTCATTTTTAAACAACTCATTACTTATTTACAAGCAATCGCAAGGGGCGACGACATTAATTATTCATTAGTGCAAAATAGATCCTCCAATATGGTGAAGATCAGCAGACTTCTGTTAGCTCAATTATATAGTACTCAGATAACTGGAATTATTAGGTATCTGGTGTAGCACTAATTAGTTATCGTTACTAAATAGACATAATCCGGACTAAAACAATAAGGTATTACGAACTAGGTAATTAACTGTTTGTGAATTATGCCAGAATTTGAGACAATGAAGCAAGAAGGTTGAAATTACTTGTGGTACGAGTAGTCTCGTAGACATTATTTCATTTTTCAGATACGGTGTTTTATGGGTGGTGGGGCCAAGTCTTCAGGATATTATGTTTCTTTTTGTAATAGGATGTATAATCCTGACTAATGATTGAGTTACTACTACATTTGAAATACATGGTTGCGAATGGGTCAAACGAGCTCAATTTACAGAAAGCACTACAGCTTTAACGTCAACAATTACCCATTTAAAGCTAGACCTAAGTATTGAACAAATGCCGAATCTCGGAACCTCGGAAAATTTCGTAATTACTGAGAATAATTCATCCAAATCGAAGCATGACGGTGACAATCGATCTGCCGTTACTCATAAATCGCAATATGCCAAAAATCTCAAGATTCTAGGTATGTGTATTGTATGCTCGATATTGTCGATTGGACCAATTCAACGCCGTAAACAACCATCGATTTTTATTATGATCAATATTAATGTAAAGGTGGAATAAATAGGGGTGCCATCTGACATAAAATCGTAAATATATGATTCTGAAATATCAACCAACAAATCTTTGTTTCTCGAGATTTTTGGACGATATAAATTGCAAGTGAACTGTATGGCAGAGCTTAAAGAGAGAACAAGAGAAACCAAGTCAGTCACTAAGGCAGTCTGAGCTATCTATTAAATATATTACTGGAATGCTAGGCCCTAGTTTATAGCTAGTTCATAATATTTGCAGTTCAGTCAGTGTACTCTTCCCAGTCACAAAATGTTTGTACTCTGCAACAAACTAAATTATCAATGTTGTTTATATATATCTATCATCAAATAAAGCTAATCAGCATAAGTGTATAATTAACCCCAAAATAGACACTTATCCGGCGCATTATGGACAGCGACAAGAAAACGACAGAAGAAGCAGTGTCCGGAAACACTGAATCAGGTATTTGTTTACTAAAATTCTAACATTTGTTTTTTTATTATTGTTACGATACGACATTTATACGGAAGACAATACATGCAAACTGGTGTAGATTTAGGGGCACATAGGGGTGCACGGTTAGCTTAGTGTGTGGATAACCCGCAATGCGTATAGCCCTAACATTGAGCTACATATGCACAAGATGTCGCAAGGGATGAAAATGTGCAAATAACACTTCGTTAATTTGAAGGATTGAGCTATTTTCTTTTTCTTCGGAGTAATTAAAATCCTATCCTATTCACATTACATTCTACCGCAAATGTATGTATCCGTTGATTGTGTATCCCAAACATACATGACAAAGCAAATTTTTGAAGGAATCGCTGTTTTGCTGAAATAGAGGATACAGCAAAAATGACAAACAGCAACGCAAAAATAACAAGCAAATCGATACCTGTTTTGTCTTTCCAGAACCATCGCCAGAGTCGATAACTGCTTCGTCATCTGACAGCTGGGAAAAGGTTGATAGACATGTTGTTTCAGGCGAATGTTGCGATGAATATGTACATTTGGCGAGTAAGAAAGACAATGTAATAGAATCTGAATCTCAAAAGTTGAGATGTGATGAAATGCTGGAATATACTTCTAATGAATCTGGCACCGAAAGGAAAGTTTCGTTACCTGAAACTCACAGTGCGGAAAAGCGTCGAAAGTATGCTAGTAGAAGTTTTAATCGACTCAGCAATGATGGTAATAATTATTGTGTTATGACTTTATATTATCATGTTACATTCCATCTTCTTGAGTTTGAACTCAATTCATTCCCCACCTTTCAAAATAAGGCTCCGATGGACCTTCTACCACTATAACAACTTTATCTCAAAATATATTACGCACAATAGCGCTAACTACCAAAATATGGCAAACACAAGAACCATATTTTTTCTTTGGATCAACACATTGGCATTTGTAGTCTGTAACATTGCAGAAGCTATTTAAGCAAGCGTTCTCTTTAAAAACAATAGACTCTATAGCGAAATATATTCAAAAGAATGGTGGGGCTGATGTGACTCAACGACCCCGTTACATTTTGCGAGTTTCGTTCTCACTTTACGTAAATCATGACCATACAGGACCTTAGGGTCGCGTCTGGCGAATATGGCTCAGGATCAAATGACAATCATTTTTCGAAACAATCGATCGTAGTGAAATTAAATTATAATAATAAACGAAAGCACTAAAAACTCGTCATTTTTTCAACAATTTAATTCAACAGGTCATAGTAATGACGCAGAAGAGTCATTTTTGTCTTCTTCGACAAAGAAAAATGGTTTCGGTGTCATCGAAAACAACATATTTCGGTAAGGCAATCAATTCTTTTTAAAGACAATTATATTCTGAAGAGATTCAAGTTTGAAAGCATGCAATTAAACATCAATAACACAAAATGGTGTTTTTAAACTAGACAGCAGTTAAAGTATTTTTCTGTTATACATGATCTATCAAGAAGCAAATAGCACAGAAACCAACACTCTCAATACATGTAAGATTCCTTCTCGGGATGTATATTATTATATTCCTGATTTCGTTTCTTTGTGTTAAAAGAATGCATATCTGCCTGATAAGAATAAGATGATTTTACATGTTGGTATTCACATTTAAGCAGTTGCAGAAAGCTGTAGTAGATGACCAATGTTTTAAATTTTGATATAGTATAGCATAAAATCAGTGTTATAAACGAGACATCATTATTTCAAACCACGGTTAACTTAAATTTTTGTTATTTATGAATTAGTGATTATTTATGAAACAACGATGTAGGCACGTAACGAATCTGATCTGTACTTTCATTAATTTTACTTGCATAAAAGCCATAAATTCTTAGCCACGTGATTCAGTTATGATTCTGTCCTCGGGGTTGCTTATTAATATCATGTATACTAATGTGGAATAATTCATTATTTCATTCATCGTTGTTTACTGTTTAGTCCCTTGCAACGAATATTCTACCGAAAAACAACTATCAACGAAAAATCTTCATTGGTAAATAGAGATTCCAGAATCGAAGATGATGATGACGAAGTCATAATGCCTCAACTACCAATTCCAATGTCTTCATCGTATAATGAAAAATATGGAAGTAAGTTCGAAAATGTTTTTTATTTGATCTCTCCAAATCAGCAATTGATAATTCAAACCTGACGCATTCATTCAAGGCAACCTACAAATATGTGAAGATAAAATTGAAAGAAATCGAACTAATAGTCTTTAAGAATACGAAGACAGGCCTTCCATATCTTCCGGTAAACTTTAGGCCGTGCTCGTAAACTATGAATTATTTCACTATCTCCGCATCGTAGCGAATATATTGCTGAACCAATACAGCAGACAGCAGATATGCCAATCACGCCTGTGACAGTTTCTTTAATTAGTCTTATTTTTATGCATGTTAAAGAATTACCAGAAGGCATCGGAACAGGAAGAGGAGTAGAAAAGTGTAACCTGGATGAACTTAAAGCAGAAGAAGGTTCAACGAAAAAATATCAAAACACGTCATATTATCGAGATGCGTCGAAAGGATTAGTAATGGCATTCCTTGGCGCAGGAGTAATGTATGGCCTGACAGCAGTATTTGTTCGTTTGGCTGGTGAAAATGGAGTAGATGCCATTGAAGCATTGTTTGGCAGAAGCATGTTCCAGGTATATATATTTCCCAACATCAGAATTAGCATCTCATTATTTAACTTTTACCTGAACAAGCTTTGAATTCTGGTTTAATAATTTAACCGCTTTCTAATGAGAAAATCATTAATAAATTACTTGGACACGGGAAGAAGGAAATTGAATAATCTCATCAAAAGTGTTCCATGCACTACTACGAAAACTAATATTAGTAAATACTCGTAAATATTATTGAAACCTAATTTATTAGTATAATACAATTACAATTTTTTTTCACGTATAGACGATATTATTTGGCTCGGTGCTACTCTGTAAACGCGTTGGATGGAAGCCACCACCTGGAAGAGCAGTACGATGCCTATTAATTTCTATCGCATACTGCATCGGAACGATTGGGTCATATGAAGCATTTGAGTAAGAAATATATGAATTCATGCTATTAGCAACGCTCATTCTATCTTCTATAGTCTCTCTATACAATTTTCTTGAAGTTTAGGTAAGAGGAAATATTTTGTGCTAATCAGTGAGCTAATGTTCCAATTTTATTACGGCTACTACTGCCCTGGGTATGAAAAAAAAAACAGTGATTACGCATAAACAATAATAAAATTCAAGGGTACAAGCCATCTTGTTTATCCAACCAATTAAGCTATTTATTCTTCAATGGCTCAAAGTTTATATATTGTTAAATATTCGACATTAAACAAATTGAAATCTAAAATCGATGACCCTTGATGGCGTGCTAGTTCGAGGATCGGTCAAGATACGAATAAATTTAATTTACGGGTCCCGATAACGCAAATATTCCACTACCAATTTTAAAAAGCTAAAAATGATTCGCAATATAATAATAATTGTTTGATAATTTTTATAGGGTATAATTCCATATTTGACTATAACATACAAAATATTCCCCTTTTCACTTAATTATACTCCCAGCTCACTGTCGACAGAATAGCAATCCACATTGATTTATCAGATATTCAATATTGAACAACAATGTTGCAATCCTCAAAACTGTTCTATATTGTTTTCCTACAGTAATATTCTATTCTATGACTTTACATTTATCTTAATTTCAGCGTCATACCACCTGGAGCAGCCGTAGCAACAAGGGGAGCAGCTCGCACAATATTTTCTATCATATTTGCATATCTTGTATTGAGAGAAAAGGTTTCCAGTGGAGATATTGTTGGGCTGTTTTGTTGCTTTATTGGAATCGCCCTGATTATTAGTGAGTGCAAATACCTGATTTATTTACTTTTTAATGAATGCAAGAAAACTGCGCACCGTTTGTAGCATATGAAGGTTGGCACAACTTAATTTATATATATACCTGGTGTTCATACAAATGCAAATTTATTTATACTCATATTTCATAAAACTAAAAAACTTGCAGTTGCAGGTTTGCCATCTCAAAAAATTGTAGGCCTACAACACACTTTGGTCCCTAAGGAAGTTTATATTTTAATGCATGTAAATGTATCAAATTTTAAACTTCCACTCAACTATCATCAGATATGGGTGGATACATCTGCCTCAAAATGGAAATGAATTTATCAATATAAAACGTATGAATAATTTACGATTTTCTAAAGTAAACTCTCATCACCAATTTTTTGTCATCACAGCATCTGGGATGACATCTGGAGATAAAGATTATATCACTCCACCTGGTATAGGAGATAATGCAACTATAATAAGAATCTACGGATACTCTTTGATTCTTGCAAGTGCTATTGGAAGAAGTCTTGGCCATGTGGCCGTTAGGGGAGCTAGAGGTATAATATTTGTTGTTTTTTGTTTCATTGCCCTTAGTTGAAAATGTCAGGTCGATCAAACAAGAAAAGAGATGTACAATGTATACAAAAAAATAACCGGCAACTCGTTTTATATTTTGAGATTACATTTGTAAAGCACACCTTTTAGCATGACTATTTATTTTAAACCTTCCAATTTACTTTAAGACGATCTCAACATTTTCAGTGTAGTATTCTACCATTCAGCGCTAACGTTTGTTTTTGCCGGCATTTTACTTGCAACTGTGAGAAAACCTACATGGCCGCCGTCCTGGACAGGAGCCGGATATGTAGCAGGAACTTGCTTGGCTTCGTCTGTAGGGACATTTTGCAGTAATCTGTGAGTATTTCATGAAATGTAATAATTACGTTTGGGTGGAATAGATTAGGGATCTAATCATGTGAATCCAATTCCAATTATCTTTTTTACACACTCTTTTACCGTATTACATGTATTTTCTTGAGAAAATTTCATGCTGTTGAATAATACTATTTATTTAGAAAATATTATCAAAGGTAAATATGGTTGTTCCATGTCAATAGGAATATCAGAAAATAGTATTCGTCAACAAAACATGATTTTTCTTCTATCAGGGCATTGAAGTATGCACACCCAGCACTCGTAAGTTTTGGACAAAACGCCGACGTTGTAGTTAGTCTAACTTTGCAACATTTGATATTACAAATGGCACCAAAGCCAATGGAGTTGTGTGGAGTTTTAACAATTTTCTTCGGACTGGCCGGATTGACTTTTTTCAAATGGTTCCAAAGTAGAAGATACAATGGAGAACATGAAAGGTTGAAATGATTCAGTTTCTGTTGTGCTCAGAAATTATTGCAAAGATCAAGCTAGCCATCGGAACAACGTTGTTTATTATAAACAAAAAAATAAAAACTTCTCAATATTAAATAAATTTTTTGTTGTTCTAAAAATTGTGTTTTGTTTTGTATCTGGAGGTTAAATAAGAGGTAGGAGGTGAAGTTAGTTAGAATGAACCTGGCAAGCAGAGCTCAAATTTGAATTTTTTTGAAATTTGTTGTATACAATCATGATGCTCACATAGAATTTCTAGTCTGCTTCTTAGACGCCAAATAATTGCTTTAAAAAAGATATCAATTTTGAAAATCATATTTTTTGATACTAAAAATGTTGATGTTGAATAAACGAACGAAATATGCATAACAGCTTACAAACGTCTTTATGAAAGAAAACACTTCATTGTAGTCAATATATATGTACGCGGTATATATTTTACATAAGTTATGAGAAATCGGAATGCAGCGCTTCCCAATCCGTCGTCATTTTGTCTACTGTATAAACAAATTATCTCACATCGGAGAAAAAGAGTTCACGGGTGACCACCATAAGCGATCCTTAAAACTACTAATGCGCTCAAATCAATCTTCCTGAAAAATAACCCAGTGTATTTCCTGATTTTATTGTAATATTGAACCGTGGTCCACGGTTGACGATGTGCAATTTTTAGCTATTCGGCTTTGAACGTGTTATCAGACCTCAGATTTCGGGAGTGATAGCAATATTTGAGCTCCTTATGAACTCGCGTATCAATAAGACAAAGTCTGAGTTTTCACAAGATGTTTGTTTAAATATTTCTGAAACGATAGTGGTTTGCCCTCCAGTACAAAGTTAAATGAACTGTAAAGATTGTAGTTTTAATTCAGAATAAAGCATTAAATTCTCATGGAGCAGATTGAACCTCGCTTTCGTGAGATATCGCGTGCATCTAACACACAGACATACAGACAGACAAATACCTATCAACATACTTACCGATCAAGATCGATAAGTAATAATAATGATCGGATAGCATTACCAAAATGCCATAGTTAGTGAGAAACGAAGCCAATCCTGCTACAGCAGATAAATATTCACAAGCAGCGTTGCTTCTTAATGAAATAGAATAGGAAACCGATAATAGAATTTCCTTTAAATACATTCCAGCGTCTATCATAAGTTATATCGAGGTTAAAACCCTCGAATGCAATATATATAGATAAGAATTCACTTGTGCTATTCAAACAGAAACACATGCAAATGCATGATTTGTTCTAGAAAATGTAACCTAAGCCCGGGAACCTCTGCCTTCTATGAACCAACATATGATTTCAGTAATCGACAACTAACCTTTCAGAAGATCACTTCAATTAGTCATTTGAATAAATCTAAATATTATCGTGCTTTATGGTTACATGAAATCGTTTTATCGAAATGATAGGTTGTTTCCGGTCTTGTACTAATGACGCAACTGCCTCTGCAGCCGTTCAGACACCCTAACTATTAATTAAATTCAGTAAAATTAACTAAATTTGGCAATAACTCTAATACCAACGACATTGACTACAATATGATATCGTGCTGATTTAGTGTGATGCTACGATATTCGAAACAGTACTTAAAAATTGACATTTAGACCGGGATTTTTTAAGTCATATTTGTGGCCTACCAGTTGTGTGGCCTGTTAAATCGTGTAATTTTCCCATTTTTATCAAAGTGATCCGATTTTTCTAAAAAATTCTTGAATTGCTTCAGTCAAGTGAAATCGTAGGTAAAATATTGAAACAAAATCATGATTTGACCATATTCAATTTTAATTTTTAAGATACCGATTTTACGTGAACGACATGCTGATAGAGTGCAATAATATCAACGTAATTCGGAGGCATACAAATTAATGGTATTAATAAATTAGATTAAGGAAATACAATAGGCCCTCTGTCCTAAGTCCAAAAGATCGAAAGGGAATCTGATAGAACCAATCCCTACGATTTTCCATGTTAATCATTTGTAATCGTATATGCTTTCAATAAAAGTACCTAATAAGTTGTTTTTTCCATGTAGAGCAGATTTTATTATAACAAACTAAACCGAAAACTTTTAAAATGATATCCTACCAATCAGAAACCTTTAATATATTCCACACCCTCACTGGTTATGTAAAAACAACATGCTTAACGTTGAATAATAGAGCATAACATTATAAGACACGTAGGGTGGATTTGTATGAAACCGATTCGCCCAAAGTCAATATTTGTTATATTTGTCATTGTCAAGTACACTCCTCGTCTCGTTTTTACGCCTTGAGAGGCTCAGAAATACGGTGCTGAGGTGCTAAATCAGGTTGGTCCAAGGTTGTCGGCTCTGCGGGTCACAAAATTATTTTTGCATTGTTGGCGGGCCACAATAGTGCCAAGAATAGGGAAACAGTGCAATACAAAACAAACACTTTTATTGTGCAAACATAGTTATTAGGCATAGCCATTCTAGGCTAATAGAATCCGCATTCAATTTTTAGTTTTCTCTGAATCCTATATTGTTAGCATATATTACCGACCAAAAAGTTAGATAACCAGATAACAATTCAGACTGCCAAGCACATCATTCAAATTTCAATTTCGCTAGTTGCCTCAGCTAGCCATAACACTATTTAATTCAGTGACATTAGTGATGACAGTATGTCAAAAGATTTTTCTGATTAATTTTATGACGAAACAACACGAAATGCGATTTTTTGATTACTCTCTGAATGTGACGCGGGCCACAGATAATGAAGCGGCGGGCCACATGTGGCCCGCGGGCCTGACTTTGGACCACCCTGTGCTAGATGAAATACTTCATTTTTTAATAAGTAAATAGGTGTTTGTGATTTATGACTTCAATCGGTGAAAAGAACATTGAATGTCTTTATTTCCGATTCAAACCTTGCGTCTGCAGTTTTTCAGACGTGTACTATACGAGTTGACAGCAATAGATTGCGTGTTGTGCGTTTCATTTTTTTAACTGAAGAGGGAATTGTGGTTGCATGGACGACTTGAACTGCGTGGAACAATCGACGATAAGGGCATTGAATAGATTTATTTTTGATGAAAGCAAAATTGATAGTTATATTATCAGGTGATACGTTCCGCGTAAATAAATATTATTTCTATAAAAAGTAGTTAGGTTCAAGGTAAGCAATTTTATCGAAAAATGAACGACATATTCTGGTATGTATAGGCTGTTGTTGATTTTACTGAAATTTTTTTTTTCATTTGACTTAAAAACTTGTTTGAATTGTCCTAATTTTACCTGAACATCAAAATCTTAGGACATAAACGATAGCCATAACGTCTCGAAATCCTGACTATAAGTGACATATATTATATGGATTATAAACGTAGACATATATGAGTCTATGTATCAAAGTGATCGCATAATTGTTGATATTGATTTGAATTTTGTCGAGGCGTCTATAAAAAATGGTCGGAGTGTGGGTAAATGTATCGGTACCAATAGTAATCTACAATATTAATAATTTTCAAGTGTTACTTCCAAGTGTTAGTTAGTTATAAAAAGTAACCAACAAATCAATTTGTATACGAGAAGCAATGCCGTATTTTGAAATTTCATCAACATGTTTCCGATTTTTAAACGCCACATATTTTCGAGATTGTGTAATGAAACTTTATCTCAAGCAGAAAACATTTCTGTGTATTGCGTGACCATTTCTAAGAAATTCACATTCCTCGTGTTTTGTTTTTAACCGTCTAAAAAGAGGAACCCGTATAACTGATTCATCTTCGACTCGTCGGCAAACCCACGCGCGTTCCCCATTCCGTGTTCTCGAAATTTTTTTTACCGATTGAACTTGAACGAGAAGTATTGTTACTGAAAAAAATATCGTACTCCCATTCAACGAATGGCAAGAAGTTTATTGGAAGCCGTCGTTGAGGTATTGCCAAACTGCTTGATGCAAAACAACTTGAATGGAAGGAGCGAGAACAAGATAGTGTCGGTTGTAGAGAATAACTGAAGTGGAAAAATTTCTGTATTTAAGTGTTTCAAAATATCATCCCGGCCTATTTATACGCATGCCCACTCTGAAAACGATTAGTCGTGCATTATATGGAGCTTAATTGAAGCAATACATATTGGTTCTTACAGATACATTAGTAGTTCGTTCAGTTATGCATGTAACATGTACTTGTAAAAGGGAGTAGAAATAATTATTGACGAGGCATAGGTAATAGAAGACTGGAATTTGAATAATATGACCACTTTTGCAACGTTGTATCTGTTGGCAACTTGGTATTCAATTTTTATTCGGCGTAAAGGTAATATCATTCACCGAAGTTTGAAAAATTTTGAGAATTGGTTACGTTCTCACTCAATCAATTGTACTGTATCATCGTTTGTTCTAAATTCCATTCATATTTTTGCTTATTTTCGGTTTAACGTAAAATAGCATACATGACTTGTATTATATTATTTTTTGGTTCATTTTGCTATTTGTTCAGATTTAGCATCACACATACATAAACTACTTATATAGGATATATTTTGAATCGGTAAAAGACATTATAAACCCCAGAGTGGCCGGCCTAATGTATGTCTGCATTTGCCACTTCATTGTTTGTATTCTCACCGTCCCCACGTGCAAGTCAACAGAATATATTATTCCAATGCTCACAAGCACAAAGTACGATTACCGGGTATCTCCCATCGTGATTTTGGCTTATATTTCATGCCGCAAGATGAGATTACCCCACGTAGTTAGAGCTTTCCTGTCTCGTGTTTAAACCACATTTCAATTTTTTTTTAACTTTTTTGAATTTCCGTCATCATATATGTATTTGAAACATGAATATGTATCAATATAATCCATAGATTTTTTACCAAGTTGTATCGTCAGATCACATAATGGATGCCGATATTGAGAAATGGGGAGAATTGGACGCAAAATGGAACACCAGCTTTGGCGAAATACCGGTATGTAGTTTTAGGGGTTTTATCACGATTTTGCTAGCCTGATTCAATTGGTTGGCCACATTGCCTGAGGCTGTTGCCCGTCTTGTGCATTCGTCGTAATAATGTATAATGGTCTAGCGACGATGGGTGATAAGTGTTAGTATTAATGGTTAGCATTAATATAAAATATTAATATATTTCATGATGTTACTGTTTCATAAATTACTATTTTGTATTCAGATTTCACACAAAAAGCCGACAATTCTAAGAATCAAGGTCATAAGCGGGAATAATATCAACCGAAATAACATTCACGATTATGGTGAGATATTTCACATAAAATAAAATATAATGTAGTATATGACGTTTGTGTATTGTAAAATATTTATGAATATGAAAAAATATTAATAACATTAAAGATGAAGCGTGCAATTTATTGAATTCACAAGCCGACCCAGATGGTTGTTTTCACGGATATCGCATAATGTTCGTTCACTGTTACAAAAATCATTCTCCCTGAAGGTAAAACGAAAATCCACTAATCTAAAATCGTTTGTTCGATCCACTTTACTTATTTGAAGTATGAACAAAAAAAACAGCTTGTTAGGAAACTCATGACTGACAAAAACCCCGATGTGCTGTATCATATTACGGGTTAGATTACTTGAGCAGGTATTTAATTAAAACTTGGAAGTGCTCTCATTGGTATTCGTATTTTAATATCGTATCTTCAGCGAGCAGCTGCAAACAGTAAACATGTTTTAATAACTCGGAATGTGGCTGCTGCTGCTTGAAATTTAATAATAATTCAAGTAGGCTATTGCTGCCGGACGTGCACGCTATACTTGTAATTTGTTGTCACACCACTTAAATTGATCCGGATGACTAAGGTTGTGTGACAAGATTTTCTGTATAGAATATTTTCACATTTATCTATAATACAAAACCGTTTCTAAACAATATGGCTTTGAATGTTAGGTATTTCTTTTGTTTGACACAGTGAGATATCCTAATCCAAGAATTGAAGTCGAATACACAAAAGCAAGGGGGACTAAAATATTCTGGACAAGTTCAAAGCCTGGCACTTCTAATCCTGAATGGAACGAATCGTTCAGAATAGTATTGCCAGACATTGAGGATGGAAAATCAAACGATAGTGGAATAATTAAAGTAGGATATTTCTAAAACAACGAGATGCATTATATTTATTTTACAAAGAATATATTGTGTAGTAATACATTTATTTAATGCAAGAAACAGAAATTTATTGCATATGCTAGCTAACCTAACACACTTTGACCAGTTTATGGAAATTTTGCCCAATTTGCTTTCATATTATGTTTGGTAACAGCCAAACTCGTATTCGCCCACTGCACTATTCAAATATCCTCGCTATTTTTTGTTATGACTTGTCATTTCGCGTAAAAGGGTTAAAAACTTACGACGATAAATACTTGTTTGTATTTTCATTTTATATTAAAACATTTCGAAGTCGACTCATATTTTGAAAGCGTGAATTGCAAACCAATATACATGTCATTGAGATTAATGTTCGACAATAATTTAATAAACCCGAAAAAAAAAATAACCTCTGCCAAGTTACGAATTTTAACGTTCATATATTTGGTCTTCATTCAAAGGCCATTCGAGTTTTAGGACTTCCTGTTGAAAGACAATGTTTTATAATTCACGTTAAAAGTGTAAATGTCGAGCAATATATTCTAATTTATCTAGCAATCTTCTGTACAAAGCCCCCCCAAAATGAGAATCTCAGTAATTGTCCAGTTATGGTTTAAGGATGGGGTTAGAAATGTAGACGGCACTGAAAATTCGAATTTACAAATCATTCCTAACTCTATCTGGATAATTATCCAGATCTAATTATAATTAGTAATTTTTTATTTTAAAACGTGGCATTTTTTCTCAAATCTCGCATTTTTTGCCTTAGTGGCGTGGGCTTTGTACAAAATATCAAATAAAATAAAAATAATATTTGTCAATAATATAACCTTCTTTTGAAAAATGAAGTCTGCTTCATGAATGCATTTATTTGTATAAATGCTAAGGTAATATAAATGTATGTAAATCATAAGAATTTATAAATCAATCAACACGTAAATTTCGTCTACAGCTGTTACACCGCTTTTAATAAATAGAATGGGTTTGAACAACCTGCGGCCAAGATCAATATATTAATTATATAATTTGAAATGTAGCATGCAAGTGATTTAATCTATGGAACAAAGAAATTAAAAATTAAACAGAAAATTTGAATAATAAATTTTTAAAATCGCTATACTATTTATCACAAAAACCAAGTATCTTTTTGAGACTGGCATGAATATTTTTCAGTTACGTCACAAAGTACATGACTTATTAATTATTATTACTATTTCGTACTCATATTCATTTTGGGTTTATTGGGCACGAGGTGTACATATGGGTCTTGTTGCTAAACATATTAATTGATGTTCAATATGTAGAATACAATGATTCAACCAATGTTTAATGATGCATAAAACTTTAAACTGTGAAAAATAAAATCAGGTAAACACTACCTACCTTGAGCCCGATTATGTAAGAAAACGATGAAATTGATAAATTCCTATTGAATATTTATTAAAATTACATTTGCTATTATTTCGTTTTTATCCTTCAGTTTCGCTTGCTTGCCAATGGTTACATATTCTCAAACGTGTGTGTAGCGGAGACAGACTTCAACCCTGATTCCATCAAAATTGGAGGAAGTATTGACGGTGACATATCTTTTGGCAAGGTTATTTAATATTAATTTTTTTATGATATGACGATTTAACTCGTTTCTTGTCCTTCTCTTAATTAACTATTAAGAAGTTATTTTTAATCTGGCTTGAATATTAAGGCAATAAAACTTTTGTTTCCTATTGGCATCTTTTTTCACAGATGGGAAAAATCAAAATCAAAGTTACCAAAAAGCAAAAGTGAGTGTCAAATGTCATTGAAAGTATTACTCTGATTTTGAGTTTTTTAGAGTTTAGACTAATATATTTAACCTAATTTATAGAACTCACTTAAGAATTTCTCACGCTCTGTGTGATGCAGAAATGCGAATAAGAAAAAAGAGAGTTCCTAAAGTAATGAGAGCAATGCAAAAATTGCTGGGAAACGAAGGAGCACCTCAGAACATATTTGAAGTGAGTTATGGAATATTACTATTGGCAATTATTGTTGAAATAAAAGAAAAGAAAATGCAAAATGTAATAAAGATTAAAGTCTATAAATTACATGAAATGAAAGCATCTTTGAAATCACAAGGAGGCTATGGACTACTATGTTTTCGTACATATTTATATGGCAAAAATACATTCATCGGTTTCGAAGATATCAGTAAATTTGTTATTAAATGGCATGATTGTAAGCAAGTTAAAATTTCGGATTTTATTTCTTAAATCCGAACAAGGCTCAGTACAACCACCCACTAGATGTTTTAAAATAGAAATATCGCAATCTGTCCGATTCGGCAAACGTCATTCTATATATCATATTATATGTGAAGGGAGACTGAACTCCAGATAACATTTTGTTCGGTTTAATCTGAAGGAGTAAGGATTTTCATCAGTCACCACCCATATATACTACACATACTATGACATATGATCAATACTGTACAGTACACCCTTAATTGCTTTTATTAGATATTTTAATTTTTGGTAATATCAGTGTAAACATTAATACTCCTAGAAAATTTGCATTGTTAGTGCATTATAGTTCTTCTTTATTTAGACGCCCATTATATCAATTGTTGGCTCCGGGGGAGGGATTCGTGCAATGACTGGCATGTGTGGAGTTATGGAAGGATTGCACAAATCTGGAATATTAGATTGTATGATGTATGCAGTTGGAACTTCAGGATCGTCTTGGTATATGATCTTATATTACAGTATTTATAGTTGTTGGACGTTTCACTAAATTCCTGTAGCTGTTGTTATTGTTACAAAAATAGCTTTTCTTCACAAGTAATATCCCAATTAATTTCAAATTTTGATTACATAGTTGAAGCATTTTGAAGGCTATTAGTTTTGTTCTCAAATTTCCGATTTCGGCGGAATGAAATCTTCTGCACGTTCGACGCTCTTGTCTTGTCTTTTGATGTCAAGTTTTTTTTTTAATTTTGATGAATTTTTACATTGGAGTAAGTAGCAGAGATAAACAATAAAATAACAATTTGAAGGTAATTCTAATGATATTATCAAGGTATCTCACGAGCGCGTACGCAAGAAAAGCAATGAATGAAAAAGACAGGGAAAAATATCACTTGTGGTTGCGACAGTCATTCACAACATCTGCAATATGGGAATTGTTCAAACCCTCGAACATGTTGACGGGAAGGTACGTTACGTATATAGAAAATAAAGATATTTTGAAGGTTTTCACGAATTGCCTCATTTTCGTGACGAATGTTGAGACGGATCAACTAATATTGCATTATGAGGTAGCTGGAAACACAAATGAAAAAACTTCAAAAAAATAACAAATGAGGTACGCACACATGTTCTTCAAATACAAAACAACTTTTTGTTACATATCTTTGCAGACAAGTCCGTAATGCTAAAACTGAGATAGGTCAGCCTTTCACCTTTGTTGATTACTACGGAATATGTACTGCTATCAAGGCTGTGGGCAATGAGGTATGTCAGTGCTTTATTGAAGTAATATACCATATATTATATATAATGTATTTAATATTTTGTGTATAGTCTAAATTAGAATGCCCGATTATATATCAAAATAATCATCTGTCGATATACTATTTACTTAAGTCTAAGTTCACTTGTGTCAGAATCCAAGTTATAAATATACAATGCAGAATTACGGCTTTTCATATAAATATATCCCAGAACCGAGGAAAGTGAATAGGACGGCCGAGCCACTGTTTACTGTCCGACTATCATTCCAGGTCGGATCTGAAAATAGGTAATCGCAAGGCGATCAGTAGCGCAATGTTAGATAGAACCTTTGTAACAATGTACCGAGCCATTGAGAGAAGTTATTGGCAATCCTTAAGTAAAATCGTTTTCTTCAACACAGTTTGCAACTACAAAACTCTCCGACATCAGAAGTTACGTAGAGCCTGCGGATGTTCCATACCCTATAATGAATGTAAGCCAAGTTCAGGATGACAATGCAGTGGACCAATACAATGGTAATAAACTTGATGATTTTTCTTCTATTATGCATTTGATCGGCTCCTATTTGTATTGCGTTAGTTTGCACCATTCCACACATATCACTCATTCGAAGCAGGCAAGTTTCTGAGTATGGTTTTCAATTGCTATTAGACCCGCTCAAAAAGAATCCTTAAATAAGTATTCATTGAGTTCATATTGAGAGCTGCTTTGTTTTATTGGTGCATATTTCCAGGTTGCTATGGTCTATCTATATAACCATTGCATTATTGGTGAAATGTAACGTTTGTATATAACAGCCGATTGTAGCTTTTCTGCATACGAATGTGAAATACCCCAATACGGAATTAACATCGATATGAAAAAACTTAACAGTCAGTTTTACAACGGAGCAATGGAAAAACATTTGCCAGAACCTGATCTGAGATTTATTCTTGGCACCCTTGGAAGCGTTTTTGGAGTTAGTTTAAAAAAAATAGAAGGACTCATGAAAGAACAAGAAGACGACGAAGGTAATATTTGAATGAATAATATTGGGATAGTAGGTTTCAGTGAATTAATTGATGTTGTTGGTAAACTTGTTAAAAACTTTTACTCGTGATGTAACAATACGGTATATTACTGTGTATTTGCATGGAATTAGCATAGTGGTAAAAATTGCTACTGTTTCTATCAAGAATGTGTTCTGCTTTAAACTTTGTTTAGCAATATAAATTGAGCGTGCATGCACACCACCTTCCATAGTTCTGACCCAATGCGTTCCAATGTAATAGTATATTGGATCAAAATATATTTAACCTTTGGTTCCGTTTCAGTCGATGGAACTCCAAACTCTAAAATAGAGGAAAGTAAGAAACTTGAAAAGGAAGAACCTAAACCGTCTATGTGGAGGTAAAATAAGTTGATGCAAGCGTGGTTTTTGTTATTTTGTAGCACAAACCATTTTATAATAATGCCGGAACAGAGAAAATGTGAATAAATTTTTATTTTAAAAAGACTGATCTATTCTAAGTACAAGGTAGAAATATTGTGTGAAGCGTATACAGAGGTAGAAAATAGTTGATTCAGATATAATTACTTTTATACCACTAAAAATATACTTATAAACTCCTTTGTAACTTCGTCGTAAATCTAACTAACACATTTTCCCTCTTTCTATCTTTTCATTGACTAACATTAAGCGCTAGAATGACAATACATAGGATTTTTTATATTCTAACAGCAAACTACCGCATTTCCTTGGACGGAATGGGATGATAAAGAGAACTGGCAAAATATTGAACGTAGCTAGAGGTTTCAGCAACATGCAAAGATTTCGAGTGAACCCTAAATCCGGAGAGGACGACGAAGGTGAGTTGGCGATTTACCATATCGTCACGCTAATAACCGAATTGCGTAAGTCATTTTTAGCAGTTTTGAGAAAAACGTAAAAAACTTCCTAATGATTTTGTTATGCAATTGAGAGTCAATAATTTGCCATGGTTCAATTTTTTGATCGTAGCCGGATTTAAGTTAATTTGTATGACGCAGTTAAGTGACGTCATAATGGCGCACTGTGACTTAGGCAGAAATGTGTCTATGACTTGGTGACATACGCAATTTGCAACTCACTATATGCACCAGTCCTGAAAACTAAACATTCCAAAAACGAATGTAATTCTCAGTATCTACAATGTCTGATCCCCAAAATAGCTAATCAGTTTCAATTACATCATTTTTTATGTTTAAAAATATATATTTCATCAATATAACACGTTCTGCACACCCACCGGAATATGACTAAGATTAAATATAAAGAATAAAACAGCAATGCACCCAATATAAAAGCCAACCAAGGTAAATTTGACTCGGACAGTGAATTTCACAAGTGCACGTCTTCCTATACTGTAGTAAAAATTCAAATTAATACGCGCTAAGCTAGAATCCGAGATGCAAAAACTCGAAAATACTTCGCCGAGGTTATTTTGCCTTTGTGACGTCACAATAGTACTGCGGTAACAAGGATAATTCATTATGACGAAACAATTGCACAAATGTGCATGTTATACTAAATCTCCATTTTTATGAGTTTCGGAATTCCTAAAATAAAATCTGAGTTAACCGACAGGTGCGCGGCATTACATAAATACCTATTTTATAAAAAACTCAAAATCGCCAAAATTACTTACGCAATTCCGTTATTAGCGTGACGATATGCAATTACCATTCTAATTGTTTGTTTGTTTTTTCTTAATATAAACAAAAATTACATATAAACTATAGACTGCTGCCTTATATATTTAATGAATATTCAGTTATTGGATCGCTGACAACAAAACCAACATTCGTAAGAAAAAAAAGTGGAGAGTTTTTCATTTAGATGCCCCAATTTCAAAATTCATGCAATTTGCAAAACCCGAATTCTTAAAAAAAATATCAATTTCCTGTTACTGATCATTTTAATTTGTATGGAATAATCCTGTAAATGATAAAAATGATACATGTATATCTTCTAACTGTTTCGATTTTTAGAAATCCTGGACGGCTTTGACGAACATAAAACTGTTCTCGATTTGGTTGACGGAGGTTAGTATACAAAGTTTAAAATTTCAGACGTGAAAGTGAATAAGAGCTTTATTCAATCATATACGCCCCTCGCAATCCTTCTGATAATTATGAAAAATCGTATTTTTCCTTTTTTTTGAAATAACTGTAACCTGAAAGATCAATACAGTGCTAATAAATTTGTATATCAAAAGAAGGTCGGCCTAATCTATTTTGCCATATTTGCCTGTTGAGAAGAGTGATAAAAAGTTCCAAACATTTCAACGCAGCCTAAAATTTTACAAATGAAGTAAATTTATCAGGATAGATTATATTTGCTCAGCCTCCCTAGGTACTATTGCTTAGGCATATTGCAATATGTGGCAAATCTGTAGTACTGCTGATTTGATTCATATCGATATTCGTTGATTCAGGTATTTTGTGCAATGTGGCTGTCGACGCCATCTTGCGTCCACAACGTCGCAACGATATATTGATAATTGCGGACTTTACGGGATATGATGCTGAAGTAAACTTCGAGGTAAATATGAATCCTTCTAACTTTCTATGGACTGTATTCATTCCTTGAATAATTGCACAATGAGATTATATCGGTTTGCTTTGTTTATTTTAGTCGAATGCTTTTTAATAAAAACTTAAAAAAATAGCTATGCAATTTTAATTATAACTTATCGATTTTAATCGGTAAGTATGCTGATAGGTAGTTGTCTGTCTGTATGCCTGTTTGTCTGTTAGAATAACGCGATATCTCACGAAAGCGAGATTGAATCTGCTCCAGATTTTGCATGTGCATTCATCTTATCTCGGACCAGCCTATTGATTTTGGGCGAATTATGTCGTATAATTAGCGAGTTATTAATTAATTAGTGATGGGACACAAGGTGTCACTATGAAGTAAGAGCGCTGTTTTGGGGGTTCCCTAACTTTCGATCGATAAGTCTTCGGTCTCTGACAGATATTCTCGTTTATCTTTTTGATTTATTACTCCGATACGTTAAAAGTTTTGGCTTGAATTAGTGTCTTTTTTTACGTCAGATTCTACATATTAAATTTGGATGCTCATATTAATTTTCAAAATCCTGATACATATGCAATAAAAATAATTATGTTGGTATAGAATTCATTTGTGTGTTGCAGGATTTTTAAATGAATTTTGATTTTGATACAGACGCTAAAATCAGCTATAGATCTAGCCCAGGAAGGCGGTTACAAATTCCCCCCTGTTGATTTGAAGAAAATAAAAAGAGAAGCAGTACAACAGTTTTACATATTTGAAGACGAAAACGATCCCGAATGTCCAATTGTGTTTTGGTTTATGACAACAACGAAAAAGTTTTCGCAACTGAAGGACTACACTCCAAAACACCCTGAAGGTGAACATATACCGTGTTGTAAATAATAAAATATAAATGAAACTTGCGAAGAATATCAATGCTATCATGGAAACAACGATAAATTTGTAGAGTTCTCTGAAATATTCCAATTATAGTTATGGGCAAATATAGTGAAAAGCCGCTTTAGTTCACGATTTGTTTCCTTAATTAATTGGAAGCAATAAGATTGATTTTTTGAATGCTGCCAGATTTAAAAATTCAGATACCATCTTGTTTTTAAAATTTAATCTGATACACCAGAATACGCTCTTCCTTTAATTAAGACGGAATACATGTAATGGATCTCATATTAACATCGCGTAACAATCTCTTTGCCTCTGTGGTGGCCTATTTGTATTCCAAAATGGGAAGTTTTCAAACTTGAACAAATATGAAAGCTTTTGCTAATCAGTGGCTCCTTACAATGATAATTTTATACTTTTCTCTCTTTTTATCCACTTTCGTTTTCGATTCTCATATGTTAAATTAAATTTTACCTTTCAAAACAACCCATATTTACATATTTATTTAAAAATAGAAGCAATTAGCAGAAAATTCTGTTGGTAAATCTCCATCTTCGAATTGTTTCTCAATTAAAGCATGCAATTTTAATTTCAGTCTTGAAAGATTTACCTCCTGGAAAAAGATTCAACGAATTCAGCGTTTACAATTCCGACACTTACGATACGTTTGATCTGAAGTACACAAATCTTGAATTTGATAGATTTTGTGAGCTGATGGCTTTCAACGTCTCAAGCAATGCTGAAGTGAGTAAATATTTTATTAGCAATTTCCAACTTGCCGTTGCATATCCTAAATTCCCCAATATGACTCTGTACCAATATGACAAATGTAAAAATGCGATATCGCATTCTCGTTTGTTTCTTTAACTAATCTTCTTCACTGGTTCATAAAAGGCACAAACAAATATATTCTTAGTATTTTGGAACTCAAACCCTGTGTACCAAATGTGGATGGTAACTATGAAGTTTAATGTTATTTAACCCCTCCATATTAATAGTGAATTAATAGTTGAATTCAAAGAATTATAGGTAATTTTAGTTATTGCCATGATCATGAGTTATTGCAATATACGAACATTTGGCATCACAACGCATTGTGTGCTTATTGACTTCTGAGGAGTTCAGATTGGAGTTACACTCTAATTAAACGTGTGTCAACTGTCAACCCAATAACGCGTGAGTGAACACGCAGATAGTGTCAATTACCCCTATACCGGCACATATTTGGCGCCATCCCAATCCTAACTGTCAATACTAGATGACTTTAGATCATTTATAATACATTCATAATAAAATTGTTTCCTAACAAGTCTTGTAAACTAACATTTATCAAAATGATCAATGTAAAATATATATTATTTCATTTACAGTTGATCAAGCAAAAGATTCGAGAAAGAACTGAACAGAAGAGGAAATTGAATCGTGAAAGTTTTTAGCTGACTTTTGTCGAAAACACGATTTTGCACGAACGCAACTCAAATGTTCATATTTTATGATAAAACTTCATGTACTCAACGTTCACGTGAATCGTCAACATACCGTCATTTTTTTTGCTTAGAGTAATAGCGTCATAGGTCATAAGGTCAGCTGACACGGCTTTCATATTGGAGTTTTGTTGAACATCAAAACGTTTTCTTCAGCTTTGCACCTAATTAATTATACTGCATTTTTACTTTAAATGGTCCATATAGGGCCTATACGTATATGTGCCGAATAATTACCAATGAAGTTAGGAGTGAGAGTGGTTGCGTAGTCTCAATCATCATTTGATTTCCTCCTCCATAAAGGGCGCACATTATCTTGAACAAATACTCGTATTATAACATGCAAAACCACAGTGATGGCTCCTGTCACATATTTTGTGCAGCACTAATTATCTAAATAGTATTCAAAACGTTGCGATTTCTTCTGTGATCTTGCGGAAATGAGTCCGACAGCAAAAGCAATTGATAAACGAAGGTAGAATCGGTCACAGATATATTATATCTTCATATACGCTCTAGTCTAAAACATCCTTTTAATATTCTTTTATTTGATATTACATGCAACGTAGCTTTAATTGTCAAATTATTGTTTCAATTTTTGACAATATAATATGTAACATTGTAGATATATGTCAAATAAAGCTTTCACTCAATTGTTATTCTGCGTTTTATAGATGATTTTACGAAAATTCTGAGTGGGCAACTTGCTGTGAAATTATTAACGACCGACTGCTGTTGAACAAAGAAATATTACATTTATCTGTGTAAACGACGGATACTAGCCAGTAGTTCTAACACTGTAACAGTTAATATTTCAGCAAGAGCATTCATGCAAAAATTAAAAACTGCTTTTCGCCTGAAACCTGCGATGTTTACCTTATAAAACGTTTACCAATCATATTGCGAGAAATGTGATAAGGTGCTAATAACTGAGACAATGTTTAACCTAAACGACTACTGGCTGTAATCAAGATAAACAGGTATGTAGATGAGATATTTTGCTGCAAAAAATGCAAGGTATTGACTCAAAGGGACAAATGAATAGAGAATAATTCGTCATAGAGTAGATTCCTAGTAATATTAATTGTAGTATGGTCCCAATTACCAACTGAATGACCTCTTCCGTTGAGGGCGTTTTGGGTTGCTAATGTAGTAAAATCAATGGGAAGGAGGCCATGTGTTGAGAGACCAACGCCACAGAACTCTTCCGAAACTTTTCCTTGGCCGATTGAGAAATATATATAACAGGATGACCATGTTTTGACATGCATAAAACAAAATTCCGGTCATGTAAAGCATTTTGACAGTCACCGGAAAACAAGATTAATAAATTGAGTAATTACCTGATTAATATGATTTTCAAATGACGAGATTAAACAGTAAACGATTCATTCATGTAAAGAAGAACACGTTTTTTAGTTATTTATAAATGTTACGTCAGAACGATTCATTTTCCGGAAATATACATTATAGATTTATAACTGTGGTCTCCAGTCATGGAGATTAGAAGTCACGAATTAACCAATCCCCTTCGTTGTTTTGTAAAGAAAATAGCAAAGGTTGTAAAGCAGGACTCTTGAATTGCATAGTAAAGTTCAGTATGTTGTTTAATTTGCGAATTAAAACAAACACGGAAACTGGAGAGAATTATCAACAACATTATCCAAGATTATTGAAAAATATAGCACGTGTTTTTTGTTATGATGTTATTTTCTTAGATCTCTCACCTATATAATGATATATATATATATCAATAACTGTGTCAATCACGGAAATTTTGTATTTACATGGTTAGCCAAACGATATATATATATGGTATGCAATCTTGCACATTGACCGAATATCTTCAATATTCTTAGTATGGTATCCATTCAGTAACTAAACTATTTTGAATAGCATGGAAATATATTTGTTTGAAACTAATATTTCCAATTCTCACTTTGTGTTATGTTTCGCACCATATTCAAATCTTGAGAAATTTCGCAGGATCATTGGCGACTGGTAGTCAATAAAACTATGGGTGAAATATTTTTGTCACTGTACGAGTAACCTTAACCTACTACATCATGGTTGTTACAATCTCTCTCGGTATATAGATATAAAGCTAGAGTAAAGGAGTTTTGTACGCTGCAGTGCTCGAATTCGTAGCATAGTTACCAATCTAGATTTCCAATGCCAACGTGCAGTATCATCGCAATATAAAATAGCTGGTGTCAATTTGGAGCACAGAGTCAACGTTCACATTCAGTACAATCGCCATATAACGCAAAAGTGTATAATAGCTGTTAGTATCAAGAAAAAGTTTATTGAAATATTCCGTATTTCATTTTCAAGATTGCCCTCCCTTGCCATTCAGCTTGCAAACTTAGTGAACAATATATTCAACCGCAAATCCATATGTCATTCGTAATTTAATGGCAATAATTTAGTGATGTCAATTTAGCGATTTTTTTACGTTTTTCTGATTAATGAAATTTTATGTTCATTACTTTTTTTATCAACCACCTTTCACCACAAGTATAGGTATTTACGATTGGCAGTTCAATTGATCTACAGTATATTTCACGACATGATACATTTCCGGGTATGACAGTGATCGATGATTTCTAGCTGAGCAAATTTATTATTTAGTAATTAGTTGATCAATTATTTGGTCAATTACATAAAGTTATAAATTCATGATGTTAATTGACACAAAGTTCTTTCAATGAAGTATGCTTGCAATAAGAAATTTCGCGTCAATAGGTTTGCATATTATGTATATTGTAAACCAAGTATATATGATATTAGCTTTACGCGAAAAAAACTGATTTTAAGTCTTAGAAAGTCACAAATTTAATTAAGATGACCGATAAGATGCTATTCTCATATAATAAATTGCGATCTCTCCTCGCTTACCATTCCAGTCCGAGCATGAGAATAGCTAACCCATTCCATCTTTTCAGATGCATTGCACGAAGGCATATGTACTGATATTTTCTGTTGTACCATTACCTGTACCTTTTATCTATTGTTCAGATTTTATGGCTTTTTTATATAATATATATGTGTACTTCTTTTACAATTAACGTTTATATTAAACTGTGTAACGATAAAAGAATATTTATTTAACTTCCACAAATCGATTTCTATATTTAGTTGTTGAGGATTCAACAATAAACAATTTCATTGATTCAAAAATACAGTAATAGTCAGGACGGAATATTTAGCTTCAAAAAATTTAACTCAGTTTTAGTAGAACATGGATGCTGATATTGCTAAATGGAGTGAAATAGACAGAAAATGGAACAATAGTTTTGCTGATATACCTGTGAGTGAATCATTCCTGGATTAATTGCTATGAGTGAAAATTATCACAATGCATGTAGATTTATTACCATTATCGCACTGAGTGAAAAAATATCAGTCAAAAATACAGGGCGTCCCAAAAATTTCGCGCGTTTTCATAGTTGTAAGTTTACAATTGTAAGTTTAAATAAATTTTATTGTAAGATAAATGAGAACTACAAGCACAATAAGAACTACTTATAAACAAATGCAATTTTTTTAAGTGTTATTACTATAAAATCTATGGTTTTCTATATAATTTGAGGGAACACTATGTATGAATAAAAAATCAAAATATAAATCGTTTCTGTATACATTCATTTTATCAAAAAACAAAATCGGGAATCGTTATGATATTCAAAACTTTGCAATTATTTTGCATCCTAACTAGTTTTATAAAAAAAGGTTATTCCAGATTTTGGTTTCATATTTTTCAGGTCAGGAGCACGAAACCAATAGTTATAAAAGTAAAAATCTTGGCAGGAATCGGCATCAACAGAAACAGTATCTTCGACTATGGTAACAACACTATGTGAAAATACCCATACTAACCAAAACTACAATTTGGAAGTAAATTTTATTAAAATAATCAGGATGAATTGCATTGTATACATCCTTCTAAAATTACAAAGAATTTGGAAAAGTGCATTTCTCAAGACACTTATTCGTTACAAAAATGACACTCAGACTGAATTATTCTGAGACCTTGGCATACTTTTGCTGTCGCGATACTTTCGTTTCTAAATATTAGAGAATTACTCATTGTCTGTAATATTAGACGGACAAGATAAAATTATATTTATAATATTTTGCAATAACCGATTTCAGTAACGTATCCCCATCCAAGAATCGAAGTAGAGTGCGATTGGGCAAGAGGAACAAAGAAATTTCAAACGAGTGAGAAAAATGAAACGAATAACCCGATTTGGGATGAGACTTTCCGAATCGTATTGTCAGATGGATATGATGAAACGTCAAACGGAATTATGAAAGTACGTTGCTTTTGAATAATTTTTCTAATTGTAAAATTACTTCTACAAATTAATATATTTTTGCCTAATCATGAACCACACTATATAGTATATTTAGTTTAACTAGGCGAGCGTGTTCTGAAACTACATGAGACGGTTTTGGCTCAGATTTATATTTTCTTGGAATTTCTCCTAATTTCTTGTTTCAATACAAACCAATTAATTTTAGAGACTTCTATCCAATGCATTGAGATAATGCAAATTTCTATATTTATCTGTGAAATTTTCATTCGTGTACATTTTTTTGAGGTAATTGTTAAAATCACGTAGGAGTCAGGAATAAGACTATTAATCGTGCCTGCCAATGCACGTTTTTCCTTGGTATATGTATATGAAAAATTGATCTGTGGTATCATTTGTGGTTATATATAAATCTTGGCAATTGTTTGTAACAATGTAGCAATTGTTTTTTTGTTTTGTTATAAACTCATGGAATTGAACCGAAATGCAACCCCCTACCTCAACCAGGATAACATAAAACGTTTAGGTAAAGACGAACTGGAATGGTTCGGGTCGTTTCAAACAATAGTAGTTTCACACTTGACACTGACTAATTGTACACTTGTACAGAAACTTGGTAAAGAGCATATAAATGCGTTGTATAGAAAAAATTAACGTTTACAAACAACACGCGCTCAATCACCCAAGCAACACGGCATTGATTCAAAAGTAAGATTATCAATAATGTCCACTTCCAAAATGTATTAATTATAATTCGATTTGTCTGTTTATAACGTAATAGTAATATGACATGAGCAGGCTTGCACGTAATTTACGGATTTACGGAATTATTTCGAGTTACGGAAGCGAATTACGTAAAGTCGTAATTATTGGTCGAGCGCTTTCGCGATTGAAACGAGCTCTCTTCAGAGCAGTCAATTCCGTCGATTGTAAAAAATTAAAGTTTAAGTCAAAGCAGTTAGAGTTCCGGTATTCGCAGCCGTTTTTCTCTCTCTTGTTAGGCAGATGGGAAGGCATAACGCGTCATTTACTAACCTAATATCAACTTATCTAGGATGGCCAATGTACATATTAACCGTAGATAAGGAATAAAATTGTGTTGAGACCGACGGACGTCAACACACCTGGTTTCAACTTCTTCGGGTGAAATGACTAAAGAATGTAAGAGATCAACTTATAAAACAAGGTCTATTTGTAAATGCAGTGATAATTAATGTCGCGCTAATCAAACAGCAATATAAAGACGGAAGAGAAATTGCGTAATGAACCAACGCAACTTAGTCTTTTCGGCATCAGTAAAGCGATTGAGACGGCAGAGAAACAACATTACGACGGGATTTCCCGTGTTTATTCTGCGCGAGATCCATTTTCTATTACAAAATCTTGATGTTCTGTTACCGATTTTATCGTTATATATCTGTCCGGACTTGGCATTGCTCAATATGTTTTGCAACCAAATGCGGCAACTTATTTTGATTTATCGTCGACTCGAATACCACCGGCACTCGACCAAACTTGTGTCAATCTTGGCAAATAGGATTGTCGACTTGAGTTAGAAAAATAAATTAATATTTTCATGAGTGCAAAATAAATGTCACAAAATGCATTGTTTTGCGATATAACTTTCTATTTTCGGAGAAAGCATGTCATATAAGTATGGTATTTTAAATAATGCGCAAATAATTAATATTTGATCTAAATTTATCGCAAATAATGTTATAACTTTTAGGCCGCGAAATGATTTAATGTAAAATGAAGCATGGAATTCGGAATATCGTCAATAAGTCGGCATCAATAATTATTATAAAATGCTAACTAAGTAGTAAAGTCGGATATTGTAAAAAACGGTGAAATAACAAGTCTTTGTCGCGAGGCAAGCGAAAGTATAATCAAACGAGAGAATACGCTTGTAGTTGATTAATAAATTAGCAACCCGGAATTTTTATTTAATACGAAAGTCGTATTAATACGTTAATACGATTTTAAAAAAGTGAACTATCGTTTCTTAATTAAATATATTACCCGTGTTGGTAATGATAAAATTGATCGCATAAAATTTGGTGATAAAGTGGATAAAAAAATCAAAGCTAATACAAAAGATAAAAATCAGAATAAAATTATTTTGAATTCACTCCTTGATATTTGTCTTTAACATCTGTCGCCGGCGTGTAGTACTGCCGGGAATATGAACCAAACTTCGATGTCCCATTCGGAATAGAAGTGGATTAAATTGGTTGTTATGATAGGTTTAAATATGTGAAAAAAATATCGCAATTACGGGGTCATCACGTAATCGATTTGGCCGTAATTACGGAATTGATTTTTGTCAATTACGTGCAACCCTAGACATGAGTAAACATAATATAACGTAATAAATAATAGAGCACATGTTCAAACCTCAACGGCTATTCGTTTTACAATAGTAAGTGATTGATTAATCGTGTGTAATTGTTACGTACAATTGAAATCTGTTCAAGTTGGCCATTTATTCTGATAACATTTCGGAAATTTATTCAATCATCTTTATATATATAATAATGTTATTACGAATATATATAAATATATTTACAATTTATTTGAACCTTTTAAAATATTTCAGTTCCGTTTACTTGACAAAGGTTGGATATATTCCACAACTCTTGCAGAAACTGATTTCGATCCAGATTCACTTGAAATCGGAAGTAATTTTGAAGGAAATATATCTTTTGGTAAAGTAAGTAAAATAACAGTTAAAATTGTAACTACTAAATTGGGAATTGTCGTACGGTCTTAGTAGTAAGAATAGATATTTGGTTTCAAATTATACACTTATCTATGAGCTGTATGATATTTTAATTTTATTAACTCATTCAATTCAAGTAGTATTGCTAAATATTCAACATAGAGATCTGCTGCAAGATCCGACAGATCAAGCAATAATAAATAATAATATTATATTCCATGTTAACTACTGCCCAACGGCACTCCAAAATAATATCTCAATAATATTTCTTTAATTTAAAACTTATGTTTACTTATTTACAGATGGGAACGATCAGAGTGAAAATAACAAAACGACAAAAGTGAGAATTAACTTTAATAAATTGAACTTGTTCAGAAATAGTGGCACAATATTCTAAAATTTGATAAACAAAAAAAAATATGTTTTGTAAGTGGGATTTGAGATCTCAATTGAATAAGCGGCCAAGAAAAGATCAAGGTTGTCGTTACCCGGTTATTTTATTGCAGAAATACCATTTTTTCACTGATAATTGGATTAATTAAATCATATTTCCACGATGAAAAAGTCGTGTTGGCTATTATCCTGAGACAATAAAATATTGTTCTGTATTGTAAAATTTGACGAAAGTGTGATCCTTTATCATCACTGCATAATTATTAAATGTATATTTACGTGAACTCACAGAACTCATTTGAGACTCTCACATTGTCTCTGTGACGGAGAAATAAACTTCAGGAAAAATAGAATTCATCGCGCAATGAAAGGAATGCAAAGGTTATTGGGAAATGACGGAGCACCGCGAAATTTACTAGAGGTAAATATAGCGAAAATCAAAACCGATCTCTGATTAGAAATATTTAAACACATGATGAGTATGAGAATAATTCGTTACATTTACCCAATACAATAAAAACAATATAGCACTAACGAGATATATTGAACTCTGTCCAAAATGAATGCGAATCAAATATTTTAGGAATCAGAAATATATGGTCGAAGATGACGGTCTAAGTTATAAAAAAGCATTAATTTGGGGTAAACAGTGCAAAATTGACATTTTGAAATTTTATGTGATAAAATTAAAAAAAAAAGATTAGTTCGTTCAAGATTAACGCCTAAAACTTTCACCTAAATTACAGGCTCCCATTATATCTGTTGTTGGCTCTGGAGGTGGTATACGAGCAATGACAGGAATGTGTGGAGTTATGGAGGCTTTGTTAGAAACTGGAATATTAGACTGCTTGATGTATGCAGTTGGAACATCCGGATCCTCTTGGTATGGCCATGTCTATTTTTTTCAATATAGTGATTTTGGAATAGGACAATCTAAACTTATGTATTTTGTAAAATACTGTTCCATGTATGAGTTAGAATTCCAAACTCAAGAATGAAGAGTTATTTCAAATCTTTCAGACATACTAATGTAAAATAATAGCACAACATAACAAACACACAAATTTATGATTCAAGAATCTAAAAACAATATACCTATTTGTGAAAAGCTTCGATCAATTCAAAATTGTCATCAGGTATCTCACAAGTTCATACGCTCGAAATGCTTTGGACAAAAACAGGCAATCAGATTATCATTCATGGCTAAGAAACTCACTCACAACTTCTCCTTTCGTTGAATTGGTGAAACCTTGGAACATACTTAAAGGAAGGTAAGATACAGTTGCTTCGTGACAAAATGAAGATGTCGAAATATTGAAATATGCAACTTGTTTCACAATCTAATCTAAATCTAATGCTCAAGTATCAAGATATCAATTTTTCTAATATGAATTTTCACGATTTTTTTCAAATTCATTCAATCCATTACTATTAACAGTTAAGTATGGAATTCACGATTTCTGTTAATAGATTTCAATGCATATTTATATCATGTGCAAGTTCACTATATTTTTACCGATCATTTTAGACAAGTTTACAAGGCAAAAACTTCAGTCGGTCAGCCTTTCACTTTCATCGATTATTATGGAATTGTTACAGCAATAAAGGCAATGGGTGAAGAGGTATGTTTTAAATTGGACTATTTTGCATATTATTTTTATTGATAACAAAATGACCCTTTTTTCAATAGTATGCTAATGTCAAACTGTCCGACGTAAGGAAATACCTGGATGAAGCAAATGTACCGTTACCTCTACTCAATTCAAGTCAAGTCTACGAAGATCGTTTAGTGCAGCAGTATTACGGTAATGTTTACGTGAGGTGCAGCACACGTAGTAAAAACAGCTTGTATTTGTTGTAAATAATCAATTTCTCATTATTCAGCCGACTGCAGTTTTACACCATATGAATGCGAAATACCACACTATGGCGTGAACGTCGACATGCAAAGACTCAATAGCCAATTTCATTCTGGAGTTATGGAAAAAAATTTACCAGAGCCCGACTTGCAGTTTTTGTTGGGAACATTAGGAAGTGTATTTGGAGTGAGTTTGGACAGAATAAAACAGGCGCTTGATGAAGATGACGGTAAGCGAAAGTTAAGCTTCAATATACATTGCCTAAGCAAATCATAGAGTCAAAATGTAGTTCCAACCTAGAAAAAGATGCATTCTAAATAAGGTATATACATATACAATATATACAATTGAATAGGTCAAATTGGCAAAAACTTTACATGAAATTAGTAGAAATATGAATTTGATAAATATGCTAATCAGCTCTATCGGGTTAAGTTGGGTAGGCAGGATTCGCCTGTGGTCTTTACATTCTATGCAAAACTATTTTTGATGACTTTTAATGCTTTTTTATTTCCATTAAAATTCCGATCACCTATTTTATGCACAGAAACTGATAGTGAAATGACGGAGCATGATCGTGATCACCAAGAGGAACAAAAATCAGCATGGTTGAAGTAAGTTGACTGTTTAGTTAAAAAACAAAGTAATTGATGTATGAATTCAAAATAAGGACTAACGTGATTTATAATGTTATCATTGCATTGAATAATGTAACAAGACCGCACTTTTCGGATAACTCACACTTACATTCCAAACTAATCTTTGGAAAGATTCTTGATCTGATATCATCAGAACCTGCAAAATCGACATCGCCTGAATAAGCCCAAAATGCTGTAACCCAAAATGTAACAATTCAATATAAAATCATGTAAAACGGATTAAAGACTTGTTCAATTGGTTTGGATTTATATACTACATATTATTTGATTTATTATACCTCAAAAACAGTAATCTTCCTGGTTTTCTTGGTCGCAATGGAGTGATACAAAGAACCGGTAAAGTTTTGAACATGGTCAGGGGATTTAGTGATATGAAAAGATTCCGAATCAATCCTCGGATAAAATCTGCCGGAGAAGAAGGTAACCTTTGTAGTTTACATTATGATAAAAGATTAATTTATTGAACATTCCGTTCGGATTTATTTGCTTACTTATAAAAAGTTTGAAAATGTTTTCATAATGTTTCTATATAAATGCATTATACGATAGTATGCACAAATGAAGGCACAATACGTTGCCTCTTTTAGGAATGACATACTACTGAGCTTTCTAATATCAGGAATTAAGTTTTAGTCGCTAGTAGACATCAGGGTATTTCATTAAAACTTCATTTCTTTTTTCAGAATTTGATGGTTTTGATGAACAAAGAAGCGATTTAGATTTGGTTGATGGAGGTTTGTGATATATTATTATTCGGTATATTTTCTGATTATTCAATATTTAGTGTAATCAGTATCTAAAAAATAGAAGACATATGTATATTCCTATCAATTAAAAAACAATCCAGTGAATATTGGCCAACCAAAAATACTACCTTCTTAGTCGCTTATTATAGTGGTAGCTTTAATTCTTCAATTTATTTTGGCGCAAAAGATCAAACATTTTGAAAATTAGAAGAAATATAAATGAATACGTGCTTTCAAATATTCCCCCCGATACTCACTCGTTTAATGAGAAGAATGTTAATCAGCTAATTATGCACACGCTTTCGACGCTGATGATTCATCGACGCAGTACACGTTTTTTATTCCTCGTCAAATCTGCTAAATAATTTTTTTCAGATGAGTACTAGTTTTGACAATTAATCAAATTAATTGGTCAAAACCTTTTTAAATTAATCACTTTTTCCACCAGGTATCCTATGCAATGTAGCAGTCGATGCTATTTTACGTCCACAAAGAAGAAATGACATTCTAATCATCATTGATTTTACTGGGTATGATGCTGATGTCAGTTTTAAGGTATGAAAAAATTAACAACCGAATTATTTTCAATCAACTCAAAATATGAACAAAAACGAATTTGAAAAAGCAATCGATGAAGATAATATGTTTATTGAATATTTTAAACAAAATTAGATTTGTTTTTGGTAAGCATGCGCGTACTTTTTTACCAGACACTGACAACATCAATATCTTTGGCTAAAGAAGGAGGATACAAATTCCCTCCTGTGGACTTGAAAAAAATCAGAAAGGAAGGAGTAAAACAATTTTATATATTCGAAGACGAGAATGATCCCGAGTGTCCAATCGTTTTCTGGTTTTTAATGACAACAAAAAAGTTTTCCCAGTTATCAGACTACACACCAAAGAACAAGGAAGGTATAAAATAATTGGTAAAAATAAAACGTTGTTGGGTTCAAATTAAAGGTATACCTTTTACATACAAAATACAGCAACTATATCAATTAAGTATCATTCAAACTAAAAGCTAATTATTCAAAGATCAATAAACGAACATCAGAGGACATCGTAACCCTTGAAAAACGATAAATGTTTAGTATTATAGTCAATAAAATATTTGTATACACTACTGATCCGACTTATACTTAATAAGTTACATTAAGATTTGTTTATTTCAAAATACACATAAATATGACAACGTTCAATTAACTCATTAATTTTTTCTAGTTTTAAAAGATCTACCGCCCGGTGAGAGATTCAACGATTTCAGTATTTACAAATCTGATACCTACGATACGTTTGATCTAACGTACACAAATCTTGAATTTGATAGACTTCGAGAACTGATGAATTTCAACATTTCAAGTAACGCCGAAGTGAGTCGTTAAATGTTTATATTATTCAACAGGATGTCTACTAAACATCATTGTAGGCAAAAGTAGGGTTACTGTAATTGTGTAATAGGCACAAACTATTTCCTAAAGATTGTATCGGTGTCCCGACTGAAAGTATCAATACTCTTGTAATTTCTGATTACAATAGTTAAAATTATTGGTTTCTATATCGTTTCGGTTTATAGCTTTTTACAACTTCCTGTAATATATTTTTATTTCAGATTATCAAGCAGAAGATACGTGAGAAAATATCTCAAAAAAGAAAACTTGGTCATCAAAACATGATTGAAAACTAATACTTTATCTGGTCAGGTTGCCAAATTAATAATTAGCCACTGGCTTACGATTTTGTATTTCATAAATGAAGCTATTAATCAATAATTTAAGTACAATACTCATTAACAGCCAACAAGGATATGTAGTATGTAGCCTACATACTTAAAAGTTAACTTTGCTCACGATTTATTATCTTCTTCGACTATGTATAAATGTGTACATATTCAATATGTGTATAATCTTTTTACATTTGTATTTATTCAGTTTGACAAAGAAAATATTTTTATAACGACATTGTTACCCATATTTGCCATATTTGTACAAGTTCCAGGTTGTATATTTCTTTAATCTTCGTGACTTATTAACCGTTGTTTTCATGTGCAGTGATTACGAACTTAATATATTTTTTACGTGTTTTGTATAGACAGAAATCAAACACATATATGCACTTTTTATACTGAACTTTGTCCGTTTGAGACCTACATCCTGAATTGCATATTTCTGATTAAGTTGAAAAATAACCAATAGTGTAACTCGAGTTATATTAGACGAGATTTATGCTAAATACATTTTTATCAATATTTATCTGTCTGTTGATATATTCTGTTGGGATCAGCATACTCTAGTTCAACGTTTTCCAACCGAGAAGGAATTACCAACAAGGAGTAATTCTGATGTTCTTTTATATCTTTTAATAGTTTGTGCAGTTTCAAAAATATTGTTTACTTATTTAGTATTACCGCAAATAATACTCAATATACCGGTAATTCAACTATACATTGGGAACCACTGAGTTAAGCAAAGCACACAAAATTTTTTGTGCTCGAACCGACAGACACGACACAGACACAGCATGCCGCTACTTGATCAGCCTCGTCAGAGGTAGCCAAGTATGACGTTAATAAAACCTGTTAATTACGTAAAATTTTAATCATGATTGAACCCATTAGTAGCTGTGGCGCAAAGAAAGCGTGTAGGTGTGATAAGCATGATGCCATGTGCGACGTTGTGTTCGAGTTTCACTGGGGTGAGGGATACAGAGCTAGATAGAAATTAGACACAGAAATGAGACGCAGGCAGAGTCGGAGTTAGGAATGTAACAGGTAGCGGGTAGTAAGGGAATGACCGAAAGAGCAGGGAAAGCCATAGACAGGCCGAGGTTAGAAAAGCACTGGGTTGGGATGTAAAGAACTAGATAGAACGCAGGCTCCCACAGAAATGAGACACATGCAGTCAAGTCAATGGCTAATAGAAAGAACCCCATAGACAGGCCGAGGTTAGAAAAGAGTGTCTAGGTCGTATTGGGAAAGAAAGGTTCGATATGAGGGGAGATTGTGGTGAGAGAGAGACACTGGCTGAAGCCACTACAGTGCTGGGAGGAGGAAGCCCAACAGACCGAGGTTTGACAGGGGCGTTGACAGTGGGAGAGAGAGCATAACCGCGAAGAGGAGGGGAAAACTCACAGAATGAAAATGTGGATCAAAGCCAACGACAGACAGGCCGAGAGACACTCATACATACCAAGAGGAGGGCCGAGGAAGGAAGCTCCAACAACAACAGGCCGAGGTTACAATGGAGGGTGTTTACAGTGGAAGAGACAGACACATAGGCGAGGAGGAGACACCCACCCACAGAAAGGAGCCAACAGACAGGCCGAGATACAGGAGGGAGGGAAGCCCCAACAAGATAGGCCGTGGTTAGAATGGTGAGTGTTCACAGTGACACATACCCACAGAAATGATTGTACATACCCACCGAAATAAATGATATTGGAAGGGAGCCAACAGACAGGCCGAGCTACAGGAGGGAGGAAGCCCCAACAAGATAGGCCGGGGTTGCAATGGTGGGTGTTAACAGTGATGGGAGCCAACAGGCCGAAGTTGGGAAGGTCGACGACAGTGGGGGAGACATCTATCTGTATACCCATTCCCTTTCGAAGGAAGAGGAGGAGAGACCGGGGAAGTCACAGTCGGGTGATACATACAGAGGGGAGAAAGGAAATCTACAGTAAGGCCCGAGGTGGGACGACACTAAGTCGAAAATACCCACAGAAATGATTGTGGAAGGGAGCCCAACAGACAAGCCGAGATACATGAGGGAGGAAGCCCCAACAGGATAAGCCGGGGTTAGAATGGTGGGTGTTGACAGTGAAATTGTTCTTGTTCTTAGGAAAGAAAGGAAAAAAAGACAGGCCAGGTTAAAACAGAGAAGAGAATCTGGGGAAGATCGGGAAAGAAAAAAAACCACAGACAAACAGGCGGGCCAAGTTAAAACAGAGAGTCTGGGGAGAATCGGGAAAGAAAAGAAAACAGAACATAACGAAAAACTGCGAGGAGAAAGGATTAGGTCGAAAAGACCACCCTGGAGAAGACTGTGGAAGATGGAAAGCCCCACAGGCAAGCCGAGGTTGAAAAACCCACAGACAGGCCAGGTTAAAACAGAGAAAAGAGTCTGGGGAAGATCGGGAAAAAAAAAAAACCACAGACAGACAGGCAAGCCAAGTTAAAAGAGAGAGAGTCTGGGGAAGATCGTGAAAAAAAAAAAACAGGCAGGACAGAGAGTCTGGGGAAGATCGGGGGTCAAAAGAAAGAGACGGAAAGGAAGAATAAAACAGACAAAACTGATCTGAAAGGAAGAAAGAACATAACGGAAAACTGCGAGGAGGAAGAAGTAAGTCGAAAAGTCAACCCGTGAACTGTGGAAGATGAATTGGAAAATCCACAGACAGGCCAGGTTAAACTAGAGAACAGAGTCTGGGGAAGATCGGGAGAGAAAAAAAAAACACAGACAGACAGGCAGGCCAAGTTAAAACAGAGAGTCTGGGGAGGATCGGAAAAGAAAAAAAACAGAACATAACGAAAAACTGCGAGGAGAAAGGATTAAGTCGGAAATACCACCCGTGAACAGACTGTGAAAGATGGAAAGCCCACAGACAGGCCAGGTTAAAACAGAGAAAAGAGTCTGGGGAAGATCGGGAAAGAAAACAAACCCCCACAGACAGACAGGCAAGCCAAGTTAAAAGAGAGAGAGTCTGGTGAACATCGTGAAAGAAAAAAAAACACAGACAGGCAGGACAGAAAGTCTGTGGGGAGATCGGGGGTCAAAAGAAAGAGACGGAAAGGAAGAATAAAACAGACAAAACCGATCTGAAAGAAGGTAAAAACATAACGGAAAACTGCGAGGAGGATTAGGATTAAGTCGAAAGTGGAAAAGACAATCCGTGAACAGACTGTGGAAGATGGAAAGCCCCACAGGCAAGTCGAGGTTGGAAAACCCACAGACCACAGGCCAGGTTAAAACAGAGAGTCTGGGTAAGATCGGGAACGAAAAAAAAACGCATGGCCCGAGGTTATTAGGAGAGAAAGAAAAAAAAAGTCCAAAGAGAAAAGACAACATACTCGCACATTAAACGGACAAACCCGTCCTGGTTCAGAAGTGGACACTGTCGAAGAAAAGAAAGAGAATGTCGGGGTTGTTACGAGATCCCGTCGGGACTTAGGAGATCAGGAAGAACTATAACGTAAAACTGCGAGGATAGAAGAGGGAAGAAAACCGCCAAGACTGCACTGCATAAAAGACGTTGAGGGAGAATGAATTAGACAAAAAATCTTCTCTCTCTCTCGATTATTCAGGCTTGTCCATGAGAATGGAACTTTCATATGGAAACGTACCGTGGGATGGAACAGCACACATTTGTATTTCCTATGGGACACGGAAACCGTATGATTTTCGAGGAAATGAGGCTAAAACATTTCGTTATGGACTTCGTGTTCATATATTTGACCATATCCCTTTTTTTTAGTTATAAAGAGAAAAATATATTAAGCATTAACAATATACTTCGTGAAGGGCTGATGGACACATATATAATACTTATGAATATAAAAAAAATTGTTATAGATTTTGTTGTTTTGCATGTCTATTCGTACATGTAGTCCTATTTAGTAGATGCTAAACCTAAATTTAACAATTTTTATTAAATTTTATTCCAATGGGAATCCCGTGGGATGAGATGGGATAGGCATAATTGCTATGGGAATGGGACAGGAAAATATGTCTCATGGACAAGCCTGCGATTATCACATGATATATATATACACCAAATATATTCATGTTGGGAAGGCCAAGTAGGCTATTTATTATTCACAAAATTTTTCGACGTTTCACTTCTATCCAGAAAAGCTACCAGGTCACGATGAAGAGAGAATGAAGCAGATATATGTAGCTAGAAATGGGGTTCAGAGAGGAAAGTAAGAAAGGGCCCGCTGCCCGGTCCGCGGAGCCGGTATCTCATTATTTTTGATTACTTTTTCATACCTTATGGCTTCATTGGCATTGTGTTACGCGACTATATATAACCCTGGGGTGAAAATTCGTCTGAAAAGAATTCAATAACGTGCTATTGTCATTGGTGCCGTGGATGTTATTAAAATATATAGCATCGCTAGCAGTGAAGTTGAGCAAGGTGAATATGAATGGCCGAAGTTGGGCACTTAGTAGTGTCTAAAATTCTTCATCGCTCTGTCTACACAATCAAGATGTGGTTTGTCAACGAAAGCGACACTATTGTGCAAAACACTCAATTACGGGCTGAACATATTCATTGAAAGTATTTAATGAAGCACATAGCTTGAAACAGTAACTCGCCGAATCAACAATTTCTCGAAAAATATCGATGTAGTACAAAATTACGAGCAATGGTTGACCACAAACAGGGCTATGCCACGGAAATAATTTGCGTATTTTTACAAAAGCTATATATACGCATGGACAATACACGAACCTTGAAATTCATGCCTTAATGATCTCTCTTCCGGCATTGTTTCGTATTGCTGTAAACGGATCATCAAAAACAAAGCGCACTGTGCAAGAAAAAATCAAGAAATCAGCTAAAGATTAGCTCAACTTCGAGTCGCCAACAACTAATTTCTTGAGTTTTTCGATGGTCCGACTCTCCAGTGTTTCCATAATTTTTTGTTGTGATAAACCCAATTCGATATACAGTTGCACGTCAGAGGTTTGAAGCCATGTTTCCTGACAAGCCAAGTTTCCTAACCAAAGGGTTGTGAGCACTGGCTTTGAGAAAGAGGGCTGGTGACATCACGGCACTATCACGTGATGGTAATAGAATATGATAAAAAATAGCGAATTGTTGGGTGGACTATCTAGATTGAGGACTATGGGGCAAAACAGGATAAATAGCCTTCTATTGACTTCAACCATCATTAAGGACTATAAATTTTAAAACGATTGGTTCATAAGTTTCGATGAATAGTTCTACAACAACAACAATCACCACAAGAACAATAATAGCAATTTAGAAAAAAAATAAAATGATAATACCCAAACAACTTATCTAGGTGTATTTTAGTTCACCAAACCTTGCTTTTGCAGACAATTTATACATCTCACCTGGGCGTCATATGGTCGAAAAAAATCACGAGATTTTGTTGCGTGTTGTTTAGGTGCGTAAACTTAGATGAACTGCACGCTTGAGTGTTTTTCTATTATTGTATCAGAATATCCTTGACACTCAATAACTGCCATAATACTGCGCTGAATACTTAGCTCCAAACACAAATCATGGCCATTATACATCGTGGATTCTTTATTCATAGGCAATGCATGACATATGATAATCATGAACTCGTTAGAGTTAGATTATCGATATAAAACATATCTGACAGGGGAGCAGCGTAAGTTGCATATTTTTCACATAGCTGCTGAACAACGGTTGTAGACTTATTTGAAACAACCCTGTCTAAGAAACTATATTTAAAATCATTGTATATTGAAAAATGTACAGTTTCTTTATCGGGGTATTGTTGAATCGCTCACAATTATACGTAGACCTTGCGTCAATTGATTTAGTTCAAATTTCCTGAAGTATCAATTTGTTTGAAATATCAAGATATGTATTGATTATTTTATACCCAGTCGCTTCATATATATGACAGCTTGACTTTAAAACCAAGGTATCGCAGTGTGTTTTACAGCGAAAGTGGTTCAAACGCCATCGTAAAATTCATTTTCCATATATTCCGACTGGGTTAGGTCATCAAACGTATTTGTCAACAATACGGGTTTGTTGAAAGCATATATATAGCGACCGTGCTCACAAAACTATGAAAGGGATTGGTCTCGCCTTCCCTGTACTCAGTCATTCATTCAAACATTTTTGTCTTTGTAAAGCCAACCAAGCGATACTTTTCGTCAGCGAAGCCTCGCATATTTTCTTTCAGATTCGGCGACGCACCCAATTGTAATGAATTGGTGGTGTTATAAGGGGAAAGTTAGCGGAACTTAGTAAACGATAAGTTTTTCGAAGCTATGGATTAAACTCTTTAAAACTAGAAACAGAATTGGCAAGTTACTGAGATTCCTGGCGCATGACCACACGGTGTAGCTGAGGTAGTTACAACTTCGGGCTTGTTAAGTTTGATTTAAATCAAATAATTTTCAGCTATATAGACAAGTATTCTAATGTAGAATACTGACTATTTTAATCGCAATCAAGTCAACAACTTTTTTTTTCAAGCGGAACGCCAAAAATTGGTCAGAATACATAAAAAGTACAGTACATTTTATCAATATTTTTCACTTGCGCCTAAAAAATCACTCAGGGAAAAGTTTATCTGATAACCACTTCAGCTATTACATCATTTAGAAGCAGCTTAAGCACACTACTTGAGGACCAGCTTTTATAAACAGTGGTGTCGTATTTGAGCACTTGTAGTTCCTACTATAATACGAAAATTATTCAATTATTGGTTTACTAGTATTGTTTATGAAGAATTATAACTGAAAACACTATGGGCTAGCTAGAAGAACTTTTATATTATTTCTAACATGAATTGAACCGATATTTAGGGCAAATCGGGATTTTCTGAACTCGATTAAATAATATATATATTCGTAACCAAGTAGTATTGTCGAAAGAGTTTATATTATACATTACCAAAGCTCTATATATAAACATGTATAGTTGATGACATGATCAATGATATTAGGGATAATGATTTCAACTTGGCACCAGAATTGGGGCCAAATAAATTTCCAAGTTTGACTCAAGTTTTTCATAAAAAGCAAGCTGCCTGTAGATTCGAATCGGATGCAATTTATTTTCGCCCTTTTCTAGTTCAAGCCAGACCATTCTCAACGTAGAATGATGAAATGAAGCCGTTGCTCCACTGCTGTGCGCAACGAATGTGGTCTTTTAATCATTCATTTGTTAGAAGACAATTTCTTGTTGATATATTTCTTACAAATTAGGTAAATTTGGCTTATATGAAGGTAAGAATTGAAGTTTTAGAAGTTAGTCATCGTTACGTCAATGAGGTATTCTAAGCATACGTCTCTTTGTTTGTCATAAGAAATCATCGCAAAATCAAACATTATGACTGAGCATATTATGAGTATATTAGCGAATATCACAGATATATGAAGTATACGCGAAAATTTAAGAAATTAAACGATATAGTAAGTCAACTACTGGGATTGGAGTCTTTAAGAAAGAAGAAGTGAAATTGTAGGCAAAAGGGAATTGCTATCGTGAATAGTTGAGAATTTGTGATTACACAAGAAAAACGATTAAAATGCTTTTTTGTTAGAGCAAGGTAATTTCAGAACGTCGGCTTGAACAGCATAATACATCGAAATAAAAAGTAATCAAATTTTGGCTATTATGCAAATTGTTTGAAATAATAAAGAGCTAAACTACTACTGCCACCTTTTCACAATAAAATATTTTGGCACTACTATATAGGGTGCTGGAATGTCTCAGGAGCATCACATGATGGCAAAAGTACGTCACTTTAAAGTGAAAATAATTCCAACTAAAGTCGTTGGGCCCAGATTTAAACAATTTTTTTTAATATCGATTTCCTTCTACTTTCTATTCATTCACTTATGACTATGAGACCATGCACCGTTCCATATACTTCTGAGTCAAGTGACTTAGTTAATAACTCTTCATGGCCTGTAATATTTTTCATTTTGTCATATTCGTAACTCCTATAGTGTATGGGTAAAATATAAAAGTGATCGTTAATATAACCTTTCTGTATAATTAAAAGTCTTTATAAATATTATTTGATATTGAATGAAGCGCTTATTTCATAACGTAGTTCTAATGGTTTATATATGTTGTTATATATGATTTTAGTCACTTAAATACATTTATTTATTTTAAAAAACTTTCACTTGTTACAGTATTTAAAATTATGGCATCAAAGGTAGTATATATTATTACATTTACAATCATCTTTTGTGTCATATTTAATACATCTCATGGGATACCTGGAAATTGCCCCACGGACAATAATTACTGCAACAATGGGAAATGTGCTGAAGTCAACGGAACACATTACTGTGTCTGTAATTTGAATATTATCGGAGTATGGTGTAATGCAAGTAAAATGTTTTATTTTTAATTTTTTAGATAGTACTGAAAACATTTAGAATTTTTTAAAATAACGTTACAATAATAGCAAAAAAGGTTTAAAGTTGATTTTATTCCAACAAAAGTTCTTTTTGAAAATATGAATGTCTTAGAATATTTGGTTTTCGGAAATATTAGAAATGTTTCAACCCACAGAAGCGAAAGTAAAAAATTGAAGTGGTTAGAAAATATTTCTCGACCTAATACGAATATCTTTCGTATGGAAAAAAACATCTCGGGTTGTGTGTGTGTAGGTCTCTTACTCATTGAACTTTAATTGAAGAACCTACTTTTGTTAGTTTGAGAAAAGTCTCCCCACGTTTTGCTCGTATACATCTTTAATTAATCACAGAGCTGATATGGAACGTCCCAAAACGGATCAATCGAAAAGCAAACGATATTTAGGTAAATTAACGTTGTAAAACAATACATTGATTAATTTCTAGCTTGGACTCTGACTGCATCTGTATCGGTGTCTGTACCAGAAGTGAATAATCCAGTAACATTCACTATCGAGTCTTCTCAGAATGCACAAGTTAATTTGACTTCACCAAAGCATGAAGTGTTAACGGTGTCTGCATCCGGCCCATCCTTTGTATATACATATATTGTATCGTCAGTATCATTTAGCGACATCGGAGAGTATAATTTTGACGCATTTCTATCATATGAGGGACTGGACTTTTCAAATTCAGCATTAGCTAAAATCGATTATGGTAAGTTTTTTATGCTTTCTCATTTGATTTTTTTTTTGTTTTCAACACAACAGATATTTAAAATTTCACACAAACTTCATGGTAAACGTCGCGTACCGGTAAAAGTACGAGCACTGAGCCGTCAAAATATTATCGTTTAGTATTTACCAGTCAATCAATAACAATCCTTCAGTCGCGATGTATCTTTAACACAGATTGAAGCCTCATTATAGGAACTGATTTTATAAATCGTCACGCTAATAACCGAATTGCGTAAGTCATTTTTAGCAGTTTTGAGAAAAACGTAAAAAACTTCCTAATGATTTTGTTATGCAATTGAGAGTCAATAATTTGCCATGGTTCAATTTTTTGATCGTAGCCGGATTTAAGTTAATTTGTATGACGCAGTTAAGTGACGTCATAATGGCGCACTGTGACATAGGCAGAAATGTGTCTATGACTTGGGGACATACGCAATTTTGCAACTTCACTATATGCACCAGTCCTGAAAACCAAACATTCCAAAAACGAATGTAATTCTCAGTATCTACAATGTCTAATCCCCAAAATAGCTAATCAGTTTCAATTACATTATTTTTTTATGTTTAAAAATATATATTTCATCAATATAACACGTTCTGCACACCCACCGAAATAAGACTAAGATTAAATATAAAGAATAAAACAGCAATGCACCCAATATAAAAGCCAACCAAGGTAAATTGGACTCGGACAGTGAATATCACAAGTGCACGTCTTCCTATACTGTAGTAAAAATTCAAATTAATACGCGCTAAGCTAGAATCCGAGATGCAAAAACTCGAAAATACTTCGCCGAGGTTATTTTGCCTTTGTGACGTCACAACAGTCCCGCGGTAACAATGATAATTCATTATGACGAAACAATTGCACAAATGTGCATGTCATACTAAATCTCCATTTTTATTGGTTTCGGAATTCCTAAAATAAAATCTGAGTTAACAGACAGGTGCGCAGCATTACATAAATACCTATTCTATAAAAAACTCAAAATCGCCAAAAATGACTTACGCAATTCGGTTATTAGCGTGACGAAATATTGTTCTACTCAAAATTCAGCGCAAGTATTGATTAGTATTGTTAAATATAATGCGCTGTCGCCACTGATTGGGACCCGATTAAATTGGAAACCTCACACAGAGTTTCTAACTGGCATGATTTTATCCCTAATCAACACACAGTTACTCTCTGCGGTCTATTGGTCGTCAGTCCAGAGGCTTGTTTGTTGTAAATATATATCGTCACGCTAATAACCGAATTGCGTAAGTCATTTTTAGCAGTTTCGAGAAAAACGTAAAAAACTTCCTAATGATATTGTTATGCCATTTAGAGTCAATCATTTGCCATGGTTCAATTTTTTGATCGTAGCCGGATTTAAGTTAATTTGTATGACGCAGTTAAGTGACGTCATAATGGCGCACTGTGACTTAGGCAGAAATGTGTCTATGACTTGGGGACATACGCAATTTTGCAACTTTACTATATGCACCAGTCCTGAAAACTAAACATTCCAGAAACGAATGTAATTCTCAGTATCTACAATGTCTAATCCCCAAAATAGCTAATCTGTTTTAATTACATTATTTTTCCTGTTTAAAAATATATATTTCATCAATATAACACGTTCTGCAAACCCACCGAAATAAGACTAAGATTAAATACGAGAATATCGGTTGGAAACCGAAGACTTATCGATCGATAGTTAGGGAATCCCCCAAAACAGAAACTGCAGTTTCGATTCATCCGCTCTTGTAACTTGCGCACTGCGCATCGCACACACACACTCGGCGGGTTTCAAAATTCTCTCGCTTTACAAAAATCTAGATCACTATATCAATAATTGATTGATAACTCGCTAATTATACGACATAATTCGCCCAAAATCAATAGGTTTCTGGTCCGAAATAAGATGAATGCACATGCAAAATTTGGAGCAGATTCAACCTCGCATTCGCGAGATATCGCGTTCATCTAACAGACACACACACAGACACACAGACATACATACAGACAAATACCTATCAATATACTTACCGATCTTAATTAAAATCGATAAGTAATAAAGAATAAAACAGCAATGCACCCAATATAAAAGCCAACCAAGGTGAATTGGACTCGGACAGTGAATATCACAAGTGCACGTCTTCCTATACTGTAGTATAAATTCAAATTAATACGCGCTAAGCTAGAATCCGAGATGCAAAAACTCGAAAATACTTCGGCGAGGTTATTTTGCCTTTGTGACGTCACAATAGTCCTGCGGGAACAATGATAATTCATTATGACGAAACAATTGCACAAATGTGCATGTCATACTAAATCTCCATTTTTAGGGGTTTCGGAATTCTTAAAATAAAATCTGAGTTAACAGACAGGTGCGCAGCATTACATAAATACCTATTTTATAAAAAAAACTCAAAATCGCCAAAAATGACTTACGTAATTCGGTTATTAGCGTGACGATATGCAAAATATTCCTTAAAAAATATTTTGTGACAAAAGATTTGATTTCATTTTCAGTGCTCACGGTTGAAATAACTTCATCATCTCAGCAAATATATTTTCAAAAAAATGACACTGGGAAGAATCTTACGGTTAATGTCCAAACATCCAATGATAGTTTTACTTATGTTACTGTCCGTGTAACGAAGGGTGCACTAAATAAAACTGTGGATATAAACAGTGATGGCAAGGCAACTTACAATTTTGACGACGCAATTTCTACTGACGATTCGGGCACTTATCTATTCACGGCAACGGAAAAGTATGGAGAATTTACTAGGACTAAAACAGCAGAAATCAATGTGATAGTAGAAGGTTGGTATCATAAAATGCAGCAAAAAACAACGTCTCTTCTGTACACTTTGACCTCAATCTATATCGAATTCAATACTCACAAGAAGCTAACCGATAACGAACGACTCGGTGATGGAATGGTACTAAAGTAAGATAGGCCCCTGATATCTTCTGCATCGGAATATTTCATTCTTTATAATTTTTTCCGAATGTTTTCAATACAAATGGATTCTTAAGATTTAATTTAGTCAAAAAACTTAGCCGTATTACTTATATGTTAAATGAGTGTTATGACGTCACTTTATGGTTGGATTTGCACAGACTGATAATTTATGAATGAAAAGATATTTCCGTGCTCACTGGCTCGTGATGCACAGTTTAAACTTTAAAGGTTGAGTAACTCTTGCAGCGAGACAGTTATTGGTTACAAAGAGTAAGTCAAAACACTTTTTTTGATATTTCAATTTATCCTATTTCAAATCCTTGTAAATTTATTTCGTTTAGTTCCTGCTGCAGCCCCAACAATTAGCCCTTCTGGGGATGCATTGACAGTTATAAAAGGAAACGAAACAAATCTAGTATGCAAAGAGAATGGAGGGAATCCAACACCTACAGTTATGTGGCTAAAAGATGGAAAAAAGGTCCCTTTTGAAAGTGAATTATCCACAATTTATCAGACAGCAACAGGAGTATTGGTTTTCAGTCAAACTGTGCCTTTCGACGCTGGGGGTACTTACACATGTACTGCACAAAATTACCTCCAAAGCTCCAGAGAAAATGAAACAGCATCGATATCTATTTTGATTACAATCGAAGGTAAAGTCTTTAATGCGTTTGAGAATTACATGAAGGGGTAACAAATTACTATTATATAAAGCTACAAAATATAATATTTTAATAGTTCAATTTGAGGAAATACAAAAATTTTACTCCCATGTACACTGATTGAATCAGATAAGAGTATTTTGTTTTACATATGTCAAAGTATGAATGACCACGGTTTTATAAGCTTGAAATGACCACTACATAACATTTCATATTAATAAACATTAAACACAAATGTTAACACAATTTAAACTAATAACCTTGAGGCATGAATTACCACGCAATTTAACTTTTTTTCCAGGAATACCTGAATTAATAAATTCGGGTTCAAATTCAAATTTGCAAAAGGAAACGGTGACTTTCTCGTGTGATTTTGATGCCTGGCCATCTTCGTCAATTAGCTGGATATTTAATGGAACAATGATATCAGATAATGAACAATTTTCAATTTCCACAAAAGATGCAGTCGAGGCGTACAGGAAAAATTCGGAACTCAGAATAAGACATTCCGCTCTTTGTCTCGGATCTGGTGTGATTACTTGCAGCGCCAAAAATAAATTAAACACAAAATCGAAAGATTTCGACCTGAATAAAGGTGAAAACCAATTTTGCTTTCTTTTTTTCTACCAATTTTGCTGTTCCACTTCCTATTTATATTCCATATTACCTGGTTATCGAACTTTTGAAGTTTTGTTTTTATTTTTACTTGGATCTCTGCTTTAATCGATATTATCAAATAATTTAGATCCATACGGCGTATACAAGGATTTCTACATTATCTTTCCTGCTCAAGAAAAAATTTTTACGGAGGCGGAAAATTACTGCATCGGTTTAGGAGGGAATCTTGTTGATATTCATTCAGTTTCTGAAAGTCAATATATAGAAGAACTTGCGGAATCCAATAGCATAGCAGGTAAGTAAAAATTAGGGCTCCAGAAACGTTTGATTTGATGAATATAGAGTTTTATGCTTATTAGCGAAACAAGGAAAGGAATTAAGGAAACTTCATGCTCACAAATATCGCACCAGGTACAAAACAAAATTGCAATAATTTTTCCCGGATATTCTACGCAAATGACTCTAATATTCAAAAATTTGGCATATAAAGAGTTTCGTCAATTTTCTCATTCAATCAGGTATATTTTTATCATTTCTCAACTTAATGTACAAATTAATTTGATGGGTCTTCGAAGATGAGAAGTACCGATGACAATATTTTAAATTTTTTTAATTTTATTACAAATGACATCGCAAAATTAAACTGTGCCATTTTTACTTTCAATTTATCTGTTGTAAAAGTATCTATTGTACGTTTCAGAGTTTTTCATTGGTTTGAAATATAATGGCAGCGATTGGCAATGGACAACCAATACCAGTATAACATATACAAATTGGGCAACACCGCCAACAAGTGAATGTGGGTTAAACGTCTTCACCAGCGATACCTGGAGCTGGAAAGCTGAAAAATGCAATGACCAAAAGAGATTTGCTTGTAAAGTAAAAGGTACTTTACTTTTCTGTACGGTCAATTCACAGTATGTATAATTGACTAATGACCCAGGAACGCAATTATGGATCTTTTATACACTTTCATACTTTTATATTACTTCATTAAATTTACTGATATGCTCATCATAATTGTCCTACATATATATCATAATTTTCCAATATTAATATGCTAGTTTTAATTTGTAAAAGGGCATTTTTGTAAAATTGACTTTGCATATTTTAAAACAAAAATTCGATTTCACGGGTGATCATTCTAACAGCTGGTTCGTCAGTGATGGTATCTAAACAGCAACAGCATTCGTCAGGATAGAGCCAGATGAGAATTTTTGGAAATTTAATATGCAATTATCCTGTTTTCAAATATTCAGCTGATCGCGCACCAACTTCACTTAGTTCAAACCCAGACAAATGCGACGGTACAAAAGCAAATGTTGTCTGGACTACAGGCGGCTACTTCAATCAGTCAATTGAAATTACACCACAAAGCGTTGAAACAGAGGTTGTTGACAGTGCTATAAAATCAAAAGAATTCATCAGCTTGGCGTATAATACACCATACAATGTTAAAGTAAGATTGAGATCATATAGGTATATTTTCTTCGTTTTTTTTTCACTGAGATTTCCATGGCAATACAACACTTTATAGGTGCCACTTGGGCATGCGTCCTCCCTTGTATAGTGTGATCTCAATCGCATACCTAAGTAGCACCGCGACTGGTGCCACTTTGGTTAATCTCATAAAGACATTCTCAAATAATTCAGTTCCTTACCCTGACTAAAATCACTGATATCACACAACCGATGAGATCGCACCACTTCATATTTGATGTTAAATTGTCATGATACCTTGATTAAAGTCACAAATTCTCAACCGAATTATAAACTGAAAAAAAATTTTGCATTCAATAATTTATATCACGAAAAGACCACATATAATAGCCAATGGATTGATAACAATTGAAAGGTATTTGAGGCAGTGTCTTTCTATTTGTGATTAAACATTTTTAACTCCATTTACTAATATCCAGGTATACACAGGAGTCGGTGTCTGTTCTTTGCAACCGTACGCTGAAACATCTTTCACCTCTGCGTTTGAAAAAGCATCAGATCCTGTCATAACAGTTACAGACAATATTTGTAACAGTTCATGGACGTACCCTGAAAGCAGGAGGGATGAAGTGCAAGGATTTAAAGTAAGACATTGTTGTAATTTCTTACTTTAATTCAATATGATCATTGGTGTGATTCACAATAATCCCGATAATGACCCACGATTTTTTTTATTGATATTCTGATAAAATATTATCGCCATTCCCTTCCAAATCAAGCCAAAAAAAAAACAGTCCATCATTATATTTTAGCTTAATCCATCGTACATATTATAGGTTGTAGTAACAGAACGAGAAAATGTTGCAAACAGTGCCGAGTCTACAATATTTAATGAAACAACAACGGATTTCAATAATACCATCTCTCAGGCAAACCCTAACTCATTATATAAAATAACTGTTCAAACACTGGCATGCATTGGTAATAGCGACGTACAAGAAAAAAGTTGCACCACACCCGTTGGTAAGTGATGTGAAAATATGAACTAATCATTTCTAGTATTTTGGCAAATAGTCAATTGAATGAAAGATGCTGTTACTTTCAAAGCAAATCTATTTGAGTAAGATATATTATTTTTCCGTATATAGTAAGCGGTTTGTTTACTCAATCACAGTTACTTCGGTAAAAGTTAAAATTAATGACTTTGAGAAAATCTTTTTGGTACAAAATTGATTTCATTTTACAGCGGCTCCAGATTCACAAAACATAAATCTAATAGAAACCGAAACGCCATCTGAAACAGATACATCACAGGGCATTCCACTCACAATTCAAAGTATCTCAGAAAGAAACGGGAAAATTGAGTGAGTGGTCTGTGATTATGTTTTCAGTATTCAAAAACTACATGTACATTCATGAAATTTCTTTTAGATTAAAAAATAAACTAATCGGAGTAATTTAAAATTGACCAATCCTTTTTAAATTCTATTTGTTGTTCTGGGATGTATAGTTGGAGCATTTTTGCTCTGACAACTTAGGTATAATGCTCTCAGAGCCGAAATTGAGGATGCTATAGATTAGCACATTATATAATTTTAATAAAATGTGGTTTATGTTGGTATGCGTGCTGAAAAAAGCGAGAGGCAAACAGGAAATTACACTAAAACTTTACAGTAATAAAAAATGCGAGAAATGAATGAACAATCCGAAATCGGTATTGAGGTATGCTGAAAAAATACAAACACCTAAATACAGATTTTCTGTTCTTCCCGCCATTTTCACACTATTCCCGCCATTTTCCTCGTAGAAATAATAATAATAACACCTAGTTATAATTAATAGTTTGAAAAAAAAGAGGCCTTTTCCGCATCAACTGCATAAAATAATTATGCGTTTATTCATACACCAGGTGTCTTTACGTTGTTGGTCGATACAGGGCAGAAGGTGATGCTTTCAGTACTTTTCAAATTACAGATGAGATGTTTAACGGCATGAACGAATATACCGATGATTTGACTGAAAATCAAGATTACATCGCTTTTGCTGTAACTAAGTCAGTTAATACATAGTACATAAAATTCTATCGTTTTTTCTAAGATTGTTGAATTTCTCCTAGGTAAAATTCCTTTGTTGGAAATTACCATTTAATTTTTTGACGAATAAGGATTTCACGTACCAAAGAGCCTGTATTTTTAAAAAGTAAATATTTTGTAGCTAAGATATCATGCTTGTCGTGTGTTAGATTTTTATTATTGTTTTGTGTTACCAGTTAAAAGTTTAATGTAATTCCGTATAATAGACTTGGAACTGCTGGCGACGACCGGTGATTAGTTTTGTAGTACTTGGAGCAATGCCCAATGCCAGCATATTTGATGATGACAACGATTCGTATAATTCTATGGCTCTAATTTGTACAATATTCCTCTATGTTGTAATTTAGTAATGACAGAAATATAACAATTGGAGATGGTGCAAATGAAGTTACTTCTTGTCCATCTGGTTCTGGAAGAAAGAAGAGAGCAACCGTTCAAAACGTATCAAAAAGGTTACATGTTTTGTCTTCATGAATAGATACATTCAATTTAACTAGAAATTTTTCAAATTTTTTGTCATACCTGTTGGGCTCACTTCATTAGTCAGTAGCTTGGATATGTCAAATCCTGGAATCCAGTTCATGTTTATTTATGTTATTTTTTCAGTTTACGCATCTTAATTTGCAAGCAAGAATATGGTTAGACTTTGCCAAAAACAAAATATTTCAAACTCTGTTGTAATGTTCATTTGAGTGCGTTAAATGCTGAACAAAATGTGTTTCGTAGTCTTTGTGAACCTGACCTTGTTGCCGAATTATGTAATCGTGCTTAGAAGGAAAAAAGATTATTTTTTGCATGATTTTTATTGGTGCATCATATGATTTTGTTCCCCAGGGGACGAAATGGACCTTTGAAAGTTGGAAACTATCAGTTCTACATTATAACAGCAACCAAAGACGGCGATACTTTATTCATAACAAATGGACCATGGACAAAACAAATTAAAGTCAATGCAGGTATGAACATGATTTAAATTCATCGGATTTGACTAGATTTAATTAAATCATAATGGATGGTATTTACCTTTATATATAAAATGTTTGGTCGGTTAAGTGCTTCGAAAATGCCAAAGGTTTAATTCATTCATATGAAACGCTCACAATATAGTTATGAAATGAAAATAATAAGTAAGATAATCAGATATTTTCAATCATGGTACTTTTGTCGAATTCACTAATAAATCATGCTATCACAATGTGCTTGCTTATTGAATGTAATCAAGTTTGATGGCATGTGACAGTATTTTTCTGAGATTGTTGCTGTGGTGACAACATTTCATGCTTTATTACGAAATTTATCTAATTTATGTGTTTGTCATTTGTGCTAATATATCTGATTGTTTTCAGCTCCAAGAAATCCAATCGTTATTGTTCTGCCAATCGTTATCATTATACTTATCATCATCATTATCATTTTGATTGTCTTATTATGGTAAGTTTTTTTGTTATGTTTCGTGCAAGTATATTTTATCTTTTTAATCACAGTTTTATTTAAAATGGTTTGTTGTCCAACGCTTAATTGAAAATTTTATATGTATATTTCACGCTTCGAGGGGCCATATGGATTAAAGCAGATTGTTAAATTATTCGATTTTTATGTTTAGGAGGAAAAGACAAAATAAAAAAGAAGAGCAAACCCCACCTCCCCCACCAACAGCTGTTTCTCAAACAAGGCATGCGCATATAAATGCAGGTATTTTGTTAAACTATATACCCCGTCCAGTATATTGCGGATCGCCGGTTTGCCTGTCATCTTCTGAATATGAAAAGTTGCGTGTAGTCGAATTCATGAAACCAAATTCGCAAACATTAAGTGGAATTTTCTTCACATTTTCTGGCATAGACATAATGCAATGAACTAATTATCAGGTTTCTTTGAAACTCGGTATCGTACATATTTGAAAAATTACTCAGTATTTGGAGCAATTGTCGAACAGACTTTTTAACCAATTCATTTAACAGCTTTCTCAGATAACGTTTACGAAAACCCAACAAAAGATACTTCGATTGCAGTGGAAAATCTTAGATCTACTTATCAGAGTAAACACGCGGACGAAGATCGTCTTTTTAGAGAAGAATACAGGGTGAGTCTTTGGTTGATAAAATACTAATATAAATAGTATAAACAAAGACATATAAATAGTAAATTTTGAACCTAAATGATTTTCCCATACATGAACGTAATTGGTTCAAGGAAAAATAAACCCAATGATCAGGATACAACATTGTTTTCACAAATATTATTTGAAACATATGGACGCAGTTACCAGTACTGAGTATAGCTAAAAAAAATCAATAATTATTTGAAGTATTCCAATTAAAACCATCACGACGTCCATGAAATTTGTTTTGAAATTAAATATATCAAACGTGCTGGCGCAAACTTTGTTCAATTCAAAGAGTGTATGTACTCTCGAATGTGTCAGTTGCAGTAATATTCAAATCACAAGTTGATATGTGTTTTCATTCAAAATTTTTTCAGGCTCTTGCAACCGAAGTCAGTGAACTTAATATCCACTATAGTTATGCAATGGCTCCCGAAGTTCGAGAAAAGAATAGATTTTCCAACATTCACCCAGGTACTGCTGTATGTCGAAGTAGAGACAAGAAAATTACACAATATATATATTTCAGAATTTGACAATTTGCTTACTGCTACTGGCAGAGGGAAACTGGGTGAAATTGTCAATAAAACAATTGACAATCAGGAAGAAAAGTTTAATATTCAACTAATATTGTATCATGTATTTCCGTTTGTATTTAATGGTAGTTTTTGTTTAACAGCAAACGAAAGTCGAGTTGTTCTTCGTCGCGAGGGAACGTTCATGTATTCTGATTATATCAATGCATCTTATATTGACGTAAGAAAATTTTTTTTTTCTTATTTCAAACCCGAACCCGACCAAATTCATAGAATGTGCATTAGAGTTTTACAATTTGATATTAATGAAATTGGTTTATAAAATGATAGCAGCACAATATCGATTTATACAATACAACACTATAGCATATCGTACCTCATTCCAAAATTCATGGTATTTAAAATTTAATCCAGGGATATAGACAACCAAGAAAATTTATTGCTGCACAAGGACCCTTACCTAACACAATGAGCGATTTCTGGTATATGGTTTGGGAGCAAGAGTCGACAGTTATTGTCATGCTAACCAGAGTAAACGAAAGTGGAAGGGTAAAAAGTCTACTAAAATTGTGTTGATTTATATTTATGGTACAAACTTATTTAAATACTTATATGTAGGCATTGCAACAAACTCGCAATTAAATCCAAATGGCAACATATGCTATATATTATATAGAATGAATCGGAGAATAAGTTCTGGCGCTATTTGAAAGTGATCAATATGTATAATTTTCCTACTAAAATTGTTTCAAATTGAAAATACAAAGCTATTTTGTAAAGCACCTTACTATATTGCATGATTTTAAGACGATGGGACCAAAATTAATTGTTACTACCCCAGTTCAATGCAAAAATACTTTTCAAACTGTTCCGTTCAGTCTCACAATTTCAAAAAGCATTGTTGGTGTTGTTTTTTTGCGTTTGTATATATATTTTATGTATTCTTTCAGAAAAAATGTGAGAAATATTGGCCAGATAACAGAGAACAGTCAACATTTGAAAATTTAATTGTCAGCTCGGTTAACGAGGTGGAATATGGGCCTATTGTAAAAAGAACATTTGAGTTGTGGAATCCAAACCAGTCTGAGAAGGTAAGAAAGACGACGAATTTAGCACACCACTTTGATTTGACAATTTGCAACTGTTGTTAGAAAAATAAAAGAGATCCGTTTCTTAGGAACAATTTCAGTGAAACGGTCTACAAGTTTTTAATAGTATGATACTATATGACATGATTTATTTTTTTTATTCTTACACAAACTATTTTGTTTAGAAACTAATCGTAGAACAGTTTCATTACATAACATGGCCTGATCACGGAGTTCCGATCACAACATCAGATCTTTTCTATCTACGACGAATGGTCCTGGAAGTCAAGTAAATAATCCGAGTCCAATCATTGTTCATTGCAGGTGAGAATACTTGACACTTTCCGGAAATTTATGATGATGAATCTTTTTCTATGAAACCATTTGCATGGCACTATTCCAAGATCTGACTGATAATCTTTTTTCATTTTCTACTTAAATTTTATATTCAGTCAAATATTAACTATCAAGTTTTACTTTTGATAAACATTCATAAGGAAGGTTTCAATCTGTTAAATGTCTTTTATAAAACGATGCATGAAATCTTTCCTATTTTTGCAGTGCTGGAGTGGGTAGAACTGGTACATTTATCGCTCTTGATTATTTAAGTCAGCAAATGGAAAGGGAGAGTAAAGTTGATATTTACGGAGTGGTTTTCAACATGAGAAAGAAACGCAAAGAGATGGTGCAAACAGTGGTAAGTGTTGAATGGGTATATAAGAACTTACCAAGTTATAAAAACAATGTATACTGGTACATAGAGGTTTCCAGAATAAAAAATTACAACACAATTACAAATATCCTCTAATATTTTCAACAAATGAACTGAAATTAAAAAAGATTGTTACAAACCATATCTGCAGGAACAATACGGACTTCTACACAAATTGATGCTCGAAAAGCATTTGTTTGGAACAACCGATTTGAAAACTGCCGAATTCGGAAATACGTATGGGTATGTTGTTTTAGATTAAACTATTATTTCTGGTCCTCTGAAAGAAACGAGTTCTCAAAGAAAATTTGCAATATAATACTTAAAGTCGGCTATATGCAACTCTATTTCCTTCCAGTGCCAGTATTCATTTTGTTAGTTGATCCGTTGTACTCATGGTGCAAGCATGAATAATTATGGCGAAAACTATTACGCCTGAACATTTTTTACTCTTTTTATATATTGACTATAAAATTTAGTTCAAATCGATAATGGCAATTATGAAAACATTCGCTATAGGCATAAAAGGCAAGATTATGAACGAGTTTAAACACATTGAAGACATTTAATTTTTTATGCAGATCACATTATGAAGCTGTCGATATTGAAGATGGATTTTACAATTTATCAATTGTTCCCCCTATCATAGGAGATATAAACATACCCGAAGACGCACGAACAAAAATTCGAGACAAGGATGTTGTTCCATGTAAGATAGTAATCGTATAATAAATATATCATCTTTCAAAATCACCAGTGCGTGTGTAAAATCCATGTCCAAAAAGTAAATCATATTTTCATTCAGATGATCATTGCAAGGTTGTCATCCGAATGAGACCAAGTGAAGACAGTGCTCGTTTCATCAACGCATCATTTGTCAAAGTGAGTCGACATATGTATACATATAAGATAGGATATTCATATTTATACGGGATAGGCGTAATTCGATACTATGGCTTAATCATCTGGCAAGCCACGGTCTCTCGTTCGGCTACCTGTTTATGTCGGGTGTGGTAATAGTTGACCAGTTATTTGTTTCAGATGCATGGATTTGACGGTAGTGGATGCCTTAACTAACCACCTGTTACGTGAACCAACCTCCGGTGGTGATCTTCTCTCACATATTGTCAAAGTAATCACGGCTATATTATTTTCACAGACCTATGGAGCAAATGAAGTCATGATTGCATGCCAAGGACCTGTACAATCCAATGTTGAAGATTTTTGGAGAGTGATTCTTGATAATAATGTATCATGTGTTGTAATGTTGTCCAAGCTGGATGAAGGAGAAGAGGTATTTTCACTATGTTATACTAGAAATTCTCAATTTTTTGTATCATGTCTGCGTTGCGTAACTATTATTTTCTTTTATGAAAAGTAACTATAGGATCAACAAATTACTATAGTATACACTTTTACCATATAATTAATTTACAGTACAATTATCTCTGCAATATCGACAGTTTCTTAACGTTATAGAAAAAATAGCACAGTGTATACGTTCTTCTGTCTGTGTGATTCCTTTACAAACTTGGTACGGGTACATAACTGTAAATAACCTACAGATAGAGAGACCAATCGTTAGACTTAAGATAAAACATGAACCAGCGCGCGAAAAGTGCGATATTACAACTAAAATATTTGTATTCTGCTCTAGAGACCCCGATATCCTAAATTCACAATCTTTTATTTACATACAGGAGCATTGTAGTCAATATTGGCCAACAAATTGTGAAAACCCTCGCTCATTTGGTGATATTACAGTATCGATGCAATCGGAAACAAAAGAGAACGAATTTACGGAACGATGGATTCAAGTGTCCGAGAAAGTACTTCATGTATGTATTTAAAAGTTGCTCAGATGTGTGTGCAGTATGGTGCTTTTAACAATTAAAGTCTTCAACGCCAGACAATTTAAAACTAATTTTAATATTCATATTGTAGTCTACTTTCTTGTGGACTGGAAAAATGCAAGGCTTGCTTAAAATAGCTTTGTTTCGAATATCAATGCTATAATCGCGGCATTTCATCTCAAGTATTTGTCTTCCATTGCTATATGCAGTAATTAAATGATGTTCGTGATGCTAGCGCATTTGCAATTCAATATAAATCGATTTATTGTATAACATTATCAAACGCGTTATGGCTAGATTATATATGATCGTAGCCATACAAAACAAGCTTTTTTGTTGATTGCTTTCAATAATGGAAGTTTCAAAAATTACAAATTTGGATTGATCAGATATGTTAAACATTATATATTAATTAATAAATGGAGATTTAGGGTTAATTTGAATAGAATATTGCTTTAAAAACAATCCTAAAAACGCCTTTCTCAAACCATGTTTTTCGAATATCGACAACACTCAATTACCATTTAAACTTTCGTTGATAACCCTTATTAAATATACGTATAAATTAATATTTATTTTCTTCTTAGCTTCGGCGATCTCTGAATGTCATGCAATTGCAATATGAAAAATGGCCCAGAACAGGAGTACCAACGAATGGAGCTGATATACTGAGTATCATTGCCAGAAGTCACTCAAGTAAAAAAATACTGAGCGGAAACCGAACAACTCCGATATTAGTTCATTGTCGGTGAGATATATTGATAAAACTAACAATTTTTCTTTTAAAACATCGCTTTTCGTCTTTAGATACTTTTAACATCTTTAATCAATACAAAAATAACCATATAGCATTTTGCTAGAAATATGGTAAATTGCGGAGTTTTTAAGTGTTGAAATGGAGAACTGTTGAATTTGAGAAATTTTGACGACTAAATCCTGTACTCACGATGTAACATATACCTATATCACAGTGATGGAGCTGGTAGAACTGGGACATTTTGTGCGGTAGCTAACCTTGTAGAAAGACTAAAAAATGAAGACAGAATTGATATCTTCAGAACGGTAAAAGATTTGAGAGATATGAGACCGCTGATGGTCAGAACTTTGGTGAGTAACGAGAAATTAAGGTTTATACCATAATAACAAGTTTATTATCATTTAAATTTAAAGTACATTCAGATCGTCTGAATTATTTAATTTATTGTAATAATAAATGTATATAGTTGTGTTATACTTCTTCTTCCTATTATATATCAGCCTACCATTGGTTTAAGATTAAAATAGTTACCAAAATGTTATATGTATATATAGGACTCATCTGTATTTTTATCATTTATTTTATTATAAGGAACAATATCGATTCTGTTTTAAAACGGTCCAAGAATATTTGGATTCTTTTCAACTTTATGCCAATTTCAAGTGAATTCATGCAAAAGTGTCAAAGTTTCGTACCGCTCGACAACCCTCACATATGGAAAAACTATATTCGGGAAAAAAACTATAAACGTTTTAATACTAATAGCATTATATAATGGTTTCGTCGTGTAGCTGTAGGAGTACTTTTTATGTCACTGAACTGTGAACGCACCAATGTATGCAACTCGAAGTCAGCGAATACGTGGAGGTTTCTTAGGAATTATACCTCTTGTGACGATAATACATAGAATTAACCTGGGCTGGGATAATACAGTAATAGTGTTCTGCAATTTTCACACAGCGATTATGTTGTTGCCCTGTACTTCTGCATGCGCATGGGAAGTTAGTTTATCTTAATGCCGGCAACTAAACGTGATGCTGAACATGGTAGCAGCTAATTTGCGTCCAATTATAATTATTAATTACTATGCTCTTGTTTTTCTTGTATTGTATGTATATGCACTAATTGAAATCTTCAATCTTCAAAAATTTTATAGAATTTTGATAAATAAATGTAAATAATATGAATATTTAAACAAATAGTATCTATATATTACACTATAAATGCAGAGAACATATATATCTCGAAAACTCATGACTATAATATTTTGTCTTGTCTGGTTTTACCTCTCTCAGACGGTTCTGCGCGACTTTCAACGTCTCTAATAGAGCAAAAAATTTCTCCCTCTGTAAACGCGCTAGTAATTAGGTATCTTTACCAGTTTGTGGAGGTAATAACTGGCTCATTTCCAGAGTGGTGGGTCGACAAGGAAAACTTACTTTGGAAATCATTCGAGAAAAAATTTCCGATCTTCGAGCACTCTTTACCAAACAAAGACATAAATATATATAAAACTGTGATACACTTGCACGCAATCACTCCGATGTAAAATGGCGAATATTTGCCATGGCCAATTGCAAACATGTATATAAATCTGAACATCTTCCCCTTCGGAAATTGGGTTTCGCGGGTCCGTTTCAAAGATAGAGAGAATTTTATTATTTCGGCAACCAAAAAATACAGTCATCAATAAAATAGCAACAGCAAAAAAAACTGTTTTGGTATGGACCGGAGGGGGCGATACGACCATATGGTCATCGAAGTCAGCTCCCACCATATGTGCTTATGTGATTAGGATTCACGCCAAAAGATAGCCAGTGGCAAAACTTAACTAGTAGGATAATATTTTACAATAAATTTCTGAAGAAAATTAGGGATTTTTAGGTAAATGCAATGTTATGCATGTGTGTTTATGAAAGAAAAAAATAAATAAAACAAAGAAAAAAAAATGGGTCCGACGTTGCATTCGTTAAATAAAACAAACTAAAGCGGCCAGAATAACGTCATTAGAAATTTATACCTCGTTGAAAAGTAAATTCAATGGTATAGTTAACGGTGTTGTTTATCGAGCTTTATAAACACTAGTAAACAATGATTTGCGTCATCCGCATACATGAATGAGTATGAAATATCATTGATGAAAATCAATGTTCGGAATTCTCTAAAAGAGATTATGTAAATTGAAGCGCTAAAATTTAGAACATCGTTTGCAAGCAGAGAAAAATGTGTTAAATTACGGAAAAATTCAGGCCAGATAGATCGAATTTTGCACGGGAATCCGTCCGGTCAAGCGATATCAGAAAATGGCCGATACCGATATATCGGTACATCTCTAATCCGGATATCGGAGAAGTTATGTTAGCATACCGGCGAGGTCAGTTATATTTGAATTTATTTCAAATCATATCCAGCTAGTCGGAAATTTCGTTCATAAAAGAAGAGTATTGGGGACCTCAAAGGGTGGTTATGGAATGGCTATGTCCCATGTGTCCCTAATAAAATGGCTATGTCCCTTCTAAAATTGCAATTCCGATATGTCCCTACTAAAATGAATATGTCCGTACTGAAATGGCTATGTTCCTACTGAAATGGCGATGTCCGCTATGTCCTACTAAAATGGCTATGTCCCTATTAAAATGGCGATGTCCGCTATGTCCATAATAAAATGGCGATGTCTGCTATGTCCCTACTAAAATGGCTATGTCCCTACTAAATTGGCCATATCCGCTATGTCCTACTAAAATGGCTATGTCCCTACTAAAATGACGATGCCCGCTATGTCCATACTAAAATTGCGATGTCTGCTATGTCCCACTAAAATGGCTATGTCTGTACTAAATTAGCGATGTGCACTATGCCCCTACTAACATGGCTTTGTCCCTTCAAAAATCGCAATCCCGTTATGTTCCTACCAAAATGGCGGTGTTCGCTATGTTCTACTAAAATGGCTATGTCCTACTAAAATGGCGATGTTCGCTATGTCTTACTAAAATGGCTATGTCCCTGTTAAAATGGCGACGTTCGCTATGTCCCTACTAAAATGGCTATGTCCTATTTCAATAGCAATGTCAGCTACGTCCCTACTAAAATGGCTATGTCCTTAATAACATGGCTATGTCCCTTCTAAAAACGCGATCCCGATATGTCCCTACTAAATTGGCCATGCCCGCTATGTCCTACTAAAATGACTATGTCTGATACGTCCCACTAAAATGGCGATGTCAGCTATGTCCCTACTAAAATGGCGATGTCCGCTATGTCCCTACTAAAATGGCTATGTCTCTACTAAAATGGCGATGTCCGCTATGTCCCTGCTAAAATGGCTTTGTCTGTACTAAAATAACGATGTGCACTATGCCCCTACTAAAATGGCTATGTCCTCACCAAAATGGCTATGTCACTACTAAAATTGTGATCCCGATATGCCCGTACTGAAATGACTATGTCACTACTAGAATCGCGATCCCGTTATCTCCCTACTAAAATAACAATGTTCGCTATGTCCTTACTACAATGGCGATGTCCGCTATGTCTCTACTAAAATGGCGATGTCCGCTTTGTTCCAACTAAGATGACTATGTCCCTAAAAAATGGTTATGTCCGCCATGCCACTACTAAAATGGCTATGTCATCTTTAAAATAGCGATGTTCGCTCTATCCCTACTAAAATGACAATGTCCCTACTGTAATGGCTATGTCTGATATGTCGCTACTAAAATCGTGATCCCGATATGTTCTTACTAAAATGGCTATGTCCGCTATGCTTTCACTAAAATGGCTATGCCCCTTTTAAAATAGCGATGTCCGCGACATCCCTACTAAAATTGCTATGTCCGATATGTCCCTACTAAAATGGCTATGTCCCTACTACATATCGGGATTGCGATTTTAGAAGGGACATAGCCGTTTTAGTAGGCCCATAGCCATTTTAGTGGGGACATAGCGGACATAGACATTTTGGAAGGAATATACCGGACATCGCTATTTGGGAAGGGATGTAGCCATTTTAGTAAGGACATCGCCATTTTAGTGGCGACATAGATATTTTAGTAGGGGCATAACGGATATCTCCATTTTAGTAGGGACATAGCGGACATTGCCATTTTAGTAGGGACACAGCGGACATCGCATTGTTTGTAGGGACATAGTGGACATAGCCATTTTAATAGGGATATAGCGGACATAGCCATTTGAGTAGACACATCGCTATTTTAGTAGGGATATAACGGGTATAGCCATTTGAGTAGAGACATCGCCATTTTAGAAGGGACATAGCCATTTTAGTAGGAACATATCGGACATAGCCATTTTACTAGAAGCATAGTGAAAATCGCCAGTTTAGAAGAGACATAGCCATTTTAGTAGGAGCATAGTGGACATTTCCATTTTAGTTCAGACATAGCGGACATAGCCATTTAGTAGGGACGTAGCGGACATAATCATTTTAGTAGGGATTTAGCAGGCATCGCCATTTTAGTAAGAACATAGCCAAATTAGTAAGGACATGGCCATTTTAGTAGGGATATAGCGGACATAGCCATTTTAGTAGGGACATAGCGAACATGGCCATTTTAGTAGGGACATATCGGGATCGAGATTTTAGAAGGGACATAGGTATTTTAGTAGGAACATCGCTATTTTAATAGAGGCATAGCCATTTTAGTAGAGACATATCGGACATAGCCATTTTAGTGGGAGCATAGTGGACATCTCCATTTTAGCACAGACATAGCCATTTTAGTAGGGACATATCGGGATTGCGATTTCAGAATGAACATAGCCATTTTAGTAGGGACATGGCCATTTTAGTAGGAGCATAGTGGACATCGCCATGTTAGTACAGACAAAGCGGATATAGCCATTTTAGTGGGGGCATAGCCATTTTAGTAGGAGCATAGTGGACATCGCCATTTTAGTACAGACATAGCGGATATAGCCATTTTAGTGGGGGCATAGCCATTTTAGTAGGGACATAGCCATTTTGCTAGGGATATAGTAGTCATCGCTATTTTAAAAGGGAGATCGCCAGTTTAGTATGGACATACCCTTTGGCCTTTGTAGTATGGGCATTGCGGACATAGTCATTTCAGTAGGGACATAGCCATTTTATAACTACCCCTCCAAACCCTAATAGAAATGAATGATGTAGACGTATCATTACATGGAGGCACAAATATGAGAGTTTAGTGGAATCGTAAGCATATGCACGGGTTACGTGGAAACCAATGCCAACGTAATCAATTAATAATATTCATATGCTTTGATGAATTTTTCCGAAGTATTGGCGAACATTTTTCTACCGCTAGAGAAGGTAGAATGGAGTCAATGTTTGTCTCACAAGAAATAAGAACATAAATATGGGTGTTCATCAGTCGAAAATGACTCTCAGCTCGCGGATATTTGGAATGCATATATTTAAGTCGAAACAATGTGGAAAATTTCACTTTGGGACAACCAAACGGGGAACAGGACTGGGGGATATTGAATTTGACATGTTCATAAATAATGTAAGGGAAAACAGCAACAAGCAAACTAAACCCTGAGCAGGAAAAATACCCAGGGAACTGAATAGTGATTACAGTTAGTGGTATCTACTCTAGATGACAGTTAGGACTTTTTACCGGTTATTCATCTTAGTGCTGCCAATCATCAAGCTCTGCCTAAGCCACAGTGTTTATTTTTGCAGAACTTCCCTGCCACTGAACCACTGCCCAGCCTGCAGTTTCACCCACTAAATACTAAATGGCTCTGCCTAGCGTAATACAAATTTGATCTGATTACGTTACGCATCGCGTATGGGACCTTTCCCCGAGCATCTACTTCCTTGTTTACTTCGTGACATTGGCCAATCAGCAAGATACAGAAAGTGACGTAACAATGCTCCCTTTTCGCATCCGCCCAGACACTTTTCTCACTCAGACAGATTTTCAACCGTAGTCGTAAACATTACCTCGTTTTCGCGTTTTTAAACTTCATTCTTTAGTTTTTAGTCGTGTTTCGGGAAACTTAAATATAAATCAGATAATTCAATGATCACTCTGTCTTCCTGGGAGTTTTAATTTAATTGCAGTAATGAATTGAAACACAAACCCATTTTACAGGCGCCAACTCGCTCAAAATAGCCTCGAAAATTTTGCAATGGTAAAGTATATAGAAAGAATTCTTCGGGGGTCAAAGGTCGGGAAAAGGTCCGTCGCATGCTGGTTGTACCAATTACCAACTTTAATGA